TTAACCATTTTATCATTCCCCCTATGGGCTGCAATATATAGAGCGATAAAAGCCCTTTCAGCGATTGCTCCTTTTCTATTTTTTGCGGTTAAATACTGTAAATTTGGCGTATTATAAGTTTCAACGTCCTGTTGAACACCCAATTTCATAATTCTATTGATATCTCCGGATGATATCGCTTGTATTAGAGATTGCCACATAGGCCAAACTCTCATAGTAAGAATAGCTCCAGGAACTATATCATTCTTTTTTATAGTACTTCCATCAACCAAATCAGCTAAATGTATAGACGAAATATTTAATTATACATAGTGTATTATAACTATATTCTATTATTTGAAAGATATACCTTCATCTAAATATTGAAGCCTTTGAATATATACGGGAATACCAGTTATAAATTCACAAGTATCCTTGAAACGATGAATCGTCCATTCATTAGTTACGTCCTTTATCTTAAATTTTTCTCCCGTGTCAATTAACTTTACTAATAATGTAAAACCCATTTTATTATTCTATACACATATTTCACTATTTTAAAATTTTCTTAACAAGGCACTAATATTGTCTTGACTAGCGCCATATTTGTAAACAATCGTTGTCAAGATATCACTATGCCATCTACAGTCTCGTTTTTTTTCTCCCTCTCTCTTTCGCTTTACTAAAGGAATGTATTGTTGTTGTTGTTGTTTTTTAAAAAAAAAACAACTATCATCTATATATATATATGTACAGTATATCCTGTGTAATGATTGATAGTTTTTCCTTAAAAACAAAAACAGTGTATATTAAGAATTTTGTATGTTAAAAATGATAAAAGACATTAAAATGTTCAAGTTTTCATTTAATATGGCTTTGAAAGGACCACTTGGTTAACTGTTTTCTTTAACTTTCTTTGAATGAATAGGTGAATTTCTTAGAATTAATGCTCTTTTCTTAGAAAGTTGTGTTGGTTTATTTGTAGCATCCAACTGTAGTATTACATTGAAATCTTTTATTGCCTCGTCAACTTCTTTCAGTTCTAAATAGGCGTTTCCTCTTCTAAATAGAGCTTTTAGATTTTGCGAATCGTATTTTAACGAAGTAGAACAAAATTCTATTATTCTTTTATAATTTGTTGACTTTAACTTATTGAAACATGCTGCGCAATTAGCAAAAAGTTGAGATAGTAATTTCCTCCTATCAGCATCCATCTCATTCTCAAATTCACAGATTACAAGTCGGATAGATCTACAAAATCTTGCATATGCTAGACGAAATCTCTCTTCTTGAAAGTATTTTATGGCAGTCTCTTTATTCATTTTGGCTTTTTCCAATTTTTCGCATGGGCTGTTATCGTGAGGTGGTTTTCCTCTTATTATCTTTTCTAATCCAATTTCAATAATTTCTTTTTCTTCACTCTCCTCCGATAACTTGAATAGACTAACTTCTAGGAGAGTCATTAATTCAAGACATTGTTCAATAAATAACTCTGTCTCGTTGGTCGGCTCTCCGAACACGAAATTATGATCTGAACGAATTGCGTCCTTTTTGTAAGTAACAACGACTTGGTCACCGTCTAATACCTTATCTCCTTTACCAACTCGAGCAGTATTAACTTTTATCGGTTTGATACCCATAATTTTGCTTATAAATTATTTTATTTATCGATGAATATAACAAGTTTTTCGGCTTGGGAAGACAATATAGATATTTGCAATACTTAATAGGACTAGACAAGAGGAGTACAAAAAAAACAGGAAAAACAAACAATTTTATACATTAATTACAATATCATTTATGATAAAATTGAGTACTTCAAGATCAAAAAGAAATATACCAAATAAAGTAACAAAAGTTCCACATTTGAGCTTTTTTTAAATGATTTTTCCGTCTATTTCAAGTATAAAACAAAACATTTCGTATCATTCAGGGAACCAGTCCAAAAGAAAACCATAAAAAAGAAAACAAACCAATTCCGTTCTGGCAACATTTAAGTAGTAAGAAAACAATACAAAAGAGAGATAGAAAGAGAGACAGATTAACTGATAACTCTACATCTCTTTTCTGTATGAAAACAATATTAAAAGAATATAAACAATGAATAGTACAAAGATGGAAAATGAAGATTTTACATGATTGATATTTCATATTTCTTTAAAAATATCAATATTTTTATTGTTTAGCTTTTCTACAAGAAGAAAAAAAATTGAAAATGAAACGTTTATATTATTAAGAAAATGAGAATTATCTAAAACGTTAACTTTACCTGGATAATCGTCGCCGTTTTGCCGGTGTTTTCGTTTTTGATAGCTTCTTATTCAGTAGAAATTCACACACGTTCGACGAATAGTCCAAAGGATTATAAAATGAATCACATGGTATCTAAATAATAAAGAAGAAGATAAAATTAAATACTTTGGAAGATAGTTAGATGTCTTATACGAAACCATGGATGCTTCAGCTTCTAATTTCCTTAATTTTGAATTGGGCAAAGTACCCTCACTATTAAATAATGATTCATCCGCCAAATTTGAAATGAAGAATTCTCTTGTCAATAAACCCTGAGAAGGAGAATAATAATTATTTAAAAATATCCATTACTATATGATAAATAATACTATTTACATAGGCTGTAAAACTTTCACGGCCAGGTTTTAAGAGGAACAGGCAACACGGATGTTTGTCAGATAATTTATCTGTTAAGCACGTCCTTTTTAGTTTTACAATTAAGCAGCTATCCTAATAAGATTAAAAGATATAAAAAAAGGTATTAAGAGAGTTTCTGTGGATTTATCCTATTTTTCTTACAGTCTTTCTTAAGTCGGAACAAAATTTTCTTACTAGTAGAGCATTTTCTTCGATTTCTTCCCAAACGTATTTTCTAGCAGTTGTTGGAATTAGTTCAATAGGCTGGCGGACAAAACAACATTACAATACAGCATTTTCTGTAGTGTAGTCTCAACATAGAGGTGAAATAGAAAATACAATTACTTGACCGTAAAGTAGACTGTAACATATTCCAGACGTTGGAACTTTTTTAATAGCAATCAACTTTAGAGAAAGTTTGTCAATATCTGATTTTTCAAATCCAGTTGATGCGATACTATTACTTTGAGGTGAGCTTAATAGATTCTTTAACAAAATCAAACGATTTTTAAATAAATATACATTTAATAGTAAATACTTACGTAGTAGACTGATAAATTAGAATCCAAAGGAGAGAGATGCTTGCTTCTTAAATCAAATTTAAACTTTACAGAGCCTTGATCTGTATAGGATAATTATTCATTGTTATATTGCATGTGATATTTTTTATATATATATATATGTATATAAATTTATACATATCTATAGAGAGGGAAAAAAATAGCATAAGGCCTGGAATACAGCTATTTTTTATTCATAACAATGAATTGTATTACAATAAAAACACTTGTTAACAATTAAAAAACGATATATAATAAGCTCTGCAATTTATATCTATGCATATAAACTCTATGAGATATTTATTTATTACCATTCAGAAGAAGCTGAATATGCTCTAAGGTGCAGATAGGCTTTTGTGTCCAATTAAGGAAGATATTTCTAATGCTGTGATGCTCTGTTGAAAATAATAATATTTGAAAAATAGAAAAAACCGGTAAAAGGTAACTTATTTTTTATTCAAATAAGAATTTACCGTTTTGTATGTTAAAAAATTCTACTGTTGTTCTCCAGTCTCCATTTAAATCTATATTGATGACAGGCTCTTCTATTTTGTTCTTTCGTCTTTTACTACTTGGCAATAAATAAAAGAATTGAATTCTCTGCGTAAATTGGAGAAATATAAATTTGTATGTGCCTTGTATATAATATATTAACAATTACATCAAGTGCATTTAAACGTTCAACCGATTTTACGCATTGAAATATCTCCTGCGAGTTTTTTCTGAGGTTCCTCGTTGAGAAAACCGCTAATTCTAACATTAGCAGATTATTTGCAGACTGAAGAAAAATTAGAGATAAACAAATGAAATTATATTCAATTTTACAAGTTTTACTTTTCTCGTTTGAATCGGTGTTGAATTAATTGCTGTTTGAAATTCATTTACCGCAACTAGAAAGACTTTTTCCCAATCGATATCTACCTTTTCTTCAGAGCTGGGAAGATCATTTATATCGTCGAATGCTTTTAAATTATTTAGAATTTCTTCAATAGTTTCCATTTTATTTCTCCAGTCTTGTAAGTTAAAAACAACTCTAGGCATATCTTGTATAAAGATTATACCAAGGTATGTTACGTTGGAAGACGATTCAAAGTTTCTCATTAAGTCTAATGTATTTTTTAAGCAATCCAAAGCTGTTTCCATTTCGGTTGGTTCTAAAGATGGTGTCATATCTATACACACCATCCTTGCTGTTAAGACCAATATTTAACTTATGTACTGTAGATACAGTATATATACAGTATATATATATATATATATATATATGTGTGATTAACATAATAATCTACATTTATTAAGAAGGGGGGAAATCAGTTAAATGATTGTTACATGTTGACAATAGTTGGCACAAAGAGGAATAATTATTAATTTTAGCAGATAAATAGCCAAACATTTCATTATCATTTAGCAAACCTAATGATATTGTATTTGAGTCTTCTTTATATCTATTCATTGTAACTTGCGTAATTTCCCGGCGATAAATTGTAAATGTAAGGGTAACATCATAATTATTTTATTTTCGTATTAGCATCTTCGTATTTATCTTTGGCGATGAACTTAAAAATACCAGGTGTCATTAGTAGCTTGTAAAGCTGTATATCATAGTGTATCAAGTAATAGATGCCGAGTATTAGAACGGTATAATATTTACCAGTACTATTTTCTACAATTAACTAATCTTTTAGCACATTTATAGTAATTATCTATTTAAATGAGTAAGTTTTTTATCATTGATCAAGAGTCAAGAAATGTGTGTAAGAAAGCAAAAAAGTTTCGCAATAATTAATATAAATTTAATTTTCCTTCTAAGAATTAATTTTTCAGATTTTTCTGTTCTAAATAATGTCTAACAATTTCTTCTTGTTCCTGAGTCTCAACCGAAATTGGTCTCATTTCACGTATTTTCTTTATAGCTTCATCTCCTTGAAGTTCTCTGTCTTTACCGTAGTAGCAAGCTAACATAGTACCAGTACGTCCTTGCCCCATGCGGCAATGAACAGCAACTTTTGTTCCTTGTTTTTTTGCCTGATCGACAATTGAGACGAATTGCTCAATTTGCTCCACAGATGGTGGTGTAAAGTCTGGCATAGCAATGTGACTCCATGTAAAAGTATCTATATATAGTTGTAAGATTGTATTAATACTATAATTATAACAGCTTGATAAAATGATTAGTTTTAAATATATGATATATTTTAAAACTAATCAAAAAATTAATGAAATAATACTAGTAATTAAGCATTTACCGTCGTTTTCAGGTAGATTTTTCGGTTTATCTTTGGTAAGACTCACTAAATGAGTAATTCCTTGTTGTTTATAAAAATCATAATGATCATGATGTTCTGGCTGAGCGCTTCCGGCCAGTAGATTGGGTTCAACCCATGAGAAATTGCCTGGTTGGGTCATATTTAGGAAATGTTGAAACTCATACACGATCCTGTCTAGATATATAACTATATAACTTTAAATACTCGCGAAAACGTTTAGAGTACACAATCTTAATATAGGCTTATCAGCAATATATAAATGAGTAATAGATTAGACATAAATTTATATTCATATAGAAAGTAATAATTGTATTCATAAATCTCAAAATACAGCATATAGTATATTAAGTATATATCAATATATGCAATTAATATTTAAAAGAAGCCATTAATAGAACTGTCGATAACTAAGCAGTTCTTTTTTATAAATAGTATTTATACTTGTATAAACAATATACTGTATATGATAGTAAAAAGCCAAATATTTGATATATTGTATCATGTTTATAATATTCTTTAAAATTTTAGAATCGCAATATCATCTGTTTCTTTCTTGATTATTTTTAAATTAAAGTCAATTAGTTTATCATAGCTAAATTCATCGGAATTTGGCCAATTAATCTGTTAAACAACAGCAAACATATATCTAAATATAATTTGTTTATTAGCTAAACAAACCTCATGAATGTGTTCATCTAGCCAATCCAACGAATCTGAATAATTCATAAACGCTTGTTCAATATAAGTTTTGCATAAGGATATTTCTTTTATAATCTAAAGGAGAACAAAATTGAATGCTTTATTTATTTATTTATTTATTCTTTACCTGACTGTTACTATCTCTTAATTGATCAATGCAATATTTATTAAATATTAAACTAATAACAATATCAATCTGATTCCCACAAATCATATTATTTATTCTCTCTTGGTTATATTCTTCATAAACTATTAATGGAATGGAAGACGGTTAGATAGGACAAATTAAAGAGAATTGAATAAGTTAACTTACTCGATTTATCTAAATGTATACATTGAATAAATTTAAAAGTCTTTTTTAAGTTCACTAGTCTAGACGCCTATAAAAAAAAACATATAAGAGTGTTTAAGAATATTTCAACAGAATGATAATAAAAAAGAAACACATTACTTACATTTTCGTCGATAATATAGAAAGTAGATGCATTTTGAATATTTATAAAATATTTTTGGATTAACAACAAAATTAGGTTCGTTAGATAGCTTGATCCAATAATAACAACATTTGATCTTCCTGTATAGGTAAATATGAATTTCATTTACTATCTTTACACAGTATATATATATATATATATATATAAATTCACTTTTAACTCACTTGATAAATGTTTAATTAAAGGAAATACTAATAAAAATCCAGGTAAATGTGTTACATAATCATTTGTCAAGGTCTTAGGTAATATCAACAGTTGATTTTTATTAGATATTGACAAGTATTGATAAAATTCATTAGTCCATAAATCAGTATATACAACGACCTTGGAGTTTAAATGCTCAGTATCGTTAATTTTATTAGAACCAACATCAACAATTTCACCAGTGCAAAGGAAACAAGCTGCAAATATACATATGGTTATTTACATCAATGCGTACCAATTATTAACAAACCTTGTGGATGATTCAAACAAATATTACATGTACCGATCTGTTATTGTTAATATGATATAAAGCAAATTGCAAATGGTTTTACAAATTAGAGCAGACATATGTACCTTTATTCTATAGCCATTATCAGGAATATTCGGTAAAGGTCGTGTAAGGAGAGAAAAGACCTTTTCATCCCTTTTAACCATATACATATCAGTCTCACGTGTAAATTTCATTCCTTGCCCCAAGAGATGTAGCAGACGAAATGTATTGTTCACCCGTCTACAATGGAACTGGAGCTATTATTTCCGGTTTATTGGCCTATTATATCTATCTTAGTTGTTTACGCCATAATATCGAAATTGTTTTGGTTAAATAAGTTTAATTAAAAAAAAACTAGGAAATTTAAATAAAAAGTAACGCGAAGATTTTTTATTAATTAGATATTTAAATTACTCAGACAATGAGTCGATATATTCAACAAGTAACAACTGTCCTATAAGCATACTGTATAGAGTATATAAATATAGAAAAATACAATTAAAGATAGCTTACTAGCCACTTATATGTTGATTGAACATTACATTGCTATTAAACGCAATGTAGTAGTATTCACAATATATTTATATACAATATATAGTTTATATATACTGTCTATTTGATTTTTGCTTGTATACAGTACTATTAGATTGTATAGGCCTATTCAATCTTAGCTAAACATTCATATATAACATTGACTGTTACCTCGATAAGTACGCCTAATTATCCTGCTGTCTAATTTGCAAATTTGTCCAACCAGTCTTGTGAAACGATAGTAGTATTTTGGTTTTCAGTTTTTGGCCTTCCTAAAGACAGTGTCACGCGCTAAACACGCTCAGTTATATCTAGCGCCTTATCAGAATGAGTACCAGGCTAGTTTAACCAACTTTTAGAGTATATATTTAGTATTTAACTCTGCCTGATCGACCCCTGTTAGAGGTCAAGGTAAGTTTAAGGCCGACATTAAATATATTTTGACGGAAAATTTACTTTAAACCTAATTTATTAAACCAAGAAAATGTACATAAAACCAAACTATATCGGATTTTTTTGTTCCAAGAACGGGAACTATTTTTTCCAAACTTTAGATTTCTACGTCCTTAAAGGTAAACAGAGCATAGTATAATAGGCAAGAGGGGGTCTGGTGAGGCGGGGGCGGAGGGAGACCAAACATAGTCTATATTTAGTCGTTCAGTTCTATTTTCATGTTAGAAGGTTAACAAAGGTTTACGTTCACAAAAGAAAAAACCTTGTAAATATATAAAGGTAGGAAAAAAGGCCCTAAGTATTATTTTTATCTTAAAAAAAGAGGCAGAGGAAGAAGAAGAAGAAGAAGGAGAGGAGTCCAGACAACAAATGATCATTTTATTAGAATTATTGTAATGAATATTTATGATTTTGAAAATCAATAAAAATTTTTTTGGCGGGAAAGTTGTTTTAAACGTGGGGGAGTGTGACATTGAAAAAAAAGCTGTCTGCTAAAAATCATGTGCTATAATAATTGAATAAATGCATGGGAATCAATAAAAAAAAAACTCCTACGTAGGAATTAGGAGTATAAATCAATAAATAGCCTCCATCCTTCTTTAAAAGTTTAATTTGCTTTGTAGCTTAAGTTTCTCTCGAGCTATTTGCCGTTAATCTCTCTCACTCTATCATTCCTCTATTCTCCTGCATTCCCCTATCATTTCAATCATTAAGTGATGTAATAATTACTATACTAAATGTTTAAGTGAAACAATTTCTCTTTTTGTTTTTTTTATTGTAGCCAATAAATCCACAAATTATAAATAATGCATGAAAAAAATCTCTATAACAATAGAGATAGAGAGAGCGACAGAGAATTGAGCAACGATAGATGGCTCCACTAAAATATTTGCTTTTACATGAAAATATTCGCCTGATGCGTAATTTATATTGTAAATAGTCGCTTTGCACCGTTAAACTTTATTATAATATACTTTTTGTAAATAAATACAATAATATGGAGTAACTACGTAGAAAGCAGCCAAAGGGAATTTTTATTACAACAGATATAAAGATCGTTAACCCTGTTACTTTTTACTTTCTATAGTAGATGGAGTATAGTAATATATGAATTGAAGGAAAAATTAACATTAACAAATCATTTACAGTTGGTATAAAAGAGAGAACAGCGTAGTTAAATACTTGTATTTTGTGCTTTTACACTGTTTTATAATAGACAATAGATTATCTTATTTAAAATCAGTATAAAAATTGAAAGCAAATTTTATAATGTACTATTCAACCTATCAGAAAAAAACTATGGAAAAGCTTGTAGGTAAGTGGAGAGAGGAGAGTGTAGTTGGAGATGTATCGAATGTTTTAAGAACTGCTGGATACGACCCTCAAGTTATTGATATTCTTATGAGTTTTAAAACAGATGGTATGATTGGAGAAAATGTAAAAAATATATCTTTAGAGGTATGTATAGGCAGTCTTGTATCTTCTTTTTTACACTCTCTTTTTTTGACTATCGCTCTATCAGTCCCTTATTCTATTGGTAATTACTCTCCTAGGGAGAAGGTTTGAGATGGATATCAACTGTTAATGGTCTACCGTTGGAGGATGTATATATGATACCAGGGGAGCCTGTTGAAATTTTCTCATCTCATGGAATAGCTGTTACAGTACGTAGCTATATATTGTATATTCCTAGTTGATCACCATAGTTTTGTTACTCCTGCTTCGTATAGAAACGATTAGAAGTTTTGGATTCTAATGTATCAATTATAGATATTCACGGTGATAAAATTCTGCATACCCAATTAACTATTGAAGGGAATAAGCTAATATTGGTAAATGTTTTTTTCTATAAAAAGGCCAGTTGGTTATAATATTCATTTCACAGATATTAAACAGTGGAGAGGATGAAGCTAAAATTTATTACATTCGGTTAAATTAAGGTCAATTTAATATTTTATTGTTTTATCGTTAATTAATTATCTTTGTCTAATTATTAGATAAAGAAAAAAAGAAGCGGGAATTTTTAAATTTTCAATCGAATATATATCCAATTTTTTGTTATCTTTCTATCTTTAAAAAAAAACAATTTTTTTTGCGATGTCCATAGAATGACTTTGTTATCTCTACACATTATTGAGTGTCCTAGTGAATTTTTTCTTCTATAATGACTGATACTGTTGAAAATAGTGGTATAGCAGTTCTACAACAATGTTTATCTGCTAAATTACAAGTTATTCCACCGAATGATGATAACCCAGATGGGGTATTTGTAAATATTGATAGAGGTTTAATAATCTATATTTGTTTCCTACGTGGAATCACCGATGAGAAAATAGAAAAATTAGGTAGGAAATACAATAGAAATTAAGAACGTTTATTTATTATCGCCTTTTTTCTGTTTATTATTAGCACGTTCCGTCTTACAAGCGAAATTAAGTGAAAATTACGAAAGTGGTGGAAAATTACAGAATATTTTGCAAATTAATGGTGATGTTCTAATCATTCCGCAAGCTACATTAGGTGGAAAATTAAAAGGAAAATCTATGCAATATCATACCAATCTCAGTAAAACTGAAGGTCTCGATGTATACAATAAATTTATTGATATTTGTAAAAAGTTGATCCAAGAGAATAAGGCAAACAGTGTCGTTCAAAATGGAACCTATGGTAATCGACAAGTGTTGAATATTCAAACAAATGGACCTTTTACCCATTTTATTCATGTATAAAAAAAGGAAGAGAGAGAGAGAGAGAGAGAAAGAAAGTTTTGAAATAATAATAATAAACAATATCTTTAATAATTATTATGAGAACTAAACAGCAAAAAAGAAAAAAAATGACTAAACAACGACCAAAAATGAAAGATGGACGACCTAAATAAATCTTTTTTTTTCCTTCAAAACTAAACAAAAAATAGAAAAAACATTATAATTTTAAACCATTATTTCTCTACAATATAAAGCCTTTTGGCGTCATTCCAGCTTTGTGGCAGGATATACAGCAAAACTTGAAAAAGAATGATTTCGTACATTGCCTTCCGAATCTTACGAGTATCTTGCAATTGAATATATCTGGAGGCGAATCCGTACAAGTAGGTGGATAGATGAAACCTAATGTATAGTAAGATAAGAGTGGTGCTATACTGTATAAGGGAAATATTAAATAAATATACCTTTTATATGAACTGTTGTACGATTACTCGCCCAACCAACGTTGGATTGAACCTGACAAATATATGTCCCTTGATGAGATTTCTTAACCTTTCGTACTAAATATGTAGACGAATTCGAAATGATTTCACCATCTTTTAGCCAAGTTATAGATGCATTTGGATGATTTGAGAAACAGACCAATTCAGTCTCATAATTAATTGGCCACGATGTATTGTGCTCTTGTATAATTGCTTTCAATTTCGGTAATACTTGAAGATCCATGACGTAACTAGTACTTCCGGCCAAACTACTTGCAATACACATATATTTTCCAGAATCGAATATGTTGGTTTTGGATATTCTTAATATTTTGGATGTATCCTTTAAAAATCTACCATTAAAACGCCAGGTTATTTTAAATTGAGATGATTCAATAATTGGACAAGTTATTTGATAGCCGTAGCCTTCCTCTATTGTTACAGAATCGTTTCGTTTATACATCCTTGGTATATCTGTTCATTTATTTAGTGTATTATATGTTCTAATAAAACAATTAATATTACCTTGAACTACTAGTGTGTATGTTGCAGAGTCTCTTCCTAATTCATTTGCAGCGCTACAGATATAGCTTCCAGAATCTTGGCTTACTATATTATCTATATGTAGAGAGCCATTTTTGCCCATGTAGACATTCTCATTTTGATCTACAGGCCTATTATCTTTTATCCATATTATATCCGGTTTTGGATATCCTCGAACAGGACAGTCAAAAACTATATTACTGTTTTGTAACGCCCTTGAAATGATAGCCTTCTTCCTCAAGGTGATTTTAGCTGGAGATTCTAATTAGCAAGAACGTTAATTAGACAAACAATTAAATCAGTAGTCAATATTTATACACCTTCTACTGGAATTTGTATATTATTCGATAAGGGATCAACACACAATCTACCGCAACCATTCGAACAGCATTTAAAATCACCGTCGCAGTCGTCGTCCCTTTTACACTCGGCTCTACAAGATGCCGGAAGATTCCAATGATCAGGGCATTTACCTTCCTTCTCTAAAAGATCAGTATAAAACATGCTGTATTCTGTCCCCTATTCCTTCTATTAAATACTAGATTTTATATGCTAACGAAATTACCTGTAACTTTAACGCAACCTGTAACATACAATGGACAAGGTTTCCTTACACAAGCATTCTTGACAAGTGAACATTCGTAGCCTTTAGCGCAGAGAACAGTCTAAACATAATTATAACAACCGTCTATATACGTTATTAAGTAATGAATATTTCATACTCACTAAGCAAGGATTTAGAGCACATTCGCAAGTTTCGCATCCATATTTGTCAATAAGATAACCAAATTTACAATTATTCTTACATATCAAGTTCTTGGGGCATCTTGCTGTTGTTTGTTTGTTTTTTTTTAGATAAAGTAATAATTATAAATAATTGATAAGAGAAAAGGATAAGATTAAGAAAAAAAAGAAATTACGCATTGAAGCTTTAGTTTGACAAAATGAGTAGCAATCCGATTCCGAAATGAAATTATTTCCATTTCCTTCGCATCCTCCATACATAAACCTACTACAAATCCCACTAGTAACATTCCAATAATAACGTTCCAGGAAAGCACCGCATTCTCCACTTTCAGGACTTTTATAGCAGTCATCTATCAGTATATTTTAGAGGTTAGAACAAAAAGAATTAATTAATTAAATATTCAAATCAGATGACTAACCTTCACTATGTACAATTGCATTGGGTAACTTTTTTGGGCATGATTGGTAGCATTCTTCTTGGGTTTGAAAGTTATTTTCATTACCATCGCAACCACCGAACATAAATGGTCGACATTTTGAATGTAAATTATCGTAATAGAATCTTAACGTTAGTTCGCTGCACGGTCCTCGACGCTTTCTTAAGAAGCATTTCTCGGGTAATTGAGGAACAATTTTAGTTGATTGAGTAGTCTGGTAATCGGGTATTTCCGTCGGTGGTTCGTATCCTTCGCATAACTTTGCGCATTCCTGCCAACTATGAAAGTTATTTCCATTAGGATAGCAACCACCATAAGAGAACTCTTCGCATCTTTCCGTCTCATTATTATAATACCAACGAACAAGTCTAGAACCGCAGAAGGTTTTGTCAACCCCTCCGAGACATCTATCTATTAATTTAAATAAATTATTTAAATAGGACAACAAACGAATAAAATGCATAACTAATTAACTAAATTATTACAACATTTGCTAAAATAATTGATAATTCTAATATACACCTCTTTTTCTGATTTTAGCACAAGTATAGTCGCATTCTTTCCTGCTCTCAAATCTGTTAGCATTACCACCGCATCCACTGTACCAAAATCGTCGACAAGTACCACTTTTAGCTAGATAGTAATGCTTAATTTTCTTACTATTGCAGGGTCCTTGTACAGGAGGTTTTGAACATTCCTGGTACCAATGGACTGTTAAATTGTAGACAACATTGTTGTTAGATTGACAACATGAACTAAAAATACTAATAAAATCGATAGAAATCATTAAAATATAAAATTATAGGACAATAACAACGAAATTATGTTATTCATCTATACAAAGAAGACAAAGCTATTAGGATAACGAACCGTCCTTCTGTGGAATATCTACTATAGAACACTCCGACCAACACTCTCCTCTAGATGGAAATCTATTGAGATTGCCACCGCATCCTCCATATTCAAATTTCTTGCATCTTTTCTCCTTTGGATTGTAGTAGAATGCTGTAACAGTCTCATTACAAGGACCATGATCTGGCGCCAGTCTACATTTAACTATTTAATTTGAAAGGACATCAATATTAGGGATGCTATATTGAATTTATTTAAATGATTGATTACTTTGACGAGGCGGAGCGGGAGTTGTTATATGATTAGAACATTCGCTTAAACATTCTTCCTCGTTTGAGAATCTATTAGCATTTCCCAAACAACCGAAATACGTAAATGGCAGGCATTTTTGATGTTTGAATGAAAAGTACCATCGTTTAGACGTTGTACTACAATAGATACCTTCTTCTCGTGGTAATGAGCAACGATTTTCTATTAAATAAAAGAATAATGAACAAGTTGAAACTCTATTTATAGATTGAATATTTATGTTAGATAGACACCTGGTATTATGCTGACTACACTCGAACAGGATTTCTCACAAGCTTTCTTTGTATAGAATCTGTTAGCATTGCCCTTACAACCTCCATAATTGAATTTATAACAAGTCTTTTCCAAACTATCGTAAAACCATCTGGCTAAATTCGATCGACAAGGCCCTTGGTCCGGATTGAGATGACAAACTACAGATATAGATGTATTTATATTATTCTATATAACATTATTTATATTGTTGTTTTGTCTAACCGTCTTTATTGAATTGAGATTCTTTTTCGGTATCGTTCAAGCATCTATGCTCGCAGTCATTCTTCGTCTCGAAACGATTGTCGTTACCCCAACAACCACCGTAGATAAACTGCCGACAGGAATTAGATTCGGAGTCGAAGAACCATCTATCGAATGAACCTCTACAAGGACCAGATTTCTTTGGTTGTCGGCAAACATCTGTCAATGAAAAAGGTATTAAGTTACTAAAAGAAGAAGAATTTTCAATTATTTGTAGATTATTTACCATCTCTTAGTGGTTCTTCGCATCTCGTCTCGCATTCTTCAATTGAATTAAATTTATTTTCATTACCATCGCAACCAGAAAAGATAAATGGTGTGCATCTTTGTAATTTATAATCGTAATAGAACATTGAAAATTCCTGATTACATCTTCCTTCTGCAAGAGGAAGGAAACACCTCTCTATTTTAAAAAAGAAACAAAAATATTATTCATATAATGACAAAATGAATAATTTAGTTAATTACTTAATCCGACGGGTTTAACACAATTCCATTGGCATTCGTGTTCACTTTCAAATCTATTGAGATTACCACCCTCGGAACCGTACCAGAAATTTTGGCATATCCCTGTAGCTGTATCAAAGTACCATTTTTCAACGTATCGATGGCCTTCTCCCCTTTCGGGGTTTAACCAACAAGCCTCTATAAAAGATCGAGTGTATTATTAATTATTTTCTATGAATAATAAAATGATTAAGTACTTGATAAATCGAATTCTTGACATCCGATACCATTTGGACCTTCCTGACCTCTTGAAGAGTCTTTACAACAACCATATTTTGCCTTTTCGCACGTTTCTTTCAGTTTTTCGGCACAACTCTGTTTGAAATAGGTCATTCTCTTAAAAGCATACGCCCAATATTAAAATAGGATGAAAAAGACCTCAAAATAAGGACCGCTTGGCACACTTTTACCGTCTGGGCAGCATTCGTACTTTGATTTTATACAGGAAAACTGACTAGTTTTTATTGGAGGACAATCCGACCGGTCTTTAGTAAGAGCTACAGTTACGTCGTCTGAGCAGCAACCGTATTTAGTATTCCTGCAATTTGTCCTCAAAGAAGTAATTATCGGCGAACAACCAATTTCTGAATTTTGACAATCTTCTTCTCCAGATCCTTCTTCTTCCTCTAAACATCCTAAAAGATTTCTCCCTTTAGCAGATGTTATGCCGTCCCGACAACAGCCATAAGTAGATTGTTCACAATTGGTCTCATTTGCACATCCTTTTTTATTTGGACCATGGGCGAATGATTTTCCATCATTACAACAACCAAACAAACTTTTTGCACAGTCTATACCATAAATTGGACAATCTGATTTATCGCTTACACCCGCAACAGTCACCCCATCTGGACAGCATCCGAATTCTGTATCCTGTTGCCGTAAAAAAATGAAAACAATTGATTCAGCTAAAAAAAAAACACTTTAAATATTTTTCTACTTACGTTACACATCAGAGAACTTGGAATAGGGCAACCTTTTTTAAAAGGACCCTCGGCAAACGATTTACCATCGGCGCAACAACCAAAGTCCGAATCTTTGCAGCTACCAACCGAATCGGCTGGAACTTTACATTCAGCTCCTTCGCATTCCGCCTTTGAAGCCGTTGAACATAAATCTATATTACAATCTTCCTGAGTTTTAGGTTTAATAGTGACGTCACATTCGTCTTTGAGACACAATACGACTCTTGATCTTTTCCCTCCTCCGCAAGATTTCGAACACTATTAAATTTCCGTGTTGAAGGAAATGATATCAAATTCAAAGAAATGAATATATCCTTACCAATCCAAAAGGGGTTGTTATCCACAGACCATCGCATTTAGTTCCGTTACATTCCCTCGATGTTTCAGTCTTTTCATCGCACTTCCAGTCCTCAACTCTTAATATACTTCCATGCTTTCGAATTGCACATAATTTCGTTCTTGTTTGAATTCCTTTACCGCATTTACTTGAACACTAAATTAAGGTATGAAGTTAGAGAGAGAGAGATAAAGAAAGAGAAAGAGATAGCTAATATATAAGTGTATGCCTTACATCACTCCAACTGGAAACGTACCAATCTGGTTTTTCATTACATTCAACATTCTTACAAATATCTTTGGTGTTTGGTTTAGGTTTTGGCAAGCAGAATTCGTCGGAATATGGCTCTCCAGATTCGCTCATGCAGACGACATGTCTAGTTCTAGAACCATATAGAGATTCACATTTGCCCATACACTAAAAACGTTATGTAATCGTAAGGAAAATAAGAAAACAATACTTTCACTTTTAACGAACCTTTCCCCATTCCGAAGCTGCCCATTCAAAACCCGAACAAGGTCCTGCGTAACATTCCATAGAAGCGTTAGGTTTTTGTCTACCGTCGCACAAAGCCTCGGATACGAATCCACTTTTCCTACCGGATAACTTTAAATGACAGGCAACTAGTCTTCTCTTTACCCCCCAACCACAAATAGCACCACACTTGGTCCAATTTCCAACAGTCCATTTTGGACAATCCCTACCAGTTTTACAACTTCTAGTCGATATTGGTTTATTGTAAATGGAACATTCGCTATCGTCCTTCGTTTCGGTACCATTCGAATCAGATTGTTGAATACATGTAACGGTTCTATATTGAATACCTTCGCCGCAATATTCCGAACATTTTTGCCAAGGTCCAGTAGTCCAACTGTGGCAAAAGGTATGAAATACTTACAAGAATATCACAATTGTACAAGACAACTTACTTAGCGGGACAAGGCATCTTGTTACACTCGGCGATCAGAATAGGCTTCTGCTCCTCACAAAATGAATCATCTGTAACTTTCTCTGTCATCTTTCTTACACAATAAGCACTTCTAGTTTTTGTTCCTCTGGAGCAGGACTTGGAACAAAGTGACCAATCGGAAGTTCTCCATAAATGTTCGTGTTTGTAAGTATTTGGTAAATAAAATTGAATAAGAACTTCTCCAAGAGGATCTTTCTCTTGTTTCATAAACTTTAAAGGAAACGGAGAGATTGCTATAAGAATAAACGTTTGTAATGAAAGAATAATAAAACCTCGATAACTAAATCTTCATTTATCTGTTCATCAATGATAAGACTCTTTCGAAATTCTTCTTTACCAATATCTTCTGGATTATTATAACGAATAGTATAATTTCCACGATTAATAACGATGTGCTTGTGAAGAGAGTAATTCCCATTTAAATAGTAGAATCCGGATAGGTTTTTTACGGCTAATTGATAATCAATTAAGTAGTTAGATAATCTATAATCAAGGAATTAATATTACCAAAATCATTCTTCGAATGCGATACCTCCAATATTTTTATACTACTCGACAAACGAGGTACCAAAATTAGATGCTGATAGCCATTTTCCAAATTTGAAACCTTAATCCTCTTCTCAAAAAGGCTACATGTTGAATTGTCACCGTTACAAACGTTACAAACATCTCTAATAGCCTTTGAATTTAATTGATTATCGCAACCATAGGACTATAAAGGAAAGGAGGGGGCAGAAATTAATATATACTTTATTGTAAGCGGAGTGGGCGAGACAGAATGGATTTTAAGTAGAGTATTTAAGGAAGTACTATATTCAAAGAAAGAATAATCTTACCGTACATTCTCCCGCTAAGCATACTTTATCCTTTTCGTATTGGCAATTTGTACCATCGACAGCAACTGTCCTAAATGATAGCCGTGTCTTTGATGGTTCTGTTGAAGAATTTACCGCTAAACAGAGTAAACTACACTCATTTTCCGCTGTTTTAATGAAAAGAAAGAGAAATTTCTTAATTTATGTAAAATGGATATTCATTTTGTTTAATTATTCTTATGAAAAACTTACTACGAAATGCTTGCCAGTTGTACTTTCTACCCGCAAATGTTATATGATTGTATCTATTACAAGCGTCTTGATGAGAATTAGACGCCGAGTAACATGGTTGAGTATTACAGATAAAATAGGCTTTTTCTTTAATACAAGGCAAACCATTTCTACAGTTAAGAATTGTAGAAGAGATAAATAATTGTTATTGAAACGTTCTAACAAGTGCAATCACTTACTCAAGTAGATTATTTTCAAAATTGTCCGGACACTTCTTCTCCTTCAGGATAATTCCCGTTCCACAAGTTTTAGAGCACTTTGTTAAATCAAGCCAATCATTCTCATTTGAAACTTTTAAACTCTTTCCCTCCTTTTTGAAAACATAGAAACATTCATTCTTAAAAAAACGTTCAATTATGGTAATTTATACGAATAAATTTACATATTTAATTACGGCTTTAAAAGAAAAGCCCTTATCTTTAATTATATTTATAATATTGTTTTTCTTTTCCTACCTTGATGATAAAAAATAAGAAAACTAATATTCCGGAGAATTTCATTAGTGTCATTTGAAACCTGTAATAAAGAATTAAAGATCGATTACTAAATTAGGCCTATAACAGGATAAATATAGAACATATATATATATATATATATATATATTAAGTATATAAATATTATTATATAATAGTTATAAGAGAAAATATTTGAAATATATATATATATATATATATATATGAATGCATATATTATAGATAATAATAGATTATCTCTTCAAGATAGCCTATAAGTTAATAATCCATTGGGAAAGAAATTTACAATCTAACAAAAAAAAAAGCCTATATAAAAGGAGAAGCCGACAAAAGTTAGGTCGTTAATATTGATTAAGAATTATATATATGTTGTTGTAAAATGAATAAATACTATCACGACGTTTAATAAACAATAAATCAAATGAAATGAAAAGGGAAGAAAAGTCCAGACATTCTTGTTCAAAAAACAATAGGATTAGTATACGTATTGACGCCAAATGTATAAATACTTACTTATCCTTAACCTCTATTTGAAGGATACAATATTCTTATGGGCAAAGGGAAGGCAATAGGTAATAGTTGACGAAAAAAAAATTACAGGATTCGATTGGAGAGAGAAAAAAAACTACAAGAGCTTTGAACGATCCTTCGATGTAGAGTGAAGAGTGAAGTAGGGAGAGAGGGCGGGTTAGGGTTAGAAGCTAGAAACTTAATAATCTGTTAGTATGTAAAGGGAAACGGAAGCAGGTGGGAGATCTGATGATAAAATCGAGATAAGGCATTGAGTTTTGCGTTTGACAAACAACTTTCACCATTGACGACCCGGTCAGCTTCTCTTTTTGTCGGGCAAAACGTGATTTATCACCCTTTGGATGCTTGTTTATAATTTTAGCGTTTAAACTTTGGCAAATTAGGGTGATAGAACTGACAAGATTTATTTATTAATAAACAGAACAATATAATTTATTACTTACTTTAAAACCTCCGTCTTTTATATACAAAAAGGAAAATCAATTGAAATACCTAATTTCTTATCTCGGGAGAATACTGGAGAAAGTCATCCAGATAAGTGAAAGCGTACAACGCCCTACGACGTACTTAATTGGACGATAGACAGATTTAGCCACGCCCACATATTTGCATACTTCTTGTCGCATTTCTTTTCCTTCTATATCGCGTATAACGTTACGTAACTTTGTTAGACCAGTTGTATATATTTTAGCGAAGAACGTGTTATAAAGCTATGTCTTTTGTTACTATAACAAAATGTACTCTTTAAAGTGCGGGTAAACTTTTTTTTAAGTAAAAGTTCGGTCCTTTTGATAAATAGCAGAAATGGTTTCTGTTTGAAAAAAAAGTATTTATTACTCTTTTCTCCCTAATTTATTAATTCAGTATGAAAACAATACAATCTTGGTAATACTATTGATAATAATTATAAGAATATCTATTTCTTTCCATCTTCTATCTTCCATTAAGTATCTGTTGATGTGGATGATACCGATGCCTTGCGTTTATCTGGACCCTCGGCTAGTAGTGGATTCTGAGTTAGAACTTGTCTCAGGAACGATATAGCTAGTGGCTGCTTTGCGGCCAGTTCTTCTACGAGATATCCCGTTCCCGTCTTACTTAAACCCAACTCGAATTGGGTTATATAAGTTACCATGGAATAAAGTTTTTGATCCCTGGTTATGGGTTCAATAATCCAGCCGCTTGGATGAACTTTTCCTCTAGTTGTACTCTCTGTCTCCTCGCAACCTGGCCAACCAACCGAACGCATACTAACAACGTACTTAACGCCGTCCATTTTCTCTAATTGAACAATACAAAAATCTCTCGCTTCTTTACGGAATAATTGCGATACTTCATGATAAAGATATATAACTTTTAATCCATTTCCAAAATCATGTAAAACTTCAGTTTTCTAAAAATAGAACAAGAAATTAGGGGTATAAACTAAAAATAATATATACTGCATGTATAGATAAAGCATCAGTAACACAACAAACCTTTAACATTTCATCGTACGTGAAACGTGTTTGTGGGTTACGAACCGCTTCGAATACAGTTTTTGGAGCGGCAGGAACTACTCCTTTACCCAAATAACTATATTAATAGATAGATAATGAAAAAAAATAAATATTTTCGATTATTCATTAACTAAAACAACATCAATTAATTAACCATTGTAAATTTGAACCACTATCATCAAAAACTTTACGCAAGATAACAATCTCTTTCTCTAATCCACAATATACCCAACCGCTCGTTGCTTCAGCTTGTTCATCCATTGTTTTCATAATATCCAGGTTTGCAATATGAGCTTTCTATATATAATTTAATAATCAATATAATAACATATATATATATATTAATATCACGGTAATCCTATTAAGTACACTAAGCACTAATATACACCTCGTTCAATAGCTCGTTAGCAGCTTCATTCGCAGCTTTACGGAATGTTTCGTCCATCGAGTATCCTGTGTGGATGATCCCTCTTATCATATGTATATCTTTTTATACACATTTATAAACAGAATTAAGATAATTTCAAATTAGTAAAACAATAACAAATACACAAAAACAAAATTTTACGGTATGTACCTGATTCTTCATCTGTAAGAATACTATTTGATGATTCTTCATCACTATGAATACTGAGTTTATCGCTCTCCTCTGTTATTTTTGTAGACGATTCCTGATCAACGCTTCTTAGTTGAATAGGTAGCTGATCTTTTGGAATACCTTCGAATACGTCTGGAGATGTATTTGATCTATTCAAGAATCTTGAAAAGAACTTTTTATCTTTTGTTTCAGATTTATTGGAAGGTTCAGTTGGTTTTAGGATATTGGCGGCATCTCTTTGATTAGCTTTCTTCCTCCTTTCGTCAGACTTAAACCAATCTTTTTTCTCTTCAATTAATTGTTTAAATTTAAGAACAAAATCTGACGACTTTGTTTGAGAAGAAGAAGGATTTGAAGTTTGAGGATTATTTTTAACGGCCGCATCAACAACTTCTGCAAAATGTCGTAATTTAGGCTTAGTAGAATTTTCCAATTGATCAACTGGATTTGATTGCATAGTAGTTTTTTGAGTAGTATCCCCTTCTTCATTTTCATCCACTGATGAAACTGGTAGGGATATATTCGTTAGTGCAGCTGTTTGAACTTTTCGGTAGGACAAAACGTGTTGCAAACAAGCTAGCTTAATAGCAGCATCAGGTTCCGGTGAAGATATTACTGTAACCAAAATCTGATCGATTTCTTAATATGGATTGAAAATAGAAACATTTAAAAAATGAATAATAAGAAAGCGAAAAGATAAAGATTCCAATTACTCACCAAAGAAGCCTTCAATGTTTTGCAACAGATAAAAGTACCACTTTTGCTCCCTTTCCATCATTTCCAAGAACCACCAGGTATTGCTCTCTTGTTTATTCCAATATCTGTGCACAAGAGACACCAATCTAAGTAAACCATCACCCTGGATTTTGTACCATACCCAATTGACAAATCTAGCTAATAGATATGGCATATGCTCAATTTCTATTGAGACAATATCGTGTTGTACGACTCCAGATGAAGAGCCTTTATGTTTGGAGGGTTGATTAACTTCATCCGCAACTGTTATTTGCCTGGTTTGACATACACCAGGGTTCCATTCATGATATTTATTAATGTCTTTTAAAGTATTTAATACAGTTTGAGAAGAAGCTTTTATTTTAGCGAAAGAACCATAAATAGGTATAGAATTAGGTAAAACATCAGACACTAATTCGCTTTTCCATAATCTTTGTTCATATTCATATTTATTTAGCCTCCAGCCTGGATATCCGATGGGAAATGGCTACATATGACAAAGTATATTAACCATTTGGAACGGAAAGTTTAATTAAATATCGTCTTACCTTTTGAGATTTGAGTAAATGTAGGATATCGACGCCTCTTATAGGTTTCGATTGCTATAATAAAACAGAAAATGATATATAACATATTGTTTCTTTAAAAAAACAAGCTGAATGAAAATCGTTCAGCTGCCGGTTTATTGATTTCGTTAGTTGTCTACACGTATAAACCAAAATATCAAAATAACAATAAAACTAAATAGAGTCGATACCTTTTTAAACCGATTCCTTCCAAGATAAATAACTGATGCAATAAAGATGATTACAAGTACAAGTATGCAATATAAAATAGTTGTAAAATTAATCATTGTTCAAGCTCTATTCCTTCCAATATATGTTATGAGGTTATTTCATTATTCCTTCAATTCTGGCACGTGGTGTGACAGATGCTTATTATTGAATACAACGTATTTTTACTGCTTTCATATTATACACGTGTTGGCATACATACAAACCTATGTATATATATACGTATATATAAATATACTATATATATACAGTATATGTCTTAGTAAATTCAAGAAAATTTCAGTTTTCTGCAGAATTTTCATTCTAAAGTAAATCTTCTTCGCTTTCTATTTTCTATATCATTATGCTAACTCATAACAGAGCTATTACGCACCTTACAAGCAAAGTATACTCTTGCCTCTATAAATATAGAGTGCGAGAAATAGATGTTGATGGCCTTACTTATCATTCTTTTATAATCAGAAAAACCTTTATTCAATTCCCTTGAAATATTATTTATGCTAAAATACACAGTATTAAAGTATTCTCTATACAGTAAAATATTGTCCTCTTTTAGAATTTGCCCATGCGTGAATTAATAAAGAATGTCAGTTCCTCTGACTCTTTCACTATATTTTCTGATGTTTATTGAATATGATAGGAGTTTTATAAAATTTCTTTTCACTTTTAAAACTTTTTGTGATTCTCAACTGCGATAAAGTCTCTTTTCCTTCATATTTATTTGAACAAACCGCTATTTGTTTCGTTACCAGTTTTTAATAGGCCTTATTATCGCCCACGAAGTATTCACCTTAATTCCGGCGTTTCATTTCGACGGTATTTTTGTTATGCTAAATTTCCCTAATTTTTGTCATTTTGGGCGTTTTTGTCGAAGATTTTGAACGAATAAACGTTACATAATAGATTTATGACATACCTACCCTACACATAGGTTGGATTAAAAAGAATATCTGGAAAAGTTTTGCTGTTAGTTATTATCCCAAGGAAGAATCGATTAATCGGGATGGCAACGTCGTCATTTTGGTTAAATTTTTTTAAGGATGCAGGAATACCAGGCAAAGAAGCAAAGAATTACGCAGTTATGTTTACGGAGCATAGAATTAAGAAAGATATGCTAATGGATTTAAATAAAGAAATTTTAAATAGTTTAGGTGTAACTCTCATAGGAGACGTTATTTCGATAGTCAGACATGCTAAGGAAGTTCATTCTGAAGTAAGGTTAAAATTAGTTTGTCGGAAAATAATTTAATGTTTTTGTATAGTCTGCTAGAGAAAAAGTACTTGAAGGGGATGGAAGTAAGCTTGTATCATTAAAGAAGGTGGGGTTTGGAGTTCCCGAAAGCAAAACGACAACCGTTAAGAAGCCAGTAGAGAAAAACAAGAAATTAGCATTGTCCGATAGATTGGGAGGTAATAATAAAACAAACACCAAAACATCTATATCGGAGAGATTAGGAAGATTAGTTTCAGATGATCCACCAAAAGGTTATATTTACTAATTTTACAAATAAGAGATAAAATCATTAAACAATTTTTCTTGTTTAATTTAATATTATAGCTGTTCACTTGTCAAATATCGAAGATGATGATTTTCCCCTCTCCACGAAGATTAGAAAGGTTCCAGCAGACGAAGGAGCTTATACAGTGATAAAACCCAAAGGAACAACAGCTCTAACAAAAAAAATTCTATCCAAAGAAAAAATTGGTGATGGTAAGTGTATTTTTTTTTATCGTTTTCAAATAACAAATTACGTAATACACGATATCTTCTTTCTTTTTATTTACAAATATAGATAGCTGTATATCTTTGTGCGTACATAGTTCGCAATCGAAAAAAGTTGCTGAACCTCGAGTGACGATTACGGGTTTAGGTGATTTCTCAAAAGGCAAAGTTGATGCTTTGGCAGGCCAATCGTCGGTGTTCGGACGACTGGGAACGAAAGGTAATAAACCACAATCGTCCACTAAATCAGATGAATCCGAAGAAGGAACGCTGAAAAGTGATAAGATCAACGTTCCTGTTCGAACAAGATTAGGAGTAAAGCCGGTTATAGCACCGGCTTCGTCAACAACACCCTCCAAAAGAGTGAGACGAACTATATCGGGTCCTAGCACAACAAAATCGACAATAACTGGTTATTGTTTTATTTTTGATTATTTCTGTATTGACAGCTAATTAAAATTTGTCCATTTTCTCCTAAATAGGGATTAAAAAGTTATCCGACAAACCTAGTCTCGTTAAAAAAAGTGCCGTGAAAGCAAGATTAGGGTCAAAAAAAGCGGGACTAACACAAGCTGGGGTCTTCAGCCGGTTGGGAATAAAATGACTTTAGAGTTCAACAAAAATTTATTTCATATTTGCAGTATCGTATTATTATTATTATTATCATCATTCGTTTGAGTAGTTGGTCGTCAGCTTCTCTGTAGCTAATTTAATACAGAAAAAACATTATGACTTTTTTTTCTTCAGAAAAACAAAAGTAGCAGTTGCTAAAATAACAGCAACTCCTACTCCTATTAGAGCTGGAAGTAAAATGCCGCTTCCACCATTTTCCCCTCTTCGTCCTTTTTGATATTCTTCAATAATTTTTGCTTCAGCACCCTGCACTACTTTCATTTCAACTACTTCGCCTGCGTTTATAAATATATTAACTGCTTGGCCGTGTGTTAAATTCCTTAAACTTTTCCCATTTATTTCTACAATTTTATCACCCTCTTTTAGTCGACCATCCTCCCATGCGGCTCCGCTTTCTCTGATCTTGGTTACAAAAATACCGGTGTCGCCATTAACATGCGGAGTATCTGATCCTCCTCTTATATTGAATCCAAGGCCTAATCGCGAATATTTATTATTTATGTATTGCAAAACGTCAGTGATACATACCTTGATTGCCTCGATTAAGCCGTATAGTAACAATATTTTCTGGTTCGGAGTTGCACATTTTATAATGATTTTCAGATGTTTATTACAATTTTCTTAAATTCGTTTTATCTTTCTTGCTAGTTCGTTCTTAAATATTTGAAATAAAAAATTTAAATTTAATGTTTATCGTTGAATGATGTCATTTATTATATCAGGATCGTTCTCTTTACATCTAAAAGCCGACCGGATATCCGTTTCAATGGTACTAAGGTAGAAGAAGGGTTTGTTTCACGAATATTTACCTTATAAAATTGTGCGTCAATGTAACACCTATTTAATATCGAAAATGTTGCTATCAAATAGCATTGAGTAGAATAATCGGAATCAATATATTTATCTCTTACACTAGCTATTTCAATTTGATATACGATTTCTGTGAAATAACTTTCAAAATCTGCCGCCATAAAAACTGGTATCAAAATATTAAAATATAACGCGCTTTCAAGTTTTTGCCTGGTTTTGTTCTAACTCGTAGAATCATCTCAACAGCTGATCAAAATTGGATTTTACTTACAAATTAACGCAACTTTTTTAGAGATTTAAAATGCCGAGGGAAATTATAACATTACAGATCGGTCAATGTGGCAATCAAAGTATGTTGCCAAATTTCGAGCAAAACCTCTATATCGTTTTCTATATTTTTCAGTCGGTACTGAATTTTGGAAGCAAATATGTGCTGAACATGGAATAAATCCTGGTAAAATACTTACTTATAATACAATCGATTTTGTAATTTTTTTATGATCGTTAATTATACAGAGGGAATATTAGAAGATTTTGCGACAGAAGGACTAGACAGAAAAGACGTATTTTTTTATCAGGCAGACGATGAACATTACATTCCTAGAGCAGTTCTTTTAGATTTAGAGCCGAGAGTAATAAATAGCATTTTAAACTCTCCGTATGCGAATTTATATAATCCAGAAAATGTATACCTGTCGAAAGATGGAGGTGGTGCAGGTAACAATTGGGCTGCCGGATATCACGGAGTAAGTTAATCATTAATTTTATAAACCTATCCAATTTAATTAACAATTTTAAATGAAAAGGGAGACCGGCTATATGAGGAAATATTTGATATCATCGATAGAGAGGCTGACGGAAGCGATAGCCTAGAGGTATACCATAACGAATAAACTGATATATTTGCTTAAGATAAACCCTAGACCTTCAGTAAAATATTTTATCTTTTAGGGATTTGTCTGCTGCCATTCTATTGCTGGAGGAACAGGATCTGGTATGGGCTCATTTATACTGGAGAAACTTAACGATAGGTAAATTATAAAGACGATATTTAACGCGAAAAATAACATTATACAGAAATATATAGAATGCTTTTTTTAGATTTCCTAAGAAGCTAATTCAAACTTACTCTGTCTTCCCGAATCAAGATGAAATTAGTGACGTTGTTGTACAGCCTTACAACTCTTTATTGACCTTGAAACGTCTCACCCAGCACGCTGACTGTGTCGTAAGTAATATAGCCTAGTTCTTTGTGAATAGAATTAAGAGTTTTCTCACGATAGATTTATTTTATAGGTCGTCCTGGACAATACTGCCCTGCATCGAATTGCTGCCGAACGTTTACATATTGAAAATCCCACTTTTGCGCAAATTAATCAATTAGTTTCAACAGTTATGAGCAGTTCAACAACAACCCTAAGATATCCAGGCTATATGAACAATGACTTGATATCACTAATTGCGTCCCTTATTCCTACACCTCGCCTACACTTTCTCATGACCGGATATACACCACTTTCGACTGATTCTCAAGTGGCCTCCATCAGAAAGACGACTGTCTTAGATGTAATGAGGCGTCTATTACAGCCAAAAAACATGATGGTCTCTACACCTGTTCATAGGCAACCGCATTGTTATATCGCAATACAAAACATAATCCAAGGAGAAGTCGATCCAACTCAAGTTGACAAATCGCTTCAAAGAATCAGAGAGAGAAAAATGGCCCAATTTATACAATGGGGCCCTGCCAGTATACAAGTTGCTTTAACTAGAAAATCTCCTTACATACAAACTGCCCATAGGGTTTGCGGTCTTATGTTAGCAAATCACACATCAATTTCGGCTTTATTCGAAAGGTGCATTAATCAATACGATAAATTGAGGAAGAGAGAAGCTTTTCTCGATCAGTTTAAGAAAGAAGCTATGTTTAAGGATAACTTGGACGAGTTTGATAACTCAAGAGAAGTTTTGCAGCAGCTTATCGACGAGTATAAAGCGGCAACACGATCTGATTACTTACAATGGGGCGCGGAAAAACAAGTATGAATAATTTATTACGATTCTTATAAAGAAGCGTTTTTTATTTTTATTATTTTACTATATTTTGAAATTTTTCCAACAGGCAGCTGCAACAGCTAAATAGATTATAAATTAGATGGCATTTTTCTTCTTTTAACATTCAAAATAAAATATTACAAATAAATAAACAATTAAGAAGTTTTTGGACTAATTTCTATCATAACATTCTCAATAGCCTTATTTATAAGATTCTCGTCAATCTTTCGAACATGCTTGTTCTCCGAATGATTACACAGATAATGCTTTTGCATTACCAGCCATGTTGTCTGTCCTAATAGTTCTTCTGTAGGATATCTTGGTATTCTTGTTGTACATACTACACACTTGTAGGCATCTCCATCGTGCATTTTTTCGTGAAGGTCACGACCTTCACTAGTTAAGAACGAACATGAATCGCAAATCGAACATGGGAAACCGGAGAAATCTTGACGTACGTAAATGTCTTGGTGTTCGCTTAGTAAATGACTTCTCATATAACGCCAAGAGCCCGGCTGAGACGGATGTTCCCATTGACAGTGAGGACATCGGAACACTTTCTTTGAACGCTCCGATGTATGACACAGAATATGTGCTTGAGCCTCTTCATCGCTCACCATTCTTAGTTCGCAGATCGGACAATGAACATCGAAGAGATTCGGTTTCATTCTCTCGTGAACTCGAGCATGAGTGGTAAGTTCGGCCGAGGAAGCTAAGACTGTTCCACAATCGGGGCAGGGAAAATGATTGAACGTATGGCGCGGAATGGAGTGTTCCTTGACTAGATGCGATTGCATTATGCGCCATTGCGGTGCGAGTTTATTGTGCATCCAATTGCAAATGGGACATTGCAGCTGGGTAGAACCAGTAATATGGCAGGCCTTGTGTAGGGCTAAAGCTGATTGAGTTTGTAAGCGAAGACTACAATGCTCACATGCGTATTGTAGCCGATTTTCGGGTCCCCAAGTTGCTGATCTACCCCTAACTGTGCCAATATTATCAAGCACTTCTTTTAGATTCGGTCTCGACTCAGCTTCTCCAGGCTTCCTTTGAAGAAGTAAAGAAAGCAAGGGATTTGTAACATTAGGAGGAGGATTATGGCTGAGGGAGCTGGCGGAAGTAACTTCCGGCAGTTCCTCAGGTTCCTCTTTAATACGTACAGATGTCGGCGAATTTGGAGCTGACGATAAAGCCGCTCTAAGGGTCGGTGATGGGTCTTTCGTTGTTGACTTTTCATTGGAAATTCTCCTTTCTAGAAGGGCTTTAAGTCTAGGAACGGAGGCTGATAACTCTCGATCATCAGTTTTTGATGTTATTCTTTGCGAAAGCATTTCTGACTGTGGAGTACGTTGCTGCTCTTGTTCCCTTTGAAGGTTGGCTAAAGCGGCAAGAGTTGCAGAGGCCATCATTCCGCTTGAATCACTTCTATCCAAACTAGAAGATGTCGACGAGACTTTTGGCTTTTTGACGGGAGAATTTCTTTGGCGTTCTGACGGACTATCGCGATTGTCGTTTTTCCTTTTCTCTAGACGTTTGAGAGCTTCTTGTCCATTCAGGATAATTTGTACCTCATTCCAACATGGAAGACACGAGCGATTCCATCGAAGGTCGAATGAATCAAGAGTATCATTGATTTTACTAAGATCCTCGTCAGACAAATGAACGAAAGAAGTGAGATCATCGAAAATTGAGCCACACATACAACAACGGTCATCCATTTGAGATTTATCATATCTTTCAGGGAGACGTTTCCTCCTTCGGGCACCTCTAGGCTCATCGTCGGTTGTTTCCATACCGTTTACCTCCTCCGAGCCGAGCTGCATATTTATTCACAAACACTGCAAAAATGTTTTTGGTAAAAAAGCAACAACATTAAAAATGCATGCGTGCCAAGGACAACAGATATTTTGTTTACTGACCGCTGTCGTTCAATCCTTTGATAATCCACTAAATGTCTAACAAGTTCGAGGAAGAGACGTGATACCGATTGAGTTATATGACGTTATGACGTAGAAATCGAGTGACGCGTACCCTCTCGCCCACATGACCTTTTAGCTGTGCCCTATTTTTAGCAGCATGACCGCAATTGGCTCAGCAATGGCCTTGACCTTGCGTCCTAGTTCAGAGATATGCGACAAAAAAAAGACTAGCGAATTCTGATGAGACTACAATTCTCAAAGGCACAACTAAGTACAAAATTTATTTTTGGCAATAAAAATTATAACCGTTGCTATAGTAATATAACTATTTATAGAAAATTTTTTCGTGAAATTATCCCTGGTTTTATCTTCGGCCTAACCGTCTAAAAAAATTATTTATACATTAAATAAAAGATCCTAGATTCTTTAATAAAGTGTTAATTTTTTTTATTTCCATGTCCATCTTCGATAGTAGCTTGACGTAATTTTGTCAGTTGTTCTTCAAGGTGTAAAGCTGATTTATCGTCCGAACCAGTAATATTTTTTATATTATCAATTTGAGACTTTATCGAGTCTAATTTGTCAATGTCTTTAAGAGAAACCTGCCCGGAACCCCTTTTAGCGGGTTTAGCTTGCGATTTATCAGGTTTCCATCCAATAAAATTTAAAATTTGAAACGTTGCAGGTATACTTCCATCTTCGTTGCCATACATATCTTTTTTAATAGGATAAAAGTATTAACATAAGAGAATTATACATTATGATTAAATCCACCTTTATAAATGGCTGAAGCAGCTTCCAAAGTTGATCTAAATAGCTTTGGTTTCCTTGACCAGGCACAATTAGTTTCTCCCATTCCTCTTAAATCTTCAATTAATTCAAACATAGATGGATAGTTTATAACTATTTCATCAATATCCTATTAAATAGTGTATAAAGAACCTATTAATAATACAGTATATGATATATATTGCTTTGGTAGAGGATTACTTTCTGCCGTTAATCTATTTACCGCTTTAAAAAAGTACTTACTATTGTTAACATTACAAATCCACCCCTAGATAATAGATTACCCATATCTCTTACATCGGTAAAAGGGGAAACGTGGGGAGCAAAACCCTAGAAGTATGTAAAAAAAGAAGAGTTGAACTAGTAGCTTCTTTATTCTATAAATATAATTTGTCTATATATATAGCTCTCTTTCTTTTTTATTTTAACACTTTCGTGCTTTTGTACTGATTGACATTTTGTTCTTTCTTTTTAAAGAATAAAATAGAAAAAATAACTTACACCTAATCTCTCAGTTTCTGCTAATTGTAGTGCTACCCTTAATTCAAAGAGTGTATCACCGCCAAATAGAGCACCCAGTAGGCAACCATCATTTTTTAAGGATGAATATATCTATTTGTAGAAATGTACACAAAATATATATTAGTAGGTTATCCTAATAAACTATATATTTGTATATGCTATCTATTACCTGTTTAAAGGTCCCAGGAAGATCATTGACCCAATGTAGACTGTGTTTTTCATTATGTAACAATGAAAACAATGATTAAGGTTCAAACTTACAACGAGAATGTTAAGCTACTTAATGTACCTTAAGCTTGATACAACTAAGTCTAAACTTTGTGATGGAAAGGGTAAAAACTCCTCATCCATGTGAATTTTATAAGTTGGAACTTCTGGTGATATTTCGGCTTGTCTCTATTTTTTTATTATGTCAAAATAAGATAGCGTAAAATAAATAAGAAATATAAACTATTTAATTTATCATTACTAGGATATCTTCGGCTAAATCAGTTTGCAATAATGTTCCAACTGTATCTCCCAATATGTGCTTACTAACATGACCTCTGCCGCAGCCTAAATCGACTGCTACATTAAATTTCCTGGAAAAAAATTATTTTTTTTATCATAGGCCTACTGCTAAGACTTGACATTACCTTTTAATATCGCAAATTCTATCGGCAACTCTGTAGCCAATCTGCAAAAGGAGAAATGATTTGCTCCCGGTTCTAAAACTTTGTTTAAAAGATTACCTCTTCTTTAATATAATCGTATACTTGATAATCTTTTATATGAGCAGTCCTGTTTCGCTGTGTTCTTTTAGTTTGTCTATCAAAGACGTTCATAATCGTTTCTTGTTGGGCATAAGTTCTTGTATTCAAGCAATTTAATGCCAAATGATTACGACAACTGATTCTTGAGCAAAGAATTTTAAGCATTGTTAAATACAGATGTTTTTTTTACGATTACATATAAAACGTGTTATTGACTAGCAGACGATATACTATAAAAGTCTCGCAGATCTTTTCGAAACTTTCCTGTAAATTTCTCATTAAACAATTAAACATAAAACTTAAAAAGTCATAGTCATATTAAATGTTGATTCGCTTGTACGATTGAGCCATAATTTAATGGTATTTTGATGAAATTGACAATTTCTACTGCAATATTCTACGTTAACCTTTAATATCGCTCACCCTCAATTTCACGTGTCTAAACAAGAAGAGTCGTTCGCAATCAAATATTCCAGAACGGATGAACAGTCAAGGAGACAGCGAAGAGCCGAAAAGACCAAGATTGGATAATGAAAATGAGAATATAAATAACGATCTATTGAAAACGGAAGCATTTAAAGTTAAGGCAATTGTGGACGATTCATTTACATCAGTTGAACCAATACTAGGTAGTCAACTAATGAAAATACAATAAGATCTCTTTATATAAATTCTAAATAATTTTCAAATTTTACACAGTTGACGTCTTTGTAGCTGAAATTAAAGAGAGAAAAAAGATTAATGAAGTTACAAAAGTGTTAAACACAAAATTACAATCAACCAACTTTAGACATCTTAAAAGAGTTAAAAGTGGCAAAAGTACGGCAACTATTTTTATATGTGATACAGAAATTGTTAAATCCATTGATGAACTAGAGAAATTTCTAAAAGATGATATTAATTTGGATATTAATCTATTTAACGCTCCAAAATTACAAAAAGTTCCCAAACATCAACCAAAAACGAAAGTTCAATACGATGCTTATATGAAATATTGGCCTGTAACGTTCCATCATAATATTGATCTTGAAAAGTTCCTTTCAAATGCGGTTGCTGAAGAGAAAATTGAGTATCATTCAAAGATTATGACAAAAGTACTACAAATGTATATTACCCATAGGAAACCTTCGGGAATCATCATAGATAAAAAGGAAAGATTACTAACTAAAGGATTTAGTAATAAAACTAGTGAACATCCTTTAAAGCATATATGTATGGCTTTAATTGATACAATTGCCCATATGGCTGGTGGAGGAGCTTGGCCGCCATCTGAAAATTGTGAAATTGTAAATAATTTAGAAGCAGAGTCTTATTTGTGCACAGATTGTTCAATTTATTTAAGTCACGAGCCATGTTCAATGTGTTCAATGGCTCTTTTACATTCGCGAATATCGAATATTTATTACTTTTTCGATTCGTCAACTGGAGCTTTAAATACTTGTTGTAAATTACAAACTCTTGAAGGCATAAATCATAAGTTTAATGTATATAAAATGTGTTTTCAATAAAACTATGCTATTTCATTGTTTATTACCATTATAACTTCATTTGTTATAAAATGAAACTTTTATAAAAGAAAAACAAAAATTCCACCAGAACCAGTCTATTTAAATACAAAAGAAAAAAGTTTTATTTGAACTGATACCAGTTTTGCAGTTCCTTAGCAACTCGTAAATTATAATCTGTTTCATTTGCATCTTTTGGAAGATTCTTCATATTCTAAAATATACTGATGGATTCAGGCGTCTTAAATTTGAACGTCGACTATCTAGGAACGGCTGGCGTTGTTCTTAGCCCAGAACAAAAAGCTGCACTTCAAACTTCGTTATGTATTTTGAAAAATAATGGAAAATATCAGCGTGTTTATTTTTGGGGAAAGATTTTTGGTATAAAAGACGACTATTTTATAGCACAGGGAATAGAAAGAGACGAATTTTCAGAAAGAAAAATTTGGTATAGGTAGGCTGACTTTTTTTTATAAAAAAAAAACTGTTAAAAATCACTTTATTTAAACTGTAAACTAAAACATTAACCCTCTATTACAGTAAGGACTGCAGTAGATGGGCTTTGCTGCCCCCAGCAACTGAAGATATGATGAAACGTGCCAGGCTAATTAGAGGAAGATTTATAGGCGATCCTTCTTACGAATTCGAGTACACTCCTCCAAAGACAGATGACGAAGAGGAAGAAGAGCCTGAAACCATAGCAATCAAAGAAGAAGATCGTTTGGCAGCTGTCATCTTCGAAATTGACAAAGAAGCTAGAGTAGTTCCAAAAGGAGCCTATATTCAAGAGCCTACCGGACTTGTTTATCAGAGTAGAACATTCAGCGGTAAGAATTTATAGTTGTATAAGTTATTTTGTAAGATATTACTCAAAATATATTCTTTTAACTAGGTTTAACAGTGTCCGAATCCTCGAAACTGTGCAATTATTTGCATTTTAGAGAAGGATATAAATTATTGGAAAAGACGCTTTTGCAGAAAGCTGATTTAGATAAGAGCGTAGATTTTATGGATCCAATAGATGAAGATGTCCCATTAGGTATAACCTAAATACATAGAATAATCAATTTAATATACGTCCAAAAACTAGGTTGTTGGAGTCTTCAATTCGACAGAGGATCCGCTTTGACCATACTTAAAAATCTTTTATGGCCAGGTTACGTTTTCTTCCACGTACCGGAAACTCGTCGCTACGGTTCTATCTATTATGGAACAGGCGAAAAGAACGTTGATTTACCTTTTATGATATAAAAATGATAAACTTTACACAATAAAAAGACAAAAACAGAAAAGAAAGAATAAAATCTATAATTTTGTATAAAGTATATCGTTTGCCATCTTTTTTTTCCAATGTTTTTACTTTATATTTATTTATTATTATAAACCGGAAATAAAGATTATATTTAAGTACTCGTTAGAGAGTAGTATTAAAGTCACTCATTTCGGTGTTAGAGCTGTGAGGAAGATGAATAAAGGAGAAGAAATTAACGAAAGAAAACCCCTTTTGGGTGAAAAAACACAAAAGAAACGTTCTTGGAGGACGTCAAAATTCTTAGTAATAATTGTTGTATTTATTGCTATGATGATTGAATTAATCATGTTGACTACTTTAGGTGAAAAATATCAATAAATTAACATTTCGTTAAGTTAATTAATATCTATAAATAGAACCATTACTTCCTGATCTCCTTTACCGAATTCATCATAACGATACCTCCATGCTCGTCGTCGATGGGTCTGTTAATTATACCTTCTTAGCCACAACCGTCGAAGGAGGTATTATAATTGGTGCCAAACCTGGAGTTGAAATGATTATTAATTTCTTCGTTGGACCTTTCGTTGATAGGTCAGTCTTTTTTTCTTCTTTACCATTTAAATAAAATTTCAACTGCGAACCTAAGTTTTTTAATTCTTGTTTTGGTGTTATTTTTCTTTAGAGTTGGTCATAAATGGCCAATGGTTTTTGGATGTTTCGGAAATGTGGCAGCTACTTTAGGTCTATTAATAATATATTTATATATTTTATAGTGGTGTGAATAAAAATGGTGTCTTTTGTTCATTAGGTTTTGCTTTCGCCGGGAAATTTATATATTTATTAATAGCTAGAATTGTTCAAGCTATTGGTTCAAGTATGTCTGTAATATCAGGTAAAGGGATAAGATATATTTATTATTTTAAGTTAATAATATCGATTGTTTGTCAATTAAAAACAAATAGCTTTTGCCCTTCTCTCACATTCGTTTGAAGAAGGACCCGAAAGAGATAGAATGAACTCTATTGCTATGCTTGGTCTATCCGTTGGAATGTTCAGTAAGTTAGCCTATAATTTTGATAATTGTATTGAAATTTTAATTTAATTTATTTATCTACAGTTGGTTTTCCTTTTGGAAGTACAGTATATTATTTCCTTGGAAGGATAGTACCATTCGCAATAATTGCAAGTTTTATGTTAATTGATGGAGGTTTAATTAATATTAATAATTTAACTAATATGTCTTATTAACATGTTTTTATTGTTTTAATTTTATTATTAAAGCTCTTAGATTACTTGTAAAAGCTCCATCACATTCTAGTGCAAGCGAAAGCCGTACAGAAGTATAAGATCTTTCGTTCTTTCCTTTCTTTCTTTCTTTCTTTTTTAGTCCAATTAAATTTTTGTTTTTTTCTTTTCTATTAGAAAACGGAGAAGAAAGGATTAAAGCACTATCTACTCGTTTGCTTAGATCCGTATTTATTCTTAATTTTACGTAAGTTTCATAGGTGGGAAAGGAGGGCACTTGTTTTTATTATCTTTTTATTCTATTTTAGTTTGTAATATACTAATAAATGTTGGTCTTGGGGTTATTGTTGGTACCGAACCAGCTTGGCTTAAGGAGACTATACGTCTAAAGCAATGGGTTGTTGGTATGGTGTTGGTCGGTGGATCTTTATTACAAATAACAGCTCAGTTAATTGCAACTTATTTAATGATTTACATCCATAAAAGTACTATTCTCTTCTTTGGAATGATCATAATGGGTCTTGGAACTGGATTTGTATGTATATTATCTTATAAAATATGTAAAGAATAATAAAACAACTATTTATCACTCCTTTCCTTCCTTAGTATCCATTTTGCCATTTGTTATGGCATGTTATTCTTACCGAAATGCTTATGAGAGTTGGCTTCGGACTCACATTATGCGTGATCAGTCCTCTTTTAGCTAATGTTGCCGATAACCGCCATCAGTCTGCGTACGGCTCTGTGTTTGGGTTGTACGGAGCGTCTTACAATTTAGGTTTGGCTGTTGGACCAATAACGGGTGGAATTTTACTACACGTTATTGGCTTTAGCTGGTAAGATTAATGAGTAGTTAGATAAAGATTTTCTTTCTTTCATACCTCAAACTAATTTAAAAAAAGTTTTCTATTCTTTCAATGTCTTTTTATAGGCTGTACTGGTCGACCGCAATTTGTATTGCGGCTGCATCATTTTTGTCTTTGCCTTTGAGAAATTTGATCAAGTTCGAAAAAGTACGTGGAAAAGAATTGTTTAAAAGCGAATGATTTTTAACGCCCTTATCCCTTTTCCCTTATAGAATATAAAGCCGGTCGATAGGCGTCTTTCGAAAATAGAGAGAAGAACAGTGTTATCTACCTCGTCTATAAGTTCTTGGTCTACTTCCTATGCTGGTATGCGATAAAATGTTTAAGCTAGCACAAAGATAAAGAAGACGTTTTCATGAAATTAATTTTATTTAATAAATCAAGTGCTAATATTTTATTATATATTAACATATGTGCAAGGATAGAAAGAAAGAATGAATGAAAGAAAGCACAAAGAGGAGCTACAGACTTTCTTCTTTAATATTCATAAGGAAAGTTGTCAATAAACAAAACATTGATTACTTTGATTTAAACGCTACACTTAAAGCTTTCCATTCATTGTCGGTAATATATTGATCTTTTAATTCACCGTTTAATCTATATCTATATTCTCCAACGCAATAGTTTCTTTGGATTGATACTTCATTCCAGACACTTATACTTAGAGTTTTCCTCTTTAATTCGGCTTTAGTCGTTCTATATTGAAACTATTGAAAAATAAAAGAGAGAATAGCAGTTATAAAACAAATAGCACGAAAAGGAACAAGAATTTTATATTATACGAACCACTTCATTAAAAGTAGGATATCTTGAATTAATAACGGTTCTTGTCTTTCGCTTTGAATCTTTCTTATCATCTGGCCTTATGTAAACTTTTATGTAGGGATTTAGCTGAGTTGCTCCACGAAGTGGCTATTATATTATAATTAAATACATTAAATATACAGTATAATAGACATATTCATTGGTAAAAACAAACCAATTCTTTAGCATGTTGGACAAAAATTGTTAAAATATCAGCCGCTTCGAAATAAACAGAGAATTTTACATAACCTTGACCGTGTAAGTGTTCATCTTCGTCGCAGGTTAACTTCATACAATCCGCTATTTATTAATTTACATATATTTTATAGTAGTTCATTAATACTTTACTTAATTTACCAGTTACTATATCCTTTATGGCACTATGGGCTCCTAGAATTCCATCTTGTAAAGTAGGTTGACAGAAAGTATAAATTAGGTCGTGCTATATAAAGCAAAGAATAAGAAATTAATTAACTAGTTAATTTAAAAATTAAGGATGTTTTTGTACTTTAACAATTTCTTTCATAACAAGATCTTCTGCACCGAAGAGAAGAGTAAATAATTGCATGACTCTTGAACGTTCTTCTTCGTAGAAAGACTGAGTTTCATTTCTTAAAAACCTAAGAATGATTATGTTTAGGATTATTAGAAAAGATTAGAGAGAGAGAAAGAGAGGGAGAGAGGAACAAACCTGGACGGAAATTGGGGTAAAATGCGCTCTAGCTGTGTAAATAAGGAGCAAACTTTGTCACGCAGTTCTCTTATCTCGGAATAAGATCGATATATATAAGAAGGTGCTTGAGATTTACATTTTTTAACACTAAGAACATATACCTATACAAACGAAATAATAATTTAATTAGTTAATTAATTAATAAATATGTTAATTAATTTAAATACAAACAAATCTTTTCTTTTCAGCTTTTATTTGAGTTTGCACTCTTTGAACGAAAACATCAACAATTCTATTATCAGTCATACTAAGAAAGGGATTCAAATGATAAACATCAGGATTAGGAGATTTTATCATGGCATTTAAAACTAAGAGAAATTATACCTGAATACTTCGTGATGGAAAGATAATATACCAGTTGTTTTTAATCCTCCCCTCAAATTAGCCAAATTATGAGCAATGAAATTAGCGCTCGTAAACCATTCATTCAATGACATCATTATTAATCTATAAACAAACGATTAAATACACTTATATAGTAGACTATTATCAAGGATTATCATTTAATGTCGTTGGTTTATACCTCGTAAAGTATTCAGTACCATCAACATCGTTTCTAATCCTTTTACGACCTTCCCTTCGTTTAACGTCGGTAAAAGAGTAATTCAATTGTTCATATATGAATTTGATTGCACTTTCATTAATATTCGGAATGCCGGATTGTTGCATCTAGAAAATGATACTTTCTTGCATCTTTTCTGATTGAGTATGATAGTATTAAAAAATATTAGAATATTTACTAGAGCAAATAGGCTTAAAAGGAAGGATTGATCGGCCCTTAGTATATTAAAAGCAGCTGAACAATAATCTATAAAAGTTTGAAAGTTTTCAGTGCTCTCAGCTCCGTAATTAATTACATATTTCATTTCCTGAGTCATAATAAATGGTGCCCTATCCCTGAAAGACAAGAATATACTCTATTGGCTGTAAATTACGTAATCCTTTTCGTTTACCTATTAACGTTAAACATCTTCTCAGTTTCACCTAAATACTTGCCAAAATCAATGTGGAACATGTGACCAGATTTCTTGATCATTATGTTATCATTATGACGATCTCCAACCCCCAAAATATACATAGCTACGCAATAAGCAGCGCATGATTTTGTGAAATTTTCAATAGACTATTAAATAATTAAAGATAGAAGGAAAGAGTATAAAAAAAGTTATAGGACTAATTCAAACTACAAACTTTATAGAACGAATCAACATCGGTATTCTGTTTAACTAACCAATCATAGATGGATGATTTTTTGAAAACTCCCGATATAGCTCCACCAGCCATTTTATGTAATCTACCCAAAGTTTCGGATTTAGTTACAAATTCAATTAAACCTTTCTTATAATCAGTTTGACGACATTTAAAAGTAACAACTGCCAAATCCAATCCAGCCGATTTCCATAAATGATCCATAACATTCAATATTTGTAGTACAAGAGCATCTTGCCTAAGATCATCACCATCCTAAAAGCAGAAATGGAATAGGATAAATCTCCATTTTTCATTTAGAAATGACAAACCTACCTTAAATATAAAGAAAATTGGATCTGTTACTGAATCAGTATTATGCATAGCCAATTTAACGGGTAATGTATGAGAATGAAATATTCCACAACTCTATAAATAGTAACAAATATATACGTTTATTTATATAGAATTAGTATAGATTATACTTAACCTTATTAATAAAACCATTGACCTTCATACCAATATCTAAAGGTAAGCGTAAATTTTTAAATTCAGCTCTATTTGTTAACTTGTCTAAATTCTTATTAAGTATAGCATCTACCTAATTAAAGAAATATATGTTAATATACATTTATATGAATATGCATATCTAATTTAATTAACTATTACTTACAGCTTTTTTGTCTTCTTTATTCTCTCGGACTTTTTCCGCTAATATTGACAAACAACTCGCCAAATTTTCTTGATTTGTGAATAGCGTTTTGATATTTTCACCAGCCAAATTTAGTAGGGCAGTAAATAATAACGAATACCTATATCTATAACGAACATCTCCACTAGCTTCTTTGATAAGCCTATTGTGGTTTCGAACGTTTGTTTTTACTTGTTATATGTAATGTACTAATTTAAGTAATAATTTAGCCTTACCAATAGAGGTCGTGGGTGAATCTTATATTCTTTGACGCATTTGCCAATAATAACTTTACAAGATCATTTTCGTGATGTGTTTCAAATTTTACAGCCTAATTAATTATGCAAATTTATTCAGTTTTATTTTTTATACGATATATAATGCATATATAAATGCTAATTACTATTTAAACTCACTTGAACTAATTGCGGTAGAATATCCTTTAATTCATCGCTACTTACGCTTGACAAACGATTTACTGCATAAGTTCTTATAAACTTGTCTGGAAAACTGCAAAAATTTTTTAGAATAAGCGTTACTGATAATAATATTGCGTAACAATGGAAAGATACAGACTGAGGTAATAATAATTGTAAAGCTTGAATTGGTGGTAATGGTTGCCATTGTTTTATCATAGCATAAATCTCTGGTAATTTATCCGCCGACCAACAATTACAAGAGTATAGGACTAATGGTAAAGCCGAAGGAAAGTCGGTCAAGTAACGCCTATAATTCCATAATACTGAATAATCCTTATTCATATTTAACCTATATAAAAAAGTAATCCATAAACAGGGTGTTTGTAAATATATATATATATCCAAGACAATTATAGAGAAAGAGAGAGAGAGAGAGAGAGAGAGAGAGAGTGAGAGAGACAGATAGAAGAAAGATTTTTACCCAACATTTGGGACGCTTTTTATAAGATCGATTATTTCTTCGTATCGCCTGCAATTCAATTCGTCAACGGGAACTGGACAACTAAGGAATAACACAGGAATTGAATGATAAATGATAACAGTTAAAGAAAGATAATTAGGAAAACGTACAATAAATTCATATTTGGCTGAACGTCTGGAAAGCAGAAATTTTCGTCGAAACTTTCAAAATTAATCTATTATCGTTGTTTTAAAGAGAAAAGAAGAGAGAAGGTTTATTCAATTTTGTTTGAAGAAAAACTTTATAAAGCTACTTACGTGGATTAAAACTGAGCGATATTTCGAATCGAAACTAGATAGATTGGTACCAAACGCATCGACGTACGAATCGGAAATTGCAGGCCAAAGACCAAACATATGTGAACCTTGTAATAATTTACTACGAATAGATGAATAAAAGCGATGTATTTTATTATTTTAATTAATTAACTAATTAATATTAACCGTTCATGATCGAATATTTGAACATTACCAGCTGCAACGACCTTTTTTGTTGAACTTTCCTGACTTGTACGACTGCCTATTAAAGCTACATAAATACGACTTTCTAGCGGTAACCTTCCAATTGGATATTCAAAATTAAGTCTATAATAGAAGAAAGAAGAAAATATATAAGCTCTACTAGCATTTAGCTATTAATTAACTACTTACTCTACATTAAAATTAATAAGGTTATCTTCCCTCTTCTCAACAAAATCGGTACGTAGATTAGCCTGATTAGATAATCTTATACGTTTACCACCGTAATAAAGGCCACAATGAACAGCGTAGGATTCGTAATTTAGTAAGCTGTAAGTAATAAATTAAAGAGTTAATTAACTAATTAATTTTAATAAATGAATATTCAATAAAAACTGTAATTATTCTTACCTATCATCATTCATATCTGGCTTCTTTGTAAATTTTAAATATATGGATTTAATGCATATCTTAAAGTCTTCTAACGATATTTGATCATTTAAAGCTAAAGAAAAGTTTATCATCTTAATTCGTTATCATGAATATTCATATATTTTAATATTCATACGTTTGTCAATTTCCGATGCGAAATCAAACGTGTAACCCATTAATCTACAGTACAATTGAGTATAGCTCTTTATTGATTCCGTTAACTCGTTTAAACATTCAACAACTCCCGCCAAAGATTTTGGTGGCGAGCTGATGAAATAGATTAATAAATTTGCGTTCTAATGAATAAACATTTGCCTAATTATGAACCTATTTTCGAGTTTCGTCTTTATATCTTCTATTATCCAATCGAGATTAGATAAATCAAAATACGAAAGGAAGTCTTTGGCTCTGGCGACCGCCGAAACTAGATCGTCAACTTGGCTCGTTTGTTGAAAAATCTAGATGAAGGAAAGTTAAAAAAAAGCGTTCAAAAGTATTAAAAGAGTTTAAAAGTGAATAAAATCGAAAACTCACGTCTAGAGTATAATTACGAAAATGATTAAGATCTTCATAGAATCTTTTCAGAAAGGCGTTTAATTCTAAGCTGTAAAAGCGTATTTTAATAATTAATTTACTAACTAATTAGTAATAGAGACGCCTCTTACAATTGTATAGACGTGTTGCTATTAATCTGATCTCTATGAAATTTCTCTAATGCAGTAACAATTCGTATATCATCTTCAGTTATCATTTTGGAATTGAATTTTTCTCTCTAATCAGTAGGTTGATGTAAAGAAAGATTTTTTTAACAATTAGACGCCTTTTTTCCCTTCACAAAATATATATATATATATTTATATATATCAATACAAACATTTCTTTTTAACGTTGTATCGACGCTGGTAACGTGAACCAAGCTTAATCTAACTTCTTGATTAAAAGTTCTACACCATTGTACATAATCAAATTCTCCAAGGAATTTATTACTAAAGAAAAGTAAGAGAGAGTCTATATGATTATAAAGAAACACATACACACACACGCACGCACACGCATATGAACGTAAATAAATATTGTTACCTTTGAAGATATTCGCAACGATCAGATACTTTTAAAGCGTATTTTGTCTCTCTTAAACGGACATTTTCATTGATTCTCATAATTACTAATTCAACAATTCTATATACATTCTCCCTGACTAGTTTTCAGAATTGAAAGGGAAAAGGAGAAGAGGAAGAGTAGGGGAAGAGAGATTAAAGGAGAGAAAAATTAAAATTAATAAATAATACTTACGTCTTACGTTTTCAAGAATAATCGTTCGGTCAGCGGATAATTCGGTTGAGATTGTTAAATTTATTACACCGTCAGAAATGATTGTCCTTGAACTTGCCAATACAACACCTTGATGAACTAAAGCGCATTCTTCACAAGAACAGTCGTTTCTTTTTATCCTATAAAAATGAAGGAGTTATGATGACTATACAATGGAAAAGGAGATAAAATTATGCAAGACAAGTACTCTTCAACGATATTCCTGTAGAAAAGATCCCTTCCTGAAACGGAAGACGATTGTACTAATTCCTCATATGTAGGCTGAAAATGTATATATATTATAAATATAATCTTTAAAATTCTTTATCTAATGTAAAGTATACTTCTAATACGCTAAACTTTCTCCTTTCTTCATTTTCCGAATCGAAAACGTCTCTTCCCTTCAGCTCTAATTCAACTAGTTCAATACTATTCCTAACTTTTCTTTCGCCCAGTATTCTCTGCCTCTCCAATTCACGTATTTGGCAAACTTGTTCTGAAGCGTCATTTGGCGTTGAAGGCCTAAAATCGTCGGCAAGAAACGTCTCCATTTGATCAACGAATATAACATTACAATATCCAGCTTCGAAATAACTTTTTTCGTATTTAGGCGTATTCCAATAATTCGAATAGGCTAAGACTTCATTATTTGATTCTTCATTTACTTCATCAAAAGGGTTCCAACTTTTCGATTCGTCTAGACTACCCATTGTTGTTGGACCCCATGAACCTACCTGCCGTAGTTCTAGATCTTTTTTTCGAGGTGACGACCGCTTCGTTGGCATTGAATCGCATCTTCTTAAGTTATTGACCTTGTACAGTTTTAAATTATCCATAATCCAAGATACGAAAAGATAACAAATGAATAAAATAGAGTTAATTTTAAATTATCACTTTAATAGAGCTTCTGTTTTAATATTTTCGAAGAAAATGGCGATGCAGGTAAAAGTAGTGCAAAACAGGATTGTAACAAATCCATCGATTGCCGCACTAAAAAGGCAAAGAATGCACCAAGTTTCACAGAGGGCATCAAAGTACAATCATAATTTTATTTCAGTATGTCGATAACTCAAAACGTTATTTCCGCTTCAATACTTGTTTACAAAATCTACAAAAATATCTTATTTATCTATAGTATTACTCAGTAATTAAACTTTTCCGAACTATCAAAAATATAGGAGAAGGCGGGGAGGAAAATGGTACCCTAATACTGGAAGATAAGGTTACCTGCCAGTTCCATCTCAAAGCTACTTTCACTTCCACTTTCTTCCTTCATTTAAAAAGAGGTTTAAATGATAAACTACAAATATTGGCTATTTCTTCTATAATCAGAAGAATAGTTTCTTAGAACATTATAGTTTTAAAAATATGGCGCCATCTTTTGGGATTCATTTGATTTTATGGCTCTACGTATTTAAACACCAAACTTTAGCAAATTAATTGTTTATTTGTAAAATTGTTTCATAATTTAATTAATTCAAGTTGATTTTATTGATAGTTTTTATCTATCTATTAAGTTTTGTTATTGTCATATACTAACCAGTTCACTATTATTATTTTAGATAACCGGATACGGAAGTCACAAAAACCGAAACAAGTTTAAAAGACCTTTGCTTTAAGATGGCTTTACGGGGAATAAAGGTATTAGAGTTGGCCGGTTTAGCCCCTGCACCTTTCTGTGGCATGATACTTTCCGACTTTGGTGCTAATGTTATCAGGATCGATAAAGTTTGTAAACAGAAATAGTTTTCCTAGTTTTTCACCTCTCGTCCGTTTTCTTTTTAAGTTTCCAGCAGGTCCTGATTTGGATGTACTATCAAGAGGCAAAAGGTCTATATCGGTTAACCTAAAGAAATCACAAGGAAGAGATCTTGTCAAAAAGCTTGCTCTTTCCTCCGACGTTCTCATTGAGCCGTATAGAAAGGGAGTAATGGAAAAGTTAGGACTGGGACCGAATGACCTATTGACAGAGAATCCAAAACTAGTATATGCCCGCCTAACAGGTTTCGGTCAGAATGGACCTTTGGCCGACAGAGCAGGCCATGACATAAATTATCTAGCCATCTCGGGTAAATAAGAAAATACTATCTAATAACAAACTTATGCAGTATAATCTTGAAGATATTATCTCTAATAGGGATGCTTTCTTATCTTGGTCGTGCTAATGAAAAGCCTTTGTTTCCAATAAATCTGCTAGCTGATTTTGCTGGAGGTGGTCTAATGTGCGCATTTGGAATAGTTATGGCCCTTCTTGAAAGGGAGAAATCGTCGAGAGGACAAGTTGTCGATACCGCAATGACTGAAGGAGCTGCCTATTTAGGTATGTATTATTCAATGTATATAAAGTAGTTTCTTCAAAATACTGTATTATTTTCTTTTCTAGGCAGCTTTTTAACATCTTCGCGTAAATCGTTTATTTGGAATCAACCCTACAAAAGAGGAACAAATATGTTAGACGGCGGAGCCCACTTTTACGATACATACGAAACCAAAGATGGAAGATATATGGCTGTTGGAGCTATTGAACCACAATTTTACGATGAACTATTGAAAGGTTTAGGAGTAGACGAATCAGATGCGCCGCATATGAGTAACTTTGCAGAGAATAAGAAACTTTTTACAAATATTTTTAAGACAAAGACTTTGGCCGAATGGACTAAAATATTCGAGAATACAGACGCCTGCGTAACGCCTATATTAGATAGTCAAGAAGCTGCACTATTGAAACACAATATTGATAGAAAAACGTACATGAAAACAGAAAATGGCTATGATCCGTCACCAGCTCCAAAACTCTCCAGAACTCCTGCTAGTAACGAAGCTAGGCTTAAGCCCCAAATAGGTCAACATACCTTAGAAATTTTAAAAGAATATAACCTATCTAATCAAGATATTGACAATCTTATTAAAAATAAGATAGTTAACAATAATACAGAATCAAAACTTTAAAAGCAAATTATTTTACAAAAGAGAAAATAGCTCTTCCTTTGATTGTTTCGAATATTTGATTTAAATGAGTCAATAAAGGTAATTATAATAAATTTGAAAATTTTTGGTTTTGTTGAAAGAATAATTGTATTTCTTTTGGGTAGAGGTGGATTATGAAAATTGATAAGTTCTTATAGTTAACTTAAAGATCATGATACGACATTTATGAAAATAAATAAGAGAAATAATACGAAATGTTCACTAGATAGAAGAATTTTTTGTTAGTTTGAGAAGATTTTATAATTTTTTTTTTCATTCTTTCCGTTTTAAGCTTTAATTAAAGCACAATATACAGCTAATTTTACTTCTTTAAATCTTTAAGTCTCTTATCTTTCCATTCACGAATCTTATTCGCTAATTCGGTATCTAAATTAATAAGCAAGAAATAAATATGTAAAAATTAATTTATAAGTGTTAGTATTTTTTTGTCTTTTACCTGGTTCCAATTGATTTTCTGTTAATGGTTGTCTATTGAAAGGATCCGATTGTACGTTTAACAAATGTCTCATTATGATTGCTAGATAGGAGAAAAGAAAAGAAAACAATATTATATATATATACTGTATATAGATGTCAACAAATCTACTACCTCTATCCATAATGTGTCCAGAAGTAGGTAGTTTCACAGGATCTTTCATTAGAGTATCCATAAGAGGATCTTTAAATTCTTCTGGTATTTCACCGAGATCCATTTCCTCCTTCTCAGTTTGTTCGACAATTTTCGCAATTTTTTGAGCTAATATATCAAATCTCTGAATATCACTTGCCGGTTTAATAACGTGTTTAGTCATTCTTTTAACAGCATCATCAAAGAGCTCTTTTGAGTAAGATCTCTCATCTTTGGCAATAGCAGTAGCTAATTTATCATTTTTTGTATCTAAGTGCAAATATATATCGATTAAATCGGATAACAATTGTTTGGGGTTCCATCCGTATTTTTCTGGTTCTTTAACTTTTAAATTATTACATTTCGAACCACAAAGTTGTTTGAGATTAAAGTCGAGCATGGTTACAAGTCTATCAACCACAACTTCATTCAAGAAAGGCTCAACTATGACTTCAGTTAAATAATGAAACATATCAACTGTTTGACCAGCCAATGTTAAATACGATTTGCATTGTCGTTCCTCCTGAGAAAGCTGGCGAATTTTTTGATTTCTCTGCTCTCTATTCATCTTTTTCCATTCATCGCTATTGGAATCAATTAAATCTTGAAGTTCCCTTATTAATTTGAGCGAATCCATACTCTCGTCTAGTAAAAATGTTGTATCGTTCATCAGCATATTAATAAATCTTACAAATTGTTTTCCCTGTTGAGCTTCCGTGATAAATGTCTGTCTTTGAGAAGGTATTTCCCACATACGTTTGAAGAGTGTTTGAATGTGATAACGTATGGAGAATTTGTCATAAAATTCCGAACTTGCTCCGGTTTGTTCGCAATCGCAATAAAATTTCATCAAATTTGATAAAAGATGAGAAGATGTTAAGGGATAATGTAAAATATAATCACCAAGTTCTGCAGTTTTTGGTTGTACAACTCCCTGAATGCAAAAGAATACTTCGATCAATTTCGCAATAATGTACGGATTAGAAAAGTAGCTCTGGGAGCAAATGACTACTAGGAAGAAATTGAGCACATTTTTTGTTTCAAAAAGATTATCAAGAATCACATCTGGTTGGTGTTGAATCAGGAGCAAAAAGAAATCAGCAATATCCTCAACAAAATAATCAGGTAGAGCTCCAAATAATTCTGGTACCTCCTCCGGTAAAGGAAGTTTTGCAAGGTTTACATCAAAATGACCAGATATTAGAAAAGAGAGAAAGCTCGAAACTTGATTATAAAACTGCACAGAATCATTTAGTTGTTTACTATTAGTTAATGCGGTATTGGCGCATAAATGAGCTTTTTTTAACCTTGAAAGAAAAAGAATAGATAAACATGCTATCTATTGCTATAATAAAGGCAATTCAATTATTATTACTAATCTTACCTATCGCACTGGGATTCTAATTTTTTAAGTTGTTTTCTAGTTTGCCTTTCGGCATGGGTATTTTTCCATTTTGGTTCAACCCTTTTTATTTCATTCACCGCTTTAGTAAGTTCTTTAATAGCCCTTTCTCTCCTTTTCTGCTTATTCCATAGCGGTAGAAGGGAAAGATGATGAGCAACAATAGTCATATAAAAACACTCTGTGACAAACTTTGGTTGATTATCAAAAGATTTGGACGATTTTAATTTCCTTAATTCTTCTGGAGACATTTTTATCCTTGATACATCTCTTAAATCCAGTTTACAATTTTTGTTCAAAATATAAGTTGTGTCAACCTTTTCGAATTTTATCTTTCCAATTGATAATTTTTGAAATACGAATAGAAGGTTCAACATTAATCCTTGTCCGGATATTTCTGATTCAACAGGACGTATTCCGTAATGCTTTGAATTTTCATACAAAAGTCGACTAAGAAAAGAAATAATCATTTCTTTTGATTCTGCATTACGGAGTAAATAATTAATGATATCAATCAGAATTTGTCGGCCAAAATCTAATCTTTGACTTAAGTTTGTTGAAACAATTTTAAAGTTAGTTATATCGCTAGGAGAGGAGAAATATTCTTCGATAATAGATTCGTCCCCATCTTCGGCAAAAACCGAAAAAGCAAAAAAGGGTCCCAGGGTACTTAAATTTTGAAGTTCTCTTCCTATGGCTTTCTTATTATAGACCTCAGGAGAAAAATTCTCTTGTCTTGTAATCTTTAAAAATTATGAAGAAAAACAAAAATAGAAAAAAACAAACAAACAATAAAATTACCATACCAATGAGCAGATTGGTCTATCATTTCCAATTTTAATCTCGCACAAACTTCTTAAAACGAATAAAGGTCTCACATAATTGTCATCTTTAACAGATACATTGATCATTGCTGCTCTTAAAGTCTATAAGGAGCGTTTCATTTTCCATATAAGAACATATGAATCAAAAGATATAATTCTATGTTTTACCTGTATTAGACGAGAAAATATGACGGAAAATGTTTCTTTATCCGGAAAGGTCAGATGAGCAAGTTGCGTTAAGAAATCAGTATGAAATTCATCAGTCAACAGAAATGTACAAAGGGGACATTTTTCCGCCAAGTACCTGTTAATAAATATTACAATTATCAATATTAATATTATATTAATTATAGAGTAGTTTCATAAATATATATATTATAGAAATAACCTTACTTTTTAGGAGTTACAATTCCTCCTTTTATTAAAAGCGAAGCGCTGAGTACGCATTGCCTTTTTGCAGCTTCAATTATCTCTGATACTCCCTGATTTTTCTGAAAAAGAAATTTTTATCACCGAAACGAAGTGAGTAAATAAATAATATAGATATTAGCTTTACTGTGCAACTTACCCGTTTCCTGTCCTGTTTTTGAATCTCGGAATAAGATTTTAATAAATAACATAGGATAGAAAGTTCAAAATTTGATTTCTCTTGACGGATATTTTTCATCCTTTTGACGAGAAAAGAACATTATTTATATATAAAGAATATGTATATATATAAAATAGATTTTACATTGGAGAACACCATTTCGCGAATGCATTACATCGAATTATTAAATTCGTTGCTTCCACAATACTTTCACAAAAGATTTCGTCAAAATTTGGAAAATCCATTTCTTTTAAACGTTTACTGGTCTCTGGTAAGTAAACGTACTTTTCTTTTTCGTTTTCTTCAGTACAGACATTGAATGCTAGTTTTAGAATATCATAAACTTTATTGCGATTATCAGATGGCTCGTCGATTGCTTCTTCGACTGTTTCCATCTCCACCGTTTCTTGTGTTTGGTCAATTTGCATTTGAGAGTCACTTTAAGGGGAAGATTATTAAGCTTGGTTATAAGAATAAAAATTAGTCAATAACTTACTCATATTGACATTTTGAGGTCGATTCTTCGTCAACAACCATGGGTTCGGACGTAATTTTTGCCAATTTTGGCGTACTTTCTACTGAGTCTAAAGTATTGCCTTGTGTATCCGCCTGTGGTTGAGATGATGTACTTGCCAATTTAGCAAGGCGTCGACGACGAATCTAAGAAATGTAAGTCACCATGAGCGATAATGAATGCAAATATTATCAAAACAAAGTTTAAATATCGCTAAGATAAAAAAAATATTAACTTCATCTGGTGTCAATTCACTCATAATTGTAAATGGCGAAAATTTCTTTAAAGTTTAAAAACTGTTCTGCAATTTTAGCACCAAATAGCAATTTGTTTAGCTCTCAGCAATCGATCGATTCAAAACTGGTAAAGTCTCGAATGTTTTTCGTATATTTAAAACGAGGCATAGTAAACGTATACTTCCGTTTTCGGTTCACGATCAGCAGACACGTAGATTAGATCTATTTGTAAATTCAAAATAAAGACTTGTTAAGGAAGTTTGGCGCGGAGAAAAATGTACTTGCTTTTATTTTACCATATGAATAAAAATTTGATGCTATAATTTATTTTTAATGACTATTTATTGAAAGTAAAAAAAAAGACAATTTTTCACATATGTTTACTCTTTTTAAACAGATGAAGATAGTTTTTGTTCTGATATTAGTTTGTACAATTGACGTCATTGTTGGACCTCCTGTTCAACCTGACAAAAAGAAGGCAGAGGAGGAAGAAGACCCATCGGTAAGGAAAAAAAATAAGAGAAATTTATAAACTTAATTTTAATAAGTAAAAAAATTAAGTACCAATGTAATAATGCTATAAATTATAAACATATGTATATATAAAGTTAAAGCTATATAAAAGTAATTTAAATTCAGAACAATGAAAGATTAATTGATACTAATTATTTAGAAATTACTCAACTATGATAAAAAAAATTCTTCGGTAAGGTATATTTAGTGTATATAAACTATGGGTTAAAGGTTAACAGACGATATTGAATATATTATTTTTGGTTATGGAATATTTTAGTTAATAGTTAATAAGTAGTAAAAAATTCAATTAACCTATATTTCTTAAACACAGATGGGATTAGAATATGAGCGTTATCTAAAAGAAGTAGTTAATATTTTGGAAAGTGATGAAATTTTCCGAAAAAAGTTGGAAGGAATGAATAGTACAGAAATTGAGGTTAGTTGGCCATTTTTTTTATAAATATTATGTACTAATATAACTGCAATTTTATTAATATATTGTTTACACTAATATAATTATTAACGCCATATTCGTATCTTTTATATATTAAAAAACACTACAACAACAACAAAAACAACAAATTAAAACAGCACCAAGAGAAATTTTTGATCTATAATTCCTATTTACAAGACGTATTTAACGTTCTCATGAGTGATAAACCATTTAACGAACGTCTATCAAAAGTAAAAGATATTGGTAAAGAGGTAAAGAAATAGATCAAAAATAAAAATGAAAGAAATTATAGAGAGTGAGTGAGAGAGAGAGAAAGAAAGAAAGAAGGAAGGAAGGAAAGAAAGAGAAAAAAACCTTAAAATAGAAAATAAACATTAAGACAAAAATCCTTTAAAATCGATTTTTTTTTCGCTTAATCTGCTGAAAAAGAGAGAAAAATTTCTTCTTTCGTAAAAGAATCTATATATAGATATCTTTCAGATGTTTATGCCGTGCTCTAAGTTATTCTCTATTGCTTAATATTTAGCACAAGTTTTTTAGAATAATATAATTGATTTCTTTTATTTTTTTTTACAATACGTAGGCTGGTGACGTAGCGCAACATCTGGAATTAGTGTCAAAAGGAGTACGTTCAAAATTAGATGAATTAAAGAGGCAAGAGATTGAAAGACTAAAAATTATTGCTAAACTACTCAAAAAGAATATAAATCGTAAGGAATTTAATATTAATTAGTAATTTTTGTTTAATTGTATAGCTATTCTATACTTTATTTTTGTTTAGAACGCGATGTAAAGAGATATAGAGAAAAACTAATCGACCTTGTCGAACATTTGGATCATAGTAATCCAACTTCTTTTGAAGAGGATGATTTAAGACGATTAATTAAAAAGGTGGATATATTTTCTAAAATAGAATTTAAATTCAAATAAAAGCTTCTATAGTAAATATTATCTTTTATATTTAATTATTCATATATAGGCAACTTCTGATTTGTCTACTATCGATAAGAAGAGACGGGAGGAATTCAAAAATTATGAACTAGAAAAAGAAACTATTCGAAGGGAGAAATTGAAGAATCTCGACGAAAATAAACGTAAGGAGGAAGAGAAAGCTTTTGAAGAATTGCAAAAGAAGCATAAAGATCATCCAAAGTTACATCATCCCGTAGGAATTATTTTCTAATATTTCTTTTTACTTAATTCCCCTTTTAATATCATATTTCAATCACTGGTAATCTACTATAGAATTGTTTCTCTTTTTACGTTTTTTAGGGAAGTAAAGATCAATTAGAAGAAGTATGGGAAAAAGAAGATGGCCTCGACAAAGGAGATTTTGATCCAAAAACTTTCTTCAATTTACATGGTACGTAGTATAAATATACAGTATATAACTCTTCAATTCTCTTATTATATCTATTTATTACTATTATCAACTAGATAAAAATAGCGATGGTTATTTGGATGAAGAAGAAATTGAAGCACTCTTCCAAAGAGAATTGGATAAGGTTTACAATGCCGATCAGCCTGAAGACGACATGATTGAACGATTCGAGGAAATGAATAGAATGAGAGAACACGTAATGAACGAAATGGATAAGGATAAAGATGCAATGCTCTCTTACAATGAATTTATTGAAGGTACAAAGAAAGATGAATATAAAAAGGACGAAGGATGGAATGTAAGAAAGTTTTCTTAATAAGAGTCTACAAACAGTAAACACATATATACATATCTTTTTAGACATTGGACGAAGAAAAACCATTCTCCGAAGACGAACTACAGGATTTTATGAAAGAGTTCGAAGAGAAGAGAAAAGAAAAATTTGAAGGTCACGCTCAACCTGGCGAAGTTCATGTATGCTTTTTTTATTATTTTTTTTGGTAATAGTTAATTTCTAATAATTCTTTTCTTTCATTGCATAAAATACAGGTGCCTGTTGATCCATCAGCTGTACCCAAGCCTGCAGATCATTTAGAAGGCGACAAAAAAGCACCTGACGTTCAGCATATGGAAGTAAGTATAGTATTATATAAAATGTAAACTAAATAATTTCTTATATTTAAAATATCTTACAGCAACCTAATCCCTCCTTAAAAGAACAACATTAATAGAAAACTTATTTTTGAACAAAATAACCAATTATAAATCTCGTTACTTATAGCTTTGTTGCTTTTGTTTGTGCTGAAATTCCATAAGAAATTTTGCAGTTAAATTAAATTTTTTTGAAAAGAAGGACTGTATAATTTTAAAGATATTTAAAAATTTTATTTATGTAAATGTCTTTATCAATAAATATTATTTGTAAAATTGTACTATAATAGTAATTATTTTAAATGAAAAGTGAACCAATGAGCATTTAGTTAAAATATCTGCGCGAATCTATTATATCGTCTGCTTCAACCAATCAGTGAAGAGTCCTTAAACTTGTTATGAGTTTTGAAAGATTGGACGTACTAGATGTGGTAAATCATCATTAAATCGGACGAAAAAATCAATGAAACTAATGCGAATGAATAATTAAATTTGTATTTAAACATTCTTCAATAAATAAAATGGAGCAAACTTTCGAAACTTTACAATCAATAGAAAAGCTGATCCAGGACCCAGTTGGCGCAGTAGCCGTACTAGAGGTTCATATTTTTTGGTATGTTAAAACCATGCTAACCTTGTATTATTTTACAGGATACAACTAGTTTAACAAGTTTAGTATTATTAATGAATAATACTGATACCGAAATTGTCCAAACATCATTAAAAGTAATATTAAATTTAAAAACTTGAAATTGCATTAAAAAACATTTACAATTGTTTTGTTTCCTTTAAAGATTTTCCATACACTTTCCCAAAAGATAGATTGTAGTAAAGCTTTGAAGTCTGTTTATGGTCTAACGGAAACCCTTAATCATCTACTAAAGTAAATTTATTATTATCTAATGATTCCATTGTCTCTATGCTGTATAAATACCTAACGTTAAAAAAACAATAAAAACAGGCACCACGTCTCATCAGAGGTTAAAAGGTTAAGCGAAGAAATTCTTTGCCATTTAAATAAAGGTGGAGAGTCAAACGCTCAAGAATCAAAAACAATCCAATTGTAAGATATTAACATTTATTTAATATTTTAATATGAAAATCTTGGAATTCTCTAATAGAATTGAAAATGAAAAAAAGATAAAAACCTGTAGAAGAAGGAGCTTTTTTGTTGGAGTATCTAAACCTAAGACTATTATTTTACAAATCCGTGGAATGAGAGATAAGGTACTCTAAGAATATTTCATTATATTAACTTTTAAACAATATAATTTGTTTTTTCCTTTTATTAAGTACGATGAAGATTTATGCAGAGACCGACTTATTACTGTTAAAGGAGTTATAAGTATCACATTCGATCTAGAAAGGAAACGATCAACTTTACGAGTTCGAGCAGATTTAAAACCGGAAGTATGTAGCGAAATTAATCGTATTTTAATACTTTGTATTGCCTTCCATATAGCACTTGCATAGTGCCTAATTATATATATATATATGTGTAAAATCTTATATGTATGTATTTACTTTTTAGCTATTAGCCGCTGCCATTACGCAAACGATGACTATGGCAGCAGATCAAGTTGTCAAGGATGAGTTTGGGAACGAATATATAAAGCCTCTTGTTGTGCAATCGGAAATAACCGAAAGTATAGAAGAAATGCCAGATTATCCTATTGAAGATCATAGCCCAATAAAGGATGAAGGAAATAACGTAGCAAGAACAGACGCAAATAGAGACGAGGGCGGAAAATGGCGTTTCGTAAAAAGCGTTGGAGCGTTTCTATCCAATTCATTTTATTGGTAGTGTACAGATACTAATTCGTCACTTTACATATCAAAATTGATAGAAGAGAGAAGAAAAACTCTAAACAACGTCAGTTGTTCCATAAAATTGTATTGTTCTTCTTAAAGAGTAAGAACTATTTTGATATTTTTTTCCCTCTGGCTTTATCATAAAACATACAAAAAGTAGAGTTTTTATTGTTTGTTGTATAAAGGAAACAGAAGATTTTTTTTCATCGTTTATTTTTTACTATAATATTCCTTAGAAGGAGAAAGAAGATGATTTCTTTTCACGTTTATTTAGATGAATACAGTATGTTTTTCTACTGTTTGAATACAAATTTAAACTACCTTTTCCTTCTTCTTGACTTGCGTTTTCAATAGCTAGAATAACTCCAGCGTGTTCTTCATTTCTTTAATTATTATTTAAAGAAAATTACACAGTCCTAAGGGAAATAAGGGTACAGTTCGTACTGGAGAAAAGAGGATCAGGCTGGAAAATATCTTGTTTAATGTTGTTTTGAATAAAAATTCAAAAGACAAAGCCGGCAATGTTGTATATCTATACAGTTTTATTCTTTTTTGTTTCGTATTTGTCGACCAAGAATATTAGATCAGCGATATTTCAACATTTGTATAAAAAGTAATTTCTAATCAACTCAATTATTCAACATCTCGACGCCTCGTCTAGGCTAAGATCTTTTACGAATTCCTTAGTAACGACTTAATGAATATTAAAAGTAACGCCTCTAAAGGGAAAAATATTTTCAATTCGAGGATTGAACGTCAATAGTTTACTTATGGATAGAAAAGGCAAAGATTCGTGTCCTGTTTGGCACGATTCAGAGTTTCTTGAGTCGATAGGCGATGATAAGAAGATTGAACTATTGGAAGATCCGTACGTTCAACAGCTCAACAGTAAATCTTGCGCCAAACAGATTGTTCGTCAACTAGAGAAAGTAGACGAAGAAGATATTGAAGAAGATTTCGATACCGACCTAGAAATAGACGGTAAGGGAAAAACAGGAAAAACTTTTCATTGTCTATCGATTCTTCTATTTATGCTAAAAAAAATAGAAGAGAATTTTGGAAGAGAAACACCAATTCCTCTAGACGATAAACACATCGGAAGAACATTATATGTAGAGGCTTGCCAACAATTAAATTCGGCACCCAGTAAAAGAATTATAAGTTGTTTGAATAGCGAAGTATTGAATTTGGCGTTTAGAAGTTTAAATCTATCTGATGTAAAAGCATTATGTACCAGTTTAAAAGTAAGTTCATTGAAGTTTTACAGTAAAACAATAAAAGTATAAATCTTCCTCTCATCCCTTTTTAAATAAGGATAATACAAAAGTTGAAAAATTAAACCTAAGATCAAATGGTCTTAAAGGTGAATCTGTAATTTTAATAAGCGAAATGCTGAAAGCTAATGACGTAGTAACGGATTTTGTATGTAAATAAATATATACTTGTATAATGTATATTGCTTATATACAAATTAATAGGATTTTTCGTCTAACCTTACTGGATACGAAGGATCTTTTGCTCTATCCGATATGTTGGCAATTAATAATGGTATTACGGATTTAAATTTATCAGGTAATAACTATGCAAACTTAGCTATTAGCATATTGATAATCTACCGTATTATAGATTGTATATGAAATTGTATTATTCTAATCTGAGATTAGATCTATGTTAACTTTCCCTTAAAAAGAACCTTGTATAGGCTTAAATAGATGCTAATAAATTTTTCGTTGAATAATTACTTTGGGATTGGTTTAGCATACATCCAAAAGATTTCTTTTAAGGCCAAAAAAGTTGACCTTCTATATTCTAATCTTTCATTCATTTTTCGTCCCTTTCTTTTCCTATAGAGAATAAATTAACAGATCAAGATATTAACGTTCTAATGTTAGGTTTAGAGGTATAGTTATAATATCTATTTATCCTCTCTATACTAATTAATCGATAATTAATTAGATAAATAATAAAATCAAGCGTCTAAATTTATCAAAGAACAATTTCGGTGAAATTGGAGCCGAAAGAATTGGTGAAATGTTGTCCGAAAATAATTCAATAGAATATCTAAATGTTAGCTGGAATCAAATAAGAAGAAAGGCCGCTGTTTCTCTATTATCCAGCGTTAGAGTTTGTACATTTAATTCATTGTTTAATAGAAAACAAGCTAACTAAATGTCTATCTATTTATCTATTTACAAACTATTGAAAAATCAATACAGATGAGTTTGTATGTTAACAATTTGGATATTTCGTGGAATGGCTTAGGTTATGAAGGTAGCTTAGCTATAGGAGAATTATTAAAATTTAACAAATACCTAAGTCATTTGGATATTAGCAATAATCGGATTGATTGGAAGGGAGCTTTATTAATTGCAAAAGGCTTAAGGGAAAATGCAGCCCTGGAAACGTTAAAGGTGACAAAATGTTTACCTAATTTTTCTACGCTTGAGAGAAACTGTCTTCTCTCTCTCTCCCTCATGATAGGAAATACATTGTATGTTATATTCAATAGATGGGAAATAACCCATTGACGATGACCGGTTCCCTAGATATTATTGATAATGTCAAACAACCGTCCAGTGGAGTTCGTTTCTTATCTTTTGAGGTAAGATTATTGGAAAAAAAATAGGAAAAAGTGTTTGCCCTTTTGTGATTTTAAAAAATTTCTTGTTTGTCCTTTTTCCAGGGTATTCCAATTAGCAAAAAGATTCTTTATACTACTGAATTAATTGCTAGAACTAGAAAATTTCGTGTTGAGCACGGTGGAGTAATAGATAGCGAGGACATTCTAGGAAAACGCATCGGTAAACAGTATCTTTGCTTCTTTATCTTATTCGTAGCTAGATTTACTCTTTTCTCGGTTTAGTCACAAGAGGGGATCCCTTCAAGTTGTTGATACAATTCTTGAGCGAACGAGCTATTCGGCCTTATGATCTTTTCAAGACTTTTGATAAGGACATGGCTAATAGAGTTTCTAGGGATCATTTCATCATGGGGTTAAAGGTTAACTACTTCATTTTCCTCTAATAATTCTATTTCTCTTCATAACAATAGCTATTATAATTCAGAGGGCAAAAGTTCCGTTGGACGACAATGAAATGCAAAGAGTAATGAATAGGCTAGACACGTCGAGAGAAGGCAGTATTTCTTATCAGTAAGTCAAACCTACAGTCTATTAAGCTGATACATAATAAGGATATTTCCTCAGGCTAAACAAGTCGGTTTCTTTTCGTTTCAGGCGATTAATTAGCGGTGTTCGAGATCACTTAATAAAGGAACGAGAGTTTCATAAATATAAAATGGCGGAAGAGAAAAAATTAGCTGAGGAACATAGAAGAATCATGGCCATGAACTTATCAAGAATATCGGAATCGACCCCAAGAAGAGCCGGAACTGGACATTCTATGCTGGAGACGTCTCAAATTTCCTTTTTCACAAACTCCATTACCGTTGACCGTTCCAAGAAGAGTTTAATGTCTATATCAGCGGCTTTAGCTAGTGATACCCTAACAAAAAAAACAAAGGTTAGAAGGAAGAAGCGAGGTAAGAAAATCCAGAGAGAGAAAGAAGGAGAGTAAAGAGTTGTCATGCAATACCCATAGTATTAAACAAATGCTGAATAAAGAGATTTTCTTTAAATTTTTGCACAGAGATTCTGGGAAATTTGTATTTTTTGCACGAAAATTTACTGTAAAATAAAGAATTAAATAGATTAAAGATAATATAAAATGTAAAATTCTTTTTTTATGTCTTTTTGTTTTTTAAAAAAGAATACTGGAAACTCTGTTTTTCAATCAAAATTTTACGTAGTTTTCTTTGTCTTTTTTTAACAAACTGTTAATTTGCTTTCATTCTCATTTCTTAAATGCAGTGTATAAGCTGAGACAACTGGCTTTGGAGATATAACAGGCTTATCAGAGATTTCTTGAGTATTTTGATAGGTATGGGTTGCTGCTGTGGGTGATGGCACTGCCTTCTTAAAGTCAGGAGGTGGTGGTCTTACAGGAGGAATGTTGGGCAATTGCTTATTGGAAGATCTCCTCATAACGGGATTACTAATTGTTTTACCCCTGAAAGAGTTGGCAGTATTCGGGGTCCACTGCCTGGGTGATTTCCTCCTCCAAGAATTAAGAAAGGGAATATTTCTTTGAACTTTATCAAAGTATACCCTATTTACAGCAAAGAAAATCCCTACACCCATAAAAACTAGGAAAAGTATTATGACTATTACAACAACAATAATAGTAGTTTTCCTATCATTGGTCGATTCTTCGTCGTAGGCGTATAGCGAATTGCTATGTAAACTACCGCCGCCTCCGTGCTTGTTACAAAGAGGCGGTGCAAATCCCTTATCACAATGGCACTGGTTCAAATTATTGCAAACACCCTTTCCACTACAGTTTCCACATGACGAGGCTACAAGAGAGGCGTTGACGCACTTATCATCAACACAGACTCGTCCATTACCGCAAGAAGTTCCGATCTGCACTAATGCCGGATCTCTGGCTTGTCTGCCGACATCATATAGTTGTAGAGAACAGAACTTGCCGTTATGTCTATATTTAAAATTCCTTCTTCTATATGTATCAGTTAGAAATAGAGAGCTCTCTTGATTATGAAGACACATAAGCGGCGAACAACGATAATTTTCTTTATTACAAATCTCATATTTCTTTGTAGCGTAATCGAATTTACCGCACAATTCCTTCCCTATCCTTATAGTAGCATAGCATTGTGGGTCACTTGTAGAGCCTCTCCACATTGCCTTACATTGAGCGTTCAAATCAGGAACGCACTCTCCTAAATGGCAAAAACTACTATTCTCTGCACAAGGATATCCAGTTGTCTTGAAGGCGTCCTCTGGGCAAAATTGAGATTTTCCCGAGCAAGCTTCAGGTAGATCGCATTCTCCTGTACTATCTCGGCAAATTGTACTAACTTTACGAAATTTGCAGTCTGAGCAGCATTCTCCATTGTAGCATTGAGAGCCAGCCGTTAAAGTGCAGTTAGATGCGTGACAGCACTTACTAAGGCATTCTTCTTCCGTACCGCAATCACATTCTTCGCCATCCTCTAAAATTCTATTACCGCATTTGGGATTTATTGCATTTACTTTTGGGAGGTTATGCAGACAGATATCAAAGCGTCTAAAATAGGCATTTTCAAGTTCCTCTCTCGAGCACTTTGACCATTTAGCGCTATCGATTGAATCTGATCTGTGGGGGAGAAAAAGAGAAATTGTGCACGTAAGTTGCTTTATGTTCCTTTTAATCTATACGATATTTGTATATGTAAAGAGCGCATTTATGCGTTATATTAGGTATATACATTTGTATGTTTAGATATATATATATACAGTATACTGTTATATGCTGTTATAAACAAGGAGAAAAATGGCCTACGAGTCTGCTTTAGCCGCCATAATAGATTTGCTGGTTTTGCACTGTTCGTTATCTTCATCATGCTCCATTCCAAAATTGTGACCTATTTCGTGAGCTATTGTCAAGGCCGTTTGATGGTGATCTCCCCAGTAAGCAATGCCTCCGGAATTGCTATCCGAACATATAGTATTCTTGGTAGCTCGTCCGACAACGTTATTAGCAAAAGCTTTATCGCTAAAGGATAGAGAAAAAGAATGAAAGCCTCGACAAAAGACATTGTATAAAATCATTATGAAAGAGACGTTTACGTTAAAAAGTATCCCATATCGTTGTAATGTTTCTTATTAAGACTTTTCCGGTAGGATAAGTAGTTTTTAAGCGTTTTAGCTGAATCGGACAGAACATTAATTTCGTACTTGTTCCAAACTTCGTAACCGGTTAGAACAATGAATATATCAATGCCGGTAAATAATTTATTAATATTCATCATAAGAATTGATAAATCTCTATCTAACTTTTCTTTATCAAATATCGAGTTTTTCGTATATTTGTTCCTCTGCAAAAAAAAAAGAAGAAGGATTAAGAAGTTTTTTATTTTTGTTGAAAGTAGCTGAAAAGTAGGTTAAGTATTTGCTTTTATGTAAAATAATTACAATCTTGTAATGAAGAGAGAGGAAGAGTTCTATATATCTTGTTTTCTTGTGTGTTCCATACGGTCGACTCTGTAAGATGCTACGCTTGAGTCTTTTCATGTTAATTTCATCACGATTTCCACTCGGTGATTTTGGATGATTGCCACAAATTGGTTCATATTTTAAATCGGATTTCCTATAAACAATATGTTCATTCTTTTCGTTATCCAATGGAATTAATGAATAAGTGTTAGTTTTATCTAATATAAAGGCATGTATCGTTCCGGAGCAGAAAGAAACGGTTGCCATAGAAACTTGGGATTTCGATTCGTAATGATCACAGTGCTCTGGAAGATTTTGTGTGAGGTTGACTCGTGACATGATTAGATCTATTACGAATGAGCTGTTGAAGGCATTGAACTGTAATCGTGCCTGAAACGAAAGAAATTATTCATGAAAAAAAAACAAGAAGCTGATAGGAGCGAAACAAAAAGACCTAAGATATTAAGGCCTTAACGGTTAACGTGTATAAAGTTGGGGTTAAATTGAAATACTCCTATTTTATGTAATTAGTAAGTCAAGAGAAGCTCTTACTTACTTCCTGGGCAGACGATTTTTCAACAAAAGGGTGAACCAGTTCGAAAGTTTTATAGTCTCCGTGGTAATATGGAAAGTCCCCTATTGAATAAATTATGAAAGAATAGAAATAACATACAAAAAAAAGAACAAGTTAAAAAAAATCACTACTATTAATCAGTTAAATAATCGTAAAGATTGCCTTTTTCAGTGAGTTCTTCCATTACTATGTTTGGTGAGTCATTTGTAATTGTTACAAATAAACATTCTGTTAAATACTGACTGTAGCTATAATAGTTTATACATTTACGTAGGTATAAATACAATGTAAAAAAGAAGATAAAACTATTTTATTGATAAACAACCAATTAAGATTAATTACTTTAAGTAAATTATTACCTCTGGTGCTAGCCGATATTTCCAGAATAGTAGAAACAACGAGGAGGAAGAGTTTAAAAGAAGACAACATCTTGTTTGGGTTCTTCGTAATAGAACGATCAACATAAAATGAGTTAATTGAATCCTCTTCTTTTTTTTAACAAGACTCAAGATAAAATACTCGCATTATCGCTCTATAAATTAGAGAAATTATTTGATAGTTTTTTTCTTTATTTAATAGAATTGGATCTGTTTACGCTATACCAATATATCTCCAAATGCGCGACAAGACTAAATTACCTTGACCTTTTTACAAACTTTGACACGCTAGGTTTCCCGTTCCAATTCAATTTAGAAAAATATATTCTCTTGTAATTGAACACATAGCCATACATTTTTAGGTACGACAACAGATGTCACCACAGTAAAAAAATATTCTCTTACTTACATATTTGTAGAATTGAGAGCATATTTTTCAAAGAAAATCAGAAGAGAACTAAAGAAACTTAATTAAATCATGAATTTATTAATCCGTAATCGAATTCTTGGTTACATGCTTTATAGTAGCCTTAAGTTGCCTTTATTATTTAATATAATAGTAGATAGTTTCGCAATCAAAAAGTCTTTTCAATTTATTTATGTTTTCTTGTATTAAATTTCACAATAGACTAAAAAAATTACTTTTTCCGTTCCAAAGATACTTTTGAATTTATTATAAAGCACGTATATAGGCCTATAGAAAGTATTATAGAATATTATTCTCTCTTTATTTCTCATCACTTCCACACTATGCCTCAATCTACCTTCTTCCTACTTATTCTATATAGGTTTTTTTTTTAACTAAACAGTGCAAAAGCTTTCCCTAATTGCTTAAAAACAAAGAAAAAATTTACTTAAAAGCAAAATGAAAGCAAAACGAATTTAATTAATCGAAAAAAGAGTCTCGAGAGGAGAAAGGGCGAGAAGAGAGAAAGAGAGGGAGTCTGTGCGTGTGGAAGGGACATAAAAAGAAGGACGGGAAGAGGAAACAAAGAAGAACAATTTACTCTCTATTCCCTATTGTTTACACATAGTAAAATAATATTTAAAAATTATGTACTTGTCTTCATATACAGTATTTCTCCTAATTGCAAATTCTAATTATCGAATTGAAAACGTGCCTAATGAATTCAGGAGTTATCTAGGTTATATAATTTAGTTTTTCGCTTGCATTAATTCCTTTCAAACTGAAGAAAGATGGAAAAATAAAATATTGTATCGCTTAAAATCGTGAGAAAGAAAGATAAGTGATAAGGAGAGAAGACTGTAGACTATTGCTATTTATAATAAAATGAAGATTGTACCGTCTTTTTTTCAGGGTTTGCTTGACACTAGTAAATTAATTGACAACCTTGTCGAGATTTCTTTTCTCTCTCTCTCTCTCTCTCTCTCTCATCAATTTATACATTATATATACTGTTTATATATATATACATATATAACATTCTATCAAATAAATACAATATATTATTAATAAAAGAATATTTTCTTGAATAATTTCATTCTTTTCTACTTAATTTAATTAATTAATAATTAACCTCATTTCGTGTTCTTTATCTTTTTTAAATTGATTATGTTATCTTTTAATTCAATAAAATTATATTTTTCTAAGTTTTAACCTATTTTTTTATATTATATTTTCTTATTCTTTATGTTATTTATAATAATCTTGAAGGAGACTACGTCAATATCTAGAAAAAACTTAGGATTTTAAATGTATTAGGCCTAGATATTAATCAATATATATACTGTATATATTTATATAAATTTATCTATAATGTATATTAAAATAGTTTTTTTATGAATAAATTGGGTTTTATTAGTATTCCCTTCGAAGCGTGTAGATGTCGTTAGTGATTAGTGTTCAAGCGATACTACGCCATGTAAATTCCAACTTTATTCTTCAAAATCTACAAACTATATATATACAGTATATATATATATATACGGTCTATATTGCGTAATATGTTTATAATTGTTACATCTATAATTTGTAACATCCAGAAAGTATATCATTCTCCTAGAAACCAGACAAGTAAACCTATAATAATCCGGATATGTCATTAAAAATTAAGAAGACAAAAAAAAAGAATAAACTTCTCTATAAAAGATATGAAAGAAAACGGAACTTGAAGATATTAAAAAAAAGAATTAAAGAGCAAGTAAATAGTTCGCAAAAAGATTCCTTGCGGTCGATAAAACCTAGAATGTGTTCAACTCGAGTTTTTATGGATGTGGTATAGATATAAAAAGTTCTTTTTAGTGTTGTTCCGAATGATAAGTGGTATAGAAAAAAAGCAAGAGAGAGAGAGAGAGAGAGAGAGAGAGATTATAGATCATTATATATTATATTACTCTTTAAAAAAATGAATCAGCTAATATTTCAATTGTTGAAAAAAATTGGTGCCTGTACCTAAAAAAAAACTAGATTTGCTTTGTGTATTAGGCAAACAGTCAATAGAATTTTATGCCTAAACTGAATTAGAATGAATATGCATATGTATGATTCGGAATATGTGGGTGAGAGCTGTATACTAGGCATAGAAAAGAGACAGACAGACAGACAGACCTGTTATAAGGGGAAAAGGAGAATCCATATTGAAAGAATAGCATTGAATCATTTGTTCAGGTTACACGCTCCTTCTGCCCCTGTCTCTCTCTCTCTCTCTGTGTCTCACTCTTCATTCAACGGCAGCTCGCCAATAGATTCACAACTTAACTAAAAAGTTTTCTCTGTACTTTTATTTTAACTTAAAAGAAAAAGAAAAGGTAAGGAAGTTACATTGGACTAAATAGATAATTGTTAATAATTAATTAACATAATAATTAATTAATGTTTCATTTATAGTTGTAAAAATATATATTAATTAATAAAAACCGTTCTGTTTCTTCTTATTTATCTTACCATCTTCTCTTTTCTTTTCACTTTTTATTGCTCTTTTTTCATCTTTTAAATGAGAAAAATGATATATAGGCTTTAACTTCTTTACTTTTCTTACACGTAATAGAATAAATGAGAGTATTTGGTTTTATTTGAAAGTAAATATTTTACTTTTTGAACGTGTTTGTGCATTTTTAATGAATATTTATCAAACAACTATAAGATTAATATTATGCATATTATATTCCATTTTTTATTAAAATAAAGATGGCCGGCTTATCTGACGAAACACTAACAGAAATCTTTGGTAATTTGGATAAAGATAACAGCGGAAAATTGGAAAAATCCGAAATAAGAAGTCTTGTTGAGAAAGTTGTTTCTGCCCACGGCAGTCAACTCGAAACTGAGGAACAGAGAGCAAAAGAAGTTGAAGTAAGTTGTATATTAATCGCTTGAATTCGTCTACTATTCTCCCCCACTCCCCCCTTCCCTCGTCTAGCTCCCTCCTCTTCTTTCACGTACAATTGATTATTTCTATATTCTTCCGTCCTTTCAAATATTTTCTATTCATGTTTTTTTTCAATTCATTACAGTTTCTAATGGCTAAATTCGATATTAGCGGCGATGGAACTATTACTGTTCAAGAGTTTATCGAAGCTTACAGACAAGCCAAACGATAAGAATTTATTCATTCATTTTTGAATATTAATGAATATGCATGAATAAAGAAAAATGATTGATTTAAAAAACAAATACAAAACTTTATAAAAAAAAAAGAATTAATTAGTTGTGTTGAAATTTTGCGGTCGAATTCTGATTAAAGCCTATAATACATATTATGCTAATATATTCAGTTAAGAAATACTGTATACTTTACTCGCTGTATACTAAATACTTTGCTTAAGTAGGTTTTCCATCCTACTATCCTCTTTATCAATTTTACTGTCAACTTACACACGCATATATTCTTTTTTTTTGGCACTACTTTAAACCGGAAATAGGAAGTTTTTTGCCCAAAAAAAAAAACTAAAATTGTTGAAATTATTAAAAGTTTTTTGGCTATGATTAAGACAATTTTACAAGTATTCCAATTATTTTTACGATGCGATAAGTACAATAATAGGCCATTTAATAGTTATAACAATAGAGAGGAAAAAACCCCTAAACATAAAAAATATGGTCTCTCCCATTCTCATTCTCTGTATGACTCTTACTTTTTTACTAACCTGTGGAAAATTTTCATTTTCGCCAAATTCTTGGAATAGTTTTTGGTATTTTCATGTGGTTTTTTATTTCAAAGTTTATTCTCTCTCTAAAATTCAAATAGAATAGGATAATATGAAATATAAATAGTATTTACTCAATTGAGATAGGAATGTTGATATTTACTTAGAGATGCTTTTTAAAGATTGTAGTAGTTGACTAACAAAGTCTTTTTTATTTGATAAATTAATTAAAGAAAAGCTTGACTAAAAGCTTCCTATTTTAAAATGATATTATAGAGTTATATAGTTAAATATTGCTATTTTTCGTCAATTATACAGGGATGGTTGAAAAAAAATCAAAGAAAATAGAGCGTACTTCTTTTTTTAAATGTGGCGCCTGTTTAAAATGTGGTTCCCATCTTATTAAACTTGCAATGTCCATTGTACGTGGATTGAGTGCGGAGCTCTGGAAAATGGTAGCGCCCAGTGCAACTTGAAGTTTTAAAATAGTTTACATTTTTAATGCTTGGCAACGATCGGAGGATATCTAACATTACCTAATATGTTAGGAACAATATGCACTTTTGCTATAGTCTTAACGACAGCATTGTCGTTTGATCCGTTTATGGATAATGGCATGTTTGATATGGTTTGGCTAGAATCTAAAAATGATTATAAAGAAGATCCATCTGTTTGTAGATATTTATATAGAAAATATTTGATTTAACATTGAAATATTATCAGATGTCAACCGATTCGATCGTTCTGAAAACAAGAGATCAAGAACAGTACAAGTGTTTCCTACCAGAGGCAGATAACGCTCAAGATAAAGTTTGTATTAATATTATTATAAACAATTTTCCACCGTATAATTAAATATTAGAAAATTAATCGTAAATAAATAAACGTTTTAAGGATGACAAAGTACCGTATAAAGGATTATCAGAATTGGAACTATTGAAACCTTTGTTCGATACATCTCAATGTTCTTATAGGGTAAGACAGAATCATCAAAGTAACTCGTTTATGCTTGCTTCTGTAATATTAATAAAATAATTAATATCTAGTGGGAATCCTATTGGGCTTATGAATTATGCCATGGACGCTTTTTAAGACAATATCACGAAGACAAAGAGCCGGGAAAGGTATAAAGATAACAATAGATGCTCTGTTATTAAGTATATCATCTCCATAGAAACCGAAAGTTCAAGAATATTTTCTAGGTTATTACGGTAAAAATTCACCGGACAAAAAGGCTGAAGAAATAGAAAAAGCAAAAGAGAAACAAGTTGATGAATCAGTAGAAAAGAAATTAACAATAGCTCAATTAAAGAAATTACTCAAAAAGAAGAAATTAGACGATGACCATATTCTTCCATATTTTAGGGTTAATTACACTTCCGGTACAAATTGCGATGTAACAAATGATCCAAGAATAGCCAATATTTTATACGTTTGTCATAAGAATGCTAGAGCTGAGGTAAAATGAAATTAATAAAATCAATGATTTTAATTAATTATATGTCTTTCAAAGCTATTCGAAATAAAAGAAGTTTCCAGCTGCGAGTACGAAGCTGTTGTATTAACAGAATTATTGTGTTCTCATCCAGCTTATGTAACAATACCGAAGCGTTCGCAAAAAATTCGCTGTCTGCCACTAAATAATTCTCCAACAAAGTAGCTATTCTACAATTATAAATTTAGTATATTAATAATTATTTATTAATATAGGCCTAAATCATTGGCAGAATTGGAATTAAGAAGGATAAAATTTAATTCCGTAAGTAAAAATTAATTAGATATTCCTATATTCTATTACTATTGTTATTATTATTATTACTGAATAAATATAGTATACAGTATATTGTATTACTAATATTTATGTAAAGTGTACTATAATATATGCATATAATAGGAACCGATCGAAGATCTTTTCGATCAAGTAATTAATTCTGGGAAGGTAAATGAAAATAAAGTAAATTTTTCATTGATTATTCAATTCCTTTCATTTTAAACGCCTCAATAATTATTTAATTGATGAGAGAGATACCTATATGATTATCATTTTTATTATATTATTCATTTTATATTTGTATCTATCCTCTTAGGCTCATGTAAAGTTTGAAAATCGTAAAGACTCCAGTATTGATGACGAAGAAGATTTAGGCAATGATATTGCTCAGGAACACCTTCATATTAATTCACCAAAAGAGCCAATGGCTCAAAAGCAATTACCCGATCCTAAAAGTCGTCCTAAGCAGCCTCGTTTGTTGCCACATGTCAGAGAAAAAATGATAAGGGATATTATTAACGGAGAAAGTTGCATTGATGGAGGCTCTGGTTGGTGGAAACACGAATTCTGTTTGCAAAAACAAGTTCAACAGTATCACGAAGTAAAATTTTCATTAAATATTGTAAAGATTATTTGAATTAATATATTCTTTCTATAGGATAAAAATGGTAAAAAAACTTATATAAAACTCGGAGAATGGAATGAAAAATACCAGAAATTATATATGCAGAAGAATCAGCAGAAGAGACCGTCGTCGCAAAAAGAATCGAGAAAATCAATTACACAGTATTATGGCAATGGAGATGTTTGTGAGGAGACAAAAAGGCATCGTCATGTGGAAGTTAAACTTAAGTAAGTTACATAAGAAAAAATCCATTAAAATTTATTATCAATTTCATTGTTTCTCTTAAAAAGGTGTGCAGAAAAGGCTTCGTCAGCTCACAGTATTTCAATTTATATATTAGAACCTAGAACATGCGAATATCTCTTAACTGTAAGCTACTCTTCATTCTCCTTTTATATTTATTAATTTTTATAAATATACTAACAAATGATCTACGTGTATTTATAACAAACTTATTGCTATATTATATAGGTTGAATCAGAGCTTATCTGTTCAATATTGGAAAAAGCCGACGAAGACGGTATTATTCCCCTGCAGACTTCTTCTACGTCACCTCCATGAGACTTTCGTTTCTTTCATGTTGCTTTTGAAAGAAATTAATTACAAACTGTGATTTAAATATTGTTTCTTTTTGGGTTTGGAATACTTTTTCGTGCGTTATCAGGAAATATTAATAAAATGATTATTATTATTATTATTATTATTATCATTATCATTATTGTATACTAACAAAATTTTTTAATAAATCATAATGATAAATAGTAATAATAAAAAGATAAATCTACCAAATGCTATTTACTTCATAGTTAACAACGAATAGAAAGACTCGTTCATTTCTTTTCAATATATTTGAGCTTAAAATCGTTTGTTATAGTTGAAAGTATTGTTAGATAAAAATTGTATACAGTTGTTTATTTTTATGAAAACATAACTGATGATCAGAGTTATGAGATGCAGCCCCAATTGAATAATAGATAAAAACCTGTTTTTTACCTATAAAATGAATATAAATAAATAAAAAAAGAAAGCTTTTCACTCTATATATATATATATATATATATATATATATATATATATATATATATATATATAAATTTTTATATGTAATATATGTATAAATTTATATAAACAATAAATACATTTTTTACTCTTTGTTTTTCAGCCTTAACTGTACAGATTGTTGATTTTTTTTCAAGATTTTTAAGGATAAAAACACTTTAGATAAATCATTGCAGATTTACTATATATAAAAAAAAGATTTTTATGAAATAAACATTTTAAAACGTAAAAATTGGTAAAATCAACAACTTTTACGAAATTATAAAAAATAAGATGGAAGAAAATTCAATTGTCATAGAAAAAATTAGTCTGTACAAATTAGTGTTATGGCGTTTGTAGATTCGAATTTTGTACCGTCATTTGACACTACATTCCAATTGTTCACATCTATAGGCGAAACAGCTTTTTCATCCGAAGTTATGATTGCTGAAAAACTGCCTAATGTAGGACCCATTAGCCATTTTCCGCAAGCACTATTATCCCAAGCGTAATACAAAAACAAACTTTCCTCCTTATTTTCATAATAGGGTCTGCTATGCCTATCATTTACATATTCAAAATATCCCGATATTTCATACTGAACATCGGTTGACACAATCGTTATATTTTTGCAAGAAGAACCTGTTGTAATATCAGTGTATAGACTTTATGTGATATGATATTTGAAAAACTTTCTTACTTGCACAAGTGATTCCTAAAGTTGTTGACATGTCTTCCATAGTACTTGTTGTGGCAGCATCAGTTGTTCCAGCACTTTGTGTACTACCCATTGAACCTTCTGTGACAGTTTCAGTAGTTCCAGCACTTTGTGTACTACCCATGGAACCTTCTGAAACGGCTTCAGTTGTTCCAGCACTTTGTGTACTACCCATGGAACCTTCTGAAACGGCTTCAGTTGTTCCAGCACTTTGTGTACTACCCATTGAACCTTCTGAAACGGCTTCAGTCGTTCCAGCACTTTCAGTACTACCCATGGAACCTTCTGTAACAGCTTCAGTAGTTCCAGCACTTTGTGTACTACCCATGGAACCTTCTGAAACGGCTTCAGTAGTTCCAGCACTTTCAGTACTACCCATGGAACCTTCTGTAACAGCTTCAGTAGTTCCAGCACTTTCAGTACTACCCATGGAACCTTTTGAAATGGCTTCAGTAGTTCCAGCACTTTCAGTGCTACCCATGGAGCCTGATGTAACGGCTTCAGTCGTTCCTGTTCCATCGTCAGTTGTTTGTCCTGTTGTTGCTTTATCGGCAGCTATGGTAGGAAGAGAAGGCTGAAATTGTCAAAAATTTTTATTAAAATGAAACATGAAAACCCTGATGTAAGTAAGTGAGTAGCAGTTAGGAAAAGCAACTATTTATATTTGGCAGAAAAGGTATTGCTAATCTTTATTAATATTTCTCTAGCTTTTGTAAACCCGGAGGCAAATTATAAAAATTCGTAAGTTGAAAAAATTATGCAGCCACACCATATTAATATATCATGATATATCTGAGGCGACACCACCATACAACTGAATACCAAGTTAGAGTATGGAATGTATCTGATGTCCCTTCTTTAGAACTTGTACTTACGGTGGTGCCTAACGATCCAGTACTCATATCTGATGTGCTTGTAATATCTACAGTTGAAGTGTCTAACGCTGATGTTGACTCTACCCCCGTTGTACTATCTCCTTCAGTGGTGAACTGTGAACTACTACCCATTGATACAGTTGATTGTCCTTCAGTGGTTCCTGTTCCGAGGTCAGTTGATGCTCCGTCAGTAGAAGCCTCCGATGCTAAATCTGTAGTCGTTTGCTCTTCAGTTGTTCCTGTTTTCGAACTACCCCCTAAGGTGGTCATCATTGCCGATGTAGTCTCATCTGAAGTTGTCGATTCAGCACCCACAGTGCTACCTGTATTTGTTTGTTCAGTACTAGACGTTTCTAAAGTAGTTACTTGTGTTTCTACAGCTGTAGTTATTTGTGTAATATTATTATCTAATGTTGTAAAATTGGCTTCTTGTATAGTTGTACTTCCAGTTGGGAATGGCATAGTTGATATTGTTTGTGATACTGAAGTATTTACTGTGTAAATACTCTCTGTGGTTGTGTCAGTAATCGTTTCAATACCTTCAGTGGTACCCATACTTGTAGTTGTCTGACCTAAAGTAGTGCTGTTTGCGTGAGGATCGGTTGTTTGCTCTGTTGATATTTGTGTATCTGTCGTTGAAATTGTTTCTGAAATAGCAGTATTACCTAGAGAAACTGTTTGGGAATCTGAAGTGTTATCTGTAGATGATGTTGTGGTTTGTTCACTTATCAATGGATCTTTTGTAGTTTGTGTTAGTAAAGTACTAGTTGTTTGATCTTCGGATGTATTTTCTGTCTCTGTTGTTTGTTGAAATGTGGTGCTTGCACTATCTAAACTAGTCAACTGTCCACTGCTTGTTTCTGGAGCAGTTGTCTGACCTAGTGTTTCATCTGTATTTAAACTAGTCAACGGCAAAGAGCTTGTTTCAAAAATTGATGTACTGCTATCTAATTCAGTCGTTATCAGTTGGTCGGATGTTTGAATACCTGTGATTTGACTACTTGTTCTTTCTGGTGTAGTTTGTGTTAATGTTGTCAGACCTAGAGTAGTGGTTTGAGAGCCGGATGTGCTATCTGTTTCTGAATATGTTGTCGAGCCTATTGTTGTTTGTTCAATAGTTGTACTACCTGAATGAATATATGTTAACAGAAAACTTTTTCGACAATTCATGAGCTACCTGTTTCCTGGGATGTGGTTTGTCCAGATGTTGTTAAGCTAATGGTTGTGCTTGGTATATTTTGGGTGGTTGTTTGCTGTGTTGTTTGATCAATTGTAGTGCTGAATATCTCGTCAGTTGTCAGACCAAGAGTGGTCTGCTCAAATGTACTATCAGAAATGCTAGTTGTTTGCATTGTAGTTGACTGGATGTTTGATGTACTATCGATTGCAACAGTTGTTGTTTCAGCTAATGTTGTTTGTTTGGCAGTTGTACTGTCTGTTGGTGTGGATGTTGTTCGCATTGAACTAGTCTCAATAGTAGTGGAAATGGCTGGCTCAGTTGTCATTTCACTAGTGCTCTCTGCACTTGTGCTGATTAATTGCTCTGTGGTAGTCTGTTCTATAGTTATACTATCTGTGTCTACAGATGTAGTTGTTCCGATGCTTGTTGAACTACCTGAATCAGAGGTTGTTTCCATTCCTGTCGTACTGTCTGGTGCGCTTGTTGTTTCCATTCCTGTCGTGCTATCTAGTTCACTTGTCGTTTCCATGCCTGTGGTACTATCTAATCCACTTGTTGTTTCCATTCCTGTCGTACTGTCTGGTGCGCTTGTTGTTTCCATTCCTGTCGTGCTATCTAGTTCACTTGTCGTTTCCATGCCTGTGGTACTATCTAATCCACTTGTTGTTTCCATACCTGTGGTACTATCTAGTCCACTAGTTGTTTCCATATCTGTTGTACTATCTGGTACGCTTGTTGTTTCTATTCCTGTTGTACTATCTGGTGCACTGGTTGTTTCTATTACTGTTGTACTATCTATCATACTAGTTGTTTCCATGTTTGTGGTACTATCTAACTCACTTGTTGTTTCCATACTTGTCGTACTATCTACTCCACTAGTTGTTTCTACGCTAGTTGACAATTGTTCGGTTGTACTAAGCATAGCTGTACTACTCATATCAGTTGAAGTATCTAAACTTGTAGTTTTTTTAGTGGTGACCGGAGTTGTTGTTTGGATTGGAGCTGTTGTTCCTTTTGTAGTGGATTGCACTGGTAAAGGTGGTAGAGTTGGCTGAAAGTTATTGCATCAAAAACGACCGATTATTTTAAAGAGTCCAATCACAATCCGTACAACATCTAAACTTAGTTAAATCCATGCGCCCATTTTTTTTAAAAGCTCGCTAGACGTTAACATTAGATAAGAGGAGCAGGCAGCGTCGCTTTTAAATTGATTATATTATTAAGAAGTTTTTAACAAGTCCAATATCACTAATTTGTTGAGATTGGCCAATAAAGTCATAGTATAGTATTTTTAAGCTTTTGTACTTGTATATCTTTTGTTTTTTTGTGTTATTATTAGAGTAATTTTTATCTGATTTTATTTTAAAAGAGAAATTTCAATAAAGGGAAGAAAGTTTATGTTTTTCATTATAGCTAAAGCAACCATTGCAAGCTATTAATTAATATCATTGTTACTTAATCTATTCTATATTAACTCTTAAAGCAAGTAAATTAAATGAATTCCCGGCCATAGACATATAAATTAATATTTAAGGAAAGTGATAGTGATGTCACATATCTGACTACTTATTCCTTAAATATTTTATATAACCTATAATTCTTTATAAAAAAGTAGGTACTTACCAAAGTTACGTCAAATTGTATTGTTTCATTTTCATGGTTATAACATTGCCCAATGGGGTAAGCGTATGTACACGATTCTTCAGAATCCACATCGTAGTATGTTCCTAACAACAAAGCTCCAAAATTCGTGTTGGTAGTAGATTCAAGAGTATGAGCTTCAGGTGTTAATTCTATAGTGTTAAATGAATAATCATATTCTCCTTCGGAATCATCTATCTTTGTCCATGTATCCATATAGCTTGGTGTCTAAAATATTTTCGAATCAAATGTTGAGCTAATTGAATTCAGCAATTAGATTTACCGTTCCATCCAATCTTATAGAACTTATCTGATTTGTAGGTATCCAAATTGTAGCATAGGATTTGAAGTGTTCATGCAAGTGAGGTGAAAATACATATTTTGATCGATATTGTCTAACTGGTGGCAAAATACTAAAAGCTGGGTCCAATCTAAAAAAGCAAAAAAAGAGGAATATACAGTATACGTTCTTTATAAGGTATACTAAATATTCTACAAAAAAAAGTAGTATTTTTTACCCATGTTCTTCATCCAAATCGAAACTTCCAGATTGATAAAATACACCTCCAAGACTAATGTCACTTGCTCTAATGATTGTGCCAGTGCCTATGGGTACTTTTAAACTTTCTATATTTTGATCTGTTCTACCACCAGCTCGTTCAACGAGAATTGACTCTTTTCCAGTGATGTTTACCCATGTATTGTTATACTCAACCAAGAATTTGAGAATAGGACTTGCCGTAACCGGTTTTGGAACTATACGGAAAACAGAGTCATTATATATTAATATATCTATATATCCATTTAGGATGTTGAAGCAATTATTACCTGCGTAGATGAAGACTTCACCCCAAGCTTCTTGTGGTGGAATTTGTTCTACTAAATGTCCAAAATAGTCAAAAGTATTGCCGACCAAAACATCATCGTTCCCGCTGAAGACGGCAAATTTCTTTTCAGAGAACATTCTTGTTCCTGATAAATCACTTGAAGACATTATTCTAGCTGTTTGAAATTTATTCAATTGCAAGGTCTTATCCAGCACGGTTTTATCACTAATTAACGTTCCGTCAATTGTTAATTCGATACCAGTTTCATTTTGAAATTCGAGGAAAATTAATGTGTTATCTTCAATTGCAGCTATTCCTATTTCAAATCTACCATCACCGTCAGGCCACCAGCCGAAAGCCATATAACTATTAATTTTAGAATCATTGTTACGTTAATATGTGATGTTATTAATGATTTAAATATAACTTACAAGTTGCCTAACGCTGAAGCTGGAATGGCTTGAAAACCTTCACAGTTTCTATCGGCAAAATTCAAACCAAAGACCATATAATTATCTACTGACGTAGTTGTTCCTTGTACGATAACAGCCTTGTTGTCCGTAACATGATCTATCAAAAGAGAGGATTTTGGCAAATTAAGAATAAGTTCTGAAATAAAGAATAGTTTCAGCTCACCTAATGATTCGTCAACGTCCCCTCTTATATTTTCATCAATTGTTATATTGCTAGAGAACGTATTAGATACAATCACATCTTTATTAATTTGTGTATTCAAAAGTGGAGAATTAGCGATTTGAACGCGCTGCAAGCTTGATTTAAAATTGACAACAGTTAACTCTTGCCCCGCTAGTTCAACTGGAGAGGTTTGTGACCCCATACTATTAAACATTATCACATATTCTCTTCCTCCATTCTTTTTAATGCATTCTAGTAAATAAAAAAATATAAAGAGCGTTATGAAAGCGTAGTTGATTATGTAAAAAGAAAACAAACCTTCCTGGTCTGCCCGATGTACAATGCTAAACAGAATTAACAATTTTATAAATAAGATATTCATAATTGCACTATTCCTATGGCTATATTGAAGCAACGTTTGATATAGAACGATGATTTTCCGAGTTCATCAAGTCTGTGCAAGAAGACAAATCTTTTTAAGTAACTGTTCAAATTGGAATATAAGCCATTAATACTATGGTATATATTTAATAAACCAAAATTAAATTTATATACAAATGACCTACCTTTCTTCAAGAAAATGTTTCAAATTTTTTCTCCCCAGTTTATTTTATCCTATTTTTGAGTTTTATCCGTAATTATGTTACTAGGGAGCCGTCTAAAAACCCATATAACTTTAATAATCTTTCATTACTCAACTATCAGGGCGGGGTGAACCGGGCAGGCGACAGGCGTATTGTAGATATTTTCAATACTCTATTTCAAAACGAATAGATTGAACCGCGCCATTCAATATGAAAGGCCCTGAGTCATACAATAAGTTTTAGTTAGTAGAATTGATTAAATGCAAGTCTTTCATGTCAGTTCTTTCATATTCATTCTTTAAGAATGTTGTGAGGTGACAAATATAAGGATAGAGTAAGGGAGGGGGCGGTATACATAGGTTTATCTATAGGTCTTTTCATTTTGAGAAATTTTTAACAACTAACATCGTCAACTGAATGTATAATAGTTTGTGAAAATTACTCTATCATTTTAAAAGTTTAGCCTACTCGTCTCAAGTCCATATTTAACAATTTCCTCAAACATAACCTTGGAAAACTTTTTCTTTTCAACACCATATTTTTATTTATAAAATGATTGAGTGAATTTTTCTATAACGAACAAACTTTGGCTAGTATGTAAATGTATCCGTAATAGATTTCTATAGAAGAGGCTATAGATAGACTTGCCTTTTTTTAATAGTAGAATAGTTGAACTATGCGGAACAAGCTCGATAATTCTAAAATAATTAGAGGCGAGATTTCAAAAACCTAATCGCCTTATCCAAGACTTAAACAAACTTAAACGAAGGCGCTCTTTTCAAGTAGAATGCTAGTATAAATAGTCCGCTCTTTACATATTACGTAAGAAAAAAAAAGGATAGTTATACACTTAAGCTAAATTTGTATAAACTCGTAATGCGGCAAATATAGGGAAGAAAGAAGTATAAAACCAATCCTTGAAAGGCAATAAGATAGAAGTGCAAAAGGACATTATATGGCAAGCAAGTAGTCATTTTTCCTAATATTATGAAGAAGTTTATTTCTGGTATTAACTAAATTGCATTGAATACTCTTGTTTAATCAGTTAATAATTTTATAAATAGGATATTCATAATTGCAGTTGACAGTTGTCCGGTTGTACTAAGCATAGCTGTACTACTCATATCAGTTGAAGTATCTAAATCTGTAGTTATTTTAGTGGTGACCAGAGTTGTTGTCTGGATTGGAGCTGTTGTTCCTTTTGTAGTGGATTGCACTGGTAAAGGTGGTAGAGTTGGCTGAAAGTTATTGCATCAAAAACGACCGATTATTTTAAAGAGTCCAATCACAATCCGTACAACATCTAAACTTAGTTAAATCCATGCGCCCATTTTTTTTAAAAGCTCGCTAGACGTTAACATTAGATAAGAGGAGCAGGCAGCGTCGCTTTTAAATTGATTATATTATTAAGAAGTTTTTAACAAGTCCAATATCACTAATTTGTTGAGATTGGCCAATAAAGTCATAGTATAGTATTTTTAAGCTTTTGTACTTGTATATCTTTTGTTTTTTTGTGTTATTATTAGAGTAATTTTTATCTGATTTTATTTTAAAAGAGAAATTTCAATAAAGGGAAGAAAGTTTATGTTTTTCATTATAGCTAAAGCAACCATTGCAAGCTATTAATTAATATCATTGTTACTTAATCTATTCTATATTAACTCTTAAAGCAAGTAAATTAAATGAATTCCCGGCCATAGACATATAAATTAATATTTAAGGAAAGTGATAGTGATGTCACATATCTGACTACTTATTCCTTAAATATTTTATATAACCTATAATTCTTTATAAAAAAGTAGGTACTTACCAAAGTTACGTCAAATTGTATTGTTTCATTTTCATGGTTATAACATTGCCCAATGGGGTAAGCGTATGTACACGATTCTTCAGAATCCACATCGTAGTATGTTCCTAACAACAAAGCTCCAAAATTCGTGTTGGTAGTAGATTCAAGAGTATGAGCTTCAGGTGTTAATTCTATAGTGTTAAATGAATAATCATATTCTCCTTCGGAATCATCTATCTTTGTCCATGTATCCATATAGCTTGGTGTCTAAAATATTTTCGAATCAAATGTTGAGCTAATTGAATTCAGCAATTAGATTTACCGTTCCATCCAATCTTATAGAACTTATCTGATTTGTAGGTATCCAAATTGTAGCATAGGATTTGAAGTGTTCATGCAAGTGAGGTGAAAATACATATTTTGATCGATATTGTCTAACTGGTGGCAAAATACTAAAAGCTGGGTCCAATCTAAAAAAGTAAAAAAAGAGGAATATACAGTATACGTTCTTTATAAGGTATACTAAATATTCTACAAAAAAAAGTAGTATTTTTTACCCATGTTCTTCATCCAAATCGAAACTTCCAGATTGATAAAATACACCTCCAAGACTAATGTCACTTGCTCTAATGATTGTGCCAGTGCCTATGGGTACTTTTAAACTGTCTATATTTTGATCTGTTCTACCACCAGCTCGTTCAACGAGAATTGACTCTTTTCCAGTGATGTTTACCCATGTATTGTTATACTCAACCAAGAATTTGAGAATAGGACTTGCCGTAACCGGTTTTGGAACTATACGGAAAACAGAGTACATATATATTAATATATCTATATATCCATTTAGGATGTTGAAGCAATTATTACCTGCGTAGATGAAGACTTCACCCCAAGCTTCTTGTGGTGGAATTTGTTCTACTAAATGTCCAAAATAGTCAAAAGTATTGCCGACCAAAACATCATCGTTCCCGCTGAAGACGGCAAATTTCTTTTCAGAGAACATTCTTGTTCCTGATAAATCACTTGAAGACATTATTCTAGCTGTTTGAAATTTATTCAATTGCAAGGTCTTATCCAGCACGGTTTTATCACTAATTAACGTTCCGTCAATTGTTAATTCGATACCAGTTTCATTTTGAAATTCGAGGAAAATTAATGTGTTATCTTCAATTGCAGCTAACCCTATTTCAAATCTACCATCACCGTCAGGCAACCAACCGAAAGCCATATAACTATTAATTTTAGAATCATTGTTACGTTAATATGTGATGTTGTTAATGGTTCTAATATAACTTACAAGTTGCCTAACGCTGAAGCTGGAATGGCTTGAAAACCTTCACAGTTTCTATCGGCAAAATTCAAACCAAAGACCATATAATTATCTACTGACGTAGTTGTTCCTTGTACGATAACAGCCTTGTTGTCCGTAACATGATCTATCAAAATAGAGGATTTTGGCAAATTAAGAATATGTTCTGAAATAAAGAATAGTTTCAGCTCACTTGATGATTCGTCAACGTCCCCTCTTATATTTTCATCAATTGTTATATTGCTAGAGAACGTATTAGATACAATCGCATCTTTATTAATTTGTGTATTCAAAAGTGGAGAATTAGCGATTTGAACGCGCTGCAAGCTTGATTTAAAATTGACAACAGTTAACTCTTGCCCCGCTAGTTCAACTGGATTGGTTTGTGACCCCATACTATTAAACATTATCACATATTCTCTTCCTCCATTCTTTTTAATGCATTCTAGTAAATAAAAAAATATAAAGAGCGTTATGAAAGCGTAGTTGATTATGTAAAAAGAAAACAAACCTTCCTGGTCTGCCCGATGTACAATGCTAAACAGAATTAACAATTTTATAAATAAGATATTCATAATTGCACTATTCCTATGGCTATATTGAAGCAACGTTTGATATAGAACGATGATTTTCCGAGTTCATCAAGTCTGTGCAAGAAGACAAATCTTTTTAAGTAACTGTTCAAATTGGAATATAAGCCATTAATACTATGGTATATATTTAATAAACCAACATTAAATTTATATACAAATGACCTACCTTTCTTCAAGAAAATGTTTCAAATGTTTTCTTCCCAGTTTATTTTATCCTATTTTTGAGTTTTATCCGTAATTATGTTACTAGGGAGCCGTCTAAAAACCCATATAACTTTAATAATGTTTCATTACGGAACTGTCATGGCGTGTCGCACCATGTAGGCGTCAGGCGTCAGGCGTATTGTAGATATTTTTAATACTATATTTCAAAACGAATAGATTGATCCCGGAGTCTCATAAAAAATTTAACTATTTTCCTTTATTGCTGTTATACGTAGTATTTAATGTTGAAATTTGTTGTGGTTTTTCCTTTAACGTAAACAAATGGCTAAAGAAAATTTTAGTATAGCATCTATTTTAGTAAATTGAAAGAAAACATGCCTCCTTTGCTTTTCTCTGTTTTGTATAACTTTTTGAGTTTTGGACCAACCTTAGAATTGTTTATTCGGCCTAGTTATTATGGCTCTTTACCGTGTAGTTATCAAATATAGCTAAATAGTAGTCAACTAGAGCAATTCGAGAGAAAAAAGGTACAAAAGATTTTAAACTCTATTGCCTTCATCAAAAGTTTGATAGTAAATAAAAATTGAGACCAGGGCAAGGGCTAGAATTGCAATACGATAAATTATATACAGTATATATACCGTATACAAGCGCGTTTATGATTGTATACTGTATAAACCCTTAATAATAAGAATCTTTACCCCAAAAACGCTTAAAATAGAATAAAGTCCAATGATAAAATAGATTAATGTTCTTTAAGACTTTTATTAAACTTATATTAAAATATTTTTGCAAATTATAAAAACGACTTATCTCTTATATTTAGAGAATGGTTCTGCATTTTAGGAAAATCCGTCTTTACATTAAACAATACATAACCATACTTATTACTTTAAAGTTTCTAACTTGTAAGATATGTTGGGCTGCTGTTCTCTTTCTCTATATCTTTTCTTCCATTCTTACACAGCACCATAATATTTATATTACAGGTAAATGTTAGAAGAATTTTTATATCTATTAACAATTTATTACTGAAGTAACATAGGATAGTTTTAAAGCGTTAAAATTTCCCACACTAAGGTTAAAGACTTATAGTTTCAGTTTGATTCAACTTTTCCTTTCTTTTTAATATTTTTAAGAAAAAAAACTACTTAGACTATATTTAGGCTGGAGATGAAAGGGTTTAAAACATAACTATACTTTATCCGAGATAAATTGATATCTAATAAGTGAAAAACTCTTTAAAAAGCTAATATTTACATAATTAATAATAATGAGAAACATATTTATATGCATAAAACTTCAAAATATTTGTAATACTATCTTTAACGTTTTGAATAAACTAATTATAAAATAATTTTCTTTCGAATTAACTAAGCCTTTTTTGTTAAGCTAATGTTTTCATTATTCATTTAAATATTATAGAGGAGAAATATTATTTATCAATATTTATCTTTCTCTTCTAATACAAATTTAAGATTAATTAATAGATTATTGATAAATGAAAGAGTTCTTATTTTTAGCACACTTTCTAGATTTTTGTACTTCCCTTCTTCTCTGTTTTTTCTTGTTCCTTTTCTTCTATTTTTAAACGATTAAATCTATATTGTTCGTTTGATCCATTCTATCACTTTGCTTGCTTTTTTCTCATCCATTTTCTGTCCCTATTTGACTAGTATTATGCTTTTGTTATTCCCGTTGTATTTTATTGATACCGATATTCTTACTCTTGCTATTTGGTTTTCTTTTCCTTCCTGTCCAAAAATTCTTCCAGCACTTCCGACTCTATTTGTCCTAAATAGATTGTTATTTTCGTTGGAGACGACCGCTTACTGAATGTATTTTGACTTTTAAAACATTATCTAATAGTTGATAAAATCTAAATATTTCGAAATATTAATGAATATATTTCTAAATAATACGACTAATATAACTTCGAAACTTTAAAACGAGGCTTAATCTAACAAAAAAGATAAAATATTTAAGGACTATTTACAATCACGGAAGATATCAAATTACATTAAATTAATGACGTAAAAATTACTTGAATGTTTACAAATTCATTGAATTATATAATTGATTAGTTTTTATATTAAATCTTATTGACAAAATTTAATTTAATTTCCTTAAACATTCTTAATTACAGAAAATAAGTTCGAGATTAGCCGTATTTCATCCAAGGCGCGAAAATTCCCACACTTAGGTGGCGCTATTTTCAAGAATATTCTTTTCGCGCCATAGAATTTCTAAAGTATTAAAGCACTTTTGTTAATTATTACAAATCTTTTTTACATTTTGTTAAGCGTAAAAATTAAAAAGCGAAATGAAAAAATAATTATACTAATAATTTATTAGAAAAATTTTTTAATTATTGATAAAAAAGAAATATTATAATAAGACTATCTGGTGGTGACGTAATACTCCAGCATCTTCATACGCGTCCATTGGTCACAGATACATGATAAAAAAATCTTTCACCCTGGACAGAAAACGTGCCTGAACTTGCCTTTTTCCAGATTTCCAGTTTTTAATTAGATTTTAATGATGATTAGAGGTTAATTATCTATAAAAAATATATATTGTTTGTATTTTTCAATAAATTTATATAATATCGTTAATTTAATATCAGGCTGCAACCGCTCCCGAATGAATTCCGGCTATCAGGATAGCTCTTTCTATAAAGGTAAATTCCCGGAGAAGCTATGGTCACTAGTGAATAATTGTCGAAGTGGGGCAATTAGCTGGTCGAAGGAAGGTGATAGAATCTGCTTAAATACGGAGGAATTTGAAAAACAATACATGAGGGTAGGCGGATTGTTTCAAGCACGTCAAGTTAGCTCATTTATCCGACAACTTAACTTATACGGTTTTCGAAAAGTTAATATTGGTTTATATAAAAAAAATCGAGAAAATTTCAAAGAATTTCAAAACGAAAATTTTTTGAGAAATCGACCTGAATTACTCCAATTTGTAAAGCGGAAAAATCGACCAGGAAGCCTTGAGAGGACTGATTCACCGGACGGGAATGACCTCAAGAATATATCAAAAACTTCTGGCTTTGATTCTTCTTTTGAAGACAAACCTGAAAAGTTACAACCTGAACATCAATCGTCATCGTCTCATTTTAACGGAAAACTGCCAGAAATGGTTCACATTATTTCAGATAGTCAATCGGATTGTCATAGCCGTCCCAGTGTTCAAAAAGTACCGGTATCGCTATTACAACGCGACTCAAAAATGGAGGATTTTTCTTACAGTGGTGGTGAAGCACCTTTAGAAATATCATCGAGCAGCGAAGCCGACGATACTTCTCCAATAGACTTGAGTCAAGTTTCCCGTCTAAATCCAAAAGTATGGAGTACCTTTTACGATCTTCAAGGGGTAAGTTTTGCGATTAAAAGAAAAGAAATCTAGCGTTTCTTTTAAATTACATACAGTATACTATCGTATTTATAACTATACTAATATCAGTATTAAATTAATAAACGTTTTGTCTTTCAGAATATGCTATACTTATTAAAGGATTTTGCTGCTTATAAACCAGCATTAATCAAAATGTTAGACTCAACTTATGAAACGAATAAAGAAGATCATAGTTTCTATATCGAAGTCCATTCTGTTGGACGAGGAGAAGGACAAGTAAGAGTGCCATTATTTTTGCAAATAAATGCTACCCTGCGTATAAAATTTGCGGCGTTATCTTGGAATTTTGGTAAAAGAACTGTAGAATTGATGCCTTTGGACGACTTAACAACTTTTTATCCGTCTATACCTCACCCTGATTCATACAGATTTAAGAAAACGATAATATGTTGGTGACTTTAATTAACCCAATATAATTAGTATAATAACCTAGTTCTTTATCATTACTTTCTTAGTTGTTGTAAAATCTCCAACTGATTTAAAAGCTGTTTGTGGAAGGGACATTCGAAAAATACTACCAGATGCCACTTGGAATAAGTAAGACATACACTAAAAAGTAGGCAACTATGATTTATAAATATTTACTTTATCCTTCTTTCAGAATCATTGCCGCGGATAATTATAACTTTGATACGTCAGATAAGGTTAATAAAATAATAACTTATTCTTCTTTTATACTTAATAGTTTACAACGGTTTTTTTTAAATATCAGGACATTGATGAGAGGGAAAAAGAAAAAATGGCATCAACTATAAAGCATCTTAGCTATTTTGGTTCTAAAGCTCAGTTTAATATGCTACTTGAACTTCTTAAAGTATTCTCTTTTTTCCTCTTTGAGAGGTAGTTGGCTTAATATTTCTTTTTTTTTAATTTGCTTATAGATGATTGATGGAAGAGATTTCAATTTCAATATTTCAAGCTACTTAAAACAATCTTTTGACCCTTTTCATGATGTTGGTATCTTTCGTTTGTTACAGGTTAATTTTAAAATACATGTGTTTTGACTATATACTGATTTAAAATTTAAAAAAAAAGTGTTTTACTGTAATAGATGGAGTCAGACAATCTCAAGGAAACTGACCTAAGGGATTTTACTCACTCCCTTGACAAATTAGAAAATCTCCATAAGAATCTGAGTTTGTTGGATAATTCTGAAAATTCTCTAGTTATTGAATAGAAAATGTATCAAATTTCAAATTGGCTAGAATGAATTACTCTACTAAAACTGTCTTTTGATATATTTATTGCTTTGTACTAAAAGAAGTATTGATTGTTAAAGAGTTTTTGTATCGTTATTTAATGAGTGTGCCGTCTTTTTAGATGTTCTTATTTATTTATTACATATTTGTCTTTTAATGTAAGTGGGATTTAATTAATTAAATTATTCATAAAAAATAATTGGCATATTTCTGTAGAATGCATTACGAAAAGATATAGAAGATAGAAGTTTTAATTTTTAACGTTTGTTTTGAATTAGGCATATATCTAAAATCTAACTGTTTTCTTGTAAGCTCACTAATTACTTTACGAAAGTAAACTTAAACTATGAAAAACTATGAAGGAAAGAAAAAAAGCTGTCTGTTTGAAAACTTCCTTGATCGTGTACAAAAACGAAAGTAGAGGTTATGAAAACAATATAGTTACTTCCGCATCATATAATAGATCATAGCGTGTTTTTTTAAAAAACGTTTTATACCTATACCTATAAATCTAAATAGGAGAGGGATTTAAAATGCTTGTATAGCATTACCACTGGGAATAGTCTTCTACTGTAATTATATTTCTATTACTCTTTCTTTTGAAAAGATATTGAAGAGACGCCTCCGCTACTTGTTTGTTTTAAAATTCATACTTAATTACATTAACTTGTTATATACCTTTTCAATGTCATTGTTACATCTCTAGTAATAGTTATTTACATGTTGCTAAAGTAAAAATAACGGAATGGCTCTTTTATACTTTTGGGCATAAAAATTTTTAGCAGCCAAAAAAAAAACTTGAACCATTCAAAATCATTCAGGGAAATAAGCTAATAAAACCTTACGTATTTTGCATTTGTAATCTATGTCCGTAAAAAGGAAAATGCGGACAGAAGTACTTTGTAGTTTCCGATTGTAAAGGTGCACCAAATAGGTCAACATCTACCTTTATAACAGAGTTTAAAATAAAAATACTATGAATGATCTCACTATCTATTTACATATAATGATAATATCGTTTAGAAATGTCATTAAGGGTAAAAAAAAAGACATTCGTTATCGGCGTTACGCCCGAAAAGAGGCCATTTGACAATTGATATTACGCAACCATTCGGACAATCTAGTTGCAGATTTCGATTAATAGAAAATTTGAATGACATTAACGAATCTGTCAACGAAAGAAAAAAAAGATGGTTTAATTAATTTCTTTATTCATTTCTGTTGATTAGAAACTTCACAAACTATAATTGATTCTAAGATAAGTCGTCTATGAACAGTTATTCATTGAATAGATTATATATTGTTCTTAATTACTAATTAAACAAATTATTTCCCCATTAACGTTTTATATTTAATAACGATTTTCTTTTGTGTTTTTCTTCTCTTCCTTTTAGGAATACCCCTTTCTATTTTATAGTAAGAAAGGAGAAAAAAGAAAAAACTTTTATATTTTAGCCTATTAAGTATACTTTGATAAGTCAACAATCAGTTTCTACGACAATTTAAAAGATATTTTCTATTCTTGATACAAACTTGCAAATCATTACCTGCTTTACCATAATGTATCTTTTGAAGGCGGACAAATGCACTAGACGGACAACTTAAACGCTTCATTTCACCAGAATATAACAAAGCCCTCCCTTGTAGTTTAGGTAACAGTGGAAAAACTTCGGCTGTTCGTTGTCCGTGCAATTCGTTTCTTAAGTCTTTCTTTATAATTGAAAATTTTCCAAAAATTCTATTCTATTATTGTATTATTTGTACTAGTTAAAATTGAGAAATTGCCGTTAAATTCCAGATTGGGAAATGGCTACTATTCGATAATCCTTAATCGGCTTGGAAAATTTGATCAAAGGAACGCCCTGAAGAAGACGGCATCTTTAAAAAAAACTATCAACTTATCTTCAGGGCAAAGTATATTCAATTTGACATTGTCTTTAAGCTCTTCTACGCGCATTCGTAGCTTCACAGCTTTTACTTTAACAATTGTTTCATTGACAATCAACTAAAATAGTATTTAAAGAAAGACAAAAAGTGCTTTTTGCCAAGAATAACATAAATATATAGTTCATATTTAAATATATTTCTATTGGAGGATGTACAAATTTTCTCCGCTACCGCCCCCCTCCCCCCTAATCCCTTCGCTGTTAAAGAACACACGTTTTGATTCTTACGCGACCCTTCGACCTATTTCATAACTTTTTTCTCTGTCAAAAGCTTGGCAAGTATGTAGTGTGTGAATACATACATAAATACTACTACGTAACATTAATAAAGTGTTAATGATAATAATAATTCGTATCTTATTAATGAATATTCATAATTTATTAAATATTATAATAGATGGTCGACATTGTTTTCAGAACGTATATCTTATTTGTTATGACCGTAGAATGTGTAATCAACTTTTATGATCCTGTCCTCTGGACAGCTTAATTCGGTCGTCTTTCCTTTACAAATCGTAATTGCCTTTGAGTCGGCTGATGGAGCAGATAAATACTGTATCGATTACCATTGCTAAAGTTGGTTACAATTTGTTTACAGTGGAAAAAAAGAAAACAAAGAACGGTAGGAGGGCGGAGACAGAGAAAGGATATGTGTATACAAAAGGTTGAGGGGCTATATAAAATAGAAAAATATTACTCGCTCCTTTTCCGTTGACATGCGTAGTTGACCTCTAAAAACAAGCAATCTCTACATCCGGCTTCTTTACCTAGCTAGAGAAACTGGGCCAAGTTGTAAAATTGAAAAACTGATGATTTAATAGACAAACCTTAACAGAAGAAATCATTACGCTTTTATGTTGTGTTGTATATATTTACAATAAATCACGCGCGAAAATCTTTATAAGAAGCCGTAAAAGATAATTTTTGTTATAAAAATGTTCTTTTAAAGAATTCCTCAATTACATCAAAAATTCACTTTTGTCTGAACAACAAACTCTTTCAGGAGGGTTTTTTTAAGCTTGACAGAATCCAATCCGTACCGGAAACCTTTCGGAGGTTTTTACGCTATTACATAATTTGTTTTTGTATTGTTCGTTTATCCCGTAAAAGGCGTCAATTATTTCCACGCTGTGACCATCACCACATATCAACGTTACACGTGAAGTTTTTCACATAACTTTCCATTCATTTATTTATTCATTTATTCATTATTCATTTCTCTTCTTTCCGTTCTAGTTTTCTTTTCTCTTAAAGGAATCTTTATAGGCCTACGACTGCTTACTATTATATAATTGTAAGATGCTATTAAATAAGGACTAGTCTTTCGTAACTGGCAATTATTTACAATCTTTCTCAATTCAATTTGAACATTTTTCTTTTAATATATGAAAATTAGATATATATCTTTGGAATCTGATTGTTTAAAGTATTGAGGATATTTGGCGAGTAGGCGTTATATTCTTAAAATCTTAGAGAGCTAGTAAGTGAGTGAGTGGGTGAGTGAGTAAGTGAATGAGTGAGTAAGTGAGGGAAGAAATGAGCTAAAGAGGAAAAACGATGAAAGAATAGACATAAGAAAAATATTTAAATTGAATACAAAAATGATGAATAGATTGTAAAGATGAATATTGTCTTTATTCTGAATAAGAGAGTTGAATAGTTACAGAACTGATTGTTATCTTTGTATCATTTTTTACACGCTACTTAAAAGATTTGTGATGACAGAAAAGCTTGTTAAGTTCTTTAACTAATGAAAAGTAAACAATCTCTTTTAGAAACAGGTAATTAATTGAGGCAATTAGCAGTATATACAAGTAATTATACCTTTTTCGTTATTTATAAAATTATTCAACTCTCTTGAGATTTTTCTCTTCTTCCTCGACATCTACATTTCTTAGAATTTCTTTATCACTTGAAGTGGTAAAGAATCTAGTTAAAGTTATGCAATACACTAGATTCCTAATTACTAAGACTACCTTCTCTTATGACTCCAATGACGTCATGTTGTCTACATTGAATTTACTTTATACAATCAATAAAGGATTTATGGTTTTTTCGATCGACGTGTTTTATTATAAATCATATTTTACTTACTATGACGTAGTGATTATTAAGAAGTTATGAAAAGTTATCAGATATGACTACTAAGTATTTCTTTTTAAAAGACAAATTAGTGACATCGTTGTTTTTTTAATATTCCAGAATGTAAATAACACGATACATAGTAGTTGTACACTTTTGTTTGATAAAAAACATTGTTATCTTAATTACAAACAGTGTCAAAGTCCCCCCGAAACGACTACAACAATTAACTTGGTTGCGCTTCATATAGCAGATTAGATCTAAATTACTTTGACGTTTAATTTTAAGAAAAACTAATCAACTGATTTGTCAAAAAGTAGACGATTAACGTGATATAATAAGTGAAAATATGAAGAAGAGAGAAGAGGAGAATTGAATGAACGAGTAAAATTCATGCGAAGGTATTGAACGTTCAATTGATAAAAAAAAACAAAAGGGATAAATATTTTTCTTTCATGGATAAATTGGTTTGGTAAAGGACATTTTAAACTATTAAATTTTTCTCAATCGATGTCTTCTCCTTCAGCCCACTTAACACAATTTCCGATTAGATTTCTTTTCTTCAATTTTCCTCTCCCATCCCAAAGGCTGAATGACCGTGAAAAGAACATTTCCTTTTTTACAAAAGAAGCCGTTATAGAAAACTCAATATTATGTAATATTGTGATTATTCAACGCCCAAACTAACAAATAAAGAAAAGGCAACGAGTAGACGTGTCATCGCATCGAACAATCGATGCCATTGTTCCGTTCATTCCAGTCGTTTGATCCGATTGAATTCGTCATTTTCCCTCTCTGCCGTTTCTAAGGTTTCCAACCCATTTTTGTTGATTTACTCAACATTTTCTTACGAAAAAGCTAGGATAATACCCAAAAATATTTATGATTTCTTTAGCACCGTTAATTTTCGCTGGCCTCAGGAAGAAAAGTTTTGTTTAATTTGATCAGCCAATGAACGACGAGTTTTTGATTACGTCTAGACCAATCACCGTCGAGAAAAGTTTCGGCTTATCGTTGACTGGCTAAAAGCTGAATGGGGGTTTATTTAATTAGAAGTGAACGATTGTACGTAGGTCAGTTCGATAATGATGGAAGGTGACTGCGAATCTCTACCTTCGGAAGAGGTATCCAACTTTTCAGGGACTTCTACTTTGTCTCAACAAAAGAGGCGCTTTGCCGATGTGAAACCTCCCTACTCCTATATCGCTCTAATAACAATGGCAATAGAATCTGCAAAGGATGGGATGATGACATTGAACCAGATATACTCCTATATCATGAAAAGATTTCCCTATTTTAAAGAAAATCAACAAAGGTGGCAAAATTCAATCAGACACAATCTCAGCTTAAACGATTGTTTTGTCAAAGTACCCAGGCGGCCAGGACACCCCGGTAAGGGTAATTATTGGGCTTTACACCCAAAGTGTGGCGATATGTTCTCCAACGGTTCCTTCCTCCGACGAGCAAAAAGATTCAAACTTCCGAAGGCAATGCAAGCCGCTCAGAATGCTCAACAAGCAGAAGGTTATCCGATATCGCACCCTTCCTATAAACCTTATATGTCTTTTATGCAACCAACGCATTGTAATGATTGGTCAGTATACTCTTCCTATTCATCTTCCACGAATGGTCATTATCCGACACCAAGCCCTCCACAACCACCATACACAGGATATTCTCATCTAGCCGCCGCAGTAGCGTCCGCCCAATCAGCTTACCCGGCCCAGTGTTCTCAATCATTTCCTCCACCTAATTCAATCGGTCAATATAATGGACGATTGCAGTTGATGCAAAGCCAGTAAGAGTTAGTTTTCTAAAAGAAGAGCATATGATAAATGATTACCAGGCACGTTCTAAATAAATATAGGTCAAAATATTTATTCTGTAATCTAAACAAACGAGGAAGAAGCTTGTCGTATCGTATTTAGTTCTTGAATATAAAGGATTGTCTACATTTTTTATATCTTTTTTTGCAAAGCTGTTATACTTAATCAAGTAAAATATAATAAAAAGTATGTATTTTAAGATAAAGTCGCCATTTTGTATATATATATATTTAACATTCATTATTCACACAGTATAATATTTTATTATCACCTTTTGTATCTTTTGTATGTGTATTTACATGTCTTGTTTCGTTATCAACAGAATTTTTTTTTATTAAAAAAAACACCGCAATGTTATATGTTAAGAATACTCTAAATACATAAATTATTCAAATTTTTCACATATAATTCATAAACTATATAAATTTATTCATTTAAGGATCTTGTAATGTTTATAAAAAGGTATTGAATATTCAATTAATTATAATATTGAAAATGTTTAACAAGTGTACGACGACAATTTAATTACGTTTTTACGACTTTGGCACAATTTTCCGGACCGATAAAGACTTTTTGGCAATAGAATAAAAACGGCTTTCCGCATAACCGACCGTATTTATTCTAACGTTTTCAACGAGCTTAAGTAATCCGTAAAGATCAATCAGGCCTACGGCACGCATTAGCGCATAAAAGGCGCCGCAATTAAGGACCTCTTTGAAGACACCGCATACCTATTGTTTTCCAGTATAGAATTAGGCGTTTAGGCGCGCGTTCGCTTTCAACGCCGCCCTTCGATAAAAACTAATTTAAATAAGGCTGAAAGTAGGAAAATTGTGTGGTAAAAGAACCAAGAAAAGGAAGACGAACGATATTTTAATGATTGGAGAGTAAATATCGTCCTTTACCTAATCAAGATATGATAAGAAAGCCAAAAACACCAAAAAGAAGTAAAGACAGGGAGCGACAGAGAGAGAGAAAGAGAGAGAAAAGAGAGAAGCCATTCAAGTGAATGTATAGCAAGGGTTTTTTCCTTCAGAAAAGAATGCAGGGTTTTTTTAAACTTATATATGTCCGCCGGCTTTTTTTGCCTTTCCCCCCTTTTCTCCCTCTCTCCCTCACTCCCGCCTTCTCTCTTTTTCTCTCTCTCTTTCTCTCTCTCTCTCTCATGAACATTTTTACCTCTGTCATTCAATCATTTAACGGCTATGAAAGAGACGACCCCCGTTCTTTTTTCGGCATGCCTACAAGCTCAACATTTCGACGTTCGTTCGAGCGTAAGATGTTCTTTTTGCGAGCGACGTTCGCTTTTGTTAGTTTGAATGGCGCGTAATGTAAATATTGGTATAGCGTTACCTCATGCGTTCGCTACTTAACGCTAAAACCCGTTTTGGACGGTGAATTGAACTAATTTTGAAAGTTTAGGCCTAAAAATGTGACTGTTTTTCTTTTTAATTACGTACCTTTATATTATATTCATACTACAGGTTAATGGCCCTCAGCAAAGATATAATAGAGTAAATTGAAGATATTGATAAATCTACTCAACATACATAATAAAAAAGGGAAAAAAAGGCTATACATAAAAATGGGATTTAACTAGAATTAATATAAGATTGAGAAAGAGATAGATAGAATAAGAAAGGAATTAAAGGAGGAAGAAATCAAGAAATGAAGAAGAAAGAGAAAGAGAGACTGAGAGAAAACGTTATTTGCAGAGAAATAGTGTAAGGTATTGTTACAATTGTTCTACATATGTTTCACACAAGTTCTTTTCAAACCGCGCCCCTTATCCAAAACTTTTCACAAATGCAAAGAAAGTCGAACTTTTCGGTCTATACTGTGTGTTTATAAATGGCATTGTCAAAAGGGGCTTCGATAGCGATTGTAACGGTCATTTGCCTTCTCTTAGGTGTTCTAATCGGCTTCCTAATCGGCTGGTTTTCTAGAGCCCCCCATGATGCCGTTATTTTAAGGCACGTTCCAACCAAATTGGTCGAAGACGCCGATAATGAGATCAGGGATAAGATACTATCTTACGTCAATCCTGAAAAACTTAGGGAATATTTAAGGTTTGTTTCTCTTCCTTATTTTCAGATTGTTATCTTAAAACCCTACTAAAAATACAAGAGTCTCCTCCTCCTTCTCCATCTTCTTACCGCCTTTTATCTTCTGTCTTTTATACTATATTATTCTATTCTCTTAGACAACAAACATCTGAATCACATCTAGCAGGAACAAAGACAGATTCAAAAAATGCCCAAAAACTATTGGAGTTCTGGAAAGGCTTGGGTCTTGATGCAGAAATAAAAAGCTATAAAGTTCTTTTATCGTATCCATCAGGATCTATAGCTAACAATAATTTTGTATCTTGGGCGGTAAGTCTTACTTTATTACCAGTTTTCTCATTACCTTTTCACCTTTTATGATTATTAGGATGGGGGATATTATAGGACTAGAGCGTATGAACCTCAAATTGGAAAGTTTAGCTATCCCGGACAAATTGTAACACCTTATAACGCTTATTCTGCAGCTGCTACGGTTTTCGGTGAATTAGTGTATGTGAATTACGGAAGAGAGGAAGATTTCGAGCTTCTAGAAGAGGAGTACAAAGTAAACTTTACGAATAGAATTGTCGTTGCCAGGTACGGAAAATGTTTTAGGGGTATGAAAGTTAGAAACGCCGAGCGTTGGAAAGCAGCAGGTATTGTCCTTTTTACGGCTCCTGCCAATTACGCTCCGGAAAAATGGAAAGGAGAAAGATATCCTAAAGGAATTTTCATGCCGCCTCACGGCGTTCAAAGAGGGTCTGTCTTTTTGGCGAAAGGTGATCCAGAAACTCCTGGTTACCCTTCGATAGAAGGAACTTATAGGGAATCGGAAGAAGATATTCATCTTCCAACAATACCCGTCTTGCCTATATCGTATAGTGACGCGCGTCAACTGTTAAGGTAGCCTAGAGCAGCTCTTTTTTTTTTCTTTACTCCTTCTCATCAATACGATCCACTCTATTTTCCATTAGGATCAAGAACGGTAACAGTTTTGAAGAACATCATTTAACAAAAACTAATCCTCTACCAGCTTCTTGGGACCATAAATTAGGCATTCCCGATGGTCGGGATGTAAGTAGGTTCTACGAATGGCAGAATTACGCCAGCAGCTATTCAAGGTATATTTTCATCCCTTTCATCTTTCTCTTAAATCATAATCATCATTATACAAATTACTTATTTATACTTAGAAAAGTAAATCTGACCGTGAATGTGACGAAGACGATTCGTAAGATCAACAACGTCCAAGCGATTATCAAAGGACAGGTGGAGGAAGACCGTTACGTAATCATTGGCAACCATCGAGATGCCTGGGTTTATGGAGCAGTCGATCCATCAAGCGGAACTGCTGTTATTAAGGAAACATCGAGGGTATTCTCAAAATTATTGGAAGAAGGTTGGAGACCTAGACGATCTATTCTACTCTGTAGTTGGAGTGGCGAAGAACAATCGTTAATCGGTTCCTACGAATGGGCCGAGGTATCATAAAGCTTGATGTATATTCCTACCCAGATTCATGTTCTTTCCTTCCCAACGTTCTTCATCTCCTCTTACAAAAAATTCGCATGAACAGGAATTTTCGCACCTGATCTCCAGCCGCGCAGTGGCCTATGTCAATGTTGATTCAGCTGTAAGAGGTAACCAGACTTTCCGGGGAAGAGCAATGCCTCTTTTGAAGGACCTTATGATAGATGTCGCAAGCCATATACCAGATCCTAACAGTACTGATGAAAATCCAATAACAATTCTCGATACTTGGAAATCTTTTTACCCGCCATTAAATTCAAAAACTCAACCGAATATTGAACCCCTGACGTCTTTTAGCGATAACGCCGTCTTTATGTCTAGATTGGGCGTCTCCTCAGTTGACTTTTCATACGATTTCGGACCCGAGGTAGGCTTACATTAAATTTTGTATATTAAGTTAGAAAAGTAACATATGCATTATTATCGTATCTTTCCAATATAGAGCTACCCGTTTGACAAATATCCACTCTATCATACAAGATACGATACAGTAGATATGGTTGAAAGATTCGTTGATCCACACTTTCAGGTAAAACTAAAAAAGCTACAGTATAAGTGATTTTAAGTGGTTTTTTTTCTTCTGTATAGGCCTACACAATTTGTACTGTTCATTTATTTACCTGACATTTATTTTCTTTGCAAGGTGCACGCCGCAGTAGCTAAATTTACTTTGGAATTTGTTAGAAGATTAGCCGACAATTATATTTTACCTTTTAAACCATCCGTCTACGCTCAAGAATTAATAGATGACCTTATCAAGTATAAACGTCACATTGGATTCTCGCACGAGGCCTATAGCCCGGATGTTGAACCGGCGATAAGTACTTATTCAACAATTTCATTTCAAACTATTTATAAAACCTAAGGAAAACCTTTAATCAGACCGTCTGAACGAGAGTCTCGTGGAGTTCTTAGAAAATGCTATAGATTTCGAGGATAGTCTTTCGGAATTAAATCGAGACAAGTAGGCCAAAATATTTACTTTTAAAAGTGACGCTTAATTGTTTTTTTTTTACTCAAAACTTAGCCCTATACTTATAAGAAGAATAAACGACCGCCTTACTAACGTTGAAAGATGTTTCCTAGACTATCAAGGCCTACCAAACAATCGTTTATCGAATCACCTAGTTTTCTCCCAGGCGTTTCACCAACCGAGCAAAGTTTCGTCGTTACCAGGCTTATACGACGTTACTTACGAAGCGTCTCGCAAAATGCAGTATAACCTTAAAGTGAAAAAATGGAAGGTAGTATTTAAGCATTTGAGCGTTTTAAGGGGATTTGTTAATCAAGCTGCAAAAACCCTTAGTAAATCGTTTATCTAGATAATTAAGAAAGAGGTCAATAAATGAATAAAAATTGGGGAGACTTTAATAATTAAATAAAAGAGAAAATTATGAAAAAAGTAAAATTACAAATTGCCAATATTTGTGTATTTTTAAGCTTTAAAAAGGTGTTTAATTTTGTTGTTTTTTTATGAATTTAACCATCGTCAGTCTCATCTGGATTTTTCATACCATCTAAGGCTTCACTTAGGAATTCCTGATCAAATAATATTTGATTTAAACCTTCTAGCTGACTCGTAGATCTTTCAATTTCTTCACTATCGGCTAAAAGTGTCTCTCTTTCGCTTTGTAGCTTGGTAATTAATTCTTGTTTTGTCTTCAATAACTCTATATTATTCTCTATTCTGGTTCTTCTTAAAGTTGCTTCTTGGTGGACTTCGCTTCCGTCTTCCAAGAGCGGAAATCGTTCCGATAAGAATTTTATTCTATTTTCATCTTCGTCTATTCTCTGTCTGATATTTTCAATACTTGCCCTCGTCTCTTCGATATCTCTCTCTCTTATTGACGCCATTGTATTCATTTTCTCCCTTAACTCTTTAGCCCTTTCGCAAACGTCTTTAGCTCTAGTTTGAGATGCTGCAGTTGCTCCTCTATCCTCATTCACTATCGCATCTGTCCCTACCGTAGAGGCTGGCGATATTGACTCAGTGTGAGAGATAGACAAAGTAGAGTCTTGGCCTACTTCCTCTTCGTCGTTCACGTTAACATTTAAATTTCGTAGTCGACCAACTAAACCGTCTATTCTATTCTTTATTCTTTCTATTTCCGTAATTGTCGAGCCGGTCGTTGCTACGTCGACAACCTCTTCCGATTCAGTTGCTTCCACAACAGGTTCGACCTGTTCTTGACTAGTTTCAGTATTCTGCGTAGGTGAATTGTCCTCTAAATTCTGCAAAGTGTTATAAGTGTCATCGGCTTCAGTTTGAAGTTCTTCTAAATTATAATGTAGTTGGCGTAAAGTGATCCTTTGCTGGAATAGGACTTCTCTATGTTGTTGCAGTCGAGTTCTTTCATTTTGTAACTGCTCCTGTTGTTCTCTTAAATATTCCAACCTCCTTTCCGTTTCAATATTAAGGCGATGAGCCTCTTGAAGTTCACTTAAGCGCGAAGCAATCATTCTTAAAGCCGGTATATTAGTGCTATTTTCACTAGGAAGATTCGCCTTAAAAAAAGAAAAATAAGAGATGAACAGAAGGAAAAGAAGAAAATCTAAATAATTACCTGGAGATTTTCAATATCTTCGTGTATGGACATTAATCGATTTCTCATACTTTCTAAGGAAGCAGGTGGATTTTGCGAATCAGATGGACAGTAACGAAACTGCGATAAAACATTCATAAGAGTTTGCAGTCTCTATAGGAGAATAATAGTGATGTTTCAGTATTAGAAAATATAAAGCTCGTTATTATTATTATTTTATTAAGCCCCTCATGCATAAAGCGTAAAAAGGGTAAATAAATAGATCATAAAAAATTATTTGAGTAGGCGGTGTTTGCGTGTGGGGAGGGGAGGGGGATGGGAAGCATGAGAAAGAGGATAAAAGAATTCAATTAATAATTATAACTTACATTATGAAGTTCATCAGTTTCATCAGTGTCTTCACCGAGATCATCGATAAGTCTAACATTATTATTTATATATTCATCAGTTATTTGGCGTTGGTTATCTTGCTGCTGTTGTTCAAGCAGTTTTGCTACTTGCTGATACCTATTTGATAATAATAGAGGATTAATTTGGATTTAAAATAATAGATAAATAGTATTAAATATAATAGATCTTGTTAATAATTAATTATTACCTCTTCTCACGAAGTACTTTAAAAGCTCTTTGAGCTTTTGGATGGGAAGGACCATAAACTTGTTCAGATATTTTAGCCCATTCCAAGAAGAATTTATATGCTCTGACGAAATTATTATTATCTTCAAAGATGATAGCCATATTTGTATGTAATCTAGCATTTAACGGGTGTTGTTCTCCTAAGAACTGTTTAGTTAAATGTAAAGCTTCGTCGTAGTACTGTATAGAAAGTAAATAGGGATTTAATACGCTTTGCGAAAGAAGTAGATTAAAAAAACTAATTAATTGGCCAATAAAAAACTAACACATAGCTGGTCTGATGTTGTTTTATCTGCAAGTACTCCTTTTGTCATATAAGCTTCGGCTAGGTAGTTGATATTATTCAACTAGATAGAGGAAAGAATAACAAATAAAAGAAAGGACAGTGAAATATTTACACTAATATATACTTTAATGAATACTGCTGTTGCAACTTCCAATAACTCTTTGCCTATTTTTGAAGCTGTCGCTGGATTAATTGTATCATCTCCGCCACATCCTTCCCAAGATTCCATATCAAATGCTAATTTCATAAGCATTACAGCCAAATGAAGGATATGATCTTCTCCGTTTAGAGATGATAAATATTTTATTGCTGCATTCGTATATTGAACAGTTTCCTTGAGCATTGTAATTTGAGACGGTTGAAGGAAATCGTTGAGCTTTAAATTCTATTAAATAAAATCAAAGTGTTTAATAAAAATTAATGTATTAATTAATAAAATATAGGCCTACTTCGTCTTTGATATCCGTCATTACAGAATTTAATTCCGCCATAAATTCACTTCTAGCACCATACTTTGTCGCCTCTAAATGCAACGACTCTGCAGCTAACTCCAAAGCTTCATCGTAAGCTCCTCTACTAAGACTATATAAGATAATATTAGATAAAATTCTTAGTTGTTATTCTAATTAACTGACAATAGTCTAGATAATTTAATGCGCCTAGATAAATTCAAGTCGTTCTCCTCAGTTATACCAAATTCGGATAATTTGGGTAAACGATCACTGAAATAGAAAAATAATTAATTAATTAATTACTTATTAATACATCAGAAAAATGTATAGCCATACAGATAAACGGATACTAAATCCGCTGAACTTCCCAACTCTCTCCAATAGCGAACGAAATCTGAATGAGTATCAACACTGGACATATCGAATACATCCCAATCGGATAGAACTTCGGCCAAGTGCGCTTTGTCTTTTAATTTAATAAGATGTGGAATATACTCTTCTATTTTACGATGTAGAGGTGTCGTTAAGAAGTAATCAGCTAGCACAGAATGCCAAAATTGATGCATTAATTCACTTTCTTCGTAGCTATCAGCGTCGCTACCCAATTTTAAATATCTTCTTTGTACAACCCGTTTTAAACAGGGACTCTCTAAAAAGTGGAAAGAATGCTTTGACAAACTAATAAATGGCCTTAAAGCCGCTAAAACCAAATCTATATTCTTTAAATCGACATTTTTAAAAGTATTTTCAGCTGGAGTTTCCTTTTCGTTCTTTTCCGATTCTTCTTTATCTCCTTTCTCTTCGTAAAGGCTTGGTAAACGATAATTAGTGGAAGCTTTTACCAAACCATTTAATTCTTTTTCACTTAATCCCGAAAAGGATATCTTTAACAGACATAAGATTGTTTGTACCAGCATGCCACCGTAAGTATCCTCTAAACTTTCAATCAACATCTCCAAGACCCTAAAAAACACACCATAAAAAATTGAATTATTATTATAATTATAATTAAAAGAGCATATTAAAAGAAGCAAACAAATAAACAAACAAACCCTTCTAAATCGTATGGTAAATTTTCTATTAGAGTATATTGCTCCTTCCGGCTTTCAACATCGGCCAATAGTTTACAAGCAATATCTAACCAAGTTGGATTAGCTTTTTGGTTTGTTACAATTAATTCGTCAGTTTGTTGAGGTAGCAATCTCCAATTGCGTTTTAGCATTAATTGTATAGCCAGCTTTTGTTGGGCAATATCTGTAAGTTTATCAACTTGGCTTTGTTCTATATTCTCGTCTCTTTCCAATAGAGTCTTAAATTGAGGACTATTCGTGGAGCAAGATACAATTATGCGAACGTTGTTTGGTAGTTTCTTCGGTAACCAACTAACTAATCTAGTTGAAACGTTCTTTTCAAACTGTATCGTTTTTTTTGTTGTGTATGTTTTGTTTTTTGAAAAGACAATTTAACAACATGATTAGCATATTTAATTAGCTGAATATTCATAATTTTAAAGGTAATTTTTATTTACCTTATCAAGACCATCAACAATAACAATACGCGATTTTGATGAATACTTATAAAAGGCTTTATAGCAGACGTAAGAAAGACTAGCAACATCTTTTGGTAGGACAGTTCCCTGTTTTTATAAATAATTTAACCGATATTATTGATTAATGATAATTAATTTATTAAACTTACCGCCTCCAATAGATCTAACTGTTCTATCATTCTTAAAAGGAAAGTTTTTAAACAAGTTGAAGTTGGGATGGATAAACCATCAATGAAATGCACGAAAAGATCTGACTCTTTCCATGGTGATAGAATTTCACAATCTTCCACCAAAGTATTACGTAATTTTTTAAGTATATTTAACAAAAGTGTACTTTTTCCCGATTTCTCATCGCCGTGAAGTAGGAAAGGTGATTTCTGAGATTCTTTATTTTCAGTTAAGTAACTCCAAATCTGCAAAAATAAAAAAAAAAAAGCAAACCAATTAACGTACGTAATTTAGGTCAAAAGATTTTATTCTTTTCTCTTACCTTTTTAAAGGAATTAATATCAATCGCTTCTCCAACAAGGTCAGCCGACAATTTTAAACTAACATAATTCTGCATTTCTTTGTTCATTGAAGAAAATTGGCTATAGCATCGGCCTAATTGATTTAAATTTCCTTCGGCAACCTTTCTAATTGTTCTGAATACCTAGATAATTAATTTTTAATTTAATTATTAATAATTAACTAATTAATTATTGAAATAAATAAATAAATTACCTGCTCTGAGAATTGTGGAGATAGTTCAACGTGTATATCATCTCTTTCAACGTCGTAATTAACATCTTCATAGGAATAAGGAATAACATATGTTCCCTATTGAAAATATTATAGATATCTCACATCATACTGTATATTAAGTAATTAACGTTCGTCTTTCTTACCGGACAATAAGATATTTTACAACCTTCGCTAACTAAATTATCCTCAGGGAAGAAAGATCGTTCACCTCTGGTAATATTCGCTAAAAACTGATCATTTCTTAGTAAAAAGACCGCTGTATAGTGTTGAATAAAGAGGGGAGAAAAAAAAAACTCTATATTTAAATATATATTTAAAAAAATAATAATAAAAAGAAAATATGTGAAACTAGGTTAAAAAAATAAAAGATATAATACTTACAATTCTCTGTTTGAGTTGACTCAGATCCGTACGTTGATGATAAGGCGTTTAAATCTCTTTCGGACAGGCAGAAACTATCTCTTAATGTATTATTTCTACATCTTCTATTTGGTTCTGTATTTCGTATTGGTAACCATCCAAGTGTAGACCTAGTAAAAAGATAATCCCTGTTATGTTTCTTTTCTATTTGTTTTCTTATTCTATATTTGAAAAATTTAGACAAAAGAAGAGAAATTCTTCTTACGATGATATATTTAGAAAGATGGCGAACTCGTCGTTCCTTTGTATACTTTCCAATTCGCATAGATCCGATAAACTTATTGAGTGATCAATTTTACCTATAGGCCTAGCGGAATTTGTAGGGTTTTTCTTACTTCCCTATAGAGAAGATTGACAATATAATTAATATGCATACATACTCTATATATTGTATATTATGTTTAAATGAGATAATAAACAATAGAAGAATAAACTAATTGATAAATAAATTAATGAATGAATGTTATACAAATGTATAATATTCTTTCTATTTACATCCATAAACTTTCTCTTATCCTCATATAACATCATCCTTGTATTGCCCTTCTACTCCCTTAAAATATCCCTTTCTCCCTCGCCAAAATATGACCTTTTGCAACCTTGCCATACACTTACCCAAACAATTTCGGAATAATGAACTTTTACCCCTTTAGATTCGCACCAATTTCGAAATTTATTCATGACCTGTAGAATGATATTGCGTAATTAGGCAATTTCTTAATTCTCATTAAATATCATTAATAAACCTACTAATTTAATTGATAGAAGTTATACTAACCGAATCCCTAATTACTTTTCTCTCTTCTACAAAATCACCAGAGTAGCAGGTAGATATCACTTTACACAATTTATGTTGTCGAAGCATAGTTACGCACGGTTTATAGGTCTCGCACGAAAATTCGTAAATAATATTTATTCAAAAAGACTCTTCTTGCTCTAAATATATTTGCCAATCGGCCGATTTATAAAGGACGGTAGTTAATTCGTTAATATACTAATTAAAATATTCTTCCATAATAGCCAAAAGTCCAGAAAAAATATCTAACGAGTAATTATTTGCAAACCAAGAGGAAACAGATTCAATGACGTCATTCTATTTCTTCTAAAATCCGCTAGATGGTATTATTATTTTTTTTACTTCGCATGTAATAGGCCTATGCTAAAGTCTTAATATGCAATTCTAAATTGAATCAAATACCAGAAGAGCACATTGCAATTTTGATAAGACAAGGGAAAAAAGAAAGAAAGAAAGAAAGAAAGAAAGAGATAGAGAGAAAGAAAAAATGATAGATAAAAAAAAAGGACGAAACTTTTTAGCCGTTATATAAAAAGGAACGAAAAATAGCACAAGTTATACAGTCAGAGTAGTGCAGCAGATAAAGAACAACTCTTTTATATGCTTTAGTACTCTTCACCAAGTTCGTTTTGACCTTCACCTCCATCATCTTGGACAGAATCGTAGCCAACTTCTTCGTAATCCTTCTCAAGGGCTGCCATATCCTCTCTTGCCTCAGAGAATTCCCCTTCTTCCATTCCTTCTCCAACGTACCAGTGTACAAAAGCCCTCTTAGCGTACATAAGGTCGAATTTATGATCTAATCTACCCCACGCTTCTGCAATTGCAGTTGTATTAGAAAGCATACACACTGCTCTTGATACTTGGGCCAAATCTGCTCCAGGTACAACGGTTGGTGATTGATAATTAATTCCTACTTTAAAACCAGTTGGGCACCAATCCACAAATTGTATAGACCTCTTCATTTTAATGGCAGATATAGCCGAATTAACATCCTTAGGAACGACATCACCTCTATACAACAGACAGCAGGCCATGTACTTTCCACATCTTGGATCACACTTTACCATCTGGTTAGCCGGTTCAAAGCAATTATTAGTTATCTCCGATACTGTTATATTCTCGTGATGAGCCTTTACAACCGATAAAATTGGAGAATATGTTGCCAAAGGGAAATGAATTCGTGGATAAGGAACGAGATTTGTTTGAAATTCCGTTAAATCAACATTTAACGCTCCGTCGAAACGAAGCGACGCCGTTATCGAGCTTACAACTTGGGCTATAAGACGATTGAGATGCGAATAGGTTGGGCGTTCTATATCCAAATTTCTCTTGCAAATATCGTAAATAGCCTCGTTATCAACCATAAAAGCACAATCCGAATGTTCTAGAGTAGTATGCGTTGTAAGAATAGCTGCAAAAAAATGTTGCAGTATAGTTTTAATCTAATATAGGCCTACTACATACAGTGTATGTATATATACTCGTAACTAACAATTATATGGTTCAACAACTGCAGTTGAGACTTGAGGAGCGGGATAGACGCTAAATTCCAATTTCGATTTCTTTCCATAGTCAACAGATAGACGTTCCATAAGAAGTGACGTAAAACCCGACCCAGTTCCACCGCCAAAACTATGAAAGATCAAAAATCCCTGAAGTCCTGAACAATGATCAGCAATTTTTCGAACTCTTTCAAGAACCAAATCGACGATTTCTTTACCAACTGTATAATGACCTCGGGCGTAGTTGTTAGCAGCATCCTCCTTACCAGTTATCAGTTGTTCGGGATGGAAAAGTTGGCGGTAGGTACCAGTTCGAATTTCATCTTAATAATAGAAATTAATTTATAGAGTAACGCACATTCTTAAGGTCAGCTCAACGCAAAAAGAACTTACCGACAACATTTGGTTCCAGATCAATAAAGACAACCCTCGGTACTCTTTTACCACTAGCCGTTTCGGAGAAGAATGTGGTACAAGATTCATCCCCAAACATAACAGGTTGCCTTTCAACTCCCTCCATGAGTGTTCCATTGGGTTCAATACCATGTTCCAAGCAGTACAACTCCCAACAGGCATTACCTATCTGTACTCCAGCTTGGCCAATATGAACTGATATACATTCTCTCTATTTTTAAAGAATATTGATAACGATAACGTAATTATAAGTTTATCAAGTAGAAGAAAAAAGATAAAAAGACAAATTTATAGACGAACCATTTTCTCTTCTTTATATTATTCCAAAAATTAGGCTAAATATACAAAGAAAAATTTTTTTTTTCGCCTTAGCGCTCTACTGCAAAGAAATTTGCAGTCTGACCGAAATACCCTTTACGTGGGGTGTGTATGAGAGCCTGTGAGAGTGTAAGTGTGTATGTATGAATATATGCAAGTGTGTGTGTGTGTGTGTGTGTAAGTGTGTGTGAGTGTATTAGACCAATATATATAAGTTTTCGTGTACGTATGCATTAATTGCTGGCGCCACTCTGTATTATACAGCAATCTACGTGCTTTCCTTATTATCTTTTAAGTATATAGAAGATGTCTTATCATTTATCTGCTAGTTTCGACATATTTTTCTTCTCTCTCTCTTTCTCTTTCTCTTTCTTTCTCTCTCTCTCCCTCTAACCTTTCAACTATATCGAATTGTTATGTAATCTGACGTCATTATCCCTTTTACAAAACAACCTTTTATTTATAAAGAACGAAATAAAAAAATCTACTTAATTACGCCATCTAGTGTTTTATTCATATTTCAAACGAAGTTTTATTAATGAAATGGTACGATTTATATTGTCAAGTAAACGAATAGTTACAATTGCAAATATAGATGTCGCCTCTAAATTATTTAAACGATTACTCCTCTACAAGATTCACCTGAACAGGGATCAATGGTAAAGGTGTTAGGAACGACTAGTGGTGGAGAAGATAGACTGAAAGTTTTTCCATCAGTACCATTATATTCCAATTCTATGAACATTCCTCTATACCCTCTGCTAGGTTTTAGAGAACTTAGCATATATCTATTGTTTGGCTGTTAAGAAAACAAACAAAAAAGGTGGGAAATTGTCAGTTAGTTAGAAGTAAATAAACAATATAATTTAATAATATACATACCAAACTTTGAACAGGAACTTCTACGTATTCAATATCATTGAATATGGGTAAATCATCTGGTCCAATTCCACCGCTAATAAATTGACGGAAATCTCTTCTACAAAGAGAAGAAACGAAGAAAAGGTTTAAAAGGAACAATAGAATGAATATATATTTCTCTTTCCTACCCTGGAGTTTGAGGAGTTGTTACTGCAGCGTAACCGGTAACTCTTACTGGAGGGGTTTCACTTGTAACTTCAATAAAACCGCTATTTTCATCCTTAAAGAAAACATTACTTTTAATTGAATAAGAAGAAAGAGAAGATAAAAAGAAAATAAATTCTATTCAATTATTTTTTTACTTACGGCGGCTGATCTTGAAGTAAATCTTGGCCATTCGGTACCAGATACCAATTTTGTAAATATACCTTCGTAGTTAACTCTTACCTTCTCAAATCGACCAATAAAGTAATGATTAGCATTTTCTACAACCCTATATTGGTAATAATAATAATAATAATAATAATCTATTAATAGACCTCTCTCTTATACAACTATAAAACTTTACCATTGATAATGGACACCAGGGTAACTGTCGAAAGAGAACTTGTTTGAGTCTAACATAAAGAACTCATCGTTACTTGCCGTAACGATGAATGAAGGCATTGTATAATTTCCAATAAATTCTGTTATGGTATAATTAAAGCATTTAAATAAGTTATATATACTGTATATATTAAATAATTAACGATTTGTTTGTCAAAATTGTAAACACATATTTCATTTTTTGTTCTTTTATTACCGTAAGGATCGACCATTTCAGCTAAATCTTTTGTTTCTTGATTGTCTAATCTAGCAGTTAGGTTTTGCGCCCAATAGTCGTAAAAGAAGACGGACCAACCTTCGATTGAACGGTGATGCTCTCTTAAACTCTGTGTTAATTATTATAATTTTAACAAAGTTTAGGCCTATAAATTGTAATTAATCAACTTACAGGTATCATATTGGCAATACCAATACACATTGGTGCCATTCCAAAAACTCTACTATCAACGGCTGCAGCCATATATACAGTCCATCCTCTCTTTAGCGAATAATAAAAAGTAAATAGAACAATCATAAACGTATCAGTTATATTTTAAATTAGATTTCATTTACCTTGCTTGGTCCGGTTAAAAAATACTTTTGAACGTCTAATTCACTATTTTCATTCTTGCAAAAATCAGTTATGGTGTCCATACTTCTAACTGCAGCTTTTCCCATTGGAAAGTTAAGTAACATTTCAGGATTTCTCTCCGCTTTTGGTGTATCCATAAAAATTCTCCAAGTTTTAGAAATAATATCATCTTCAACTCTATCCTTTTCGTCTCCCTATTAGAATCATAAGAAAATTTTACTTATATCTTAATTATTGGTTTTATATTAAAATATCTACCGGAAATCGGATAGGTTGATTTGGTATATTATATAAAATACCTGCAACAGCTCCGGTATTAACTGCGAATTGACCTAATTCATAGATAAAGATATCTTCTTCGGGATCCGGCGCAGGATCATCATTTCTACCCAAACCGATAAACATAAGGGCAGAGTCTTTAACCTTAATTGTTTTCGGTATAACAACAGCAATGTAATTGTACCACAAAGGACGATTCGAAAACGTGTCTATAGGCATAAATATATATATATTTATGTACAATTGTTTAATAACAACAATCAATAATTTACCATCCATCCATCTTAGAGTTGTCTGATTGAGAATAACGATAGTCTTATCATCTTCCTCTAATCTTTGAATTTCATTATAACCATATTCAGGGTCTACTTTGTTAACATAATCTTCGAATGGATGACAAATTGTCAATCCCTTTAGTATTTTATCAAATGGGAAAAGATTGAAAGCATTAAGAGACTTTAACGAAGTAAAAGTTAAATATAGAAAAGGGTTTCCTTACGAGAAATGCGAAGAGAATTATGGATGAAAATATATTCATATTTATAATAATATATGAATAAAATGGATCCCAAACAATATAACTCATGAATAGAGTTTATATATATATATTATTACAGTATTACACCTGTTAATTTACATATATTTTTATCACTTGAACAAAAATTACAGATGTTAATAAGACTCTCTCTCTCTCTGTCTCTGTCTCTCTCTTCTTTCCTTCTTTACCTCCCTTCTCTCGTTCCCTCATTCCATCATCTACCATTTATCCCTTTCTATTATCCTCTCTCCTTCCCTCTCATTCAATATGTGTATACGCATATGTCGTTGTTTTTCTACGTGATTCATTGACACCTATCGCGCCTACTTTACTTTTTTCTCTCTATCTCTCTTTTTATAGGTATGCTCGTTTAAGTTGTATTTATTTACCGAACCTAAAAGAAGTATAATAACTTGTATAACTAGTTCGTTATATATAACAATACAAAACGGTTTATTTAAATATACAATTTAATTATTATATAATCAAATATACATATAATAATTATATTAATATTTCATTAATACTGTTTGATCGTCTATTTGATTCACTGGATACTCTTTAATATACTTTGAATGCCCAGCCGGATAATTGATATTATATGGATCAATTACGAATAAATCCGATGGTCTGCCGCAATTAGGTATTTTGGCTTCTTCTCTTGCGTCAAATCCATTAAATGACTTTGTCTTCGGATGAATTCTATTATAATTTAACAATTGTTTTTAATCCTTAAAAAGCTAGAGATTATTTATAAACACTTACTTTCTATCTCTTTTAGTAGCGCAATAGCAGCATAGGATTAATAGGCCTATAAATAGTAATATAGCCAATATCGTCAAAAAGATGATTAATCCTATACAATAGACGAACACGAATCGTTTTGTTTGAATAAAGGTAAACAATGTAGAAGACAGATTATTATTAATTGTGTAAAAAAATTCAAATATAAACAAAGCAAACCTATTTCTAGACTGCTAAGACCGTCATCTTTAATACGATTTCCTTCGGACGGTTCGACGGTATTTTGATAAGTTGTTTGCTTAGGAGTTGTTAATAAAGTTGAGCTAGATTTTTTAATTGTTGTTGGTGTAGTTTTTATTTGGGTAGTTTTAGTTGTTTTTTGTCTAGTAGAAGTTTCAACTGGTGGTAGAGTAGGTGGTGTGGGAACTTTTCCTTTCCCTTTGATAAAGATTAAACAATGCTTAACTGTCTAGCAGAAATATAATATAGTACATGTATATAAAATAAGGTGATAAAGTACTATTTTACGTTCTCGTTAAGAGATTAGACTCTTATCTCTCTCTCTTTTTTTTTTTAACGTACCGTATCTACAGATAAACCTCCTTAACTCTTGACAATCTTCATCGTTCCACTCGTAGTCAAGAGATGGATCTAGTGTAATACACTTGTGATTTTCGTCGTCTGGTTGACGATCTCCCCAATTATTAAAACCGAATGGTTCACCTCCGCTCCAAGTCCAACCGCCTTTAGACATACCCATCCAATATTGAACTATTCTCTTTTTCTTGTCGTCCACCCTTTCTCTAGATATTTTGATATATTCTATCATATCGTTGTGTTTGTCTAGAGAATCGACTTTTACCAGATCACCCCCAAGATCAATACACTTTTGTCTAGCCGTATACCAAGAATATCGTTGAGGAACACTGGGACTTATATAATAGCATCTTCCAGACGTTTCATTCTTAAAATAGTCGAGAGAATTTCTGCACCATTCAAATCCTTTTTCAAAATACAAAAAGAATGTTCTTAGTTTAGTTGGAAAGGGAAAAATATTTAAAATATTTTTAATGTTAATATTTAACAAGTATAGGCCTAAAGTATACTAACTGATATCGCATATAAATCCCAATAATTTTCTACATTCTTCATCGGCGAATTTATTACTAATTTTGGTATCAAACACTCCGCAATGTTGATAACCTCTATAGTTGTTGGGTTGACCGTAGCCGAATAGGGAATAGGTTCCTGTAGAGGGATAGATAGATAGATAGAGAAATAAATAAGCAAGCGATGTAGTAAGAGAGATTAAAGATTAACGGTTAGGTAATTATCTTATATAATCTATATTCATAATAAATGTAGTAAAGGGGAATTTTCTCTTTCCCTTTTAAAAATACATTTATAAATAAGAAGTTAATCTATATAAAGACAAATATTGATAAATACCATCTACTCTCCAAATAAAGTTTTGATTGACGCCACCGCACCAAGCAACCGTTCCTGGTATACTTCCTGAACACGACTTTTTACATCCATTTGCTTGAAAACCGTGTTTGCCGAATGAATTACCGCAAAAACAATCTTTTCCATTCTGAACATAAGATTTTAATTGACCGTTATTTTTTTTTGTTTTTTAAGGACGTAAAAAGTAATCAAACCTGAACGGCGGCGTAAGTGTAACCTCTGGCCTTGCAGCTTGACATACACTTAGAAGGTAATAGAAGAGGAATTTCAACAACAACGCTCAAATCTCTATCGTTTGGTTTATCTTTATAGCACCCTTGCGCGGCTAAGAGCGAACCGTCGGTTACCCACATCCATAGAAATTCCCTTTCTTGACCACCGATCCACGATGCGTCTAAAGCGCTAGATTTAATTAGTACATCCTTAAGTTTTTTGTTGATAGTTGTAGTTGGAACGGTAGCTAAAGTTCCACCAGTTTTTTTACACTCATCCTCAGCCTTTTCCCACGTAAGGAACTTTTCTGACAAGATATAACAGTAATCTTCAAAGAACAATCCATTACACGGGAATGGAGTCGTCGCTGAAAAGGAAGACGAAAACTATTCGTAGAGAAGGAAAGGAGGTTAAGGGTGGGAGATGTGGAAAAGAGGGGGGGAAAAAAGGGAGGAAGAAGGAGATTAGGAACAGACAAAGAGAAAAGGGAAAAGAAAGTGACTACATACCCGTACAAAATTTCAAGCTTAACAAAAGGACGACTAGGAACATATTGTTGTTTTTAAAAAAAAATGCAGAGTGAAGCAGAGATTATTTTTCGAATATTTACCCGCGTAAACAGGGTATCGTGCAAACAATAGGTGGCGTGCGTGCGGTTGGTGAGCGGAGAAAGATTCAAATTACTAGAATTAAGTAAAAAAGAAAAATATGTCGGCTTGTTTAAACGAATCTTTTAGTAGTTTTTTCTTAATATGTTTATTAAGTATAATAATAAACTTGGGTGGAAAAAAACATATACAAGGTATATATGCATATTAAATGGGAGCGGCAAATGGAATGTCTTCTCCTCCGCCTTCTCTCTCTCTCTTTTTTTTTCACCCACTCATTCACTCCTTTTCTCTCTCTCTCTCTCTCTTCTTTCATTCGTCTCTTAGTCCTTACGTAAGCCTCAAGATAAAAATAGCCAAAAAGGGGATAAGGGGCGGGGTTAGAAAATGAGACGTGTACGGATAAATGGGAAAAGAAGGAGGGGTTAAAAAGTAAAAAAAAATAAAAGGGTTATTTCCTTTCTTTCCTGCCCTGACACATTGCTTAAAGACTCTTGTTGGGCATTCGACTTAAAGATAATAGAAACAATCGGAACGTAATCTGTTTAATAAACGCGTTTAGGCGTGTTCGGCGCGTTCAACTCGTCTATAAAAGGCGGCGTAGTCCCGGACAACTTCGATTGCAGGCTAAGCGTTCAAAGTCAGCGGAACGGTAAGTTTAACGCTATAAAAGTTTATTTTAGGCCGCACCTATTTCTTATCTCTCTTTTCCTAATGAACAGTAATTAGGGAAGAGAATTTAGCATTCTACCAATATGTATATATACTATGTTAGTGAATATAGTTTATTCTATATACGTATCGTTTTAATTGGTGTTCAATAGAATATTTTAATCAATGATGTGAGAAAAGAAGAAAGGCATGAAGAGAATGATTTTTCTCTTAAACATCAAAAGAGAGATTTTTAATAAATTTCAATATAGACTATATTGCTTAGATTAATACAGAAATTGAACGAAATTTGCGACAGGAGTCGACGATTAGGCTTATCAGTCATATATTTTTTAATACTTATAACGAGAGTCTTATCGCTATCGAACTCTAAAAAGAAATCTTTTTGCAAGGCCTACTATTTGCATTAAAAAATAATAATAATACCCGAAACACGTTCATAACTCTTGAACAAGTTTGAACGGAGTTTAAATATCGTTTACAATTTTCTATAATATTTTTTTTTACAGCTTTTTCCTTAAATACTGCATTCCCGTCAACTGCATTTGATAATGTTGTGACGTTAATCAATTCTAAAGAGGGGGAAGGGAAGGCGGATTCCCTTTCGAAGGACTGAATATTATTTGGAAATGATAAAGAATTTGGTTTTTTCTGGAGATTCAGAGAGTACGAGGAGGAAGAAGGGGAGATTTGAATTATTAACTAAACTAAAACAATAAAAGAATACGAAAAGGAGAAGGAAGAAGAAAAATAAGGAGATTTTCTCCGTATTTTTTCTTATTCTCTCGAATTGAATGACGATCAAGCGAGTTTTTAAATAGGTATGATATTTTCACAAACCTTAAATCTAAGCTATTGACTACTATATGAACGTAAGATTCTGTCTTTTGTCAATTAGCAATAGAGATTATAAATGAAAATGTTCAATCACGTTTCTAATAGCTTTATTGATTGGTCTTTTGCATATATTTACTTAATCAGAGGTTCGTGTTTCTTTCAGAAAATACGCAAACAACAAACGATAATACGAAATATTCAAAGTCTTCTCTTGTTGTATTCTCCCCCACCCAGTCCCATACCGACTCTTCCTCTCTCGCTCTGTCACACACATACACACTCTCTACCTCTTATATACACACTCATACACCGACACACATACACACACTAGCACATAAATACACAATCTTCTGAACGTTCTACTCTCTTTGTCCCCCCTGCCCCTCCCCCTCTACTACTATTGGAATGTAGTTGTAAGTATATCATATAGGCCAAAGTAAAGTTATAAAGCCTTATCTTTTTTTTTTCATTAAATCTAGGACGCTGATTTTGGCAAGAAGAAAAAAATACTCGCTTCATTATTACAACAAGAAAAAGAATTAAAGTTCTTTTTTTTTTATTTGATTTTTTTTTCTCTTTACGAAAACAAAAAGACAAAAAAAAAGAAAAAAAAAACAAACTGCACTGTTCCAATATGTGCCAAAAGTTGGGTTTCTTTTCTCTGTTTGTTTTCTTCATCTATCTTCTTCGCCCTTTCTTAATCTTCTTCTAAATCACTACACACGCAAGTTTTTAGTGTGAGAAAGTAGTGTTTTATTCCACCACCACTACCACCACGACCACTACGACCACCACCATCAATAATAACATCGACAACACTACCACTACTTCTACTACTAGAATCAAAACAGAACAAGAACAAACGTTAGCAACTTCACACCTATTTTTTTTAACTATTTTTTTTAATTGGTTTGCCGTCGTCATTTGATAAAAAAAATGATAAAAGAAGAGAAGCTAGTCGTAGACAGAAAATAAGTAATGTTTGTTCTCCCCCCTCCCCCCACACACCTTCTACGAACAAACAAGAATAGTGGTTTTTAATCTTTCCTTTCTCCCTTTATCTTTCTTAATCTATCGATTATCATTTATAATTATTGCACAATTTTAACTATGTTTTGGTTTTGTTTGTTTTGTTTTTTCTCTTTTTTTTTTTTGGATTAATTATGAAAAAAGATGTTTGTCGGTGTTTGTGTGCCAATTTAGAAAAACAGAAAATTGTATAGTGTACTAAAAAAATGGGAAAGATAACTTTTTTTTTTTAAAAGTAGGTTAGTTACTTAATTAATTAATTAATTAATTAGATAGTTAGTTAATTATTGTTGTATTTTTTTTTATAGCTTTTTTATAGATGATTTGCTTTTTTTTTTTAATTTTGGTGTTGTAACAAAAAAACAGAAAATTTGAACTAATTTTCTATTGATGTTGTAATGGTTTGGCTTATTTATTCACAGGTACACAGATGATAGTGTACCGCATCTAATGTAGACAGTATTTGATTGCAGTGTATCGAAGCAAAAACTGTGATAATTCTAACTAATATGTTTATAATTTTGTTTTTTGTAACAACTAAAATCACAATCCATTTCTTTTTCTTTATGAAAAAATTCCCTATCAAATTCCGTCCAAAGGGTTTTTTTTTCTCTTAATTAAAAGTTTATATTATTATGTAAATATATATATATATAATAATATTGTATAATGAATATTCATGATTAATATATTATGTTTGTTTTTTTGTTTTTTATATTAATGAACAAAAAAATAGAGGAGCATATCTGTCTCAGTGATGCTTTATCGGTGTTGTGCGAAATAAATTTGAATTATTTTAAATAGCTATTGCTAAAAGGCGTTACTTTTTAATTTCCGGAAGAATCCTTTGTTAAAGGAAAGAGTAAATATAAAAAGAAATGTTTATATTCTCTTTTTTTTTTACAATCTTTATAAAATTTTATTACGTAAAGTTAAAAGTAATCATTTTATTAGTAAATAAAAAAGAAACTAGTGTACTGTACTACCTTGTACCTTGTATATTAGTAATAAAAGTAGTAACTTTATATGCTTGTATATACAGTATAGTCGAGTTTGAACTTTTTCTTCTTCTTCTTCTTCTTCTTCTTCTTCTTCGTCTTCTTATTACGCTGTCCAATATAATTTCATTAACAATATCTATTTAAATACGTCTTTATATATTCTGTTGTAAGGATATTTTATTAATACTATTTTCTTTCTTTTTGACGTTTATATAATCCTATACAATTTGAATAAAAGTAGCCAAGTTATGCAGGAGAAATCTTGTATAGATTTGTAACTAAATGAGTTTCGAAAAGTCATATTTTCTCTTTTCTCTCAAAATATAATTATATTGCGATATATACAGTATACATATTAATATTTAGAGAGATAGAGAGAGATAGAGAGACAGACAGACAGACAGAAACGGGGCGTAGACAATCGTTTAATCACACTACACGAAATCAGGTGCTAAAGCCTTTTCTAAGGAGTAACGAAGACGAAAAAACAAACATATTATAAACAAATATTTTATCGTTCTATCGTTCTTTTTCTAATAGGCGTGATTGGAGACAAACAAGCTAGCACCAGCAGCGGCGCTTTCGATTTTTCCGTCGTACTTTCCCAAAGCTGCTTGACCGTTAGCTCTCGCCCTCTTCAACAATTCATCCTGACCTTTGCCAACATTATCCTTACTTCCTTTCCATGCTTTTAGAACTGAAGCTTGTAAAGCTCTACCGTAAGAGAAGGTTAAAGCCCATGGTTTCTTCCCTTCGAATTTATTTATTGCGTTCAAGTTAACCGACGCGTCCTGTTCGCTTTGACCTCCAGATAAGAAGGTGACACCTGGAACGGCAGCCGGTACGGTACGTTGTAAAGCAGTAACCTGTCAGTAAAATAGTACATAAGAGTTGTTTATTTAATAACAATAGATTGTTTTGCGCTTTACCGTTGCTCTTGCAATTTCTTCAGGGGTGCTTCTCTTTGGACAAGATTGTCCAGGAGTGACCATGTTTGGTTTCAACAAAGTACCTTCGAGGTAGACATGATGATCTGCTAGTGCCTTGTAGACGAATGCCAAAACTTGTTCAGATACCTTTTGGCAAGTTTCTAAATCGTGATCGCCGTCAGGTAAAATTTCTGGCTCAACGATGGGCACCAATCCATTCTGTTGGCAAATACTTGCGTATCTTGCCAAGACGTTAGCGTTCTCCAACATACCCTGTAGGCTAGGTGTATGAGATTGGATTTTAAGGACGCAACGCCATTTTGCGAAATCAGCTCCGCCCTTCTTATATTCGGCGCATCTTTCTGCTAAACCATCCAAACCTTGAGTTGTTACTTCGCCATCACTGCCGGCCAAGGGTACAACGCCCTTGTCGACCTTAATACCGGGAATAATACCGATCGACTTGAGCAAGTCGGGGAAGAGTCGCCCTTGGTCGTCCTTTTGGTAGAAGGTTTCGTGAAACAAAATTACTCCCGAAATATGTTGAGACAGCAGTTTTGCTTCCGTAGAAAAGAGCAATTGTCTGTATAGACGTCTGTTCTCTTCAGCGTTTTCAACGTTGATATCAGTCAAACGTTTACCCATGGTTCCAGTCGATTCATCGGCAGCCAAAATGCCCTTGCCAGGAGCAACAATGGCATCGGCAATTCTCTTCAATTCAGCTTTCTTCTCCTCCGACAAGTATGTTCCGAAACGGGGCATTTTCAATTTCTTCTTGCAATATATAGATTATCTATTAATCTATTCGATAACAGTTAATTATGCTATCTCACCTGTTCTTTAACGACTAAACTGCAACGAGCAAAGACCTCGACTAAAATATATTCTCTAGTATAGGGCACACCGACCTTCAAGGGTCGAAACGGCTAAACTTTATCTGCAAACGAGAAAGTCATATCACGTGATACGCTATAAAGCAGCTATATTCTAAGCTCGATCTTATGAATATTTACGAATCAACTGCAAGTTGAAGGGCATTTTCCAGACATATATAATATTATTTTAACCGATAAAAAGACTTTGTCTTTCGGAAAAGAAATAATTTTAAAACTATTTATTACGTAATTTTAATTAATTTATTAAAGGATAAACAAATCTATGATATGTGTATTATTATTAAGAGAGAGAAAAATATCCGGGTAAAAAGTTAAGAATAATAGAGTGAGAGAGAGAGAGAGACAGAGAAACAGATAGAGAAGAGAAAAGAAATAGCCAAGTTAGTTTTATATTTTTTATCAAGAACTAGGCTTAAAAAACCATAGTAGTAGCCAATCAGATTCGAATTAAAATATACGAATAATAAAACAATCGCTTAAAATCTCCATATATAAATTAAATAACCCTTTTTTTATATTTGCGATTCGTATTTACCCCCTCTTTGACGAGGAGGTGCTTTTATAGGCCTTAAAGCATCAACATTCCAAGCTCTTAGGTGAAGTAGTGCTTCGTTTAGTACATCGCACCAAACAACTCGTTCTTCTCTTGTATCGGCCGATAGCCAGAATCTTGTCGAAGTCATAGTGTTTGAACAGCTTGTTACAAGTGTATCATGATCTCCTCTTGTTTGTCTTCTTACGCAAACTAATTCAAAAGTATTTGGTCTAGCACATATATCTCTCGGAATTAAATCTATTGATTGCGTAATACAATTTTTCATATCTATAAAACCTATTGGTTCCATATTTTCTTTTTCTTCGCTTGGATACTTCCAATAAAATATTCGTCCATTTTTTAATTTACACCATCGTCTATCCCATGCTCCTAGGCCGCTGACATCTTCGAACATGGTTAACCATCCACTCTCTTCTATTGTACTTTCCATACTACATTGAATAGTAACGTGTAGGGAACCGGAAAGGGGGCAAGACTTCGGAACCCTTTCTAAACCAAAATGATTTTTTCCCAAAGAATTCATATCGAGTGTTGTGGAAGTTACTTGGGCAAAATTGCTAATTCTAACGACATTTGGCCCATGCGGATGGGAAAGTTTAGATTTTTTCGGCGTCTTCTTCTTAAAGGGTGACATAGGTTGAGTTAATGGAACAGACATTGTATAAACTTCTACGTCAATTTTGAAATCTTGAGTTATATCCGAAAATTTCACCATATTTGGAAATTCCATTAATCCTCTGACCATACCGTCGTGAGTCGAGACCATTTCAGTAAAGACAACCCTATCTCTTTGTCGAAGTGATACAATAAAGAAGTGTGCGAATCTATCATGCTGGGTCCCAACTCGGCCCATGAAATCTGTTTTCAAAGGTAATCGAATATCAGATAAGGTAATCGATCCTCTAGGCCCGTTAGACGTGGGAACCCTTCCTAAGGCTTTTAATTTATTTCTCTCAGCAAGAGCGGCTTCCCGTCTTTTACAAGCAACCAACAACAGACGATTGCACTCAACTTGCTCCACACTTCCGCCAGCGAAAGGCGAATCGGTCGATATCGTATTTAAAGCGTTCGACGTTTGATTGATAACGTTTTGTTGATGTTGTACTGTAGCTTCTAATTCCGCTAGACGCTGGGCTATACAAGGTTCTGGTGCTTTTGGTTTCTTTAGAACAGTACTCGTCTCACCCGCCAATTTTGCCGCTCCTCTTTTATGCATTTCGCTTTGTCGAACAATAGTTTTAACAGGTTCCGGTCCATTTGTTAAGTTACTACTCTTCCTATACATGTCAACGCTAATATAGCAAGGTTGTTCGTCATCTGTGGTAGTCACATCCGATTCAATGTTATGACGCTTAGCGGGTATTGGTTTAGCTCTCATAACTACGGTTGTGGGCTGCTCAACCGACGAAGAACTACACACAGACGTTGAATCACTGGACGAACTGGATGTTGGCTTAAAATGCACTCTTCGTTGATCAAAAGCAGTGGGTGTTCTCTTCTTTTGCTCCTCCATAGACGATTCACTATCAATACTTCCCAAAGTATACTCTTCATCGTTGTACTCTTCGTCATCTTGTAAATCTCCCGTCTCCTCAGCTTCTTCGCTATGTAAATATTAGTTCCTTTATTGAACTATTTGACAATATTCACGTAGAATACCCACCTATAAGAGGATTCAGAAACTTCAAAAGACTCTTCCGTTGATGTTGTAACCTCTGTAATTTCTTCTTCGTACTCCTCCTCATCGCTTTCCACTTGTTGTGCTTGTGCAACTTCATTTTTCGGCTTCTTATAATTAACCTCAAGAGGATCTTCATCAGTAGTATAGAAATCATCATCCGTAGGTGTTTTAACATTTGAAGGACGATGAGCTTGAGGCGTAGATTTTTCATTAGCAGCTTTAATAAATTTATAAATACTACTAGTGCTCTGTTTTTCCACTTCACGTGGCTTAGGAGTAGATTCCCTTGGGCCTTCGATTTGCTTGGGTGTCTTTGCTTTTCTTTCAGTTAAATCTGCTGTAGCAACGTGTCCAAGATTAGCGACAGAATTAATTTCAAAACCCATTGCACGTAAATTGCGCTCGTATTCTGTTGAGTAAATTTCTGGATTAAGCGTTAGTAGTAGGGGACTGATTAACTGGGTAAAGGGTTCTATAAAGCAGCGCGAAAATTGGCTAAAGGCTAATAATTACGCAAAATTCTTTACTAAAAATATATCTCATTACCTGTTACTATACCCTTTTTACCCGCACTTTTCGGGTTAATAGGTACGGATGGTGAACTTGTCATTGGGTCGGGGTTCGACGCAGTTGCTGTTACAGATGTCGTAGGTTTGGGTTCTGCTTTTGGTGTTTGACTAACATGATTCCTTGGTGCGGGCACTCGTGCTGATACAACATCTTGCGATACGGAAGCTAAGCTTTTGTTTTCTCTTTGACTATGCGCTATCGGTGTTGATGGTTTATTTACTCGTTTGGGAGTATATGTATCTCTCGTTAGCGCTTCACTTTCCTCTATTCTTTTTTCCCAAATATTTTTCCTTGCAAGCACTGGCATCTTCGTCGGTTCAAAACTATCCCTTCTGTTAGTGGTTATATTATCAGTTTTCTTCTCCCATATCTTCTTACGTTCTTGAACTTCGGGAACTTTTTCCGTCTTCCTTTCCGTTTCGTTTTTCTTGATAGCTTCTTCCCATAATTTTGTACGAACTGTAGTTGTGGTAGCTGCTGCTGGTGATGGTACTGTTGCGGTAGGAGGTGGATTGGAAATGATTCTTGGAGCCATAACTGGATTTGGTCTAATAGACGAAGGAGAAGTTGGACTAAACTTCACGGGGGAAAAGCTTTTTGTCGGTGTTTTAATGAAAGAGGGTGTCTTATTAAGTTTTGTTGATTCTTCTTCTTGAATAGGAGGGGCGGGAGGGGGTGGTGCTGGAGCTTGAGTTTTCTTTGGTTTTTCATTTTCGACGTTATCAATTAGCTTGCTTGTAGAGGCATTTTTCTTGGGCGAGTTATACTGTGCGCTTGGCGACTTCGGTGGAGTCCAAACTTTAGGCTTATCCGGTGAACTGTTGTTACAAAGGTTAATTAAACGACTGCTTTATTTAAAAACAACATGTCAGATACTACCTAACTAAATTTCTGACTTGATTAGGCGTTCTTTGTGGTGAATTATATTGTGCGCTTGGGGATTGAGGGGGCGTCCAGACTCTTTTGGGCTTTTCTGGTGATTCCCTATAGTCAACGCGATTTAGATCATCATCCCATGAATTAATATTATCAGCCAATCTAGCTAGCCGACATTTACGAGCTCTGAAAGAAGGTCTTGCTTCTAAGTGATCAAAAGATGGGAATTTAACAGAGTTTTTTGAGGGTCCATCATCTACGTCGCTCTTCTGTCTTTTTGGCGGTGATTCTTTGTTCGGTGTAGTATTCTTAACATCGCTTAGTGGCGTTCTTCGTTTTGTTCCGCATAGTTCCTCAGTGGAATGTAGCTTGTTCGATGAATCATTTATAGGTGATACGCATAGTTCGGCTTTCTTCCTTTCCAAAGCCTCCCGTCGTCTTCTCGTCTTCTCTATAATATCCTACGATGTGGTAATAAACGTTAAATACAAACTAAAGGACTTTATTGGTAGCGATCGTACAAGCTACGTAATAGGATCAGCGTGTTTAAAAGTCGGTCAAATAGAAACTGTAAACATCTCTCTAATGTGTTCGTAAACAGCTTCATATTCCATCTTAGGAAATATGATATTTGTATATAATAAACTTCACTTAAACACATTATCTTTAAACAATGCCTAAGATGAAATAAAGCTCTCATTTCTGCTCATTCTTTTTTAAGTGAAGACTTGCCTCACAAATAACGGCCGATCTAAATCTATGCAATTATTAGATAAACTCTAATAGGTATAAAATAATAGTGCCTTACCAATGTACTTTGATCCATTATAGAGGAGTGTAATTACTTAACCTCTGTAGGAATAAATAACCAATAATTGAAATTAAGTTTTCAAAACACGGCGGTTACAGGTGCGGTCTCGTGAATTCTCGTCGATTGAAAAGTTTGAATTAGACAGGTTTGGCGCCTGTAAAAAACGGTTTTCACTATTAACTGGAACAGGTAACCCTATAGTTACGATATCACATGACTTAACTGGCATTTAATTCAAACTGTATTTCTTACAATATCAAATATACCGTTATTACAGCTTTACAATAACCGCTTCCATATATAGCATTATTAATATAATGCTAAAAAAGTGAACTGTACATGAATCTTGTGTGACAATTCTAAGTGACACGAGACAAAGAACAAAGAATCCTAATTTTTTTTGTTATTTGCACCTCCAAATAAATAATGATTAACTTTTTAAGCAAGCTCAGTTTCTTTCAATCTTTCATTAAGCCATTTTTCCATGATTTTACCACATTTGTATACTTCAGCCTTGGTGACGTTGTACTGAAAACAATTCTTCAACATCAAACGCAAATCCTCAATAATTTGTTGAGAATCATTATACTCTAAACGATTCATTTTGGCTTTAATTGTCCTAACGTCCATAGGATTAGTTATAAATTCATAATAATCCGGTACCGCTTTCTTACTAACAGGTTTAAGGAATGGCCAAGCATCTTCATGAAGAGCGAATTCATTAACTAACTCTTCGATTTTCTTAAGAGACCTACGTCCTCCTCGTTTTGTTCTACCTCCTTCGACTTTTTGTCGTTTTGCCTGCTGTGTATCTTGATCGTTTGTTTCATTAGTTGTTCGTTTTCGTTTTCTTCCACCCCTTAGTTCATTTGTACTTTCATTGGTTGATTCTGACTTTTTATTATTTTTAGGTTTAGCCTTTTTATTATCCGTACTTGACGTTTGCTGTTGTTTGCTTCGAGTGGAACTGCTTCTTTGTATTTCATTATTTTTGTTGTTTCTATTGCTTCGTCGATTGGACATCTCTTTAGGTGTACCTTCTCTGGAGGCTGGTAGACTGCTTCTATTTCTTAATTTTCTCTCTACGACGGCAAAAAGGAAAATTAGTCGTTAATATAAATAAACAAATCCACATTTAGTAAATAAATAACTTACTGCTTCCGATAGATTTAATTTTCATGACAGGTGGAGAAGTTCTACTTTCCGAATCGGACGATTCGTCTTCATTCTCTTCTGTTTTATTGGTGGCCGAACTATTCATACTGTCATTCTCCTCTTCGCTTTCCTCTTCCTCATCTGTTTCCAGGACAACACGACTCTTTCCTTTCCTCGGGGATATGTCTTTTGGTTTACAGGCTTGGCAATACCAATTACCTTCGGGAATTTTCTAAAAAAGGGGACAGTAAAGTTAATTGTCTGCAAGTAGTTCTCAGAGAAAGGCGTACTGGGACCAAACTCTGTCGTTGGCTTACAATTTTTTTTTACATTACCTAATAAGAGAATAAGCTAACTATATACAAATCCCCATTTTTTTTACCATTCATAACTTATCGCCATGTATGGTAAGATGAGTAATGTTAAATATCTAGGTACATGAGATTAAAATAACAATAACCAACCTTAACAGGTGGTTTGAGGCAGTATGTATGATGCCCTCGATCACATCCATCACATAAAAGCATTTGATCTGCACCTCCCTTTCTTCGGCATATTTTACATCTAGTATGTAATACACTTTTTTCCCAAATAACTGAACTGTCCAAAATAGCAATGCAAACAAACAATTGAGCCAGCGATGTTGCTTGCATTAAATGATATTCCCATCGTTCGAAAGGTAATCCCAATTCTATTTCACCATTTTGTTCGATGAGGGCTGAATCTACAGTGCCTTTGAAAGTGGCTTCTAACAGTGCCTTTTGCTTTTTAAGCCGATTTTCATCCTTATCGCCTAAAGGGCGCTGCAGGAATCTTTTCTCAATAGCTTGTCCTAATTGTAATATGGAGGCAGCCAAAATTTTAACTCTTGAACTCTCCTCATCTTTTATGAGACGAGTAACTAAATCTGAGTTTTCGTTACACTTGTGCCAGGCTAACGAGCTTGCTTGTACGTCGTACGACTTTTTTAGGATTTTAGATCGCCAAATGTCTCTGTCTCTTACTTTTAAATTACCTAACTGACTGACATATAACCTATCCTCTAAATCTAAAATCATATCTCTTAAACATATTTCACTCTTGTCCGATTTCTCTTCATTTACTTCCATTGGTTCCTCTTCAGACTTTTTACTATCTTCTGGATTCCAGCAGTTTTTGGACGATAAGTTATTTATAACATAATCTTTAATACGTAAAAGACAATTCTTTAATGCATGTTCCTTAACTCCCCTGGTGCTTAATAATGAAATTAAAGACGTTATTTCTTTTTTAGTGCTATAATAGGACCATCGAATTTTTCCACGATTCTTAATAGACTCCGCAACGGTAATCGTTTTTAAAGGTTCTGAATCTATTTCTATTGTATTTTTTTCATCTTCATTGACAAGAGCAACTTCGTCTGCTAATTTAGTTTTTAACAATTGCTCTCTTTGCTTTTTAATTTCGGGCGGTGGGCCAATTTGTTCAACAACACTAAACGTTGATTCCTGCATGTCTGGACAGCCATCGTCTTCTACAAGAATTCCGCTTACGTAAGGTATATACCAATATTTTCTAAATGTTCGATCATAACCAATTGGACGTAAATTAACGATCGATTGTAAATTGAATATTTTTGTTTGAAGCTCTTCGACAAGAGCATTATGAGCTTTATTCATGGCAGTCTTTGTTTCGTCAGTTATTCTCGACCAATCGATTTCTTCAGGAGTTTGGTCTAAGAGGTAGGCAACAGATTTGATTTCTTTATCTTCTTTTTTTCCACCTCTAGCCCTTGTACTCCTTTTGACTTGAGGAGAGTCTTTTTGAGAATTTTCCTGACTTTCACCTGATTTCTCTGAGTTTTTATCGGCATTTTCAGAATTATCTGATGCTTGTTTAGCAATTTCCATTTTATAAGCAGTTTCAGATCGTTCACGCCTTAAGTATAATTTTTTTAGCTGAACCAATTCTGCCTGCATTTCTCTAATATTTTGGATTTTCTCATCGATAACATCCCTAAAAGCGTCTAATAATTGTTCAGAGAGAGCAACCAATACTTTCAATTTGACTTCTAAGGAGAATTCCGTAATATTCTTTTCTAGAAGTGATCTTAAAATATTAGGATAAGATTTCTTTAACCGTAAGCAAGCATCCTGATCGGTTTTATCTCCGCAACCGGATGATAGTAAATGTAGACGTAAAATTTCTGATACAGTAAAAGCATCTAGTTGTAGGGATTGTATAGAATGATCTGTGTTATGGAATTAGATATAATACATAATAGATCTTTATAGTCTTATAATCAATTAACGATTAGTTTATGTTGATATAAATACTTACTATATCGTAAAAGGGCCAATTTTGTTCCTCGCTTAGTGGCGATCAATTCGTAATCGGACGTTTTGTCATTAAACATGTATTCGTCTTCGCTTTCGTAGCTCTTAATATTTTCGTTAACATCTTCCAAATTATCGTCGTCGTGTAAGGTCAACAGGTGGCTATTTTCGGGCAAACAATTATTTTACACAGATATATACAATGATATTTACTTACCCCAAAAACATAACTAATATCTCGGAATATAACCCATCAACTTCCGTAACGGTTAATGCTCTACATAAGCTTTCTACGGTTACCTTTTCACTTAGACTATTTTTAATGTCCAACATATCTCCGAATAAAATGCAACATGATACTAAACTGAAAATATCTCCTATAAAGTCTGATGGAATGTTGTGAGGTAGTATAATTTCCCTAGAAATAGGAAGAGGCTCCAAGTCCTCGCATTGAAGATCTTCTCTCGGTTTTGCCCAATCTCTAAGCCATTGTTCCCTTTCTAATCTTTCATTTTTGGCTTGTAATCGTTTTTGCATTTGCATATCTCTTAATTGTTCTTTATTCATTTTTATCTCTTGCATTCTTTTTTCTTTCATACTCAAATGCTCTTTAAGTTCTGATAGAGACATATCTTCAACTTTCTTTGATTTAATTTTCTTTTTCTCGATTTTATCAACAGGAAGTGCGAAATGGGGATAAGGTCCATCAAAAAGATCAAGCCAAGACAAAGTATCAATTTCATATTCTTTCCTTGAGTTATCCTACCGAGAGAGACAAAAAAGAGCATGTATATTAAATTAGCACTATTTACACATATGACTTTATTTTTTTTAGAGATTAAAAGAGATAATAAGCTGCTACCTTAACAATCCAAATTCCTGTAGTTTTTGACTCACAGTTACATTTCAATACTAATTTTAATTTTTCTCTACTAAATTCGCTTTTTGGTCGGCTAAAATGTGAATATTATAGAAATGTTCATCAATTTTTATAATTGTATACAAACCATAAACGATCGTATCGAACAAAATGTGTCTTTTTTGCGCCTTCTTCTTGTATTTCATATTTATACTTTCGGGGTGGTAAGCTCTTAAATTCCTTTTTACTTTCACTGGACCTACGAGATCATTTTAGAAAGTGTTGTTTTCAATGACAAGATATAAATAATCAATATTGAAATATATACTTTGAGTGATCAGCCAATTTCTCTTCGTCTTCATCGCTTATGACTATAGCATCTTCACTAGATAGTCCGTTTGATTTAGATTGGCTATCGTCCAATTTAATAGGATTACTTGTCGGCGCCCTAACGCTAATTATCTTACATTTTTTCCTATACGAGAAAAATGAATTATTAATGTAACGATCTGTGTGAAATGTCGCAACTACGCACTTTGTATTTTGTGAGAGGAGGTAGACAGCTTCGTTGATGAAATATCTATCCTTTACAAAAGAATAAACGTCTTCGACAACCTCACTAAATCTTTGACGGTGGGTTAAAGTAACCAAATATATCATAGATCTTTTAAGAATAGTATTCATAGCTTGTAAAGTATCAAGGCATTTCCTTTCATTATCCTCTGCCTCAGCGTAAGTTAAACCCGATTTACCGCTATATGAACACGACCAGACCAAAGCATTGCAGAGAATAATTCGAGAGTAGAATTTTCTGTAAAAAATTAACAATGTTATTGGTCATAGAAATTCGAATATCAAATCTTACTCATAATCTGTAAAGATTTCATCAGTCTGGGGACAGTAGAAGACCTCATCGTCCAATTTAACACCACTAGGTGTTGGTTCCTTGACGAAACGCTCCTTTTGGTATAGAGGCATTCTCAGATTTGAGCCTAAAATATAAATTACACAGTTAATCAATTTTCAATCCACGTGCTTTTAAAATTATATTTGTAATCTTTAGTTAAATACCTATTATATACCGGGAAACAACGATTTTGGGGGGAAATCACCTAAATTCGAAGATCAGATCGAATTTAATGTCAAACAAATGGCAGCATCGTACCGATGCCTCGTCGTTACTTTTTCAACACCAGTAATTTCGAGACAACTAGTAGAGTTTTATGGTAATTATGATCATATAATGATCACGTTTCTAACTTCAGTTTTACTGAAAATCAAGATAACTTATACTAGCCTCTTTTCACAAAAAATGAGACGAAAAATTTCGTAGAAACATATAAAATTCTTGAAAATGTTTAGCCGATATTTAGCCAGAAAGAAAATCTTCAAGGCAGGCGCTCAATCTTCCAAATTGTAACGAGCCTTGTGATTGGTTTATCCTACGGTCGAGTTTGCGCCTTTTTCTATGATTGGTCAGTTTCTTTAGTAGCAGGCGCGCATTTATTTTCTGAGCGCGCAGGCCTATCGTAACGCGGGAGATGGAATAATATGAATATAAATTATTTTATTTCATAGTAAAAGATATAAATACTGCATTTTTAACGATTTTTTATAGACACTGTTTGTTTTAAGCCACATATTCTTGTCTTTATATTTCGTCTGTTCTAAAAACAATGGTTTTCGAAAACAAAGAGATTCAACAACAACATGGGTGAAAAATTTGGCACTTGGGAAATTCGGATGCTTTAAACTAATCCAATTTCGAAATAGTTAATATAATTTTTCCTTCAAATAAAGGTAACGGTTCATTGTCGTCTGTTATTTCTTCATTGACAATACCCACGTCAAATTCTGATGATTCTTTTTTGACAAAAAACCTAAAAAAATTAATTAATACATTAGTTTTAATTGTTAAAAACAACACGTTTAAATTTTTGTTGAAATTTCTATTAGTAATGCTGATAAATTTCTTACCGGCAATTTGGTCCTTTTTTAATATGGTGCTTTATTTGTGCTAATGTAATATTTTGACCGGGCATTGTAAATTTGTAGGGTATTTCTTCATCAGCAAAAAAGTAGCCGACAACTGTGAAATTTTGTTGAGAAACTGGACGTTTTTTAGAATTGTGTTGATTTAATGTTGACGTATTTGAACGTTGACTGGCTATCACTGTGGATGAGTTTGACTTGTGACTTTTCCTTTGTGACGATGGATCAGAATTTTCGCCTGATTTATGGCCAACGTTATCTTTATCCATCATCCATTGAAGCACCCTAAATTTTTTTGTAAATTTGCAAATAATAATACTTAAAACATTTATATTAATTAGTTTACATACTTTTGACCATTGTCCAAATTAGAGACATCTGAATCTGCAGCTGGTTTTTTTGTTTTTGAAACATTATGGACTTTTTGATGTTTTTCACTAGAATCGGATGAGTGTGATGCGTGAAATGCGCTAAAAGATAATGAATGCATGAATGACGTAGGTAGCGATGCTTCGTGAAGTTCTTTTTTCCGTTTTTCTTGCCATGCATTTCCGGAGAAGACACGCACCACATGTTCATCTAAAATGTTTTGAGGATCATCGGCATTTGTCGAATCCATGAGTGACATATCGGATGAGTAATTCATTTTTGTACTATCTTCAGTATTCCGTAGCTTTGCTTTGACTATTCGTTCGCTCTCTTTACATCCTTGACTTGATCGTAAATACTCATTCAACCGTTCGACTAACTGTTTATGAAACTCAGCGGGATTCGATTCTGCTAAATTTCCTTTGCCCGGTCCACGGAGCCGCTGAGTTCAAAGAAAAATTTTTCAAATGCCTTCTTTAAAGAATTTATGCTAATTTGAAAAACAGAACTTACCGGTATATCTAAATAGCCGACAGCAGTTTTATTAAGTGAAGCATATTGTTGCATAAACCTCTGATTACGTCGAAAATGACGTCTTCTACTCTCGCCGCCATCACCTGCCACTCGAACACAATCCCTTTATAGGGAAAAATTTTATCAATAAAAACCAATATTTACTCTCAACACTGTTAAACGAAGCATTATAATTTAATTCAACTTACAAACTGGAATCCGTTAATGAAAGAGTATCATCTGTTAACGCGTCGCTCGATAAGCTTTGTAATTCGCTATCTTGGGCCGAAACAGGGACATACGCGCAATAATATGGATTAGATTTCTTTTCATTTTCATCTTCAACGTGAACTCTGTTCAAATAAGCACAATAAAACTAAATGAAATAGTCTGATGCAAATGAACAATATTCGCGCAACTAGTAATTAGCTAAAACTCATTGCATTTTTTATTGTCGTTGTGGAGCATTGTGTCGGCAAGATAAAAGGGTACGGCAAGCAGTGACTAGTCTTATTGTGCCTAAGGCAACAACACACCTGTATTCGTTTTTGAACTGTTGCACATAACGTTTCTTCATAAAAAAAATCATCTTTTATCAAAAAAAATTTCTCCATTTAACGAATAATATATTCAACTATTGCAAAAGTAACTTCGTTTACATTATAAGGCGGCTCGTCTTTGATGTTAAGATAAAAATTCTTCAAACTACGCATTGTCTGCGAGACTAATCAACATGCTTATCTCTTTGCTACGCTTAAATGTTTCATTGTTTACACAATACCGATTAGCGTCTTTTTAGTTATCAACCCCTAACGATACAACTGGCCATTGAAGTTTCTGACGAGTGATCGTGGCCGAAGGCAACGGGTGAAAGGGCAAATTAAAATGTACTTTTTCGCACTTTCAGCGGTATGTGCGACGAAGTCGATCAAAGAAGCGAATTTTTTTAAGTAAATAGAAAAATGCCTTTTTACTAACCCATCACTTTTCCGGTGCGCCGTCACAGAAGTTCGGCTATATGCCGAAGTGTTTTTCATAGACATTGATAATACATCGACAGCTGCATGAATTGTATCGAGCTCTTTTCCTTCGGGTAATGGAGGTAGTAAACGAGGAGGCACAGAACTGGCAGAAGATGAGTCTGAATTTGCTTGTGCGACATGTTGCACATATAAATCCGATCGTATGAAAGCCCTATAAGCTCCTTCTTTCAAATTTTTCTCCACAAAGTTTTCAGCTTCGTTAAAAATTTGTTGATTTAAATTATCATTGCGTTTTCTTATGCGATCACATATTTCCTTTTTAATTGGCAACGGTAATTCCACTTTATTGCGACTAATATAGTGACGGTAAATTGTTTTTACGATGTGCCGTATTTTTTTGTTATCTTTTGCCGACACCATTTTCAGTCCCCGGCACGCAAATATAAAGTCTAACTGACCGGCATCCTCATTCAAATCGAGAAACTTCTTAAAAAGTTTAACACCTTCTCGATCTTCCAAAAGATTTTGTAAATTTTCCGCCCATCGGACGGATGACGGCTGTTCATGAAAGGCTGGGGAAACTGAAGCACCTTCTATATCCAAAAAATCCGGTTTAGAACACCTAGGTGCGGATTCGCCTCCTGGTACAGGTGGCCTTGGTGTGTTGCTTTTGAATAGCACCTGAGAATCAGTCATTTCAACTGTTAAAACGACTTATATTTCATGAAGAGCGATTTAACGCTGTTCTCAAACACGGAACCGGAATCAGAATTCGAAACGCTTGAAATAAACTGGTTTCAACAATATTAGACAGGTCTCGTGTGGAGTACGTAATTAAGCCTATATTACTATAAAATTATACAAAATGTGGTAAAATTGGAATGATAGGCTAATGTTTAGCGGGACGTTCCGGTCAATGTGAAATATTCATCTTTAAACATTTCTTGATAATTATGTCTATTATCGACTCGCTGACTAAAGCACAGAGAGCACGTATAATGATTTATTCTCTTAAATAATTATCTATCATCAAAATAAGCATGTTATAATGTTTAGCTTTTTCTGACCTGTAAATGAATCCATTATCGCTCTGTTTCTTAACAGGCAACGAAGAGTGGCCAACTGAAATAACGCTTTTTCAACCATTTGAAAGTATGTAAAATTAAGAGGTTTTATAAAAAAAGGAAGAATACGTTAATGTCATAAATAAATCAATTTATTTTTAGGAGATCAAATACTTTTAGCCGATTCCGCGAACACGCGCAGTATTAAATGTTTATTACGCCTACATCAACTAGATTTTAAGGTAGAATGTCGTAGAAATGCTGAATACATGTCTCCAGGTAAATATTTCATACTATTATAGCCAAGTTTAAATCGATGTAATATAATTTAGATGGAATACCTTTCTTAAAAATTGGAAATACTTTCATATCCCAATTTATCAACATAGTCGACTTTTTAACTATAAAAGAATGTATATTATACGATACTGCTTCTGACGAAGTGAAATGTGACGTCATTGCCCTGTGTTCCCTTCTTTTGAACGAAGTTACGAAATGCGAGGTATCGTAAAGAGTTGAACTATTCTTCTGCATTAACTTTTATAATATCATTAATTTTGTTTTTTATTCCCATATCTTTATAATTAATTTATCTCTTAACCTTCACAGCTCTATTTGACATGGTTGGTCGATGACGTTTTTTATAAGGTTACAAGGCGTCGCTACGCAGGTCATTTGTTCTTTGTTTTGAAGCATTTAATACCTTATCAAAGACGAAATCAAATTCGTAAAGAGTTAGGAGATTTTGCATCATACGACTTGAAAAAAGTCCTATCAATTTTAGAATTAAATCTAACTTGTATAGCAGAAATTTTACAAGAAAATACCTTCGTAATTGGTAATGATCCTACAGAAATTGATGCTTTAGTGTTTGGACACGTTTATGCCCTTTTAACAACTGATTTGCCTGGAATTAATGTTGTTCAATACATACCAGAAAATTTGAAAAGATTATGCAAACGAATGGATGATATGTGTTTTAAAGGACAACATCCAGTTTAATATAATGTATATGCTATTTAATAAAAAAAAAGGATTGAAAATAAAATAATTAGTTCTAAAGTATTAGACTTCTCTATTACTAAAGAATTGTATGAAAGCTATAATGTGATTTGTAACTAATTTAAGAAACTTTAAGCCTATATAATCATAATATTAAAAAAGAAAAAATCTGATTAATATATAGTATGGCTGTTAATATTAAAACTTCTGTGCTTCAATTTATTAGTTTTCAGCTTACCTGAGATATTTTGTATATACAGTATAAACAGTATACATATTCAATATATAATTATATACTGACGTAAAGAACAAGCAATTTAAATGAATGTTCCAGCCTGCAAAGAGATAGTACAATTAGTCTAGTAAAATATTTAGGCCTAAGAGTAGGTATCAATCTTCTTTTATTAATTTTCCTTTTGTTTCATAATAGCATATAAGTGCTAAAAACTCTCTGGAAGATTCCTAATACGTTACAACGATTTTTTCGATGTAGTTTATTATTTAAGTAAATATAGCGATAAAGGAAATATATAAAAAACAATCTAAAATTTTTCTCAGAGCGCTAGCTATGCCCTGTGAGCTGCAGAGAATAGAATTACAAATACTATATTATATATTGTACGAGTTAAGTTTTTATTTGATGTCATTTTTATCGCACGATGTGTGATCATTCTTCAACAAAGTATATTTTTTGTTATTTGTACATTAGTTATTTTAGTAAACGTACTACAGTCTTAGAGCTATTGTACCGGCATGATCAGATATACATGTCTTTGATTCGTCTCTTAAAAATGGTTCGTTATCTGCCATAATAACATTTTCAGATTTTGGTGGTCCAATATAACGAACGTTAGACCCTTTAAAGCTCTTCTTATTTCCTAAATATCTTTGTAAGGGGCTTCTTTTATGAATAACATGAGCGCCGGTAATTAAACTCCATTCTAAAGTTACATGAACGCTATACATTTCCTCACCATGTTGGCGTATGCACAAGGCACCAGGTTTTCTCCCTTTAATCAAACAAAATATAATGAGAAAGACAGACATAGTTTCTTCTTGTACGTAAAGTACTTTAACATCGTATGTGATTAAAGCTATGAAACGTTTTGATAATTCAGAGTCAATCCGTATAATTTCTCCAATAAGGTGTTCAATATCCAAGGATAAGTGCCTGACGGTCAAAACATTGGTTTTCGTTTTAGGCACATGATTTAATAGTTTTAAATTCTTTTTCCCTATTCTAACATCAACAGGTAAAACAGTATGGTATTGCATTGTAATATCATCTTCTATATCAAAGGGTAGATCATCTGGTCCTAATGTTTGTTCTGAGTTGGGATTATCAAATACATATCTTCTTACGGAAGATGTTAGACAACCAAGGTCACCTGAAATAATAAAGTGCATTAAAGAAAAAGCAGCGTGAATTTTTTGCGATATCATCAATTCTCTATCCTAATCTCTCAAATATGGAATAAAATGAGGGATAAACTGAATGCCTGTATGCGAAATAATTTTATTTAAATGGTTATACGACTCTCATTAGAGTCTTTATAGTTGTTAAATTGACTATTTCATACAAGAGAAATCAATAGTTGTTGACGAAGCATTGAGTTATTCACATGGGCAGATAGTAATTCTATAAATTTTCATTTGAATGATGCCGCTTATATTAGAATAAGGAAGTTGTCTTACCAGTAATTTCATGCACTTTAGAGACTTGATTAACGCAAGAGGAGCATAGGCTAGAATTAACTTCCGTTTGAGAGCACGCGGGAGATTGAATTCTTGGTGAGGGTCTGCCTGAGGTATGCTCAACTTCCGGTTCTTTTGTTAGCTCAAACTTCTCAGCACACACGGATAACGAATGGAAAATATCCCCGGAATGAAACAAAGCCATGCCGGGTATTATAACTGTATCCGATGACAGGGGGGGGAAAGGTGGAGCTATTTCGTATTTAGTGTGAACGGCGAACCAGTGTTTTATACAGTTTTTTGAGTTGCAGTCCTTTAATTGAAACATAAAGAAAATATATACATTACGGGTAAATGTACGTATATGACTGATTAATCATTAACTACTTCTAGAACCTTTATGTTTTAAGCCTATATACAGAAAATGAAAGAGGAAAAAGATAAAGTTTTCTTTTGTTTAAATTAATGAGTTTTATTTCTATACTATTTCTCTCTTTCATACAAAAATTAGTGAAAAGTTGTTATAAGAACCTGACAAAATTCCAGACTAGGTTTGGCCATTATTGTAACATAAGCGGATTTGTGTTGAGAATCATTCGGACCAGCTTCTCCTTGAATTAATATCTTATCCCCACATTTTGGCCATTGCCATATTCTGATCAAGAGGAGTTTATCGATTTCATCGTCACCGAAAAGCCTTACACTTCTTTCAAGTTTTAAACAGTCGTTTACTTTATATCGCCACCATTGCAATTTGAAAGAGTATATAAGCCGGTAATCAAGAAGTTCTACAGACCATGTATAAGACAGTAACCAATTGGAGCATCTTGTAAAGCCCAGGAAAACATAACTGCAATGTTACAGTAGTATTATGATTATTATGAGTGTGATTTTATCTTAAAATTGAATAAACATAGTTGAAAGCCTTTAATGATGACCTAACGGGAATTATTACACTAACGCTAGTTGCCTTTGCGCTAATGGAGATGGTACAAAAGACCTTATAAAAACAGTAGAAATTTCTCCTGAAATAGTGTATCTAATATTGACATTTTGAGTAAAAATCAATACCCGTCGCAGACATCCTGCCCTCCTTCTTTTATCATTTTATCTAAATAAAAGCATAGTCTCGGTGGAACTTTGTCAAAGACCCGATGATCGAATAGTCTTGTAAACCTGCAGGTGCCTCGAAACTGAGTGATAATCAAAGTTATAAATTATGCCCTTAAAAATTTCAATTTAATTTTTTATCAACGAACCTGTCTCAAATTCAATTTATTTACAATATTTATATTCGCTTTCTTATGTTTCCAAGTTATGGGATTTGATTTATAGCAGCTTTCAAAGTAAGGCATCTTTCTGAAGCAAAATATAACTAAAAGCTAAGCTGAGGTTTTGGGTACTACTAACTACCGCTTTAGAATGTTACCTGCAGTTTAAGAAAAAAGTCATCTTTTAACGTTTACCAGTCGATATTTCGTTTAGATTTGTTATTAAACAAATCATTTATCTGTTATTCTAACTTACAGGAAAAAAATATTATTTTTCTAATTCCCAGGATTTTTTTGACTCTTTCTGTAATCATAAAATTACATTTTAACTAGAATTAAGTATCATTCACTTGACTAAACTTAAAATAAAATAAAATTAATTATCACTGAAATGTTATTAAAAAGAGCTAGTAAGATCATTATGTCCTAAACCAGTAAGTTGGCTGAAGATGTAAACATCTCTAATTTAATATAATAATCAGTAAATACTAATCATAACACTATCAGCAAAGACTTTTAAATATTTTTTAATGGAAAATTTGCTTATGAAAACAAATATTTAACAACAATTTCAGAAACTTTTGCTTCGGTACTAGTTTGTTCTATTTAGTACAGATATTAGTACTACCCAATGATTCCTTTCGAAAGCTGCTCATAACCGTCGTTGAAATACTGTTGAATTTATTAAAAATGACAGTCCCTTCTAATTTAGCCGAGTTGGATATCGACGAAGTACGTTTATTAATTCATATCCTAAAATATGCTACAACTTTTATCTCGATATAGCTTAAAGAAATAGCAAAATATCTCGAATTCTACAAAAACCAGCAAAGTAACTCGAATAAGGGTACATCTTGTGAAATTATAGATGATACATCTCTCCTAGCCGTTTGCCGAGCGAATTATTTGGCAAAAAAGAATTGTTTTCAAATGAAGGAAGAGATCAGACGGAAGAAGCAGTGTGAAGATAGGGAATATATATATAATAATATTTCGGCATTTACTTCTAAAGGAAAAGTACTAGAAAAAATCTACCAAGAGCTAAAGGAACACGAGGGTACTCTTAAAAGAATTAATGGTGAGTGGACTCTTCTCTCTCTTTATTTTTAAATATATCAAAACGAAACTGAAATTTCTAATTAGGTTACAGCTTCACTATTCATAGCCTGGAGAGAACAGCGAGAGGAAAAATAGCTTTTGTGTTCATCTTCAATGAAAAATCGAACGTTAGCGTAATGATAAAAGATGATTTAAGTATAGAAACTCAACCATGTTTTGCAAATCTTAGTCTATCGAATTCACTTGAAAATTGGGAAGAACTTATTATTAGTTTATGCAAAGTGATTGAATCTCCTTAATTCTTAAACAAGATTTTAACTTGTATTTTTTAGTTTCTTTAAGGTTTAGAATATGCATTATCTATTTCTTGTAGACGATCAGTATGCTTATTCTCATGAACAATCTCCCATCTTTTCATCCATGGACCAGTTATCGTTGTATCAAATTCATTCTCTTCAGCGGTTTTCGAAGGATCACTTAAAATATTGTTCATCTGCTTTTGACTAAGAAACGGCTTCCAATCAATTTCATACTTGCAGCCACTCCTTCTCATTTCAATACCTTCCTTTAGGCCATGAAAGCCTACATTCGTGTTTGACTTTTGCCATCGTAAATCCAGACTCCATCTTATAATGTTTGACTTATTTGGTAAACTGGAAAGAAAACCAGTATAATTTGTGATTTATAAAGGATTAGATGACTTTACAAAACCTTTGATGCGGTATCATGTTGCTTAGGAGTAAGACACCTCCGTAAGGAACAGGACAAGTAACGACATTCGATTCCATATCACATTCCAATGTGTTTATCATTTCCTCTGGCTCTAGCATTACGTACCAAGTATTTCCTACGCAACAACTATGCTTCGCCACAATCCCTTTTTTATGTCCTTTTCGAACAACCTGCATGCACCCATTCGTCTCATTAGCATCAATTAACGGAATCCAAGCTGTTACTTGCAAAACGTCATAAGAGTTTTCGTCTAAGTAAGCGCTATCTGTATGCGAACAGCATGAAGAGCGATTAAGCCAAAGGATCCCTCTGTGTGCTATACAAACCTTGGTGCCAAGGGACAACAGTTGCCTCGTTATTGGGACATTTTGTTCGAAGATTCCACACAGGATGTCCTTGAATATCTGAACCAATTAATTGTTCCACAACATTGAGTATTCGCTCATTTGACCATACTTTTTGAAAAGCAACAGGTAATTTTCCCAATTTATGTAGAAGAACAGTTGCACCAGGAAGTTCCTTCTCTAAATAGGTTAGTCTTTCATTGAAGCCCTTATCCGAATGTAAATCTATAAAAAACAAATATAAATTTATATCTTAACAATTCACTCTCAAGTCGAAGGTATTACTATGAATCTTTCCAGCAGCGAACCACTTCTTTGCACAATCATCTACAAGCTTATTAATAGCTTCTCTACACGGTTCTAATTCTGTTTCTTTATCAAAGAAGTCTTCCACAACAACGAAACCCTAAGTGTATTTTTAATGAAGAAAAAATTACTTTTATTATCTATCATTCTAGACAAATAAATTTCCATACTTCTTCAAAAAATTGCCTTATTTGTTCATCTCTCAGTTGGCCACTTTTCTTCTCCTGTATTTGTGGCGGAACCGTAGTAAATATGTTCTTTTCCGTAGGTAGAGGTGCCATTCTGCTTTATGAAGAGGCGGATTTTTTGTGATAACTAAATTTTGTTTGATAATAAATAGTAATATTGATTATTTCAATTTTTCTTTGAATCGTATGAAGTCCAAGGACAGCTTTATCATATTACAATACATTAAACATGTGATGATGTAAGGTTAAAGCCATGTTTATGTTTTATTCTACACAATTGATTAATTGATTCTTCTTTAGCCCTGTCTCTAGAGAAACAGAGTAAGTCATCGTTTATAATAAGTTATGAAATGGAATTTATGAAGAAAAAACGACATCCTAATATGTTAATAACATTTACAATTAATTTCTAAATATATTTTTTGGCACGAAAGTTTTGTCCTTCAAACTATCCATTCTAGTTAAATTTTCACTATCTTTCAACATCCTATTCTCACGGATTTCTGCTATGCTTTCTTTCTTTGAGGGAGTGTTGATACTTTCACCACGAATAGAAGTTTCTAAATAATATCCAATTGTTCCAATGACCATCGCAACTGGTAAGGTTATATACGGCGCGTAGGCTCTTGCATAGATCATCCACATTTTGACACTTCAGACAGAATTTCCCAACTGTTAAAAGTTTTAATAAATCTGTGTCTATAACTAACTGATTTGAAATATTTGAAACCACGCCGATTATTATGAAATATTTCCAACAAACCCCGCAAGGTCAATGTCACAAAGTTTGAAAAGAAGTAGAGTGTAGTAAAATTTTAAAATGGCGGCTATGGACTCTATATTCTATCCCGCCGAATTTTAAATAAATATATTCCATTTCCTTTCCTTTTCTTCAAAACAATTTTTATCAAAAGTTTAAGCTTTTTCTTAAATTACGTATATCATGAATGTTCTTAAAAGAACAAAATACCTCCGACATATTGATATAATTACGTTACGCTTAGTTTCCGCCTTAAGATTGATTATAAGAAATGAACTTAATAATTCTTTTCTTATTTGTCATCACTTTCAATAAAAAAGTGTCTTCAAATAAAACAACCGTGATCAATCAAAATGAGGTAAGAATGTCTACGTTTGATGGAGGTTTTTTTCTATTAAAAAGCACAATCAAAGGTTATCTTAGAACCGTATTTCTTTTTTTGTGGTAAAATAGGGCGAAAAGAATAAAAATGAGGAGATAAGGTTAAAAAGAGAGAGATTTTTTACGTATGAGAAAAATTTTGTGGATAATCGAGATGTTTGTAAGAAATATTTTCTTCGGAGAACATTCAAACAAATGTTCTATCTTCTTTTTTTCGTATATTCTTTTATCTTTTTAAATGTTCTCCAGCTTCATTTTATTTATCCGGAATTCGATTTATTAGATGATAATAGGAATGTCAATAAGTTTTTCAACACCTTACGACGCACTGAATTAGAAATATTGAGGGAAAGTGATCCGAATGCTCAAGATGGGTATGGGGCCAAGGTAGGTAATCTTTAGTATTAAAGAAATCGTTTAGATAATACAAGCGTTTATAGTATGTTCCGGAGTATTCAGATAATTTGCTATTCGAAGAACTAGATGAGAGTCGATGGCTGAGAAGGAATGAGACAGATATTTTTGATTTGTATGATTCTGATCGTCTCATTATATTAAGAAAATTTGGAGTAGGGTTTTGTGAGAAGGCCTTGAGAGATATAAATTCCATTTTAACACCAAATCAAGTTTATTGCGGACAAGTCTTCATTAACTATAAGGGGAAAACTACACCCATATGTCTTGCAGATTTGCCGACTAACCCTTACGAAAGACAAGAACACGTCCAAAGAATTTCAGATGCAACTTGCAGATCTTTCGGCTCAATCGCTAAACAAGGACATGTAATATCTGTTGATGAATTTGATTCAAATTTGCGTGAATACGACATATATATTGGCGTTAAACAACCAAGACAACAAGAAGGGTTTTCTATAGAACGTCGTTTTTTCTCACCTCACCTCTTCAATTTACCTAGAATTACAATCAGAAATAAGATGTCAGACTGTAGCAAGAGTCTTGAAAGAAGAAATAGCGACCAGCCGGCAGGATTAGTTGTATATTGTACCAAAGATGTAGCGCTCAATCCAAGTAGAAAATTCAGTATTCATACGTCTCATGACTTCCATCCAATCTATAAAAGAGATATATTTACATTTGATTTTGTTAAATACGAACCAGGAAACAATAATAGATACGTTTGCAGAGTTTCCCCGTTTCGTTTTCTTTATCAATATCTTAATCATGTTCCCTATCATACTAAAATGATCGAGAGGGATAATTACATTGAGTTAAAGAATGCCAAAAGCAAAAAATCTTGCGCGCAACTATGTGCAAGCTATTCTTTGAAAACAAGTAAGCAGTTAGAAGGAGATCTATGCCGAGGCATCTTTATTATAGAAGCCAGTAAATGGTCAAAAAGTACCTTAGATCAAACTTATTGTGCTAATATATATAGGGGCTTCTCCGCCCCTGGCCTGGGAGTTTATCTGTCTTTCACTCTTCCAGGTCAGGATCTTTATCAATTATCGGCACCTTTCTGCTATGATCCAAGACTAGCTGAAAAGAAAGCGGAAGTCTACATCCCATTTACAACAGAAAAAGGCAATGATTTTTGTATTTTATACCGGAGGAATTTAAACTTCAAGCAAGCAGAGGATTTTTGTCAGCTGTATGGTATGATAATGATACCATATGAAGAAATTTCAAAACTAGACACACAATCATGGAGATCGTCTGTGTTGTTCAAAGCGCTCTTTTCCGAGGCGAATGAACAATCATGGAGTGCTAAAATGTTTCGTCACAGCACAATCTGCAACTATTTCGTTGTTCCCGAATATCCGTTAGGGAACAAACCTAATCATTTAATTTCCTTAAAAGAAGACTCATGCGATCAGAAAAAGAGTGTTATATGTATTAGACGTATGCTTGGCTCCTGGGGACCTTGGGGTCCATGGTCAGAATGCAAGGGCGTGGGCAATTTTGGAGAATGGACAAGATCTCGAAAATGTAACGATCCGTATCCTCTTCCAGCGGTGCAGAGGACAGGATTATTCTGCGAAGAAAACAATTTTGATATTGTAAAGTTTGAAACTGTAGTTTGTGACAAAATAGAATTAGAAAAATATCGACTAAATATAAGAAAGAAGGTTGATATTATTAATGATACATCGCATAAACTCCACTATAAAAAAAGTGACCTTGATCCGGACAGATTAATGAAGAATATAGAAAATATTAATGGATACATCGATTTTGTCAAATGGAATAGGCAAATTTTGGATTTTTGCGAAGAAAAGAAACCTTTTATAAGTAGCACAAATGTATCAACAATTCAAAGATGTGAAAACGAATGCTATCAAGATAATCATTGTTCTATTTATTCTTTCGATAGTAAGGACAATTTATGCTATAGATCTTCTTCATTTTGTGTCAATGTAAGTAGCCGATTAGAGAATTCCGCATATTTTAAAACGTCTAAAATATGCCAATTAACTCAAAGAAGGCTACATTTTCCGTATGTTTTCGATTCTGAATTAGGATATTGCTTTACCTATTTAGGTATGCGTACGAATAGCGAAGCTATTGAAACATGTTTATCACTTAAAATGCATTTGGTTAAATATAAAATACGACAAAAGATGTCAATTGAGTATTATCTCCTTAAAAAATTGCCATTGCAAACCTTTAGAATATGGAATGGATTGATATTATCTGATATGGAAATGTACCGGTGGCAGAATAATCTCTGGAATGATGAGGAAGCAATTGCAAGTAATGATCCGAGGTTTAATAGTGAATATAAGCGTAAAAAATGTTCCATAGCATTTATTAGAAATGATATTATAAAATGGGAAACAGTTGATTGTAATAGTAAATTTCATACAATATGTTGGAGGCCTATATTTGGAGAGTGGAGCTCATGGAGTTTTAAAACCTGCCCAAACGATAGCTCAACTTGCGCATATAGAAAATGTGAACCCAGACCATATCGCAATTTGGCATCAAAGTGCATTGGAGAGTCAATGATAAAGAATCAAAAGGAAATGTTTTTATTGCAATGGTTTCAACCGTCGTTTATCATATTATTTACAGTTATTTTTGGCGTATTTGTTACAATGCTAGTATGGAAGAATATATTATTAAACAAATCATCGAGTTCAGCTGCGTCAGACTCTGAAAGCTCTAACACAAGCCCTAATAAGAGTCAATCAAACTAACTGACACCTGGGAATGATCAATAGCGAAATATTATTCAAAAAGTAATACTTTTAATCTACTAAGATCAATTACAAAAGAAAGTTAATTTGTCTTTTTTCTTCTCTATCTTCAATTGGATATAGCACTTTAATTAAGGATATCAGCACTTGTCAAAAGTCTGCACTCTAAGTTAACACAGTAGCGACATCTGAATTTAGTAATATTAGTGCATATAGGCTAAAATATGATTTTTTAAAAATCTTTTGTAATAGTATCGTAATAGTTGAACGAAAATATTAATCGTTTGGATTTGTAAACAAAAGTATAATATGATTAATTATTCGATTTGATTGAATTTTAATTAGCCATTTATGAATATAGCATATTAATGTAACCTATATTGAAAAATGGCCGAGAAAGCCGTTTTTGACTGTCCAATGTGCGATTTTCGTGCGAATTCTGCTTTCGAGCTTGATGAACATTTTTCAAAAGTTCATGATGAAAATGCTGCAAGAGTTTGTATAGTTTGCGGGTTAAGTTTTATGAATAAAAAAGATCTAGAGTTTCATACTAACGCTCATTTTGAAAATGATCAAGCTGGAGCTGGTAAATACTGCCCAATATGCAATAAAAACTTAAGGAATCACGAGGATTTAGACAGTCATGTAAATAATCATTTCGATGAAACCGAATCAGAGAGTTCAATAGAGATATATAAAGAACCCGACGACAGGGATAGAGGCGTCGGAGTAGCTCATGTAGAATTTAAAAAAAACTCTAAACAACCTTCGACAAGTCATTCGCAGGAGGTCGCTTCGACATCCTCCGGTCAAAGCCAAAGTACACTTTTTGACAAAGAGTCTGGAAAGATTTATTCAAATATTTTGAACATTTTAAGAGAATATTTAACAGCTATAAAATCTGATTTTAAACTTTGTTCATCCTGCTACCTCTTCACAAATGGACCATTCGATAGAGGTTGGTCATGCGGTTATAGAAATTTACAAATGTTGCTTTCATCAATGATGAATTCGAGAGAATTTTCAAACTGCGAAATTTTTTCTAATCAATTTCTTCAAGAGTTAACACCAATTCGAAAAATTCAAACTCTTATCGAAAGAGCTTGGAGTTTAGGATTTGATACAAGAGGAGCTCAACAACTTTCTCATAAGTTGGTTAATACTAAAAAATGGATAGGAGCAACTGAAGTTGTGGCTCTACTGTCATCTTTCCGAATACAATGCACGCTTATAGATGTTCACTGTAAGAGTAAAACGACTGGTACCCATTCTCATATATTTGATTGGGTACAAAATTACTTTAACAGCCCCGATGCAAAATTTCCGCTGTATTTGCAACATCAAGGACATTCGAGAACGATTGTAGGCATTGAACATGGTCAGAATGGTCTCAATCTTCTTATTTTCGATCCCAGCTGTTCGAAAGAGTTATGTGGACGTTATTGTCGTGGTGAATGTAATGAAAGTATTACGTGGAAACTATTTAGGAGAAGTTTAAAAACGTTCTTTAAAGAACAATATCAAATTGTCGCAGTGAAGGGTATTATAAAAACTGAAGCTGAATATGAAAGATCTAAAGTGCTTAATTCAACATTACTGCCAGCTTAATTAAAGATTTCCATAAATATTGATATTATTTTTAATAAATATTAATAATTGACCTTTGATATTTTAAAAAACTTACTTATTGTTTGGGATTTATAAAAACATATTAATTCGAATTATTATACTACAGCCGTGCTGTTCATTCATTCATACTTAGATATTTTGCGCCACCGGAAATTCCTTTCTTATGTGGCGACCTCTATCGATTTACCTGTTAAAGGTGAATCAAACCTGATAACAGGATAATTATTTAAGACAAAACTCATTTTTAAAAAGCTATGTCTGTTTTAAGAAGATTTAATGATGTCCAAGGGTTTATAGTAATAGTTTGGTTGTTGCCAATATCTGTTATATTCCTTGGTATCAGCATTGGCTTACCTAGGTGGACTAAGGATTACTAGTAAGTATTGTTTTGTTCAGGTTGATGTGATGATAAGTGAACAATTTGTAAACCAAAAAGCGAAGGAAGATGGCAACACACAGGATTATGGGCAGGATGTCTTGGGGAAAGATGCTTTAAAGCTGGAGAATGGGCGGAAGGTTTGTTTATTGTAGTATTTAATGATTTACAATGAAAACTCTTTCTCTATGATAGACTACGTGCAGGCAACTAGAGTATTTATTATTCTTGGAGCGGTTTGTTCTTTAGCATCAGAGGTTATAATCATTGTCTTCTTAGTAATTAACTTCCAAAACTCGTTTCTTAAAAAGCTGATATTAGCAGTTGGAACAGGTGCTGCTGGTAAGATGAGAAATTAAAAGAAAAAAATTATCACTAAGTAAACCGGTTTTTCTTGCTTATTTCAATCACAGCTGTTTTCACTCTGATCGGCGTAGCTGTTTTCACAGCTAAAAAGGAGGATGGATCAATTTTAGAATACAAAATCGGAGCATCGTTCGTTCTGGCTCTAATAGCAACTTTTATTAATACAATTTGTTTTGGTCTTGTCTTTTATTATGAACCTCCTGTTAAAGAAAGACAGGTTGATTTCCCAGAAGTTGCTGAACCAGCCGCACCTAACTGGCAGCAGAGAACCGATTACAACCCTAGATACGCAGAACAGTACGAAGGAGGAGGCGGCTATAATGAAAAAAACCAGGATGGCTACAATGGGGATTATCAAGGAGACTATCAGGGTCAACATCCTAGCTATAGTGGCTATCCAACTCTGGGTTATCGAGAAGATAGCCAAATATAAATATTGTTCAGTTTGTACATATATACTTTTTTTATGTCATTTTAGAGTTGATATTTAGTAACTTTTAAAGACAAATATACGTAAACAATTAAAAAGTTCAGTTACTATTTTTGGAACGAAAGCATTTTTCAGAATTTGGAAAACTGCTACCATCGAAATCCGTATCTTTTTCCAATCGATCATTTAATCGTTCTTTTATATCTTCTTCGAAGGCTTCAACTAAACTACCATCTTCGCAGATATCATTCATCAGAGACTGAATAGATGTTATTGGACGTCGAGTTGACTCTTCAATAGTAGTTTCTAGCGTATTCGTTAATAATCGCACGTGACTCTGACCATTACACAATCGTTTTCTCATGTCCTCCTTATGTTTTTCAACTATTTTTCTCCTTTTTGACGGCATAGTGGATATATATGCGTCACTCAAATGATTCGATGTAGCATGTGACTGACACTCTTGCCTTATAGTATCTCGATGAATAACATCGACCCATTCACGGTCGACAAGAGAATGCCATTCTTCTGAGCCATAAGCGATATTAATGTGTTCTTCGTTAGAGGACTGAGGAGGTGGTGGTGGTGGTGGTGGTGGTGGCGGGCTAGGCATTGGAGCTAAAGTTTGAGGTTGCCTTGTGGTTGATTGCTCCGTGTCCATTTTATCGTTTATTGCCTGTAAACAAACATCAATTAGTATGAATTTGGGGAAATATTCTACGAAGATTTCAGCTAACATTTGACGAACTAGCAGTTGGTTGTACTTCTTCTTCTCCACAACTCATATATTCATCTGTGTCTGTTTTAGTTACTACAAATTGCCTAATTTCTTCTTCTGGAACAGTAGAATTGGCCATAATCTGATTAATTTGCATTGTGGCCATAGTTGACATCATATCTCGCATTGAAGCGTCCACTCCGGAAGCAAAAATTGATGTAACCTATTTTATTAAGTTAAACTTTATTTAAATTATTGAAACATTTTGTCCAATTATATTGACCTGTTGGCGTATTAAATTATGGAAACTGGCATCATCGGCTGAAGAATGACGACATATTGTCATAAGGCGCCGAGCGTAAGCAGTAAAAGCATTTCCTACGATATTTCCGTAACTGGGATTTTCATTTTCTGCGTCACTTAAAATAATTTTAAGCATCTCTTCCAAATGATGTCTAGTCAACCCTCGTAGAGAGGCCGGAAAATCAATTTCATCTCGAATATGGACCTCAGTCTGCAAAAAATTTCTATTACTGAAAAAGGATACAAATATATAACACAAACTGTATCAATTGAGTGAGTTATTTCAGATAATTCATTCAAAATACGATTTATGGCGTTTGTCATATTAGCCTCAGTTGGTGGCTCATTCTGTAATATCTGCTCTTGAGCATATACCTACAAATATGAATTCAAACTTATACTTTAATACAAGCAAGACTTTTAAAAGCAAAAATTTTACCCTCCAGTGTGATCGAACACGGTTCAAACACTCATGTTGGCCTTGAACCAACCCAACCAAATCCACAAGGCCCAGGTTTTGAAGCAAAATGTTAAACATGTCAACAAAAGTGTTTTCACCTCTACTTTCAAAAGTATCTTGTCCAACTACGCTCAAAAGTTGGGCTATCGGCGTCATTTCCTGACGGGAGGAATTCAGCTGTTCATGCATAATTTGGGTTATCTGAGACAGCATTTGCGCTGTACTGGAAGATGACGAACCACTTCTCACCTAATTAAAAATTTATAAATTGTAGCGAAAAAACTTTTAGATTCAAGGAAAGAAAATATACTTCGTTGGCAGTTGACGATGTTCCTCCTGTTGGGTTTGGCCTACTTTGTCCAGTTGTTGTTCCAGCGTTATTTGTAGTTTCTCCACGAGTATTTGTTCCGCGAGATGCAAGACGAATATTACCCCCGCGCAACCCACCACTTCCTGCTACTCCTTGAATTATTTGACTAAAAATATCATCTTCTGTCGTACTTTGGGCGCTGGCTTCATTCTAAAGAAAATTTAGTTAGATATTGACTCAATATTTGAATGTCAAACCTGCTCAGCACTGGCTCGAACTTGTGCTAATCGGAAAAATCTTGAATAGCACGGTAAATATCGATCTACTAATCTGCTGGCTCTTTGCAGACCAGTTTGAAGATTTGAGTTGGCGTCTTCTGGAGCATTGCTAACATTGGGAGCGGTTGTTCCCGAAGTTCCAGCACTGCGAGTAGGTGGTGCTTGTGGTATTCTCGATGTTGCTTGTCTGGTTCCTGCTGAAGGAATTAATTTATAAAATTTAAAATCCTAAAATAATTAATTTAAATTTCTACCTTGGCCTCTTGGTATGCCAACTCCACGAAGTATATTTTGAAAGAATGCAGGTAATTGAGGGGAAGGGTTACTGGTTGCTGTTCCGGCAGTACTGCTTGTACCTAATTAAAAAGTTTTTTTAATATGGTAATTAAAAAAACTAATATCAGAAAACAAACCCGAAGTCCCTGTGGGTGGAGATGACATACTACCAACAGCAAAAGTAGGTTGACCAACGGAGTAAGTAACAAAGGGTTGATTACGAGTAGTGGAGCTGGTTGCTGTGGTAGGGGTAGGCGTCTGCCCCTCTGATGAACTAGATGTAACCGGTGTTTGAGTTGTCGGAGTCTATTTATTGACATACATAAGTGAAAATGATATATGAGAAAAAATAATTAGTTTACCGTAGTTGATGTTTGCCTTCCTGCAACAAGATTTATGCTAGCTGATACCGGTATAGTTTGTTGAATAACTGTTGCAGCAACTGGTTGAACTGGTTGTGCTGTTGCACGAGCTACTCGTGGAGGTGCTGAATCAACGTTCACCATAAGGTCGGTTAGAGAGTGCAAGGCATGGCTTAATCCGTGAAGAGACTCATTGACGAGGTTGGTGAGCGCTTGTACTCTCCTGGCTTCGTCGGGGTTTTCATATGCCATGTCAGACCTAAGGAGATCTCTATATCGTTCTACATGAGGTCTTAATCGAAACTGAGCAGCCAGCATCGCATCGAGAACGTCGGCTACCTCCGACAATGGGGGATTCCTTTTTATGCAATGTGAAAATAGAGAAATCTAATTTTAATAAATAGCTTTCTTACTCTGGCAGTTCTTCTCTCGGTTCTGATACTTCTTCTCTCCGTCTATTTGCTGCTTCATCTTCTTCACGCTCTCGTTGCAATTCTTCTGCCATAGTGAGAGCTTCTACTCGCTCTAGATCTTCTACCGTTATATTTGGGTCCTAAAATGGGAATAATATTATATAACGTAAGAACGGAATATTCTATATATTTTAACAACTTACATCTAATCTATCTACAACTGCTGTTACAGTTCGTAAGTTTCTTTTAACAACTTGCAGCCTGCCCCAAGCTTCGCTTCTCACTGGTGGAGTATCTACGACTCTCATGTTAACATGAACATCAACTTGATTTCCATCGTTCTATAACATTTAAAAGTTAGAATTCTACAAATATCTTGTTGATTTTTAACTGACAGATCTGAAAATATTTCTAGAGCCATCCACATTTCCTGAAAAGATGTTTTGCATCATTTCATGCATAGTGGAGGCATCCAATACGCGAACATTTCCATTTGGATGGCTTCTATTTCGTCTATCTTGCCTGTTGGACGAGCTTGCACTTTCGGAGGTAGAACTCTCAGGCGGTGGAGCTTGACTTTGGACAACGTGTATGACTTTCCCATTTATGTCTAATTAAAAAAAATTTAAATTTAAATATTTCCTATGAAAATTAAACAAAATATATTTACCAAAATCTTGTAGTCTTTTTTCATTATGTAAAATTTTTCCTTGAAAGATTAGACGCTGCCTCTCGGGAGCAATTTCCTATTAACAGCAAATTAAAAGTACCCTATGCAATGGTATATATAGAAAACATACTATTCCACTTGCAATCTTTTTCTTGAATTCCTCAATGGTATACTGATTAGAAGAGTGAAATATAAGACTATGTATAGAAAGTTAGTACTAAAACAACCTCATCAGGAACAGAGAATTTTTTGTTTTTCCCATCCAAAGTTTTCACAGTAACTTCAAGCATTTTAACAAAAATATAAACGAATCAACAGTGAGCTCCTGTCTATAATCTGGACATGCTGTAACAATTACATTAACGGAGGTTATTACATAATATACTGCAGTAATTTTGAAGCCGCCATATTAAATAATAAATTCTTTGCAAACCCAAACGATATTACAAATTATAAAATTAAAAGTATAAATAAGATAATTGTCATATTTTTAGTTTATCCACATTTATAGTTAAGGTGTATTAGCATAAAAAAAACTCACTAGACCAAAACGTTCGATGAAAATGGTTGTCACGCTAGTTCCGTACCGGAACTCTGTTGATTTGCATGCTTTCGTATTTTTAGAAATACTCCAACGCCAATGAAATCTTACCGAGCATATTTAAGCTCTCTCAGAAAAAACTTCTACTAAAATGTTCAATATGATATTAAGCATAGTTTGTCTTAATGCGGGACTAATAATTACCCTGTTTTCAGTCTTTCTTTTTTAAAGAATCAATATTGAACGATTTTATATTAAATATTATCCCAATTATAATTTATAGAATAATTTAATAAATACACAGAATAATTTAAATTGATAAAAATATATATTCATGAGTCATTTTAATTACATACAATATTTTCATTGAATAAATTAAGCTCTATTTGGGTTACGACAAAAAAAATATTTTCACAAACGCTTTTTAGCCAAATTTCAATATGAAACGATACCATTTAGGCTGCCATTGGCAATTTCTCAAAATAATCTAAAGTTTATCAATATTATAAGTATAGGCAACTTCGAATTCACCTCGACTTTTGGACAACGCTCACCGATATTGGAAACATATTTTGCTAGAATCTTTGAAAAATGGCGGAGTTTTCTGTTCAAAAGTGGAATTTATCGGAAATAAAGAGAGAATTATATGATGTATACAACGAATGCTTCACAAGGAGGTTAACGAATAATTGCTCATGGTACTTATTAATAATTTATCAATTTTACGAGTATTTTACCTATTGTGTATAAATGTTGCTTTTATCACTCAGGACTTCAGAATTAATATACTCTCTCAAAGACGTTCAAGCTGCAAAATCTAGAACTAGATATGAGTTAGAAGACGACTGTTACGAAGAAAATGATCAATACATCCTAGCTCGGTCATACTTTGATCAGAGAGAATACGACAGAGCATCGAATTTATTAAGAGATAGTAAAAGTGATGTTGCTTATTTTCTCGATGTATATTCAAGGTATTTATCCGGAGAGAAAAAACTTCTTGACCAAAGGCCAATCTTAAATATAGGAAGTGGTGAAGAAAACATTTCTCATTTAAAGCAGCTTAGATCAGAACTAAAAGCAAAGAGGAGAGAGAAAACATTGGATGCCTACTGTTTGTGGTTGTACGGAATAGTTCTTACAAAATTGAAACTAGTTGATGAAGCAGTAGAGATATTTTGCGATGCAATAGCTTTGAAAGCTGCCTTCTGGAATGCATGGGAAGAATTATCTAAACTCGTAACTGACTCATTTATGTTGACAAACTTATCCATACCAACCCAACACTGGATGTATACATTCTTTAAAGCTCATGTTTTATCCTCGTTGAATTTAGGACCAGAAGCAATTGAACTATATGCAAAGATAAAAGATAATGGTTTTAACGAGTCTACTTATATAGCAGCACAAATGGGTAGAACTTACAATACTATGAGAGGTTATTATATGTCACTGTTTATTCACATATTTATATATATTTATCTACTTTTAGATATGGAGAGCTCTTGCGAGTTATTCAAGTCTTTAATTCAAAAAGATCCTTTTAGAATTGACGATATGGACATTTATTCGAATGTTCTCTACGTTCAAGTAAGAGCTCATTAAATGTAAAAGTTCAAATTATATTGATTTTTCTTTATCAAGGAAAAAAGACAAGAATTAGCGGTCTTAGCTCAAAAATTATCATCAATCGATAAGTATCGGCCACAGACTTGCTGTGCCATTGGAAATTATTATTCTATTCGTGGAACTCATGAAAAAGCTGCCCTATATTTTGAGCGAACTTTAAAATTAGATCCAAATTACGCCGATGCTTGTACTTTACTTGGTCATGAATATTTAAATTTAAAACATTTCGCTGGGGCAATACAAGCCTATCGAAGAGGATTAGATATAAATAGGAATGATTACAGAGCCTGGTATGGTCTTGGACAAGCCTATGAATTGTTGCATCTTCATAGGTAATCGTTAGATTGATTTATTTGAAGCAAAAAGTGTAATGACTGTTTTATTCATTAGATATTCACTCTATTATTTTATGAAAGCGCATAGTTTAAGGCCCAACGACTTTCGAGCAATAATAGGTTTAGGAGTTTGTTACGAAGCACTGAAGAGGTAGATAAGTTTTATATTAAAAAAAAAGAAGATGGTTGGTAATATTGGTAATTCTTTTCCTCCTCTTTTAGATTAGAAGAAGCAAAGAAATGTTATTGGAAAGCTCATCAAGTCGGGGATGAAGAAGGAATTGCAATTGTTCGTCTAGCAAAGTAAGCTCCATTTTGCTGCCTTAAAAATAGCTCTCATACTAGTCATTTATCGCCACTGTAATTAGAGAATAAAAGGCCAGGGAAATTTTTCTAAATTCTGCCTTTATTCCATTGACCTAATACGTTTTAAACTACTTAAACCATATACAATATATGTATATATGTACTGTACAGGGTGTAAGAACTTAATATACTTAACATATACATTAAATAGAAATCTGTAATTGTTCTGTATTTTCAGAGTTTACGAAAATTTAGGTGAAGAAGACAATGCCGCAGCAGCTCATGTTGAATTCTTGAATTTTACTGATAACCAACTCATAGTTGTAAGTTATTTTTTTTAACCAAAGGGATATGAATACTCACTCTTAAATTCTTTTACGTTGTCTAGCCGTCTGCAGATTCATTAGCTGCCAGCTACAAATATCTCTCCATTTACTATTTAAAACATAAAAATCTAAAAGAGGCCGCAAAATACGCTGAAAAATGTACGGAATTTCCACAAGTTCGGGAAGATGGTAAATCTGTTCAAAAACAGATGGCATTACTTGTTGAATCTGGTGGGCTAGAAGAGATTGAGGATGCATCTATGAAACAAGCGCCTATGCATGTAACAATGCAAACACCGGGAATGCAAAGTCGTGATGAAAGTATTTGTAAAGAGGAAGACAATAGCTTATGCTTTACACCTTGAAAAGATGTATTTTATGAATTGTAAATTTATTTTTTCTATATCAAACACTGTAATTTAAAAAAATTGGCCTTACAAAGAGATTTTACGGAAATTTATGAATTTTATTCAAAAGTATTTAGTATTATTTTTGTATAGTAGCTTTAACGAATCTTTATACCCTTTAACCTCAACACCGTGTTTTAATTTCTTTCGCGAAATATTTATTGAATTGCCCGTTGAGAGAATAGGATTTAATAAAACTGGTTGAAGTTTACTCAGTTTAAGACCTCTAAATCCTATATAAAACAGAACAAAATTCAAACAATTAACAAAAACCATAAGTACATGCAACTACAAATCAGTTCAAAACTGTACAATCAACAATTAAATAAAAATGACGTGTGTCAAGCTAAACCTTTGGTCCATTTATGCCTGGATGCAAAAAATTACAGTTAGGTCCGAATTTGCATTTACCTTGCTTAAAGTGTTTGCACACTACTCGTGGAGGTCCTCTGAATTGTCCGTTTCCACCATGGTTGTGTCTAGGCATACCTCCCATACCTCCCATACCACCCATTCCACCTCCTCCACCACCACCATTACCACTATTATTGCCTCCCCTGACTTGTCTCATTTGATAGTTTCCGATTATTTGCTGCAGTTTATTAGGGTCGTTTAGCAATTCCATAATTTTTTTAGGATCGTCTCCTACAGTTTGAACGACAACTCCTTGAATTTGTGGTTGTTCCAACAGTGAACGTAAATGTGATGGTAGTTTTTGTATGGCATCTTTAGCGACTTGCATTTGACCACCGTTTTGAACTTGGTTTGCCATTGAAGCTAATAAGTTTGAAACATCCGGACGTAATTGCAGTTTTCCATCACTTGTCTGCAACATGCCGCTTTCAGAAGACCTATGGGTTTGGTGTTCAAACCGCATTTCATTACTGGAATTTAACGGAATTATAACTGGAGGAGGACATTTCGTTTCTGGATGAGGGTCAGGTTCATGAGGACTCGGAGGTATTGCTGACTTGTTAAAATATATTGCGGCTAAAACTTTTTCTTCTCTCTCCTTTTGAACGTTAATTTCATTACTTTTTGTGGTTTTCGGAAAAGATGGTAAGTCATCATTGGAGATTGATTGTAAAGGGTTCCAAAAATGAACAATAGTTAGACCATCATCTAGATCAAAACCAGCTTTCTTTGCCAACATGGCCTGTTTTTCACGCATCATTTCTTCTCGTTTTACTTCTTCGAAGTCTTTTAATTTATTCACATTAACTCTTTCCGTTTCATCCAATTCGAAATAATGGAACTTTTTTAAGTTGGATTCTTCAGCCCATGTTACTCGTTTCCTGTTAACTTTTGGAGCGTAATCGTTATCTCTAATCGGAGATTTATCATTCTTGTCTGTTTTATCACTTGATTCTGCTGTAGCCTACAATAGCAAAGAGAAAAAAGAATAATAATGCAACATTAAAGAAGTTTATAAATGGGTATTAGTTGAAAATATTATTGTTTTTTAAGTATTTACCGGGGGGGGTGAACCACTTTCGGTTGTGTAGGGAGGACTGGAGGCCGAATTGGACGGAGAGGTAGCTGATTTTTGAGTTTTCTTGACTTTTTTCTTTTTAGGAGCATTTTTCGACGATGCCGTCATAATTGCATCCATAAACAGAGAGCTTTCTTGAGCGGCTAAAATAAAGAAGAAACAATTAATTAAAACATTTAAATAATATAAGGCAAAACAATAATTCTTACGCATTGGCGGTGGTGTGGTAATCAGTTTGATTTTACCCTGCTGAATATCTCCTGTTTCTTTTCTTGCTTTCTTTTCAGGTGGTTGAATACTCCGTGCCATCATGCTACAATTAAAAAGTTTTGAAAATATAGTTAATTTAGCTGTACGTGCAAACCTTATTTCAAAGGCAAATAGAAAAAGACAACTAGCTTACCTTGCACGTTTCGATGGAGGAAGGGTTGTAGAAATTTTCGGTAATCCCACATGATTATCTTTCGATCCCTTTTTCTTTTGCGGTAAATTCGTTTCCTGTTCTAAACCTATTGAACAAAAGAGAAAGTAAGAATGGGTATTCCTTTTTGGAATATATGTATATATATATATATACAGATCACTCTGTACACATGTACATACACGCAAATATATATATACAACATATTTGTATATACGCAAATACATCTATTTGCGTGATAGGTATATGCGTGTATATATAAATATATATATAAGCATGTGATCATATATATATATATATATATTGTATTGTGAAATCTACATAAGACTTTTATTAGTTGTCTAATTAATTTGTTAATCAATTGAAACAAAATAAAAGGCATTATATAGATCAGATATTTTAAAGGTGCCAAGTCAGTATCAAGTATAAATACAAAATAACGCGGGTAGGCCTATAATCTATGAGTATAGGCGAAACATAGCGCATTGTTTATAACGTATTTTATTTTATTGCACATGTGGACTATCCCAAACCGTCGAAAAATATATTTATTCCATGTATTTATAACTAGTAAATCTACGAAACTTAGCACCAAATGAAAGTCATTGGACCATGTACCTGTGGCTCTTAATTTTAATTTTGGTTCTTTAACTGTTTTTATTTTTTTATTTGTTTCAACTTCGCCTTCTTTTGGCGAAAGTTTGATTGTTTTTGAAACAGGAGATGATTCTTCAGTTTTTGAATCAGATTTTGTTTCGTCGATTGATCTCTTTCGATGTTTATGTTTCTTTTTCTTCTTATCTACTTGACCTAGAGAAAATTAACAGATAAATTAATAAAAGGAGCAAAATTTTGAATTTAGCATTGAATTTGAGTTTTGTGTCAAGTTTTTTTTACCAACAATTATCCCATGTTTTTAAGACTCTCGGCAAAGTGCGATTCGTTTTAAAAACCATTCCTCTCCTTAATTAAAAGCGCAAGAAAATTATATTCTTGCTGAATTAAACAGTGCAGGAACCCCATAAAATTCGAATGAAATATAATCATTTCAAACGAAACACTTTACATTGATAAACCTTTGATGAATGACTTCTTACTTTTGTTCAGCAGACATAGAATTCTGGCTTGGCTTGTTCTTTAGGCAGCAATGGTATTGTGTATCAGTATATCTATAGTACACCAACCCTGATGTAGGCATAAATTCATACAATATATATACATATATATATATATATATATATATATATATATGCATATTCATTGGCATATATATTATGTCTCTTTCGTGAATCAAGATTATCGGCCTTTCAGTTGTCATATTTATTGATTATTTTTACTCTTTCTTTACTAATTTTTGTCGAGTAAAAAGATAGCACAATTACATGCAAATCTTGCGGATAGATTTTCTCTTAAAATATTTTTTTTGTGATTTAATCAATCAATCGTTTAGTTGAAATTCCACTAACGCCTTCCATTGCAAAAAAGCTAATTTTAACAACGATTGGGCAGTGTCTCTTCTTAACGACCCTACATGTGACTACGTATGCTTTTATTGTAAGAGCATGTGTATGGCATTAAGCCGCAATTTTTTTTGTTTAAGACACTTATTTCGATGAAATTTCTTTTCGATAACTGGAAATTTTGATCTATTCTGAAATATTGAAAAAATTGTTTTTGAGACCAAGGTTGAAAAGAAGCGTGAAGTAAATCCGCTATCGAAAATTTCTCAGCCTGAAAAATCTACGAACCTACATCAGGATTATTATATTATCCTGATTAATTAATAAAAAGACAGATAATACTGTCAGTTCAATCTTTTCCATTCTCTTATTGTATAAAAGAAGAGTAATTTTGAGAATAGAAAACCCAAATTGGCGTTTCTTACAATCAAGTATTAAACACATGGAAAAGTTGTTGCAAAAATTCCCACAAAACTCAACAAGTTTTAAATGTCTAAAACACATACTTCCTTCACTCTTCACTGCGTTTTTCCATTTATCCACAATGCTCCTGGCCAGTGCTTTTAGATCACTGTTTTCTGCTTTACTAATACTTTTTATCAATTTCGCGCAATTATTCTCCTTCATCTGTTCAACGGACACAGGGAGAATTTTACAAACGTTTAGTAAACAATTTATAAGCGCTTTGTTGTCTTTAGTTTTAGCATCTTGCAACCAATGTGAAACGACGCTCCAGCCGCCGCTTTTCATAAAGTCAAATAAAACATCTTCACTCGTTGCTTCAATGATGTACAGAAAAATGAAACGACAGGGTAGTTTGCAGGCATCTTTCATTTGGTTGACAAAGCTGAGCGTGGAGTTGACATCTTTTATTCCTCCTTTGGAGTCGAGAAGGTCACCCAGTTTGTCCATTTGGATGACGGCCCTCTCGCCAGGGCCCTGGAACAACAATTTTTATTATTAACAGTTAAAGACATAATCAGATAGAACAACTGAAAAAGTTCACAAAAAATATTAGTGATAGTCAATCATAGGATTACTTTGTTCCGTTATTATCATAAATTTATATTACAATATAAAAAAATCGAAAAAAATTGGCGTCCAGTTAATATTATCTCTTTTTCGACCAGGGATATGAATAAATAAGTGATGTATATATATATATATATTATCTACATACATATAAAAGCAAGAAACTGTACTGTTACACAAAGAATCAATACTTACAGTTTGCGTGAAAATGAGTTCGCTGATTTCATAATGTTCTGAATATTGATTCATATTTTTTTCTTTTCCATCGAATTCTTCTAACTAATAAAAATACTCGATTCTGGGGGCCAATCTTTAGAGTATGATAGATTTTTTAAATATTCCCTTCAATTCTGAATAATTAAAAAGAGTTTTTTTAGAACACATTTTAAAATTACGTGACAATTACAGTACACATCATATGTGCCTCTTCGAATTTTAACATTGATAGTAAATTTAATCCGGCAGATGGCGCCTCAACAGGGGGAAATGCCGAGTACACCCTCCTAAACTTTATAACTATACTATTTAAAAAAAACTCGAAAGTGGTTGATTGTGAGAGATGACAAAATTTACGATAAATTTGAAACTGTTTTAAGTTATTGAGATAGTATATGCAATACTGAGTAAGATATTTAAAAAAAAAATACTTAAACAAAATTTGTAATGTGTATACTATTCCATTATTCCCATGAAACAAGCGAATAAGATAAACGCCAACTTTTCGAGTAATATCACACGGCTGTTTTAATACGAGTGTATCCGGCATAATGAATAATGTTCATGTCTGCTATCAAAATCCAAAATGGACGAAATCCGCCATCTTGACTAACGCCCTTCAATGACACTCAACTAAGTAATACGCGATTTTTCACACATTTTTCTTAGTTTAAAGATATTGAAAATCATGAAAGAATTTAAAAGCTTTCGATATCAGCAATAAAGGGTTAAAGATCCCGATTATTTGTCATTTTACAAGCAGTCTTCTCGAAACGTACGTTTTTCTTATAAGAGGCACATTATTTTACTAAAAAGTTAAACAGGACGTTCAAAACCGCCTACTAACAATTGAAAAAACTTTAATAATTCTTCAAAAGAGCAAAATATCGCTATATATGTGAGGTGTATGCGAAATTTTCAGTGACGTTTTCTGTCTTCTGACTGATGACGACTTTCTGATGTATCCTGAAAATAAATTGACTTATTTATTATCCCTAAAGCATACTTACAAGGTTACTAAACATTTTAATGAAGTTTTTGAAGGTAAACACACCTTAATTAATCCTTAAATTTCTTTTTTTCGAATACAAAATAATCCTTCGTGTCTTCTGCGTTGTTGGGTAATTTGCATATGATCACGTGTTATACCGGCTGGGATAATTACAAGTTGGCGAATTCTATTGTCGTACTTTATGAAATACGAAAATTTTAATATGTTTTCAATCTCAAAGTCCATTTTCTGTAAATATACTATTTATTATAAATTTAAGAATTTTCTTCTGTTGACAATTTCTTTTTTATCCCTGTCGAGATTTTACTTCGAATTTCAAAATGGAGTCTAGCTTTTCCTTTGATAAAACAAATTTTACCTGTTATTAAAGAGAAAATTTTTAATATCAATTTCAGAATTACTTTTAATCGAAATTAATTATTCTTTTCTGTGAAAATTTATAACTTTTCCAACTGAAATTATTTTTTAATCAGCTTTTAATTATAATATCAAAAGTTTATAGATTAGAGTTTCCTTCTGTTTTTAATATAATAGATGGTTTTTGTATATTTAAGATATTGACCAAATACAGGAATAAAATGAAAAGAAAGTAGTTTTTTCATCAATAAGCTCGATTTATAGACATTATTGCACACAAAAGATATGTAAACATTATTATAACATAAAAATATAGAATATCTTTAATTTGAACCGCTATGTAGAGCTCCGCTGATTGAATTGATATTGCTGCCAGTATATTCTCCATATACATTTGGTTCATTTAATAATCTTTTAACAGCAAAGAATGCAAAAATAAGAGCTTCTTTGTATTCTACAATATCTTTTTCAGCCACAATTAATGTGATACCAATTTTGTTGAGTTTTTCGGATAGTAGACTTATCAGGAAACTATTAAAAGCTCCGCCACCAGTAATTAACAAATTACCTTTAAAACCACTAAAAGCAGAAGTTATTCTCTTAACAATATGCATCGTTGAAGTGTAGAGGAGATCTTGGGGAGATATTCCGCTTTTTAAGCAACTTTCAATGATGGGAATGACGTTTTTTTCGAACCATTCTCTTCCGGTACTCTTTGGAGGCTTTATCTGTAGGAAAACCTTTTTTCCAAAAAAATATAAATAAGGCATTTTATTTTAAAAGGTCTTTGCAGATTCTTTTCAAATTTGCAGTACCTTTGTACAATACTGACCTGGTAGTATTGTAAGCTTTCTAAAGCATCTTCATAGCTCTTAACTAGTTTACCCCCTTTTGAAATATGACCGTCTTCATCATATTTTCTCGGTGGTTTTAATCTTTGACAAATATGATTAAGTAGCATATTACAAGGACATATATCGAAAGCGGTATCTTCTAAATGAGTGTTAGCAATACCCCCGAGATTTAGGCAAGCTTCGTAGTTGTTAAATAGAAATCTTTCAGCACTGGGAACCAAAGGTGCACCTTGCCCTCCATAAACAATATCCTTCATACGGAAATTTGTTACCAAAGGAAAACTTAGATATGCTGAACTACTCTCTCCACAACCGAGTTGAAAGGTTAATCCATGAGACGGTTCGTGGAAAATCGTATGACCTTTGAAAATATATCGAAATAAAAACGATTTAAGAAATAACTACTATACAATCTACCATGCGATCCTGCAACATCAGGTTGAAGATTATATTTGGAGACAAACTTCTCAATTTCCTTTCCTATAAAATGTCCATAATCAATATTTAATTTGACTAATCCTAAAGCAGTTAATGATCCAGCGTTAAATAGCTTTTCATACCATTCATCAGAATATTCTACTGTTTCAGCCTGTTTACAATTTAATTATCATGTTACTAGGAAACCTAGAAATTCAAATTTATTATTTATTACACATTTCACTTCGAAATTCCATGATTCGTTTACTTCATCTATATAAAAATGAACGTAGCATATATCTAGACCGTCTAAAGACGTTCCGGACATCACTCCAACAGCTTTATACAATTTTATAGACATTTTATTTAAAGAAAGTCAATCCTCTAATTATAGTATCTAAGCTTCTAAAGCCTTACTGAGAAAGATAAATGAGATAAAGTATTGAAAGTTAATAGGCAGATGCAAAATTAAAAATAGTTTTATCAAAATAAATTCTTATCTATAAAAAGATTGTTTAAAAATCTTTAAATATCAATTTTCTTGTATTCAAAGAGTAATAATAATACACTAATGTTTATAACTTTGATCGTCAAGTTAAAAATCAAACAAGCATAAGGAGAAGCCTTATACATACAAATATATATATACAGTATATTGATACATTAGTCTCTATAGCTTGCACTTAATTGCTAATGAATATTTTACTTTAGCAGTATATAAATACACAATATACTTTGTACAATTAATCAGCCTCACCCTAAAGAAGATGACGATAATAATACGTATCTTGGTCTTGTAACGAATACCACTCGCTTTTTGCAACAACAAATCATTGTAACAAGAATGAATAACAAAACTGCAATAATAGAAAGAACAATTATCAAGTATAACATATATTTAGGAACGTGATGTTCCGGTTTTCTGTGCTGATGTCTATGAATACATAGTTGTAAGTTTTCCTCTTTCAAATTTTTCAGAGCGCACACCAAACTCCATTTAATATTCTTATCGTGACAATAAGATATTGGAGCACTTACATTTAAAAATGTACAAAATTTTGAATAAATACCATTTCTCTTGAACATCAAAGATGCTAATTTATATAAATTGTTACCATGAGCATTTTCTAACCCGTAAGTTGCTTTGAAACTATATTCTAATTTAAACTCTGGATTCTTATCTGTAAGATTTAAATAGTATTGGAAAATATCGTCAATTTTTCCAGTTTTCTTATTGTACTTGTATAGGCGCACGGATGGGTTCTTATACAAGAAAGGAGCTAATGGAGGAGAGAGATACATTGGTATGTCTTCCTCTTCGGCGGTGAATACTCTAAACGTATCAGTATGATTATGACCAAAGAAGAGTCCGGAAATAGCTCTTTTATGTTTCGAGATAATCGTTAGAAATTTCTCATTGAATTTTCTATGAAATCTGTCTCCAGGTGGTACATGGCTTGTAATCAAAGCCTATAAAAGCAACAAGTGATGAAAGAAAATAACAAATTGAGCTGATAGTAAACGAAACAAGATATACCTTCATTTTATTCTTTTTAATTGTTTGTAATTGCTGACTAAGCCACTTAAATTGGCCTCCAGGATCTTCGTCCATAATTGTTAATTTATCATTATTATAGTATAAACACGTATTTAAAACTATAATTTTAAGGTGTTTATTCAATTTTCTACTGTAGAAACCAGCTTTCCAATTACCATTGTCTATTAGAGAAGACCAATGAGTACGATTTAAAAATGTTCTGTAAAATTTCATATCTGCAGGCATTTGATCTACTTTGAAGACATCATGATTACCAAGGACAGGAAATATGGGAACTTCATTTTGGTTAAAAGTGTTTTTTATCATGCTTGTCAACTCTGCAATCTCTGTCTCTATTTCCGTATTATTCATCGGATAAAACGGTGGAATGTTATCTCTATTGCAAAATGAATATTTTATGAATATCCGATAGATACTATAATATATTTACCCTGTCCACATTACGAAATCGGCTTTTTTCTTTTCATTTTTCATGAATTTAAGAACGGTTTGCACAAGTTTTTTAGGAGTACCTTGAACATAATCACCCAAAGGATTTGTAGAAGATTTATTATAAAACAAATTCATGTGAATATCGGTCAATTGCCAGAAGTATCCTTAAAATAAAATAAAGTCTTTTGAATAAAACAGTTGTTAGGACAATTATGGCTAATCTTACCGATTTCACTTCCTTTGACGGCATTCTTATTTACTAGATAAATAATTGATAATAAAAATAGACGTTTTATCATATTTCACATAAAAGTGCAGAAAATATTGCAAGAAATATCAGTCTTTTGTATGATTTTAACGAGTTGTTTAGGAAAATAGTTCACAATCTCACATAAAGGTGTCTCTATTGAATAAAGTCTAACTAAATAACAAGTCAATTTATCAATTAATTGCTAAATGGATAATTGAAAAAACTTCTCTATAATGCAACATTGCAAAACTATTTGTAGGAAAATTTATAGTACTATTTTTAATTGTTTAAGTGTTTATATAACATACTTTTCAGTTACTTTAAACAAATTTCCGTAATTTATATTTTAGTTATACCCGATTGCATTACGGACACCGTATGTTTATTATTGGTAATATTTTCGATTGTTGCGATAATTTGTGAAAGTTATTCACCCGACAATGTTGCGGAGATTATGTATTAATTCACCATTTAAAAATCACTTTAGAACCATATATTCGAAAGTAGAAGGTGTTCCACCTGACTGGCTGATATTTTTACAGCAAGATATTGATTTGAGACCACGTTCTGTTGAAAGATGGTGGAGGAAGAAACAGTGGGAAACATTAGTTAACGATCAAAAGTTTGTTTTTGACTATGTTTTATTTAAAAAAACAGTATTGTTATACATCTATTCAAGTTAAGAAGTTTTAACTACATAACATAACAATTTCTGTTTATAATATATTTTTCAAAACAGATAAATTTCATTAACTACACTTTTTTTTTCAATAACTAATTCAATTCACCAATATATTTAATAGGCTTTTTTATTTATAAATTTAGATTAGACCCGGAGAGGATCAGAATATTAGGACCCGACCTGTCTGCTGCCCATTTTCTTATTATGAGGAATGTTGCAGTTAAATTTAAAGGTGCTGATAAATGGATTGAGCCGATAAAAAAGAAAAACGAACCAGTTGTTATTCCAAGATCTTATGTAAGAGGATTGCATTTAGAAGCTATCGATGCCAGTAATTCAAAATTAATGTTTGAAAGTTTAGATAATTTAGGTAAGAACGTTAGGTAATAGCAGTTGCAAATGATAACATAACGATTTCTTTTTTTCATTTTTATTTTATAAAACTACAGAGGGATTAGAGCATTTAAGATATTTGAATTTATCCGGTTGTTCTTACGTTGACGATTGGACATTGAATAGGCTTCATATGTTTAATAAATCACTCGAGTATTTAGACGTTAGCAAATGTGAGAATATTACAGAACGTGGTTTAGCTTGCTTGGCAGATAAGCTTCCCAATTTGAAATATCTTAAAGTAAACATATATATATCCGAAATAATAAAGTTCTTTATTTTTATCTAATTTTTGTATCTAGATGAAAGAAATGCCAAAAGTAAATTATGCAGGATTTGTTCAGGTTCTGTTACAAGAATGTAAACCTACTCTACGTATCGAAGGAGTACCATCAGAAGACGTTCCTGAAGATGCTAATTTAGAACCAATATTTATATCTGGTATGATCCTTCATACCTACGAAAGAGCAACGTTCAAGTTGGGTGAAAGAATTTTAATATCCGATGAAAGGGAAAATGATAATAGTCCATTACTACTCGAAGCAGGAATAATAACTGAAGATCAATTAAAGGACAATATAAATAATTGTACAAACTTAATAGAAGAGGGAACGGATTGTAATCAGTTGAAAACCAGTTCAATATAAAAAAGAAAACATAGTATTAAAAACATATTGTAAATTTCCCAAGTGCTTTTAAACAATTTCTTTTCTCGACGTCTTTATCGAATATTTTTCAAAAAGACATATGGAGAAAAGCGAAAGAAACTGTAGGAAAATTAATCTTTTGAAGATAAAAAAAAAGATACAAACAACAAAAGAAAATCGAAGGATCTTTTATTTTAATACATCATGGTTTTAATCAATTTTTTTTTATATTTTTTAATAAAAAGCAGAGAGAAATTCTTATTACGTTTTCTTGTCTGATTTTTTCTAGAATATAGCAGACCTAGGAGAAAAGTTTATAAAATGCTTGACACATTGTTCTTTCCAAGTTAAAATAGGATCATTATGAACAATCTGATAAGAATCTTTTTGAAGATACAGTTCCGGTAATCAGATAAATGTTAGTACTAAGCGATATAGAAATAATATAAGAATCATATATATATAATATATACATAGTATGTACATTTAAAATTTAATAGAGTATTTAATGATAGTTTTGATGCTAATTTGAAAAATATACTGATATAAATTATAATAGTATGTCAATTTTGGAAGAGAAGGACTGATATTCAACACTTCCAGCTTATGTTTTATCACAATGACTTTTGAATTTTGACTTTTAAATGCTAAATAATCTTCAAAAAGTTGCATTTATCATTAAAAAAAATGTCTATAGAATACATATGTATAATGTATATATTTAAATATAGAATAATGAAGGCTGGCTATTATCTATTATTTCTATGAAATTATATTAAAATATCGCAACGTTTGCTTTTACGAAATCAATATTTTTGTATACAACATTAATTCAATTTTCATCCTTTTTTTTCTTCAAAATTCAACATCTTTCATTGAGAAATTAGAGAGGAATATTGGCGTGTACTATATTGTTTTCCGAAACAATCAAAACTCTATCTCTTTTACATTTTTCTTCTACTATTAACTACTTTTGATTTTCTTTTATATACTTTGTTTTTTTAAAGAAAAAGTTACTTTTACAAGAATACTTTTCCATTGATCTAAATAAACGTAAACTTATTACTGAAACAATTGCCAATAATGAAGAAATACTATTTACACTAAAGAAAATAAAGCAAATATGATTCTTCTGGTGGAAAATATCGTTTTTTCCGACTCCTTCACTTATTTATGTTAGAGCTATCGATTGAAAAGAGTTAGCTATTTGCAGTAGTAGTGCATCAGTAGATGTCGCACTAAGCTCGTGCAAATCGCTTTAGTGGTATGGTTGTGAGTGCAACCGCACTAGAACGATAAATGAGAGAGCGGTGAGAAAAGAAATTTTTTTAAAATATTAACTATGCGATAGGACATAGAGATATAGGCCATACACTAGTGATCTGGTTGAAGGTAGAGTTCATTGATGTTCTACACTGTTCTAGATAAAATGACCTAACGTCATCTACCGTTTGACCAGCGGCAAATTTAACCTAGTACATCTTTATAGGATATAATCTTTCAGTTAGTATCGAGCAATTATCGAGGAAAGGAAATGGGGAAGAATATGTAAATATTTTATTTCAATAGAATTATTTTATAATAGAGATATTTCTAAAAAAACAGATAAGTTAATAAAAGTTTAATTGTTGTTATTGTTATTAATTAATTACTTTTATAAATAGATATGATGTTGAAAAGGCGCCCAAAAACGGCAAACAATCGATAAGAATATCCAAAATATCTGTTCATGATGAAAAAACAAATGGAGAAACAAAGAAAGATGATTTAAAAGATCCAGAAGTTGATATAAAAGATCCGAATCATAGTGACGCTCCACCACCACCGGAAAAAACTTCGTTATTTGAATTAGTAAGTGAAATTGTCACTTTTCAACTTTTTGAAATGGATTTTTATAATTTTAAAACCTGCGCAGTTTCGCTTTGCGGACGCTAAGGACCGCTTGCTTATACTATTAGGTACTTTGGCAGCAATGATAGTGGGTAGTGGGACGCCCGTAAATGTTCTAATTTATGGTCAAGTTATTGATATTTTTGTGGAAACTGCACTATACAAAGCTGCTAGAGAGTAGGTTATTCCTTTTCCGAAAGTGATCAATTTATATGCATTAACTATTTCCATTTATTAATTAATAGAAACGTTACCAATTCTTTGCCTCCGAATACAAATGAGAGCATAATTGACGAGATATTAAGAAGTGAGAATATTACTTACAAGGGAAGCAATTTCGACAGAGTTAAAAAGTTTTTACCCTATTTTATAATAAATGCCTCTGTTGTTCTGCTATTTGGAATTGTTCAAATGGGTGGATGGATGTTATCAGCGGAAAGACAAACAAGGGTTATAAGAAAAAAGACTTTAAATAAAATTCTTAGGATGCATATTGGATGGTTTGATACAAATCCTTCAGGAGAATTGAATACAAAAATGACAGAGTAAGAGTTTCTTTTTATATTCTTTCTTTAATATACCATGACTTTGTTATTTCTATTTTGCTTTAGTATAGAACAATTTGTAGATTTCTTATCTTAGTATGAAATATTAAATGATTGGTCGCATTGTAGGACTCGATTTTTTATCTATTGTTTATTAAAAGCTATTCTACAGTATATTTTACATATTAAATAGTCTATCAGATATTCATCTTCATTTTACATTATCAAATTGAATAGTCAGAATTTTGGTCATAGTAAAACAATAGAGAGAAAATAATCATTGCAAAATAAGTCACTATATTGTCTACTATAGAGTTAAAATGCTAGTAAATATTATACAACCTTATTGTTCTGATTTATCGATCAGCTATATAAAATAAAATAATAAATTTGCTAATAATATAGACCGAGTTGTTTACACGTATTGCGAAATACTGATGTATTTTTAGATGGACGACGTACATGTGACCTAATAGTTCCCTTTTATGATTTTCACAGAGGTATCAAATCGATAAATGATGGTATTGGAGAAAAGTTGGCAACGTTTATTCAGTGGTTTACTACATTTATTGTAGGTTATATAATGGGATTTGTTAGAGGATGGAAATTGGCTCTTGTTATTATTTCTACTTCTCCTTTAATTGCTGTTTGTATCGTTTTCATAGCAAAAGTTGTAAGGTCAATGACAACTAAGGAAATACAAACCTATGCAAAGGCTGGTGCAATTGCTGAAGAAGCACTATCGTCTATTCGTATTGTGTCTGCATTCGGAGGAGAGGATAAAGAAGCTAAACGCTACGACGGGCATCTTGAAAAGGCTCGAAATATGGGAGTCAAAAAGAATCTGCTGTTCGGTCTTGGTCAAGGTACCTTTTGGATTGTTTTATTCGGAACTTTAGCTATAGCATTTTGGTTTGGAAGCAAACTTGTTCGAGAAGAAGAATTATCGCCTGGAGAAATGATTCAAGTACTCTTTAACATTCTTATGGGTACCATAGCTTTGGGTAATGCTATGCCGAATATTGAACAAATAGCTCAGGCTCAAAGTGCTGCAGCAGCCGTCTATAAACTTATAGATCTTGAGAGCGAGATCGACAGCGCTTCGAATGAAGGCCACAAACCCGTTTCCGTAGAAGGTGATATTTTATTAGAAAATATCCACTTTAACTATCCATCAAGACCAGATGTTCAAGTAAATATCATTTCTATAGAATTCAATGTATCATTAATTCTTTTTAATTATCCTACTTTCGTTCAAATAGATCCTAAAAGGTTTATCTTTAAGAATTGAACCTGGTAAAACAGTTGCATTCGTAGGTCCTAGTGGTTGTGGTAAAAGTACAGTAGTTCAATTACTAATGAGATTATATAATATACAAAAAGGCCGTATATTGCTTGATTCTAATGACATTACAACTTTAAATACGAAATGGTTGCGTCATAAAATTGGTATAGTCTCTCAAGAGCCCATCCTTTTTGCTACATCTATACTAGAGAACATCAGATTTGGTTGCGAAGGAGCTACGGAAGCGCAAGTTATCGAAGCTGCGAAAAATGCCAACGCTCACGATTTCATTTCTCGACTGCCTGATTCATATAACACAATGGTGGGTGAGAGAGGTGCTCAACTTTCTGGCGGTCAAAAACAAAGAATCGCTCTAGCCAGAGCTTTGGTGTCTAACCCAAAGATATTGGTAAGCTAAAAATAAAAAAAATCTGATTATTAATCTGTTTATCACTTAAAATTGTATTCTCTAGTTTTTGGATGAGGCAACATCCGCCTTAGATACGCAAAGCGAAGCTATTGTCCAAAAAGCTTTGGATAAAGCTTCTAAGGGTCGTACGACTTTGGTTATAGCTCACAGATTGTCAACTGTCCGCAATGCTGATCTTATAGTTGCTATTTCTGAAGGCGTAGTTGCTGAACAAGGTACACACGATGAACTTATGGAGAAAGGCGGTCTGTACTCGGATCTTGTTAAACAACAAGTAAATATTCTAAATATATATATATATGTCTGTTATATAAACGATTAAATTTCAATTATCTTCTACTAAGAAACCAATCGTATATATTTTATTGTTTAATTTATGTCATAAGATACAAAATACGGATAAAATAGATATTCAAGTGAGTTCACTGTACCTTATGGTATTTGCATGAATAAGTTTGTCAATCCTTATTGTATATCAAGAATTTTATATATATCTTAAGACAAATATGCATGCTAATCACTTACCTGTTTCTTCCCCTCTTATCTTATCGTTTACCTTACTTATATACTATCTGGATGGGTGTTTGCATGTATATACATATATGACTTAAATTGATGAATATCTTCTAATTATAGATACAAGAAATGGAAGGAGAAGGAAGTGACGATGACGGTAAATATATATTTATATAATGTACACGCTTTATTATATAATCATTTTTAATTTTCCATACTATAGAAGAGGAAGTGACTGATGTTGTTGAGGAGAAAATACCCTTAGCCCCGAAACGTTTGACTAGTATGAGAAGGAGTTCGGCAAAGAGGAGACTTCGTTCTCAAAGAACTGTTAGCGTACAAGAATTAGAAAAGGAAGAAGAACAAAAATTACCCGAAGCTCCGTTATCAAGGATAGTTAAAATAAACTCCCCCGAATGGTTTCAATTGGTAATGGGATCTATTTGCGCTCTTCTAAACGGTGTTATGATGCCGATGTTTAGCTTACTATTTAGTGAATTTTTGGGAAATTTTTCAAAACCAGAAGATGTTCAGAAGAGAAGAGCGAATCTTTACGCTGTGATTATGGCAAGTTTTGGTTTTGCAGGCTTTCTTTTCGTATCCGGTAGAATGTATTTGTTTGGTGTTGCTGGTGAAAATTTAACTATGCGCCTACGTCAAATGGCTTTTAAGTCTATGCTAAGAATGGAAATGGGTTATTTTGATGATCAAAAGAATCAAGTTGGTGCTTTAACTTCACGTTTAGCTATTGATGCCGCCAATGTTAAAGGTGCAGTTGGATCTCAATTATCTACTGTATTTTTCTCTCTTGCTAATGCTGGTACAGCGGTTATTGTTGGTTTTGTATTCAGTTGGAAATTGTCGCTACTTATTCTTGTCTTTACACCACCGCTTTTGCTTAGTGGTATTGTTCAAGGTAAAATTGTCTCGTCGTTCAATAGTGGGGGAAGGACGGCGGTTGAAGGCGCTCAGGCTATTGCATCTGAAGCCATCAGCCAAATAAGAACCGTAGTACAATTAACGAGAGAAGATTACTTTGAACAAAGATATGGAAAGTTTTTGGACGAAGAGTATGGAAATGGTAAAAAGAAGAGTCTAGTTTTCGCGTTCACTTACGCTTTCGCCCAAAGTGTTCTTTTCTACGCTTACGCTGCTGCCTTCGGTCTTGGTTCAAAATTGGTTGACGACGGTTTAGAATATACCAGTGTCTTCCGTGTTTTTTCAGCTTTGACTATTGGTGCTCAATCTGTTGGAAGATCATCGGCTTTTTCATTAGATTACGGTAAAGCAAAATTATCAGCATCAAAACTTTTTGCCCTTTTTGATAGAAAAAGTGAAATTGATCCCACAACTACTAACGGTGTTAAGCCTACTACTGTCAAAGGCTCCATTGTTTTTCAAGATGTTAAATTTAGATATCCAACTAGATTGGAGGTACCCGTTTTACAAGGTTTAAATTTATCTGTTGAAAAAGGTCAAACCTTAGCTCTAGTTGGTAGTTCTGGCTGCGGAAAATCAACAACAATATCTTTATTGGAGAGATTTTATAATCCCAGAAATGGTATTGTGGTGAGTAATTGATATATCTTATTTATCTTCCTCTTTGTACAAAGCGTAAAATTTTTCTTAAAAAGACACTAGATGGGGAAGATATCTCCAATTATAATACATCATATTTGCGTTCCAAAATTGGTATTGTTACCCAAGAGCCGACTTTATTCGACTGTTCAATTGCCGAGAACATAGCGTACGGTGATAATTCAAAAACACTTAGTATGACTGATATTATAGAAGCGGCTAAATCGGCTAATATTCATAATTTTATTCAAACATTACCGATGGGTTATGATACTAATGTTGGAGCAAAGGGAACTCAACTATCAGGAGGTCAAAAGCAAAGAATTGCTATTGCCCGTGCTCTAGTCAGAGATCCAGTTATTTTAGTAAGTATGAATGATTTATTTCAATTTCATTCATTATTTTATATATGTTTTATTGTTTAGCTCTTAGACGAAGCTACTAGCGCATTAGATGCCGAAAGTGAAAAAGTCGTACAAGAAGCTCTTGAAAAAGCCCAAAAGGGTCGAACTTGCATAGTCATTGCCCATAGATTATCAACGATACAAAATTCAGATTCAATCGCAGTAATAGACTTAGGTAGAGTGGTTGAGCAAGGAAGTCATCAACAACTTTTGAATGAGCAAGGTTTCTATTACGATTTACAACAAGCCCAAGCTGGCAATAAGAAGAAGGAAGACTGATTTTAACAATGTTACTCTATTCAATATACCAACTCCTCTTTTCTCTTTTTTTTTAGCTATTTTTCTCTGTTAAAATACTTGTTTTAAACGATTTTTATCTGCAGTATTTTCACATTAACTATAAACAGAATATATATCTATGCTATTATATACTGTATATATATAATCTGTATATAAAGTATTTATACATATGTTAGAATAAACAAACAAACAATCAAATAAACGGCTTTTTCTGTTGTAATTACTATTTTATTACTATATAAACTATTTATTTATCGATTAGTAAAATAATCTCTACAATGAATATAAGACTCTAATCCGCCAACATCGAATCTTCCACCAATTTCAAAAGCGTTAACTTCCTCTCTGAAAGATTAGTTAAAATGGATCTTTTCTTTTAAAAGTCTACTATCCTTATTTCTTTTACCTTTCTATTAAAAATGGTATAAAGTTTCCGGGAGCGTCTCTTTTTGAAATATCTTCATGCTAAAGGAAAATCAAATAGCTGTACTCTCTTCTAAGAAAGAACAGAAAACAGCCCTTACTCTCTTTTCGTGCAGAAATTTTTGAATTAGTTTTGTATGATTTCGATGCAGGAGATAAAAACAAGGACACTGAAATTTTTGATTTAGGTTACCTACTTTACGTTTACTAAGAATTTTCTAATATTTTAAGTGATTTGGTTATATTACAGCTTTTCTAGAAGTTGTAACTGAAGGTTTTGGCTTTTCCAAAAACTGCAGCACGTGACCAGAGTCGTCGACCTCTAGAATTCCTCTTTTAGAGACATCTGAAACAAATAGGTTTATATTTAGGTAGATGGTTTAAGATTATATCTTTTTGGATTTTCCAACCAAGATTCAGCATACCGTTGTCTGAACAATTGTAATACGAGATGAGAGATATATCTTTATTTCCAGATATATTCTTAAAAAGACAAATAGCTTTTGAAAGTGAAAAATCCTTCATGAAGAGTGTATCTCTTTTAAAAAAGAAAGAGGTTAGACTCCAGTTCGTGGTTCTAAAGAAGGTCAAAGTCAGCCTAAAGTTCAAAGCTTACCCTGCTAGAACATTGACATCTGTTAATTCTTCCATCGAATCCAATGCTAATTGTATACATTTAACTGCTCCACTTCTATCCTGTATATGAAAATTATTAATTATTAATTTATTTATATCTTGAAATTGTGTTGTATTTAGTATAAAGAACCTCGTTGGAGCAACTATTTTCCACAACTAATATTATATTTGGATGATCTTTTGCCCACAGCCTAAATTGATCTTCGTACTTTCTATTTATCTTGAAAGAAGAACAACAATAGAATTTTTCATTAGTATTGCGTTGAAATTTCTTATCATGCTTTTCTTCGCAATACTCTATACTTACTACAATGTAAACCTTATTAATAATGTCAACTTCATTAATTATTTCCATCCAAAGCGACAGGAGAGGTTGATCGTTTTTGATAGGGAGTAACGGTTTTGGTACATCTAATAAATTCGAATATTTACCAGTTTTGTCATTAATAATATCATTCTGAAGTCTTGTTCCATAGCCTGCAGCAAGTATTATTACGTTCATGATTGATAAAGAACTTTAAGGAAAGTGGGAGTTGCCAGTTGCAAAAAAGAGTCGTCGTTGTCAAAAAATTTAATTGGGTATACAGAAAAGAGAGTCTTCAATCTGTACAAGCAAGACAATTTAAATAATTATACTTTGTTCGAATGCGTTTAATTGTTCGGAAACAGCGAATATATCGAATCACGCGAAAAAACAACAAAAACTATCTTATCATCCATAGTAAATAATTACTTTTCATGTAAACTTTATAGGAAATTTTATAAACTAATTAATATATACTAGTAGGGAAAATAAATTAATTAACTATATCTAAAATATAAGATTACTTGTTTTACAAATTATTTGCAGTTGGAGGCAAAAGAACAGGTGGTGACTATTCAAAACTAACTAAAAGAGTTCACCAACATAGAGTAATAATGTTTATTTAGAGGGAAATTCAAAACAAGAAGAGTAAATTCAACCTTTTATAAAGAATGAGCTTTTATTGATAGTTGTTAGTCATATTTGAGAAAATTTGATTGATAATATATTATTTGCTAATGGGGAAATATGTTGAAAATTTTTTATTTTTTAACGGTAATACTAACTCTGGGGATAAATTAAATTCTCCTGCGAATGCTACTATAATTTAGCAATGACCTTGGCTTAAGCGAAATTTGAATTGGAAGTTTCAACTCCAATATTATTAAAGAATGACTGATAGAATGGAAGAGATATTTGATTGTTATCCTTATGCATCTGTTGTAGAAACAGAACATAGAGAGTCGAGATGTGACTTCTGTTTAAAACTTGGCTTTTCAGGAGATCAATCTCCAAGTTTCGATGAGACCCTTTATTCCGCCAAAGACTTGGACGATAAAAACTTACCAAGGTAAACAATACTTAAGACCAATGCACAAAAGTTGTTGAGAAAAGATAGATTTCTTTCAAACTTTAACATTTCAACAGGCCAACAAAACTTCAAAAGTGTAGCGGTTGCAAATTGACTTTTTATTGTAGTAAAAAGTGTCAAAAAGATAGTTGGAAAGCTTATCACAAAATTGAATGTCGTTGCTTAAGTCGTTCTGGCGAAAATTATATTCCTCGTCCAGAGGCTAGACTATTACTTAGGATAATAATAAGATCAAGAAACAATGCTGATTTACAACCAAATTCAATTCGCACCTTTAATGATCTTATATCTCGTAAGAATATAATTAAAAAGCATTGTAAATGATATATTTAATAAATTCAATTTATATAAAATAGATAAAGAAAATATTGAAAAAGATATGAAAAGAATGGATGAATTCAAATTGATAATTGATACTTTAAAAGTGTTCACTGATTCAATTTATGAACTTCCAACTCCTGAAGAATTACTAACTACTTTCGGAAAGGTGACTTTATCTATTCATTTCAATTGAAAGATGTAATAACTATTAAATTTTGTTATTCCGTTACATTTTCAAATATGTCTTAGATGGTAATTAATACGTTTTCAATCATTGAAGATGACATTACCCTTGGATCTGGACTTTACCTTGAGTAATTAATTTATAATTTATAGGTATATACTAATATAATATAATCTTATTAGTCCATCAGGTATGGATCATTCGTGTAAACCGTCGGCCCTCTGCTCATTCGCCGGTGCTCGACTAAGAGTTTTTAAACTTGACGAAAGACCGTCGACTATCTCTTATATAGACATCCTTCAATACTCAACCGAAAGGATTGAACAATTAGAAAAAGCCTACTATTTTAATTGTCAATGCGAATTATGTTCGGATGAACAACTTGTAAATATAGATATATCAATCAAACAATCAATAATATTATGTAATTTTACAGTTGAATAGTGAAAGGGGTTTTAAATGTCGATCAAGTGATTGCGACGGTTATATTGAGAGAAAAAGTTTGTTTGTACACTTATATATTTCTAATTATTAATTTATAAATATCTTGAAAACAACTTAGATAAAGAATGTTCAAAATGCGATAGTCAAATGGATAATAACGTATTTCAAGAATCTTTAACTATTGATGAAAAAGTTGGTAAATTAATCTGCGAAAAGTATGAAATTAATAGGGAAGACGGTATGATTCAACAGTTATTTTACTATAAGAATATTATATATTGTTTATATTTTTCACTAGACTGTTCAAGAATATATGAAATATGCGCAAACCTTTTGAACAGTGTTCGAAAAACCTATTATAAATTGAATAGAAGATTGGCAGCATTCCATAGGTTGTACATTGATGTTTCGATTGGTTGTGGGAAATTTGAAGAATTGTATAAAAGTAACATCTTTAAGGAGTTTATTGATTCATTAAGGTGTGTTTTTTTTATAGATAAAAACACTTCTATTGTTTAGTTAATGAGTCTTAATTTGTTTTTTAGACTATTCTACGGTTCGCCTCATTCAACTATTGGTATGATATTATATAAACAAGCTAAAATTGAAGAATATTTAGGAGAATTAAACAAGGCAAGGGAGCATTATTACGAAACTCTTGATGAATTTATACCATATAATAATCATTCAAAATTCATACTTGAATTAATGCTTAAAACGTCAAATCTTGAAATTGAAATTGAAAGATTAGGAAACATTGATTCGTGGACGAAAAGAGTATTTCTCGTTCAAACAAAAAGAACAAATAGAAAAATAGATAAATCATAAAAAATTTACAGTAGTAATGAATGTTTTCTTCCTATTGTCTAGTTCTTTTTCATTGTTAAGTAGAGATTTACTCTTGAGCAGTCAATTTCTAGTTTATTTTATAGATTCTGTACTATATTGTTTATATTAAATATAATACAGTTTGTTTTTCAAAAGAGAACTATGTATTTCTCTCTTTATTATAAATTTTCAAGTTAATTGTTTGACTAAAGTTTACATTACTTGCTTTATATTAAAGTATCTAATTGACTTTAGACAACTGCAATTGATACAGATATTAAAGGTTCTAAGTTTGAAATAACGGAACTACTTGTCTAAATTGATTATATCTTATCAATTGTTAAAAGTACTCTTGTCTACTTTTTAGAGTTAAAATAACGCTTTGTCCGTTTTTGAAATAACTCTAGCTATCAAGAAAATTAGTAAACGATAGTAACTTAAATTTACGACTTCAGATGTCGCTAGTGTTCAAACAGTTTCCGCCTCCGTTTAAAATGGACGTAACCGCGCCGGTAAACAGTTTCGAAGAAGTTCAATTTAATAGAAATAATTTACGGTCAAACGCTATAAATACATCTTGCAAAGAAGATGAACTTTCGTACGTTCAAGTACTACACGATTTTACCTCCAGCGGAACTGAGTACAATGAGGCGCGAGCTCTGGCGATTGAGTGGAGATGCCGGGAAAACGTTGTAGAACTTATAGAATTATCGTTTTATGACCAATTAAGTCAAAATCATGTTAAAATACGATGCGATTCTAAAGTAATTTCTGTTAAGCCATTCTACGTAAGCGGATTCGCTATAATTGTTATAGTTGGAGAAAATGAATTTCGTCAATATATATTCAGAGGTAAGTTCACGTTAAATTGCGTGTAATGTACAATACAAATGTCCTGAAATTGTAATATTCAATCTGGTGGAATTTAAATTATTCTAAATTAAAAAAACTACTTTAATACAATTTATATTCTTTAACAGGTTCACCAAACGCTAAGCAGTCGAGTCTCAGCGAATTTGTTGATAAATATATAGTTAAAACTCCGAAACCTCTTGATGCAGCAACAATCTTTATAAGCAATGATAGAATTGGAATTTGCTGTTCAGAAAAGGATATTGATAGTAGCGTCAAGATATCATTTTTGCCTATCTATTCAATCTCAAATTTTGAAATGACAACTCAGTCTTTAAGTTGTACTGGGTTAAATTTGCTCCCTAGAATGTTTCAGAAGACGCATTCAATTGTCAAAGTTGCTGCTAAATTGACAACTAAAGGTGTTGTTGCTGCCGCTTTAACAACCGAAGATAAATTATGTATAACTGATGAAAACTCTAAATTATCAATTATTCTTTTATCTAATTTACACGACAATACCGAAAAGAAGAAATCTTTTAAGCCTAAATCTGCAAGACTACTGATATCAGAAACTGAATCTGGAATCTATATTCTATTAATTATAAGATGCGATAGAAAGTATCTCGTTCATGTATTCGAGAAAAGGCAGGATGTTAAACTATTAAGTATGAATAACCTTGAAGTGGATAGCTGCGAAATAATTGATATCTGTGAAAGTTTTGGAATGATTTATACTCTATTGCAAGACGATAGCGGACATCAGGTAAAGAGCGTTATTAAAACTACTAAGCATACAAGAAAAATTCACGGCTAGTTTAATTTATTCATTACTTTTTCATTACAGATTTTAGAAATGCCGATTGAAAGGACTAAAGATTATAAATTGACTGAAATTGATTCGGATATTGGATATCAAAAATTGTTATCTAGCGTGAATATATCTTCTGAAGAGAAAATTTCAGAAGTCTTCCTTAATAAGCTAGCGGATGAGGAACTTTTCCACGTAAAAACTTTGGCGAACGCTATGCATGTTGGTAAAAATGAATTTCCCAGTAGAATTACAATATTAGAAGCTATACAAATGCTTGCTAAAAATGAAATTGAAAGTAGACGATCAAGTGACGATGCCGAATCGACTGTTCGTCAGGTTGAATTTTATATTTGGAATGAAATTTATCAAACTTGCGTTCGTAGTGAAATATCTATGAGACGACCAGCTTCTTTAAATGTTAGCGATTGCAATTCTTTTCTATTTGCGTCGTCAGATTCGTACTTTTGCATCTATTCAAAAAGGCTAAAGCCTTCTACTTATATGAAAAAAGATGAAAGGAATATCGATGATTTATTACAAAGTTTACAACCAGCAATTGTCCTAATTGAAGAGAGAATTTCACCCGAAATGCAAGATTGTTTATGGATGGATATAAAGGCCAATCCGGAGAATGGAGTAACTAAATTTGTAGATAGAATTATGGACGGTGGATGGAGTGATATGGAAGAGAGAATTAATTTTGAAAATTCGTTAAAGTCAAATCTTCAGATTAAAAAACAGGCTATTACGTACATAGCAGGTGTTCTTCAAGATTCTCTATTTGCTCTAGATGCTGAGGGATATCCACCGTCCGGTCCAATTGAATGTAGTCTGTCTACAATTTCCAAGAAAGTACTACGCTCCAAAATTACATATGGAATTGCTAAGAAAAGGGTTCTAGTACTTGATATCACTATTCTTTCCATATTATGCGAACGTTTTTTTGGTATTGACGATTCGTTTATTGAAGAATTAGTCAGTTTGTTAGCTGTACTCAACGCATTCCATAATATGCTGCACAGAACCTACGAGAGAACGATATTAGATGGATCAGTCGTCAACGAAATTACCAATTATCTACCTTTCTTAAGGTGTTCATCTTATAAAGGCTGTATTGAGAAAGAAAAGATTGGAATTTTGGATATACTCCTAGGTGATGATAACTTTGTTACAAATTACTATTCGCTGGTAAAGCAGACATTTAAGTCACTACCCATACAATTTGAATGTCTATCGCAGTTCATTCAGCGAGCCTCTCTACCTAATTTAGAGGTTTGCGTAAATACCGCGGCAGGTTTAATATCTTCTGGATGTTTTGAAGCAGTTATTGATTGGACTGATTGCGGAAAGATTGCTCGTTTGGATATTGCGAAAAGTATAATGGAACAATCTGACATTTTATACTTTCTAGAATCTTTAGCAAGGGCTTACTTATCTTATCATCCTCAAGACGTGCTTTTATGTCTTAATAAGATATCTAATTTCCCCGACGAGATTATCGACGCCAGTGATGTTATTGATGAAACTGATCCTAATTATAGCTCAAAAGCACTTCTTCTTTACAAAACAGCGCAAATAATCTATTGCTTAGACAGGGATCCAATTTTAGAAGTTATTCTTGACGAATCTATTGGTCAGATGGAGCGGAACAACATTGCTAAATTCCCTCAAGGAGCTGCGATATATAGTCAATTGTTATCTATGAAATTTACGCTTAGTCTTTCAGCCAAAAAATTTAAGGACTGCTGTGATGCTCTTGTAAAATTAGCAGGATACGAAGATATATTACGAAACTGTTTGGTACAGTTTACGCACGTACTAAGCTCGTCGAATAAGCTAAATATCATTCTTAAGTTAAATTGGTCTAGTGAAGTTTATGATGAACTTGTTAAAGTCTTGGAAATGAGAGCCAGATCTCTACCAGTTCCAGTTGAACCACTAAATTTGTACGAAGTTCTGCACTGTCTTCATTTAAAATATAAAGAAGACGTTCGCGCAGCTGGTATTATGCATGAATATTCAAGAAGACTCTGCGCAGAGAAACCGGATGATCCAAGTTGGGTTAATCAAAATGCTTTCGCTTTGGCGTCTACATATTCAATTGCAAGCAAATATATGGAATTGGAAAAGACAAATTTCTGCATTGTTGAACCAGTTGAGCTTGTTGTTGAGGTAAAATATGATAAAGACGGAAACATATTAAAAGCTAATGATTCTCAATTGAAAGTTGTTAACGCTCCTGAATTGGAAAGAGACTACGTTATTGGGTGTAGTCGTTTAGAATTATCTAAGGTTAACTACGAGGCTGCTTGTAGAGCGGATACAGAAAGTGCATTAGTACACGAATTATGTTCCAACGATTTATTTGCGTGCGCCGCAAAATTATCAATAATGTGCAAGTTAAATTTGGCTATTGTATTTGAACGTTTGGCATTAAAAATCGTTCAATTATCAAGACTTGAAGAAGACTGTCAAGCATATGATAAGGCGATTAAAGTCTTGAGGGAGCTGTTAGAATCTTACGGTTCAGGAGACGGAAGTTGTCATTTAACTGTGCTTCTGTCAAGATTTCTAAGCTCCAATGCACCGATTCCAGCTTGGCTTATCGACGAAATGAGAAAGAAAGATCAGGCAGACTTGATTAGACTCTATTATAAACATGGTTTACTATTGGAAGCAGCTCGCCAAAGTAACGATTTGCTGGAGACAGTTCGTCTCTTGTATAATACTGATCCAAATGGTTACAAAGACCCAATACCTTATAATATAATAGATTGCGTATTGTCGGAATTGGACGGTATGATGGGTAAGGGGAAAGAATATGAACGACTACAGACTAACATTAATAGAGGAATTCATAATTTGAAAGATGTAGTATCTATAATAAATGACTCATAGTTGTATTACTTGTACAGTTTACTTATTTTCGTTTTAAAGTTAATACAAACGTAGTTACGTGGTTTTAATCTTGCTATACTGTATTTACTGTAATTTCTTTAAATAGTATGAAAAATTTTATATACTAATATTTATTCTATTACTCAGCGTTAATGCCAAAATTCTTCTTGAATGCTCTCTCTCTGTAGAATTTTAGCTCTTTGATAGATTCTTTTATGTCTATTAGAGCTCGATGATTTCCTACTTTAGGCATTTTATAAGCATTGTGATACCATCTTTGACACAATTCCCGGATACTGCTAACATCCACGATTCTATAATGAAGATGTTCGACTATCTGTTAAAACGTGGAAGATAGTTTAATTTATTATTAATGTTTAACATTATAATTTAGGTCGAAAAATTTACTCTGGGCATCTCGTTTCTCAGAAATTCTTTATCACAATGAACAGAATTGCCAGCCAAAGGGCATTTGCCGTACGGAGCGTACTCTTGAATAAATGATAGTATCTTGTCCTCAGCTTCTTTAGTACTAATTTTACTATTTCGAATTTCTCTAGTTAAGCCAGACTAAAAGAGGAAAGGAAAGTGTTTTTCATATACAAGATGAAGTAAGATAATTAAGGAATATTTTAAAATGTAGATACGCGTGTATACACTTACGTTTCTATGCATATTTTGTACAAAGAGATTCATGCCCCTTAGAGTTTCATCGTCTTGATGAATAACTATGTCGGGACCTTCAGCAATTATATTTAAATTTCCATCAGTAATTATGCAAGCAATTTCCACGAGTTTGTCTTTTTTTCGGTCTAAACCTGTCATCTAATAGACGACAAGATCTTATATATAAATATTACTGTGGAAAATATGAAAAACAAACCTCACAATCAATCCATACCAAATTATCCTCGGATTGATTTTCTTTCGAAATTTTTATCTTTTTTATCTCGGACATATTTCTGTGTGATGGTCGAAACCGAAACTGAAAGAACGTGGTAAATATATCGCAATGAAGGGAACGCCTCAGCAAAACATTCATTACTTTGCCAATATTACTTCGCGCCAGAGAAAAAACTCGTAATTATCGCTCATTGTTTACAATTGATAATACGTGTATATAAAAAAGTTACGGATTTTTATTTGATTCTTTATCATTTCATTTCAAAAGTTTACATTTATTCAATCAAATTTAAAATAGTGTGTATCGTATTTGTTATTTTCACTAGGGTTTATAGGGTTGATTGCCTTATTGGTCCTGGATATTCTTTACCTTTAAAAGAGAAAGCATTAGATGGAAAGAAAACAAAAGTTTTTGATTGAAAGTTTTTTTTTACTACCCAGAATGTCAGCCATCACGTTAATTCTTTCTGAACCAAAGAAGCTATGATCAACGTTCCTTTCATCCCTAATAACGAACCAAGGCGCACCGAAACAACCTGAAAGAGAGGAAAGTTTACGGATAATAAATAAACAAAGCCAATTATCTATGCTATGAACATTAAAAATTTTTTTTACCCGAATCTAAAGCTTCGTCAGTAAAATTTCTAAGTCGATTTTTAACAGGATCACTCGTCATGTCGGAGACGCATTGATCAACGAATTGTGCATCTAATCCACAACTGAGAGCTGCTTTTCTTAGAATATCAATTTCATTAATATCTTGCTCCTGCGAAAGGAATTAGAGGATGGGCAATAGACGAAAAAGGAAAATTATTTGGTTATATACTTTTACGTAGAATGCTCTATATATTGCACTTGAAACTTGTTCTGTTATATCTGGCTTCTTCATATCAATGGCTGTAATGAACCTCATCGGTATTAAAGTTCCCTTAAAGATTGCAACTTGAACAAAAAACTGCACAAAGTAGAATAAGTGGAATATATTTCATTGTTTTGATTGAGTATGTTTAGTTTTCTTTTACTTACTGCACGATTGTCAACCATAGGTATATGATAATAACGACATAGTCTTTTAAGGTCAATATCTGTGTACACCTTTTTAGGGTCTGAAGGTGCAGCTGATTTCAGTTTCTTAAATATTCCACCAAGCAGCATCGGTCTCAAGTGAAGGTCAACTTTCCAAGCAGTTGTTAGACGCTTTGCAAGCTATAATTGTTTAGACAACAACAAAACAATAATAGAAATCTAAACAGAAGAGAATAAAAGTTAGATGGGAAACCTCAAATCCTATATAGGAGTAGGGCGATGCGAAATCGTAAAACAGTTTTATAGACTTCGACATAATGAAGTTGTGCTCCAATTAAAATATTAAAAAGAGCAAATGTGTGAATTCGTATGAAGTTCCAGATATCATCAACCAGTTTTTTTGTGGTAATGCTAAATACTATTAAGAGTAGTGCTAAATTCAGAATAGATTTCAACGTCTTCAAAGTAACTAATACAGCTCAAAGATATGTGGAAGAAATTCTCTAAAGAGAATTCACAGACTAAAAGGTTTGGCGGGAATCGTCGAGTTTTGGAGTTGAAATAAAAAATTGGAACATTAACAATCTCATGTTTTCAAGCTTTTTTGACAATTTTATTCGTATAATTGTTTAAGGTTTATAGGAGGTACGTGATTGATCTGTTAAATATATTTGCTAGATGAACGCGTCTTTAGATGAAGAGAAATGACTGACAAATTGAATGAGGTAAAGTATGAAAATTCACAATGTTTTTAAGTGATTTTTTTTTACTTATCTCGATTCAAGACTGTATTAAGGAATGCGATATAAGTCCTCTTAGATGAGACTAGACTCAGTATTCTTACAGTTCACCTCGACAACATTTAGCGAAATAAATCTAGTTAATCATTTTAAATAAATGGAAAAAAAAATGCTTGTTATTGCAAAGATTTGTTCTTTGTATCTCGTTTTTTTTTACCTACTAAATTACCAACGTGCACACCAACAATGATCTATAGTTTTTATTGACGAATTTCTATCGGATTCTGCTTCAGTTGCAATAAAATGCCGCGCATGCGAGACAAATCCTTTGAAGATCTGGGGGCAGATTTCGGATTAAATTCGCAGTAACTAGTAACCTTCTCCCATTCGTGACCTGGTTGTGGTCTATCTCTGTCAGACATGTAAGCCGCCTCAGATTCTCTATAAATAAAACGAAAAAGCAAAAATAAATACAAATTTGTCAAATTCAAAAATAGAAATTAATGCTCCTAAAACATAAGAGGATTCTGTGGGTAATTTCAACACTTATTAATGACGGATTTACAAATTAGGTGGTTTTTGTTTCATGTAAAACAAAATCTAAATAATAAATAGGAGAATAAAATAAAAACTTGGTTAACTGCTCAGTTTAAGCCACTCGATCTTTCTTTTTTCGGTTTACACACTGAATCCAGTTAGTTATGTAAGTATATCAATCTATTTTGACTAATTGTAACTATGACTTTTTTTTATAAAAAATATAATGGTTTGAGATGCTGAAACAACGTCAAGAGGCTTTATATTACATACTCAAAGAAGGAAATACTAAATTGTGTAATAGACAGCCTCAGACACCAAGAAAAGAATGCAAGTTGACAAGACACAGACTCACTCACTTGTTTAATTCCCTGAAGAAAGCAGACATCGCAAAAAAGAGAAAAAAATCGCATTTAACAAACAGTTAAGCACTTGAAAACACTATTGTCTGCGATTAAAAATTGACAAGGTGACAAAAATCAAAATAGCAGCATTTTTTGCTGAACTTTTCTTTTTAAAAAGTCTTTCAACAGCAAAATATGATGCATATTCTTTAGAAATCGTGGTAGAGGCAAATCTCTGTGTTTTTTGTAGAGGAAACACATTTAGTCATACCTGTTCGTTTCTTTAGTTTTTTGAAGCTGTTCTTCTCTATGACGATACCAGTCATCTAATTCCTGACAAGCCTGTTGTCTCCATTCAGCAGCTTTTTCCTAAATTAAATTAATTGATTAAACTATAGACTTCTATATATATATATACATAAATTCATTTATTAAATTTAATATAATCAAAATTTACCTCAGAGGCGGCATCTTTCTCTTTTAGCATAACTGCTTGGTCTTCTCTCCATTTTCTGATTGGTTCCGGTTCGATTTTGGGCAAAGTCGACTGTGGAGAATAAGAAGCTGGCTGATTTTGCCCTTCGGACATCTGAAAAACATTTATGTTCAATTTTGATCTTGAAATTTTTTTCAATTTTTCCACTCTTGCAAAGGTTATTATAAAGCAAATAGTAAAAGGCAGTTAAGAAAGAGATCAAGGATTGGTGAAACAAAAACCCTATAAAATGCCTTACGAAATCAGCTGGGTCATTAGCTACGTCGTCAAAAATCCCAATATCATTTGTTGAATTTACATTCTCTTCCTTTGTTATAGTGATAAAAGGTATTTTTATATGTCAAGTACCGAAAAACAAAAAAACAAATACATTAAGAGACACTTACCTTGTCTTTCTTGACTTCTGGATTAGTGTCACCATTTTGTAATCCTGAAATAGATGATTTATTGTTGAAAGACTTATGACTAATTGAAAAAAGAATATTCTCACCAGCCGCTTGGTCGAAGTCAAAGTCATCTCCTTCGAGTTGTGCCAGCTGATTCTGTTCAGCAGCTAGGAATTCAGCTGCCGGGTCTTCTTCAACTACATTTGGAGGTGGTGTGTCTCCCAAGGCTTTGAAATTGTCCATTTTGTTCGACGAAGTGGGTGTTTCAAAATTTTCAAGATGGCCGCCGGAAGTGACGAGTTGGAAGATCTTCGTAATATAGCTAATGTAGTGCTAATGAAATATGGAAAATCAATTGCCCTGAAAAATTTTAAAATCTAAATTTTTTTATTACAAAATTATATTTCGAAAAGTCAACATTTATATTCTTTTATTTAAATTGGAAACCGGTCAACCGACAATCGCCGGAAATATAGACCGGAAGCCCCAAGATAAATTTGTTGGTTAGAGTTTGAAAGTGGAAGATTTAAGATTTTATATGGTGTCATTAGAAAGCATTAGTATTTGGTATAATGCAGCGATATCCAGCACAAAATATTGCCCTTATGAAGCCGCCAAATACAATATCTAACACTAATCAAATGACTGTGCCTGTTCACACATTAATACGCCAGCCAGGCCGCTCGGTCGTTTCGCAACAAACTATTCCAACTATTATTCCAAGACAGCCAATAACTGCAGGACCACCTCCATCAACTGATCCTGTTTTAGTCGTTATGGAAATAAGAATGGGACTTAGGAAATTCGAAACTACTTCTCATAATTCCAAAGTAACTTTCCAAAACGATGGCGTTATGTTCCACGTGAAAAGTAAGAGTTAATTTTAGGTAAAATTTTATTAATTCTAAACGAATATGTTTTAATGAAGATGAAGGAGAATTTTCCCCGGTTTTGATTAATACAAAATCAATAACAAGAATAACTATTAACTTTCAACATCCGTTCCCGGCTATGTTTGTTCATTTAGAGTCTTCATCAATCAGACAACTGAAAGAAATTTTTAACCTCAGTAATGAAGAGTTCGGAGATAATAACGAAAGTATACAACACGTTTCTTCTTTTTGATAGAATAATTATGTTCTTTATCTCTTTTTTACATTAAATAATAAATATTCTTTATGAATTTTAGGAGAATTACAAAGGTGCCTAATTTTCATCTTGACGCCTAATGACATAACTCAGTCAATGAAGAATCAAATAGCTTCAAAATGTGCCTTGATGAAAAACAAATTTAAGCGTCAGGAAGAGTTATTAACAATAATATCACCAACCCAAGTCTTGGACTTGCTGTTTCAAACTGAAGGAAACTTCACTGCTTGGCTTAACAGTAGTCCATCCAACTTGCAATTGGTAAAAACTATAATTTGTTATTATACATGTAAAATCTTGAGCAAAATAAAAAAAAAGTCTCAGCTAATTTTCAATATAAATGGTAATTTTGAATTAATTCTTTATTATATAAACAGGCCACCAACATACAGACTATTAATGCAATTAGTGCACGACAACCTCAGGTAGCTACAGTAACGTTAACTACTCCCAGGAATATCACTGTTACCCAACAGAAGGATTGTGCTGCTGCTGTAAGTTATTTCCAGGAAAAGAGTTAAATTTTATTTTCACCTGAACTTAATTTGACTATAATTTTTTATTAGTCAACATCAGCTACTCAGCAGCTACCAACGAGTTTCGTGTCCTCGCAACCAGAAATTGTATTACCAAATAATCCAATGGAAAGGCAGAGAATCGTGAGCGATTTATCAAAAAATGGCATCTATAGGGTTAGAGATAACGGAGATTCATATATCGGAATGTGGAACGGCTCAAATTTTACTAAGTGCCAGTGGCACGTTGAAGCTTGTAGATTAGACATGAAAGAAATTCATATAGGATCATTAGTTATTAAATCTGACGAAAAAGACGAATGTAAACTATCAGGACACTCACTTAATTTAATATTTTATCATGAAAACAAGAAGATAAACTTTGACTGCAGTTTAAAAGATATAGTACATATCAAAGTTAATATCGAGAAGGGCTGTTTATTCGTTGAATTCGGACCAATTGCCATGAATACATTGAGGAACAAATTAAAGATGACTTTCGGTTCGGAGCCTTATTATGGAAAAGTAACGGATAACGAAAGTCATAAATACTTTCTAATATGCTTGAAGCCTTTAAGAGAAAAGAAAACTCAGGCACTTGTCAATTTAAAATATAAAGATTGTGATAAAAACGTTGTTCGTGAGATATGCTCCGCTCAGGCTGCCAGAATATTGAATTTATTGCATGAAAGTGATTCTAAGCAAATGGAAGTTGAAGACGAAGATGACGATTTGATATTGTGTGATACGGAAATCGGTATTAAGTGTCCTATTACACAGCTGAACATGAAAGATCCGGTTATGAATATGATTTGCCAACATAACTATGAAAAATTTGCTATCCAAGCGCATATGAAGAGAAAGCCTAATATCGCAAAGTAATGAATTTATTTTTTTTTTATACTTAGCCTAAATTTTTAGGATTATTCCCTATCCCACTGAAGACAATTAATAATTTAACTATTCGATTTATACAGATGTCCTGCAACTGGCTGTGGAAACACAAGTCCTATCACAGAAAGTTTACTACAAGAGAATATTGAACTAAAAGAGCATATACAGAGAATACGAAGGCAGTAGAAATCATTTTTCTGTTTGAAGACTTTCTATTTGAGATATAAATATAAATATAGATGCATTTATCCTATTTTAATATTACAATATTAAAATGTAGCAAAATATAACGAAAATTTACAGCAGCTGAAAGTGTTCAGTCTATATAATATTGAATAAAATGTACATTGTTTTATGAAGGCTATACAAAGGCTAAATTGAAGGTTATCCAATAATGATTTTAACTGCTTAGGTATTGAATAGAAAACTGAGATGCCTATTGAAGTTTGACCAGTACATCCCACCTAATTCTACCGTGCTATATTGCAGAAATGAATGAATAGGCGCAGATGAGGGATTATCGACCAGCTTGCCAAAGTTATCCTATATAAACAATAATTTTTTTCTTTTTTCTCAACGGGCCAACTGTATTTTGCGGAAGAAAGAGTAGGCAGTATTTTTTAGCTTACAAAATCGTGAGAATTTACCTATTTCTTCTTTTCTACTACAAAAGATACTTTAGGTGAAGTGAAAACGCCTAAAATACGTCGTTGACATGCGATAAACATACCAAATGGTCTTTATCTTAATTAACCACTTCAGAATTACTATTCCTTTCCATCTATAGAAATAGAATATTAGATAGATGATTCGTATCTCGCAATTGAAAGAAGAGAAGAATAGAGATACAGACGACTAATCAAACTGACGCATTACCTAAAAACAGCCATAAATAACTTGGAAATTAATTCGACAACATTCTCTCTGTAATTTCCCGTTGGTACTTTCCTAATAAAGTGTAACAATATATCTACTAACGATTTCCTTATTCGTTTGATTATTGTTTGTTTGTATTTGTTTCAATTCTTAACAGCATAAAATAAAGGAAAAAAATTAACATAAAAGAGAGAAAAACGTCTGAGCATTTCGTTTCTAAACAAACATTACCAAAATATGAAAAAGAAACATCTACATTTCACCAATAATTTCTCTTTTTTCTACATTTCGACATTTTTTTTTATCTCGACTAGAATCTCATATGCAGAGAATAAATAGAATTTTCTTTTTTGTCCTATTTAACCTTTTCTATCATCGTCATTTTAAAGTTAAATACTGCAAATTCTTGGAAAATTAATTAAAATGGTTAATTTGCAACAATGACAAAAAAATTAGACGAATTTTACCCTCTTTCCATTTTACCCTCAATCCCCAAATCATTCCGCCCATTTTCTTCATCATAACCTCCCACTAGCCTTTTCATCCATTTTAAACGTAATTCTCTTTTATACGTGGTAGAGTTGCTGATGGATGTGGTGGAACGGCTGTCCGAACTAGCGGTAAAGTTGCTGATTTTGACACTGCTTCTTCGTAAGATTCGTACCAAGATCTTACTGTCGGCTCTGGCTTGTTTTCAACCAATAACTCGTCAGTTGGCTGGACAGTTTCGATAGTTCCCGTCGCCAAGAGGTCATGATTAGATCTCGCTTCCATCCTTTGAGACTTTCGTCCGCTAAACAAATAATTAAGGCGAACTGTGAAACTTCCATCGCTGGTGACGATGGTGTGGAACAGACCGGCTAATAAACCGACCAGTATGGGAGTTGCCGAAATTAGCCAACCAAGTACAACTGCTCGCTTATCGAAATGATAGATGCCAAATTTGCGGTTAGCGACGGCTCGGATTATAGAAAATTTGAGAATTGAGGAGGCATTCGATAGGAGATCGCCTAAAGCGTGGAAAGCCAATAGTCCCTGTTGATATACGTAATGAATTCGTACTGTAAAAAACCAGTATTGCCTACGGATAAAACAGCTACAGCTTGCTCGTCTTTTTAATATTATTTCAAGCGAGGGATACATATATAGATATATAAATTTATATACTTTATATAGAGTATATTCTTTCTGCATATTACCCGCTCTTTACAATCAATCTCCTTATGCCTACAGCCATTGATAATAGAGATAGATAGTCATATATATTGTATATTTAATAGATTTATTAAACTAATTAAAAGTCTCCGGGAATGGCAATTAGTGCTCATTGAAGAAAATTGAGCGTTTCTTTTTTTTTTCTTTGTTTCTTACAAGTGAACTTGACGTAATCTCTGACCAAAAGCAAGACTTGACGACATTCGCCGTCTTTCATTAAAAAGAAATGATAAATGAAAAGAGGAAAAATAAAACGGAATCAGCCTACGCATAGTTAGTTATTAATTATTAAGCTTTTGTCAATGCTAATAAGGTGGCACTGGTAGCGAAATTAATTAGTAAGTTACATAATCAAAAAGCCGCTCAATATCTCAAGTAATCTTCTTGGTTTAAAGTACTGTGCGTCGTAATTACTAGCATGTAAATTTGCAATTTGGGCAGACCGACAAGTATCTCTGCAGGGAGAGAGAGAGAGAGTGATGCATCTATCTACATGCGTGTATTATATCGTTATATATTCCAAACATCTTATACTTTGCAAGGGAATTAAATGTACTAAATTATGAAAAAGGAAGGATACTCAATCATGCAAAACCTACACTTAAAAGTCGCACAAGTGACATAGTCAAGCGCAAAAAGCGAAATTATTAGATTATAAACTGCTCGGTTTTTATCGTGCGCCACCTATCTATACACTAAGTAAAATTAATAATTACTGTGATAACTAATGAGAACAAAATCTTGAAAAAAAAAGTCTTTTAATATTGTACTTACCGATACGATAACTGATGAGAAACAAAACCAGATACATAATAATGTACCGCAATATGTTTTCGGTCTCTTTTTTACTATAATTATGTAATGTTAGTAAAAAACTAATGGGATACTTAATGAGAAAACTTACGATAAGATATTGTAAATGGTACGATACTAAATAGTATTAAGAGGCAGAGTAGTTTTTCTGTATAGCCGTCTAGAATAGCTATCCAATAAAATCCTCCCTATTTAGGTAAGAAAAAAGGTAAGGAGAAGAGCTTAAGGAAGAGAGAGGAGTGAGCGCGTAAGGCGAATGAGAGTGTAGGATGTAGATAAGATAGAGAGAAGGTGGGAAGGGGGAAGAAAGGCTTGTGTTTAACAACTTACCGAAAAGTTTAAAGGTAGAGTAAGAAGGTACATCAAGGCACATAGACTAAACGATAATGTCATTCGAAAAATGCACTTGGACTGAGTTAAAGCTCTTTTCCAGAGAGGCAAAAGGTACTCTTCTAGTGAATCCAATAACACCAACATGTACAAAGCCTGTTAAACAGGTAAGAGATGGTTAAATAGTCGATGGTTTATATTAAAAGTAAGCAGAGATAAAAGAGATAAGTACACAAATAAGTTATAGTAATAATAGTAATAATAGTTATAGTAAAAGTAATAATGGTAAATGGAATAAAAGGCAAGCACTTACTACGATATGGAATTGAATAAAGAATAACATGACGAAGAATAGAATACGAATTGCAGGAGTAATCCCAATATCTGAGCCCATAAAAGCCCAAAGGCCTTCTTGGAACAAAGGTCCCGAGAAGGGAGCTGAAAATTTCGTTTTAATATATCGAATATTGCATAAGCAAACGAATTTATTTGTCTATAATTTTATATTTATTAATTATTTACAAACCATGTCTGTACCAAACTTCTTTATGATGTTTCTTCTCTCTATGCGTCCAAATTACGTGTAAATATAAATCGATATAGGGCAGTATTGCGCAAGTGCACAAATGCGGTAATACGGCAACGAATAGAGTGAAAAAAATTGGCACTATCCTTCCCAATCGATTCCCACCAAATTTTCCAACGGCTGGCAATATTCCAGAACCAATTTGGGATGCTAAAACGACTTCTATCAACGGTCTTAACCAGATCTATCAATGAAAATGACACGGCTTTTTTCTTTTTTATACTTTTTTTTAACCTATACAGTATTAATACTTAATGAATATTTCTTACAATCGGTTGGCTTAACTACGAAATCATTTAACGAAAGAGGCGTTTCATTTCGCCATTGTGAGCTATTAATATCTTAGTATATACCTTATACAGTATATATATATGTATACAAAAAATAAAGAACTGTAAGATTGTATTGCGCTCATAATCCCTTTGTCTTTTCTTCTTATCTTAAGATATACATACAGTAAATATGATCTAAAAAGCACAGATGGCGCGCTTGATTTTTACACTTACGCAAGCCTGACTCACCAGTAGAGCGTCAGGTTGTTTAATGACGGGAGGTTCAGGTTGGTATAGGACGTTGAACGTTGCCTTTGGTAGAGTAGTTTGACTAGGATTTGAACGATTCTTTAAGCCTAACCTCCGCCAATCCGCCTCGTAGACTAAATTTAAACTTTTAGTAGCGCTTTCTTCCTTGGAGAATTTTAATGCGGAAAAGGCATAGGCAATAAAGAGGATGAAGAGAGCAAATGAAAAGGTTGCTGATAAAAGGACAATCTGTTAAACAATAGTAAATATAAAAAAAACTGCTGACAAATGTTAAATCTATGAAAATATTATAAAGGAAATTAGAATAAAAGAATGTCTATATAGAATAATTAAGAGAGTAGTAATTGTTAAATAGTATAATCAACCTCCTACTAAAACAGCTTACAGGCGTAGCCTTGACATTTATTACATCAATAAAAACTTGATTGGTAATCTGTACATGGTGTACTTGTGGAATAAAAAAGGAAAAACAACCTTTTTTTGAAGAATAAAACATAAAAAATCACGGTTTTATTTTTCATTTCCTTCCTTTTTCTCTTTATATATATATATATATATATATATATATATATATATATGTATATACATCCATCTATCTATCTATCTATCTATCTATCTTTTATCCATCTATCCATCTTTCTTACGTTTATTATTTGTTAAACGTCGATTTTTATGTCGTAAAGAACTATTACAGGCTTTTAGGGGCTTTCAAATGCTAAATTATAATAGACGTCTTATTTCATTCATATTTTTCGTCAAGTGCATCACAGGTAAATATCTCGGTAATTGAAAATCGATTAAGTAGGGAAATATACATATATATACATACATTTAGTCTAATGTATACTGTACAAAGACATAAAAAGGTAAGAAAACAGAAATGCTTACCCATCCAAAAAATCTGGGACCTCTATGAGTATAGAAAAAGATGAGGACGAATACGAGAATAGAGCATAGAGAGAGGTACCAAACAAATGTACCATTGTGCCCTAGTCCTTCGGACTTGTGTGTTCGGAGTATGTCTAGTTGATAGAATGTGTCCCTTGGTCTAGCTGTGGTACTATTTATAAGGCTTCCAAAATTTAAATCTTTAGAATTCCATGTTCGAACGTCACCCTGAATAACTTTATATAAAATATAGATGATATGCCCAAGTGGATACTGCATGTATATGATTGTTAGCACCAGTTTTATTATGTAAGCGATGCCGATTCCTGTTGATTAATTATTTACTTTCAATCAATACTATCATCCATAAGCTTGCATAGAAAAACGATATAATATGTAAAAGTGATTGATTAAGCAAATTTTCTACTAGTACGATGAAATTGGAAATGAGAAGAGAACGGAAAGGCCGCGTCTCTATCATGTGTCTGCTTCTAAATCTAATTTAACAATTTCAGACGCCTCTAACTCGTTTTATTCATTTTAAAGTATTTGTTCCGCTGAACACTAGCCATATTTTTTTAGGCGACAATCTGGGCAGGCAGCGCCTGCTTCTTGATTGGTCGGACGTCAGTTTAGGCAAAATTTTTACATATTGGCTTACTGGTTACAGTCGAACGGTTATACGGGATTGCTAAGAGACGTCTCCCGTTCCAATTGCAGTATACACTTTCTACTAACTATGAATTTTCATTCGACATTTTTCCTTCTCTTTTTACCCTATCTCCATGAAAAACATGTAAAAAAAACCCCGATAGCAAAGAGAATAAAAAAATTAATGTGATAAGTGCTGCAACAACTGCAATTACTTTTAAATTTAACTGTAGTTATAATGATTAAAAATATATAAGGGCAAGCAGAAGAACTTAAGAGGAAATCAAAAGAGTATTGGAAGAAGAAGAAGAAGGAGAAGGAAAAGAGTCTATCAAAACATTAGAAAGACAGATTATTCTACCATCGTACTTATGATGAAAGATATAATTTTTAAAACCTTTAAAGAGCGGTTTGGCCTTGGTGCAAATCCTAGCGATTCCCGCTTTATAAGTTGCGCCGACCTCGAATTGGAGGAAAATTGCAGGCGCCATTAGGAGGAAGAGGTAGATGTAATAGGGTAGTAGGGACGCGGACGAATGCGGTAGCAGCATGAGATAAGCGAACGACCACAGAGAACGAATGCTCATTAAGCACAAACAAATAGCCAAAGATTGTAGAATATTCCATTTCCCATTCGGTGACGTCGATTCATTCGTTTGACAATTCATAATATATAAAAAACGAATTAGAAGAATGGGGAAAAAGAGAAAGAGAATGAAAGAGAGACAAGGATATGCCAACTTTTTCTTTAGCTATCTCTCTTCCTCCCTATCCTCTCTTCTCTCTTCTTTACAGTTTTTCGTCAAAGACGACAAAGGAACGTTGTAATTAAAAACTCGTACTTTTTCGATTTGTTCGCTTCATTCGAATATCACCTGGAATTGGCGAAAATAAGATAAAAGTTAAGAAATAATAAAAGACATACATAATATACAATAAAGAAAGAAGACGATAGAAGACGGCGGACAAGGGACGGGAAAAAGGGAAAGAGGAAAAGGAATAAGAAGACGGAGAAAAAATAAGATGTAAGGAAAAAGTAGAATGAAAGAAGAAAACGTAGGCGTCATAATTTTTCTGCTATTTAACTGTATTCGTGATAATACTATAAAAGACTGGTACTATGATTATTGATCAGTATGACTTTCTTGAACAATCGACGCTACTCACCGTTAATAATTGATTAATAAACACGCTCTTCTATCAACTTGTCATGTTCATTCATTTCCGGTGGGGTTCAAAAGCACCTTAGGTATCGCTCTATTGCTCCCTAAGCTTTAAAAGGGTAAACGTTAACTCATTATTGATAGCAGTAAATCTATCTTTAAAATAGCTGTTGTACGAAAAAGAAGACGCTAGAATAAGAGCGGAATGGAATCCTAGTATTTCCGATTAACCGGGTGCCCTTTAAGAATTCGCCACTTCTCTCTTTCTCCTCGGCATCGATTTCTGTCTCTCCCTCTCTCTATCTCTCTCAGGCATTACGTAATAGGCACGAGTACGATAAGGATATATTTTTTTTAAGGGTGTTCTTTTAAAATTAGAGAGTACTTACGGTTTAATACCGGCGAATAGGGGGAGGGACGCCTTGTTAACGCCAGAAACGCTAGTATATTGATCTGTCAGTTTTTGACGCCGGGTGCTGCGTCAAGATGCGCCTGCTAGCGGTTGGGTTGGTGACATCTCCCGACAGTGGAGACATCTATCGACTATTATAGTAGTTACAAAGGCAGATATTCTTATATTTCTACATGATCGAACTAAACAATATGATAAAATTGGTTCAATTGATAGATTATTTGTCTGAAGTGAGTATAATGTATTTATCCTAGGTCTAAAAATAAAAACGTATCTTTAACTGATATAACAAGCACTTGTTGTTTTGGTAAATAGTCGTCCAACGTCTTTATCTCTTCAATCCATCAATATGAGAGGTGATATGGAATTCAAAAAGTAAACATTTTGTAGAAAAAGGAAGAATAGGAAGTAAACAGTAAAAGTAACATAAAAAAAACGATGAATATGGCATTTGTTTACATTAATCCGTCGAGACGAAACTGGAATTCCTATGGTTTTATGCTTATATATATATTATATATAACATATAACTTTTAGTTAGATAATGTCCACGACACTGTTCTATTGGATTTGTCTTCGTAGATATTTATATATTCTTGGTAAAGAAGAGTTGCACCTAAAGGGTATTGTTTATCTAATTAGGGCAACGTAGTGGTATTCGTTTTTGGGAAAATTCGAATTAATAACTTTATGATGACCTTCATAAAGCTTCCAGCAAGATTACGAACATATAAAGATGCTCCATCTTGGAGTCTAAGCTGGTCTAAATTATCTATGTTGGGCTTCTATTACGTATATGATGATAGATCTATAAGATGTTTTGAGTGTGGTTGTATAATTACAAACTTTGAAAATTTAAATATGCAGTCATTAATTCATAAATCGGGTTGTTCAATGCAACGTGAATTGGAAAAGAATAAAGCTGAAAAAATGACTCTAAGTCTTACAAGTTTTCCTTCCTCAGGCTGTACAAATTCACTTTCATTATCTTCATTCTCTTCGTCAAACGAGGAAAATCGGGAACAATTTCAAAAAAATTCACTGGAAGATGACAGTATTTCATCAAACGATTCGGATTGTTGCGATTCGTGCATTGATAATAATCTGGATAGAACGTTTTTAAAAGACGATTTGCAAAAAGTCTCTCAAAGATATTTAACTTTTAAAGATTGGCCCCTTAAAAATGTCATTGAAGCAAAAGAGCTTGCAGAGGCAGGATTCCATTATTTGGGAGTTGGAGACAGAGTACAATGTTTCCATTGCAATGGAATACTCCGCAAATGGAGCTATGGAGATAAACCATTAGTTGAACATTTAAAACATTTTCCACACTGTTCATATGCACTTAATAAACGAAATAATATTTAAAAGCAATTGCATAATTTACATTTATTATTTAATTTATAAATCTCGTGTTAATCATTTCTATCAGGCTAAAACTCTAAATATAGAAATGAAATATTGACAAATCCAGGGTTCTATATTAAACGATAAATGATGTGGTTTTATTCAACGATTAAAAGCATTAAGCATTGCGTCGTGAATTTAGGCCAAGATGGGTTTTCCTTCTTTCGTTTATAAAAGTAAATGAATAATGAAATGACTCTGTACAGTTTTTATATAACGTATACATTTGTCATAAAGATAAGCAGTTCAATATGAATATCTTAAGATTTGTTTATCTAACCGGAGACTGACCCTTGCCACCAAAACACCACATAACATCAGTTAAATGAAAATCGAAAGTAAAAACATAGAAAATTATCAACTAAAAAGAGTTTTAAATAACAAGACAGCAGATAAACATTAAAAAGACTATTATAGACAAATAATAGGATGAGCTTTCTGGTTTTTCTGTTCGATTGATAAAACCGTTGAATAAAAATCATGGAAATTCCAACACCAACCATAGCTCTTTGATAAGCCGTATAACCATTGAGCTATTTTTGAAACTGGAAATTCCCTTTTTTGTGAAGGCTCATTCTGTAATATGCTGTGATCGCTCCAAGTTGAAGGGAAAAGTTAAACATAGTTGGAGCATTATCAATTATCTTAATAGCTACAAATACGAAAAACTGGATGTTCTTACAGGTACAGTACATTTTTCGTCAGGGTTATCAACGTTTTATTTGAAAACTGGTTATAGAAGTGTTAGAATGGGGAAAGTACATTGACTATTTCAGAGTGTTTAGTAATACTCACGGCTTTAATTCTCGTCAATTGTATTGTTCAGAGAATTATATAATTATAACTTTGGTAATATTAAGTTAAAATGGATATTTTGAAATGTAATCTGAAATAATACGCCCTAAAAAGTGAGCGATAATCGGGGCTTTTTATATTAAATAGAATTGAAAATAGAAAATTACTACTATTAATGATAATAATTTAATATTTGTCGTTATTTTTAACAGATATTTTCAAATAAGAAATATTGGTACGAATAATCTATCATTCAAAGTTTTATCCGAAGCTTGATTTCAATTTCGGACTATCTTTGAAAGTTACGAACATATTTAGATATATACCTATATATATATATGTATATATATATATACATATATATATATATATATGTATAATATGGATAAGGCGACTAAGCGACTCTCTTCTTATAAACAATGTAAAATGTGTAAATGTACCTTCGCTCAATTGGCATATAATGGATATTATTACTTCAGGGACGATGATAGTATTGCGTGTCATAAATGCGCAGTAAAACATTTCTGTTTTTATGAAAAAGACATGACAGATCTTAAACATAAAACTACTTGTGAATATTATAAGGACTCTCCTCAGAGTGCTAAAAAAGAAAAAGCTGTATTATCGTCTAATGATTCTGAAAATAAGCTTGAATTTCAATATAACGAACTTTCTGACGTCCCCTCTGCTGCCTCCAGTAATCCTCTTAGAAATCAGTCACAATCGGTTCAGCAGGCACGTCCGAAACCGAATCGTTATGGAAAATCAGCGCAAGACAGCCCAGAGATGCCGACTAAAGCAGCCGAAAAAAATCTAAACGCATCATACACATTCGACAATAGTGCTGAGGATTTATCAAGAGAGAAGGATAGACTAAATACATTTACAAATCCAAAAAATCCTTGGCCTCTCAAGAGTGTAATCGATGAAAAAGAACTAGCAAGAGTGGGATTTTTCTATTTAGGATTAGCTGATAGGGTCCAATGTTACTTCTGTAATGGTATTTTAAGAAAGTGGAGTCTGGGGGACAAACCACTTGACGAGCACAAGAAACATTTTCCCAATTGCCCTCATTTGAGAAATTGTAGGGAGTAGTCCCATTATGACTTCCATATTGAAACATGTATAATGTACATTTGTGTATTCTACATCGTTGTAATACAACAAGTAGAAAATGCAAACGAATCTGTTTCTTATCATTAACAACAGTTTAAAAATAATAAAGTAATCTATGTATTTCATAGTTTATTACTCTTAAGTGGAAATCTTTTACAGGCAACTACGTAGGAAATAAGAATAATGAAGTTTTTACTTGAATAATATTCAATCATTCTGAATATTAGAAAGTGACAAATGTTCAATTTTTATTCTTTCTCTCTTTTATTATATATTTCAAGTTTTTCAACAATATCGTCAAATTCAAAATATGGCAGACAGTTAATGAATATAATAAATTCCAAATTTTCAATTGAATTCCAAATTTCATCTTTTCAAGATGAAGATCATAATTGTGAAAAAGTTTATGATGGAATCTTTAACGTTAATTCAAGCATTCCACACTTTTGGCTATCAACATTTCCAAATCCAGTAAAATTTTGGATCAATTTACACTGGAATTTGCTTGCTGAAATTAATACCATCAGCATTTTTTGATGGAATGGAAAATTCTCGAACGAAAATAACATTGACATTTTCTAATGGTGTTGGGGAAATTCAAATTTATGCATTTGTCTACTTTTGTAAATACAAATTTTGTCCGTCAAAAGTTGAAGGTTCGGAAATCAAGTTTACAGATAATGGAATAAGATCAGAAAGAAATATAGCTCAATTTAATAGGGGTACATTATGTAGTCAGTCTAGTTTCAGGGGTAATAAATTATGTCAATTCGCTTTAAACGAATTGAGTTATTAAGATCCATCTACTCTATCATTAGAAACAGGTAGGGAATGGGAGGCCTCAGATACAACAACACCCGCATTCTATGAACTTATATTTGAATCCCGATATACAATTTATAAAGTTATCCTTCAACAAAGGAAGAACATTGACCTGGAAATGGAAGATGGTAGCTTTATGAATTTTATAATGCCAAGCGGTAGATTGGATGAAGTTGAAATTGAACTTGATAAGAATTATACAACTAAAACGTTAAAGATTATAATACTATCCTTATACCAGAATCTTTCACCTGGCTTTGCAACTGTTAAAGTTTACGGTAAGATTTTAGATGAAAATTCTATATCAGAATTAAGTTCTCTTGAAAATTTTGATTGTCAATATGAAAAGTCATTAAATCTTTTTATTGATCATGATGATTCAACGTGTTTTCCATTAAAGTTTTCAAGAAATTCAATCTCTAGGTTAATGCTTTTGGTAAACAGGAACTATGATATTAATCATCCACCATATCCTTCATAATTTAGCAGTAAGTAGAAAATTATCTAACGGAAATGACTATACGAGTCGTTGTGATATCACCTTATTAGATAACTCCTACTGCAAATATACTTGTGTCAATAACACCAGTTCTGGAAGCTTTCTACTAATTCTGAATAATAAAAATCTATCAATTGATGTTTGTAAAGTGGATTATTCAATTGCCTAAGAGAGTGAAATTACATTGTTAAAAAACCAATTTCAATTGTATTTTATTGGTTTTACTATTTATGTTGACTGTAAACGTGACAATCTATTTTCATTTCCAATGAAAACGTTTCGAAGTTTGACCTTATCACTATCTGTTAATCTAATCTCGATGTATGGTGTATTAACTCTGACAAAGCCAATAGAGATATAACCACAATACAGAAAGTAAAAGTATAAAGGACTAAGAAAACACTAAAAATTCTATTACAAAGATTATTTTTAAATATCTAGGACACGAAAAATAGCAAGTAAAAATTCCCATTTCAGAAAACCATAAAATAAAATAACGCTATTATTAAGAGGATACAATAATCTTTTTTGAAATATGTCATCTTTCATATATAACATTCAATCGTAATGATAGAAAATAGAAATCGGACCATATTTATTGAAGATATATTAGCTTTTTATTCTGTTTTAATTAACAATTTGCCGTAAATGTTATTAATTTACAGTACAGTTTAAACATGTAGACTTTTAAATTCTATTTTTGTTTTATTTGTTTATTGAAATATTTAAGAAAAGAGTTTTTATTTGTTTGAACAGCTTGAACAGATGTTTTTATACTTTTGGAACTTGTTAAACTGGACATTTTTAAAATATGCTGATTGTATTCTATTTCAATAGCCTTTTATTTTCACTTCTTCCTCTATCTTTCTTATTCAAATATTCGTGTATTTGCTTATTTTCTTTTCTATTTATTGTAAACACTTTTACCTTCTTTCGTCAAACAAATGCAATTGCTCTGAACGCGTTTATTGCGCAAAAAAAGGTCAAATAAAGGAGATTGAAAATATATTAAAAACATATGACATGTAGAACTGATAACGGATATGGACAATATCAATCATACATTTCTATTAATAAAGAGTTATTAGGGAGATTGAAAGAAAGTTAAAAATTACAAGACTATAGTTTATATTTCTATATTTTTTCCACCTGACAACCAAGCGAATCAATAGATTAATATGACTCACACGCTCCATTTCCAATAGAATGTTTACCTTGAAGCAATTATGTGTAAGATTTATCGCTAAAAATAGTTATATAATCCTAAATGTTGATGTGAATAAGGGTAAGAGGCTTCCGTGTCACTTGGCTGAGAGGATATTTACTTATTTAGACGAATTTAACCTTGGCATTAAGGAGGATTGTTTAGAATATTTCGATTCGATAAGAACTAAACTAAGAAGAGTAAAATTTAATGGAAGGAGAATAGTAAATAAATCATTTTTGGCTTTTCTAAAGAATCATCCATTGGAATGTATTCATATTCAAAACTTAAATAATTTCTATCTATCAGATTGGGTTGAATATATTAATAATGAGAATTTAAGAGAATTATCTATAATAGATTGTCTTCTTAGTAACAAAGAACCAATTAGTTCGATAAATCATTTGAAAAATTTTAGGAATTTAATTAAATTGGACGTAAGCTTTACGAAATTTGATGATAATTGCTTCAATTTCATATGTATTGAATTAATTTCGTTAGAATACTTGGATATAACAAAGACAAGTGTTCAATTATTATCTCCAATTGAACATCTACACAGTTTAAAATCGTTTAATTATAGAATTTCTAATGAAGTTGTTATTAATTTTCAACAATTGTACTATCTATATCATCTTCAATGTATTGAATATTTAAATATTGGCTTTATTACGGCTAAAAGTCTTGAATATATTGAAGAGAACTTTATCAACTCGAACGTTTGGACATTGTTAAAATTCTTCCGAGTGTATCTTCATTTTACAATATCACAAGATATAGTCAAGTAAGAATGCTATTATTAGTTATGATTATTATTCATATTTCATTTGTACTTATCAAAGTTATTGTCTTACTTTCCAGGAAATTTATAGCGAATCATCGCAACCTTGAATTCTTTGAAATAGATTGCCAGTCTGTAGGCGTATATTGTTTGTATCTTTCAACTTCTTCAGATATTCTATTTTTTCAACAGGGATTGGTAAGTATAAATAATCTATTAATACTTCTATACCTTCTCTTTTCTATTTAGTCGGAGGCAAATGTTGATGCTAATATCATTGTCAATGCTCTAGACTATCTGAAATGCTCCCCGGTTCAGATAAACTATTACAGTACTATTCTAGTTAGAATCCTTTGTTCCGGGACGACCATTAATCTTAACAGACTTTGGAAGGTTAATAGACTTGAACACTGGATAACAGAGATACTAATTTTAGATTGTTTCTTTCCTTTTTCTATTCCAAAAGGTTTTGCTGGAAATTTTAGATATTTATAAATATTCAATAACGAAATGTGGTTACAATCTTGGCGATTTGCTAGCCGTTAGATGGTGCTTTAGATTAGTTAATTGTATCAAAATCGTATCAAATAATGAGGATAATTGGATGAAAATAGTCGAAATTGGTTGTAAAATTTTTGAAGAGATTTATAAACTTGGTATAAGAAATTCGATCTTCTATCATGTTTCATTCGAACTTTCTAGTATTCTTCTATCCAGATTTCATTACATACATTTTGTAATTAAGTTAATTAATATTCATAAGCAGAAGAACAAAGAGTATCTTTAACCTTCTTTTCTTTTTTATATACAGTGTATGAAAAAAATTCAATTAGCTTCAAAATATTTGGAAATAATTGATTCATTTCCGGAAGGGGATGCCTACGATCTGTTATTAAAATCGCTTATTGATACTGATTTTAGATACGTAATATACTATTTTCTTTCTATCATTTTTACTGAATTTATCAATAATTTCTTCTCTGCTATTTTCAGTTGCCAAAAAATGATTTTCGACATTTTTTACATAGTTTTGAAATATTCTTGAATAATTTTTATAAAAATCCAAAACATTTTACCTTATCTTTAAAAAAGAAAACAAATTTGAAAAATCTATGCTTTAATGGACTAAAAACTTATTGTCGACATTACGTATTAAAGAATGATATAAAGAATGATAAGTATTATCAATTTATCAAAGCTTTTCAAAAAAAATTTGTCGCCTACGAAACCAACTTTGCTTGATTAATGTTTGAAAATTAGGGAGTGGAAGAAAGAAAGAAAGAAAGAAAGAGAGAGAGAGAGAGGGGGGAGGGCGGTTTAAGAAGAAATCAAAAGTGATTTTATGACAAACTATCTCATTTTCCTGTTAGTTAAATAAAGGGAAAACTCGAGAAGAGAAAGAAGTGATTATATTCAATGGATCTAATGACTAATTGATAAAATATCACTATTTTATCATTGCTATAAATGATATAGCAATAATGCAATAGGGAATATTTTAGATTATTAATAACATTCAAGATTATTGCTTTATTATATGCAATGCAGAAAGTTATTTTTGTTCTTTCTTTTGAATGAATTAAACATTTACAGTGCGTGGGATCGCCTCCGTAATTTCTCGAAAAACAACCAATCAACGTATAATATGTATCTAATATTTAAAATAAACATTGCTGATTAATATTTCAACTACTGTTTCTTGTTTGAATATCCATTGAACCATAGTCTATCATCTATTTTATACAGCATATAAAGCTTTATTAAGCTCAATAGGCTTATTTATAATTGATGATACTACCTCCAGCTACTACAGTATATTTTCTATCATCGATACAATCTTAATACTGTGGCTTAATTCTCAACATACTAGAATAATACAAAATTCAATAGCCATGTAGCAAAATAATGGAGATTTGATATACTTAGGATTAACTATTGATTAAGAACACTTTTAGCTTATCCATTAAAATCGTATAAGAACTTTTTAAGAGTCCATGAGCAATTTCATTGATTAAGCAGATTACTGTTATTTTTAACAACTCGGCTTTTTATTGCTATTCTAAGCCACGTAAGCTTCTTCTGACTAAATTCATTGCTTTCCCCAACCAATTGAAGTTTTATGCGAATAGCTCGTTACGGTGTAAAGAGATAAATTCATTAAGTAAAGAAAAGAGAGCTTAACTAGACTGAATAAACTATTTATTATATTTAGAAAATCATTGATTGTTTCGGAGTAACAATTCAATACCATTGGGATATAAAATATCCTTTAAATTCATTGAATAACACTTGTTATCGAAATGTGGATTAGGCTTTTTAAACGTTTTGACTTCTCTTCCTTCAATATAAAGGTTTGGTGATGTTTTGTCAAATGAATCGACTTGATAGAAATTATATTTCTTATTGCTAACTAGGCCTAATAGACCACCGTGATATTGGTCAAAAATCACTTGTCCAGAAGATAGTTCATCGATAAAAGTCTTCAATACAGGTATGTTAAAATTATCAAACTTTCTAATAATTCTTAATTTTAATTCTCTGCCATTCTCTTCAAATTCAATAACTAACTCATTAGGCGACAGTCTTAGACGAATCCTCGGATTAATTCCACTACTTAAGTCCATTATTCTATCCCAACTGTACAGATTGTGATTTGGTAGGCCAATAGAAGTGAGGCCGGCCTGTATTAATCCGAATTTTGTTTTTACAAGTAAACGGCTAACTTCGTAGCTATCCTTTAATTCGAAAATGACCGATACACCTGTATAGTTATTTAATATAGTATTGGAGAATTGAATCATGATTTTGTTATTAATAGATAAAAGCCTACCTAGGAGTTTATCCGAGAAAAATTCATACTGTTCACCTGCTTTTCCAATAAAATCATAACAAATATCTTCCAGAGTTTGTCTTCCGTCGTTGTGTAGAACTTTAACTGTTTGAAATATTCTTGGATCATTGCAAAAATTCAAAGGCATCCTGTCATTAACTAACAACTCCAAACGAGCTTCAGATGGAAGAGAAACAGCCTTTCCCTGACCATTTTGACGTCTACATTCTATTTGAAGTATTAAAGTTGTATCTCGACAATCATTATCATATCCAACATGTAACGTTATAAACCTCCTGCTGGATAAAGCATTTAGGTAAACGTAATTTGGTTCAATACGAACATCCGGTAGTTCTTTGTTGCCACTTATCGATATATGGCAAGACAGTGTTTCAAATCTTAGATCCATGGTGTCGGGCCATCGTTCCAACAGTCCAACATTGAGAATCGTCGACGAGTTTTCGACAACGCTTTCAATTCGATTATCAATAAATTGAATTGCTGTTTGTATATTGCGTTAAAAGAATTAAAAATTAGCAATAAATGTTCCTAAACAATTAAAGAATTTAAACAAGTAATATGTAAATTATACAAACGTATATCAACTTGTGATTTAACAATGATAATACACGAAAATAGAAAAGTTATCAACGCTTTCATAATTTATTTCTTCTATCTTTACCATCCACCGTTCTTTCAAAAGTCACTAGTCAAAGAAAGTACTTTTCTGTAGACAGAATTAAGCATCCAACTAGTTATCTATGTTGGGAAAAGACTGATAGCATGTTTTCAAGCATATTGAGTAAATACTCATGGAAACAGTGGCCATTTTTTTTAAAAACTTTACCGATAACTAGGATTATTACTAAACTACATCAAAAATACCCAGCTATTACTAGCCACAGTATTATATATACTGTATGTATTTTATAGACGAAATGTAATAACTTTTGAAACGAATAAGCATGTTTAGAGAAGAGAAGATCTTGAATACTGATTGAATAACATTGACGATCTTGATCAGGTTGATCCTTTAGAAAAGCTTTAAGAAATTTTCCATTAACTAGTAACGTTTCTTCTATTGCTTAGACAGAGTCTGTTGATAGCAGTTATTGTACAAATACAGGTTACTCATTCAAATTATTTGAAATATGTAGGGATAATGAGGTGAGACGCCCTCAAATAACATTCATCAGTATCACCAGGTTTTCCAATTATTCTTCTTTTCCCTATTGACAAAACTATCTTCTTTTTCAATCAGATCGCTAAGACACTATCAAAAGTCAATTCCATCCAATCATCAGATTTTCAAGTAACATGATAATACAATACAGTTTTTACCTTATTTATCGCTACCATTTACTTTTGAAGTAGGATAAACATCATTGTACATTTTCCCTTCTTCGATATTCTTGACGCGTGTCAATCATTATGTTTAGTTTGAACTAAACGAAAGAATTATACAACTTTTTTATTAATTATTCTTAATTTATTATCAAAAAATAATAGTCGAACACCGTTGTCAAAAAAAAAGGAAATATCATTTCTAACAAAAACGGTCTTTCAGACATTTATAATTGAACAAAAACATTTATGCTAAATAGCATTTCTCTTACAACGACTTTTGGAATGAATACGCATTCTTTGGAAACATTAAATCTCCCAAACTCATTGAATAACATCTATCAGTATCACCAGGCTTGCCGGTTAGGAATGCCTTCACAAATCTTCCATTTATTTTAACAACAGTCAAATCGATCGTCTCTTGAACTGGTTCGTAGAATTCATAATCTTGATTAGCAATTAAACCAAAAATTCCACCGTGATGTTCGTCAAACACGCCTTTGAAACTTGTTGACTTTTCAATCAGAATGTTCAAATAGCTTTTACCAAATGATTGTTGGATTTTAGCAATCCTAATGGACTGAGATCTATCTTTACCATAGTATTCAATAAGAACATCCATTTCATTTTTGGAGATAATTGCGTGAGGATATTTCTCCTTTTCGCCAATGACAAAACTATCTTCTTTCTTCCATTTGAAACTTGAAGATTTTGATGTAGAAATAGTGTCGGTAGTAAAGTTGAAATATCCCAATTTTGTAGCATAGAAAACTTTGCCGATATAATAATCATCTCGAAGTTCAAAAACGATCGAAGTTCCTAAATGAAACAATTACAATTAATAAATAGGATATTGATAGAATCAATAAATTATTTACCTAAGACATTATCACTAATCAATTCCATCTGATCACCAGATTTTCCATAGAGATCATAGCAAACATCTTTTGTTACACTTTCGCCATCTTCATCAATTCCAGATACTTTTTGAGTAAGATGAGGATCATCGCACATACTACCTGTTTCAGTGTTTTTTACTTTAATGGTGAGCACGCTATTTGTTATTTTTATTGGAATATTCTTCAAGACAAACTTCCAACATGTCAACTTTATCTTGTAAGTGTGATCATGACATTTTCCATCTTTTACAGCTTTAAAGAATATAGATATCTTTTTATTGAGAAATGGTATCACATGTACACTATTTTCTGGTACAGGCTTCCATTTGAGAGCGGTATTTGGGGCTCTGGTGTGAATAAATTTTTTTGCTTTCGGCGCAACTGCTTTGCACTTTACAAAGACACCTCCTGGCCAAGAATTAGCAATCAAACCTAATTCAACTTTGACGGCGGGTCCCGCTTCTTTTAATATAATTAAGTTGGGATTCCAACCAAAAGAGTCTGCGGTGGTATAATAAAAGTTGTTAGTAAAATATAATAGAACAGATAAGATATGAATATATACTTACGTTGAGCTGAAGAAGAAGCAATGCATAGCACGAGAGCAGAGAAGCCAACAATAAATGAATTCATATTCTCTAAATTGAACGGCTACCTCTCAGTGAAAAACTGATGTGTTCAAAGCCAATTTCTATCCTATTTATATGTCAACCGGTTGATAGTTTGCTGTGTATTTTTTTGAATGGGTCACTCTACAGCATAGGTATTTGATATTTTTAATTGGTTAATTACATCACAAAGACAGCGAAATATATAGATTTTTTTGTCGACCCAAGTTGCCGATAAGTATGCTGGTCTATTCTGGCAAGTATTGACTGATTAACTTTGATGGAATGATACCAGAAGTAGAAACCCCTATTATTAAAGGAGCGCTCTTTGACTTACAGGACTCAGTATTTTTGAAAACTGTCCCCTACGAACATAAAAAACCTTGTTTCAAAATAAAAAACTGAAGCTTTTTAGTCCTATATTAAAAATACAATAGGAACGGCGCAACTTGTTCAAATGTAGCGTTACTTCCGACGGAAAGTAGTTTCTTTTTTGTACGTCAATTTAAATAATAATTGATACGATATTCTGAAATGATAGCTCATTATTTCTTATCATTTATTAATAATAAATCAAAAATAATATGCACAAAATCACACCTGGAATGCCGAGTGTTCACTTCACTTGGAAATGGACGATATGTTAACACTTCCTATATAATCCATCAGTTTCGTTGACTGTGAACATAATCAGTGGATTAATAAAGACGTTCGTGTATTACTCTAATTATTATTTATTTAAAAATAAAAGACTATGTAGAAATCATCTTATTAGTGTTGTCTATTTAGCTTTATATACTGTGAAACTTGTATATGTAAACGATAGAAAGCCTACATTTTTCAAAAAAGAAAAGACACCTAAGAAGGTCAACTTTGACAGTAGCCTACTTTGCTCCGTCTGTCCTTTATGAACATCATTTTCAAATAATTAATGAAACAACTGGGTTTAACATATAACTGTTTTTAACGTTTATTATCAAAAAATAATAGTCGAACACCGTTGTCAAAAAAAAGGAAATATCATTTCTAACAAAAACGGTCTTTCAGACATTTATAATTAAACAAAAACATTTATGCTAAATAGCATTTCTCTTACAACGACTTTTGGAACGAATATACATTCTTTGGAAACATTAAATCTCCCAAACTCATTGAATAACATCTATCAGTATCACCAGGCTTGCCGGTTAGGAATGCCTTCACATATCTTCCATTTATTTTAACAACAGTCAAATCGATCGTCTCTTGAATTGGCTCGTAGAATTCATAATCTTGATTAGCAATTAAACCAAAAATTCCACCGTGATGTTCGTCAAACACGCCTTTGAAACTTGTTGACTTTTCAATCATAATATTTAAATAGCTTTTACCAAATGATGATTGTTGGATTTTAGCAATCCTAATGGATTGAGATCTATCTTTATCATAGTATTCAATAAGAACATCCATTTCATTTTTGGAGATAATTGCGTGAGGATATTTCTCCTTTTCGCCAATGACAAAACTATCTTCTTTCTTCCATTTGAAACTTGAAGATTTTGATGTAGAAATAGTGTCGGTAGTAAAGTTGAAATATCCCAATTTTGTAGCATAGAAAACTTTGCCGATATAATAATCATCTCGAAGTTCAAAAACGATCGAAGTTCCTAAATGAAACAATTACAATTAATAAATAGGATATTGATAGAATCAATGAATTATTTACCTAAGACATTATCACTAATCAATTCCATCTGATCACCAGATTTTCCATAGAGATCATAGCAAACATCTTTTGTTACACTTTCGCCATCTTCACTAAATCCAGATACTTTTTGAGTTAAGTGAGGATCTGAACACATACTACCTTGCTCGGTATTTTGTACATTGATTTCTAGAGTAGTATACTTTATAAGTAAAGGATTTTCTTTTACGGGACTTTCTCTGTCATAACAGGCCAGTTCTACAAAGTATTGTTTATTTTGGCACATTTTGTCCTCTCGAGCTCGAAAAAGCAATTTCTTAAATTTCAAAGGCTTGTTTATTTCAATTCCTGTAACGTCGATCAGTTTTTTCCATGGGCTCAACAAACCAGCTTTCATTTCAATAGTATCGTGGGCATCTGTTTCCGGGTAACATACAATTGTAGAAAATTTTGGCCAAATAGCACCATTTTGGAATCCAAGATAAACTGCTTTTGATGGACCACCTTCTTTAAGTTGAACTTGCGTTGGTGTCCAGCCAAACGACAACTCCAATGGATCTAAGAATTATAATAATTATAAGATAATAAAACCAAAATGAAATTAATGTAAACTTACTCTGCGCTAAAGCAAACCCACTGCACATAACAAAAGCAAAGAAGCCAACAATAAATGAATTCATTTTCTCTAAATTGAACGGCTACCTCTTTGTGAAAAGCTGATAGTGACTAGCATAACTTTTCTGTTCTATTTATATGTTGGAAAATTGGCAGTTTGCGATTTATTTTTGGTCAAAAGTTGATCTATAGCATAGGTATTTCGTATGGTGATTGTCGATATTTTATCATTCAGTATATTTATTATTAGAAATGATTGTTAAGTTATAAATAATAAATCTTGTAAGGCAAAGTAATCAAAGATGATATATTATTAAATATTGACTTTTGCATCTAATTATAATGAAGTTAAGAACCCCTATTGTTAAAGGATAAGCGCCTTATTTTGCACTACTCACAAATATTCAAAACTGTCGGGTGTCAACATAAAAAACATGAAAAAAAATAACTGTGATTTTTTGTTTAAAAAAAAATGTTCAAAACTAGGTCTTAAAGTGTAACATTGCTTTAACCGAATGTAAAAATCATAATTATTGTTTGTAACGGCAATTTATTACTTGTTATTAAGTGTTACTAATAAATAAGAAATACTATGAGGGAGGATGGAAAGATTTTTCATTTTGAATAGATCCTCTCTACTCTCTTTCCCTCTTAGTTCAAACGTCATTTTAATAGAGTGAATCATTCGGATAGGAAGGAAGCTAGCAATAAAAGCATACACTCTCTTAAAATTCAACGAATACATTGCAATAAAATGAAATAGACTTAGAGTTTTATAATAACTTTTGATAAATTTTATAATTAACCCTTTCTCCCTTCCTTTAGATTTTCATATTTGTGACAACAACAAGAATCTTTCCCTTAATCCTAATCTTTCAATAAACAATTTACATAGATAGTGTACGCAAAAGTGTAAAAGGAGGGCATATAACTTTAGATTAGTCATCATTCTTGGTACATGTTCAAAGTATTTACACGAAATCTTTAAATTTGTACCGAGTATATCAGTTCTATATATAAACTATTTACATCGAAAGAGTTTGTTGATATGATTTTATTGAAGAAGAAAAGAAAGAGAAAAAACATATATCACCCCCACAAAAATTACGTAATCTTTATACAAAGGTTCGGTTTGCTTTTGCTGCTTTGTTCAACGATAAGCCAGATTCCTTGTAACGGTAGTTACCACATCATTTTTTCCTCTGTCAATCCTTCCTGTTAATCGGACCGTAGGAAGAGAGATACAGGCATAGGAAAGATAATATCTTCTATATTTATCAAGTGGCATTCTTCGTTATCATTGATTAGCTGTAGTTTAGACGCGACTGGCCTTTGATTGATTTTTACTTTCGTTACCGATTCTCTTCCTCTTTGAACCGATTTATTGAAATGATAAACGTTATTTGCTGCCGAACCCAAGAGGCCACCTTGAAATTCGTCGAGGATCTTTTGATTTGGTGTGGTTTCTTCTACAGCAATATTAAGGTGACTTTTCTCAAACGATTTCTCTTCTTTAATAATTACGAGTGCCAGAACTCTACCCTCATCTTCTACCTTAATCAAAAGTTTCTTATTTAGATCAATTACAAGTTTAAAGTCGGTTCCAACTTCAATTCTTTTAACTTGACCCCAAGTCTGATGGAAATTTTCTGGTCCAGTAATAAAGTCTCTGTTTATTTCAATTGAACCTTGACGAGTAATGATAAATATTCGGCCAACATGATATTCTTCGCGTATTTCAAAGTAGGCTGAAACACCTGAATAGATTTGTTTTGTATTTTTTTCCTTTATTTAGATGATTTGTTACTTTCTAGAATTAATTCAATTTTAATTTACCTAATAAAGAGTCGGTTACAAACTCAAAGACATCGCCGTGTTCACCGTAAATATCATAGCATATCTTTTCATGAACTTCTTCGCCATTTTCGTTATAGCCTTTGACAAACTGCTGAATACGATGTTTATTACATATTTCACCAACTGTGTTGTCTATAACACTAAAATAGACACCATTATATTTAGAAATAGTTAATTCTTCAGAATTCTTCGTACAGCGAACTTCAACACCAACGTAAGGTCTGTCATCCCTGCAATCGTTGTCTTCCTTAACTGTTATGACTATTATCTGTTTGGGAGAACTTTTATGGATTTCAAATGATAAAGGAGTAACCAAAATAGGCGCCAATTTCGAACTTTTCATAATTTTACAAACGAAAACATCATTTTCGTATTTCGAAGGCCAGATACCTTTAAGGCTAAACTCTGCTTTGCATTTTTGCCCTTCCTCCAATTCAATAGGCGAATATTGGAAAAATCCCAATTCTTTAAAAGGAACATAGTATTGTTTATTTATATTTATTTGATTATGCTCTTTTGTTTTTAATATATGAATATAAAATGTTACCTATATCACTCTGTCCGAAAGTCGATGACCATAGACAAAAGATACAATAAATAAGAGGGAAATATTTCATATTGGCCGTCTCTTTGATTCAAGGAGGCTCTAACCCAGAAAACAGATGATTAGCCGGCTTGAACTCAAAATAGCCAAACTACTCTTAACTTTAAAGCTCTCCACGTGTAGAGCAATCCGATCTATAAAAAAAGGAATAGAACAAGGACAACAAAACAAGTTAAGTAGTACACTTTGAGTTTCATTTCATTTCATACACGTTGCCTTATAAGTAGAATTTTAAAAAGTTTACGCATTTTTTGTCATTCTAGAAAAATTCTACCATAAAAATCATAAGAATAGATTTATCTGTAATAATATTATTAATAATAAATAGTCTGTTAGCGTTTAATATTAAAATATTGATAACTACTCATTCAATTCTCTAATTGCATGTGAGATAACACAAATATAGTGAAAGATGTTGAAATTTATCGTATGCATAATTGTTATAGAAGTTTTCTCGATTGGAGATTGTTCGTTTAATTCTGGTACGTGTTTAATATATTTATATATACGGTACATTCATTGAATTTTTTATCCAGAAATTGGGTTCAGTAGGGATGTGGTTAGTCCGAGCTTTGTTCAAGAAGGAGACACAATTATTGAAGAGTTTGGTGTTTTGAAAGATTGGGATATGCTATATGGAAGTTATTTAAATTGTAAAGTAAAAAGCGGAAGTCCGGATGGTAGATCTTTAATTTTTATTCCAGAAAATTTTCATCTAACTCCTTCAAATTTGAAAACAACAATTCAAATTGATATTCCTTTTGATTGTAAATCTGGTACTACTTTTGCCGGTATGCTTATCGATTGTACCCCTGAAATGATGCCAGAAAATAAACTAATGCATTCGGACATTGTAAGCTATGTAATCAGCGATTCATTGTCGCCGGAAATGTGTGGCGATCCCCATCTAGCACAAGTCGTTAGAGGGAAAGATGAAGAAGGCAATTCCGTTAATCAGACGATATGCTATGATTTTTACGGCAAGAGTGGCGATAGTTTTGAACTATTATCCGATAAATATTTAGGTAATAAACAATTTGTTGTTTGTAGAAAAATTGAAATAATCTTGTTTTCTTTCTTCTTAAAGGAGTAAGCATCATCTCATCTCTGAGGGATGATTATTACATAGGAAGTATAATCATTAAAACTATATATGGTAGTATCGAAGTAACTACTAAAGATGTTAAAGGACCGAATGGATATTATAAAACTTGGTTTGATAAGAAGAGAACTCGTTTAATTGATGATTCAGCATATAAGATTGATATTATCGTTCGAAATAGTATTACTATAATTATTAGACGAGATTCAAGAAAGTTGAAATTGTTTCTATTGAAAATCAAACAATTCTTTGGAAAGTCTTATTTGAATATTAATATTCAAGAGACGAGTGATAGGTTGGGATTAATGGATAAATATCATGGTGGTCTATTGAGTCTTGTCTTTTCGAATGACTATAAATTCTATGAACCAGTTCAAGATACCAATCAAGCAACTGTCCTAATTAACGATAGAATTGTCAAGTCCTTTAGAAAATTTAAGGACAATAATAGCTGTTATATGTTGAAAATTGAAGATATCCTGTTTCCTAGAAATATTGACGTCATCAAGATCTAAACTTCTTATAGATGTTATTTTTTTATTATTATTATAGCATTCCATGTTGAAAATAAAAGATTAATAAGAAAATTAATGAAATTAGTCAACTAGTATCTCAATAGTGTTGCAATCATATCAGTTGTTGGTTAATCATATTTTTCAGCCTATTACTAATATCAGATTTCTTTTATCATCTTCTGGAAAGAATGCAACTCTAATTGTGAATTATATTTCATAAGTATCTATGTATTTTAATACTGCTTGCTATATAGTATTGACTGATGGTAAAAAAGTCCATGTGGTATATTAGACTGAGTGATATATGATTAAGGCATTTATTGGTGAATTTCACCGACTAGAGAAGAGATGGGCTTTATTCTTTATATACTATGTTTTCTCTACCTTTCCATACCGTGCGAAAGCTATTATGATTATGATTTAGAACGTAAGTGTTTTTTCTTGTAGCTTATTGAAAAAATATAACTTTGAAGCGTCAAACAGCAGAAGTAGCGATAGGATGGTTTAAAACGAATGCTACTATCATCGAAGGTGAAGAGATTATGTTGGACTTTGGTATTATCTCTAGCTTAGACAGTTGGCCTTATATAAATCCTATTGAATGTCAGCTCAAGTCACCTGGATCAGTTGATTTAGTTATTCCCAGTGATAGTTTCTATTTGAAAAAAACATGGCCAATAGAGAATTTAGAACTTTTTGGCTTAAACGACGATTCATCATGTTCCGATAAAAAGTATCGTATAGAAGCGAGATGCTTTGAAAGTGAGGAAACGGGAAGAGTGATAGATGTTAAAAATGCTTATTTGGATTTATACGTAATAAATTCAACACCAGCTAGACATTGCGAAGCTCCCTATTTCTCTCAAAAGGTTTTAGGCGTCAACGAAGAAGGTGTACTGGTCAAGGAGCTAATCTGTTATGATACTTTTGGAAAAGCTGGTAGTCAGTATGAGCTAATTTCGGATAATGTTCTAAGTGAATATTTTTCTAGCTATCTCTTCATTATTATTATTACTAATTAGGGAATACGAAATAACTATAGCTGAATTCTTTTTTCCAGATCTTGCGTCTATATTCGAATTTCAGCGAGATTATTATGTTGGGAAGATATTCTTTAACACTCCATTGGAAAATATTATCATATCAACTATTAGCATAGCTATAGGCAAACACACGCAATTATTTTGGAATGGTCAGGGTAATTATTTTAATGGTGACGAAGATTCTGGACCAAATTTATCAGTCAACTTGTATGGATCAACTGCAATATTTAGCTATTATGAAGCCGACAGAATTCAAGTGATAAAAGTAAATAGAGTGACCAGACAGAATGGCGAAAGCTATTTGAACGTTATGATTGACGAATCGACAGGTGAAATGAACGTATTCGATACACATCATAACGGTATATTCCAAATTGTTTCAAATCAAGATTATGAATTTTTTAAACCAATTCAAAAAAATAGAAGAGTGACTCTTGTTAAAGTGAATGGAGTTGTTGTTAAATCATATTTAAAGAATACTTTTGATCATAATGAAACATGTTATACGCTTTTGTTAAATCAAATTATAAGTCCTAATCTACTTGAAAAGTTTTCAAAACCTTTGAATCGTTTAGATAAAATGCTCTAATTTTTATTGTCTTGTATACTGCAATTAAAATTGAAAAATACAGTATTACCTATAAAAAAAATATTTACATTTGTATTTAAATATCATTTCATCTTCTATCGCCTTCGCAGTCGCCGCCCGCCCGCCCCCCCTCTCTTCTCCACCTATCCCCCATTTTATATATTAGGCGTCGGCAAAGTTTTCTATCTGGGTCTGGTATATCTTTTTCTAGATCACAACATTTTTTATTTTATGCTTTCTTAGAAAAGGTACTTTAGTTCTGTATATGACTTTGCTCATCTAAGAATTTCGTCTTTATAAGAAAGGCTATTGTTTTAGTATATCAGTCTTGTTGACAATTACCGAAGGTACACTTGAAAAATATGCAGGCTTCCGTAATGCTTACAACAATTTTAGGTCTTTTTATCATAACTTTAGCACAGTCTCAAAGTAAGTATCAAGAAGAATAATTATTCAATTATTCATATATCTATTTCTATATAAAACCTTACTTCAACAGATATTGGTTTTAATCAACCAAGTTATACGATAGATGAAGGAACTTCTGGTGAAATGGTGATATCTATAGATGAAAATATTGATGTGCATTGCCTACTACATATGCAATCTGAGTTTGGCTTACGAGTGCTAATTTTGCAAGAGAATCTATTCTTTTCACCAAACAACAAAGCAATTGAAATTTCAGTTTTAGCTTTACAGAATAGTATACCTTGCGATTCAGTAGAAGCAACAATTCTGATAGATTGCGATAATGATTATCAGAATACGTTTAATCGAAAAACTGCAAAAATCCATATTGAAGATCAATCTGCTGGAGGAAAAGTATGCAATGATCCACATTTAATGCAAAATGTTAGGGTTTTCGATGAGATGTCCTCTAATCAAACGAAAGCCGTTTGTTATGATTTATATGGTAAATCTGGTGATCAATTTGAAATTCTTTCCGATAAGATTCTAAGTAAGATTTTCTCCTTTATCTTTATATTTTCGCTAATTATATTTAATTTCTATTGAACGTAGATACCTCGGTAATCATTCATCTTCGAGATGACTATTATATCGGTAAAGTATTCGTCCAAGGGCCATTTGGCGTTGTTGAAATCAATACTGCTTATATTGAAACTTCTTCCAAGTCGAAATTCTCTTGGAACAACTTGAAAAATTTCACATTGGATAAAGAACATGGACCAATGTTAGCAATCAATAGTAATAAAAATGCTATCAACGTAAAATACGATAGTGGCTTTAGAATTCTTAGCGTTTTAATTGTCAAGATTAAAGAAGAATACGGAAAAGAACATTTAAATCTTTTAATGAGTAGAGAAATGGGACAGGATAATGTATTCGATCAATTTCATGGGGGAATTTTTGGAGAAATTGCCAATAAACAATATACATTTTACAGACCCGTTCAAGAAAACGAAAGTCACGCAGCTGTAATGATAAATGGAAGATACGTTAAATCTTGGATTAGAAAACAGGAATTCAACCAAAAGGAGAAATGCTTTACACTAACCTTGAAAGATTTACTATTTCCAAAAAGTGTCAAAGATTTTCAAAAGTCTTCATAATGTCATATGAATATTTATCTTTAAAGTAATTTACATGTCCAACGTATGATGCAATCGTGACGATATAATCTTATTATTTTTATGTTTCTACAAATTTTATTTTCACTTAGTTAATACGAAATGGTTTCGCTATTTTGTCGTTTTATTTCTTAAATAAACTTATAATATTTTATAGTCGAACAAATGAATACGTTTTGGGAGAGTTCAAGTCATTTCTGTGAAAATTTACTCTGTTCTTTATAAGATAAAACAGCTATCCAATTTAAAGTTCCTACTTTTTTCGGGCCAATTGAAAGTATAGACCCCTAGACTTAATCCAAGCAAGGGATACCTTGTTGAAATTGTCTGATAGAGATTACCTATTTCGGATTATCATTAATAATAATGTATATTATCATTAAGATTGTAAAGTCATTTGATTTTTGTTTATTTAATAAATATATGGCTAATAGGCTTCAATTAATTTAAGGTTAAATAACAATTCCTTATCCAAATATCAGTTTACTTTTTATATAAACACGCACTCACTTAAGAAACTTGGCGTTTTTTCTTATGTTTATATATTTATTTAGCCGGGATATAAACCAGTCGCTTTAGCGTCTTGCTAGAAGAAGAATCCTGAAAAAGATGATTAAACGCAGTGCTTTTTTCCTGATAACTATTGCCCTCTCCATGAACTTGATCGCCGGTGAAGGTACTCGTTTGTTATTTACAAGTTTTATACAGTAATTTTATTGAAATATATTATAGAATTTGGCTTCAAACCGGACTGCATAACAATAGTTGAAGGAGGAGCGGGCGTTAAATCTACTGTAAAAATTGGAACATTTTTAACAGATGTTCTAGTCTGTACAGTTCAAGTACCATCCTCTTCGGTTAGTTTATCCTCCCAACTATTAATATTCACTTCCGGCAATCGTCAAAAGACTTTGTCTTTTACTGCCACAAAAGGTACTGTACCAGATGGCAAGGATTCTATTACCATAGAAGTCAAGTTACAATGTCCAACAAACGAATTGCTTGAACCAATTGAAAATACGGTGTTGAAGCTTGTCATAAAAAAGGAAGGTGATAGTGCTGAAAAAGATCCTCATTTAACACAACTTGTCAAAGGAATGGATGAATCCTCTAGTAGAGTACGCAAGAACATCTGCTACGACTTATACGGAAACGCTGGAGATCAATTTGAAATTATTTCCGATCGAATTCTTGGTAATTTAATTAGTTTATTGAAAGATTGTTATTAAATTGTATGTTTCTTTTATCCTCTAAAGAATCTGCGGTTGTGTTAGAGCTTCGAGACGATTTCTACATAGGGAAGGTACTCTTGCAAACTCCATTGGGATTTCTAAATATTACAACCAGCAGTATCTTTGTACCGCCTCGTAGAAGGTTTCGATGGCAAGTAGCCGAAGATTTCTCTTTGAATAATCAGCGAAATAGTTTCAAGATAGATTTTGAAATAAGGGATGAGTACGTAATGATTGGAATTAAGAGAGGGGAAAGAAGTTTGAATGTTAGAGTTCTAAAGGTCCATCAAAATATTGGTAAAAACTACTTGAATATCATGATTGATCAATCAACATCAAAAGGTCAAGAACTTGATAAATATCATGGCGGATTATTTGGAGAAATATCAAATAAACAATATCGTTTCTACGATCCCGTACAAAAAGATGAACATACAGCAGTAGTAAAGATTAATAATAGATTAGTAAAATCCATATTTAGAGAAAGGAATTTTAATGAAGATCAAACATGCTACTTTATGAACATGAACGATATACTCTATCCAAAGAGCATAGAGATGTTTAAAAGAATGATAAATTAATGTAAAAGATTAAAATATTTCCTGTCTTAATATGATTAGATAAATCAGATATGTATTAAATACATCATTTTGCTAATCTAAACACTAAATGTCTTATCGATCAATGCCAACATGATAAAAACAATAGAGTCGACATACTTTTCATAGTTGGCACGTGGTAATTAAACTAGGGAATAGCATGTTATTTTTTTGCTTTAAAACACAACTCAAAGAGTAAAATAACAAGAAAACATTATATAAAAAAGTATAGAGATAGTTTAACCGGTTAAGCATTCGCTCTTAGGTTCAGCAAGGAAGTTGACACAAAGAAATGGCTCATTTTTTACATATCATTTTCATCTTTATACTTATAAATCTGATGAAATGCTATAGTAAGAGGGATTCTTTACAGTTTATACTTGTTAATTTTTACTATTTTTGCTGTTTATATACTGTATATATATATATATATATATATAGATATTGGCTTGAAGCAAATTGTTAATGGATTTGATCAGAATTTTAATAAAGTCAGCATTAATGTCTCGTATGATTTGAAAGGAAAACCAAAACATGGATTTGAAATAATATCTGATTATATTTTAAGTAAGATATTGAATTATTGTCTTTATTATTCATTTATCTTTCCCTCATTTCTCATTTTATCTTTTCTTTTTTTTAACACAGACTCTTCAATTGTTTTCAAGCTTAGAGATGATTCTTGTATCCATAAAATCTATTTTAAAACTCCAATTGGCTTTATAAATGTAACAACATCTGGTATAGATGTTCCTTTTGATAAAAAGCTCCTTTGGATAAATTCATACAAGTTTGACATGAGTAATAGACAGTTTAGAGTGGATGTAAAATCAACAGAGGAACAGTCCTTCTTCAACCTAAAAAGTGATAGACGACATCTTAATGTAACAGTATTGAAAATTCACCAAGATTGCCTGACATTTCGTATAGGAAATTCATCGTTAAATGAAGGTATAATTGATAAATTTCACGGCGGTCTATTCGGAGTGATTTCAAAACGAAACTACGAAATACTCGGTGAAAATAAAGTTTTAAAAGTGAATGGTAGATATATGAAATCATTGTCGACGAGAGAAGGAGTCTCCAATGATAGAGAGAACTTTTATAAAGTAGATTTAAACAAGATCTTATATCCAAAGAATTTGAAATATTTTCAAAAGCATTATTAATACAACTAGACATTTTTTCATTTGTTGACTCTTTTCAATCTTAGATGATTAGCTTTTATGAGATTACGTCATTCTTCATATGTTCATACGCCTAATTATAAACATATTAAATTTCTTATTAGACTAAAGATGTAATCTTTTGTATCAAATTTATAAAGTCGTTGCGTATCTTCTCCGCTAAAACGAACATAGTACATTTGGATAGATAATATCACAATTTCATTGATTTGTCTTATCGCATTGTTTATTTATAATTTATTTAACTGAAATAATTTTTCAATCATTGATCAGAACGGGGAATACTTATTATAATGACTTTTGAAACGAAGAAACATGTTTAGGGAAGAGTAGATCTTGAATACTAATTAAATAACATTGATGATCTTGATCAGGTTTATCCTTTAGAAAAGCTTTAACAAATCTTCCATTAATTTTAACTACAGTGACGTTTTCTTCTCCTTGAACAGGGTAACAGAATTGGTACTGTTGATTGGCAATTGAACCAAAAATACCACCGTGATGCTTGTCAAATACGCCATCTTTATTAGTTGATTTTTCGATAAGCACATTTAGATAGCTCTTTCCGAATGTCTGTTGAATTCTAACAATTCTAATTGATTGACATCTCTTCCCGTCGTTGTATTCAATTATAAGATTATCCAGCGACAGTTTAAGGACTGCTTGAACGTGTGTGGTTATCTCGCCGATTACATATAAGTCTTCCTTTCCCCAATGGGTAATTTTCTGTCCTCGATTGGAAATTGCCGTCGTAGTAACGTTGAGCAATCCCAACTTAGAAGAAAAAAACACTTTACCGATGAAGTAGTCGTCTCGAAGTTCAACAACGATAGATGTACCTTTGGGAAATGATGAATCGTTTAAACAAGAAATATCTATACGTACAGAGACAAACCTAGAATAGCATCGCTAATTAATTCCATCTGATCGCCCTCCGTCCCGTAGACATCATAACAAATATTTCTCGTTACGTTTCTACCATCTTCGTCAATTCCTTTCACTTTTTGGTTAAGGTGAGGATCATTGCACATGCTACTGTCCTTTGTGTTCGTAACTATTACTTTTATTGTTGGAAAATTGATCGTAATCTCCTGTTGTTTACATTGTACCTTTAAACTATAGACCTTATTCTCGCATGCGTTATCATTTCCAGCTTGAAATTTCACTCTTACGACCCTTCCCGCCAATGTTAAAATGAAAGGATGGCTTTTAATTCCAAAATTGGGACTACCAGGAATATTGAATTGTGTCTTTGTCGTCAATTGACTCGGAAGATCATCTTCAAAGGTACAAGATATCCTCTGAACACTTGGCCATCTACCTGAAAGTACACCAAACGCAGCAGTTTTTTGCTGTCCACCTTCTACGAGTACAATTTCAAGAGGATTCCATCCAACTTCTGTAGCTGTATTATGAGAGCATACTTTCGTTGTGAATTATAAAGGAAATAGAATGCTAAGAATGTCTACCTTACCACTACTTAAAGATATAATCATAGAAAAGATAACAGCAACATAGCCATCGGTAAACGAATTGATTATTTCCATTTCGACTGGCTAATTCTATGTCAAAAGCTGAAAACCTACAACATAGTCTGTTCAACACTGTAATACTAATATTTAAATTTCTTCAATTCCCTTAAAAAGCGAACTCACATTTTGTAACCCCTCTTTTTGAAATTTTACCCTTACTTCCACACTTTTCGAAGTTAACTCAACCTATAGAATCATAGTTACATACTTTATATAAATGCAAGTTAATTATTTGGATTAGGAAATAGAGTTCTTTTTAAGGTAGTAATTATAAATAGAACCCCTTTTAAACAATGAAACAGCCTTTATTAGTTATATTGCTCAATTGATTGAGTATTGAAGAGAATGTAATATACGTACGAATGATAAATTTAATTTGTATTGCTTATAAGTTTATGTATAAATGCACAAACATCTTTCATATACAAATGATTGTGACGACAGCAGGGTAGATAATAGATTTAGTAAAACTGTTTTCTTTTCAGATTTTAAGCCTCATCCCCTTTGCATTTCTGGACTGCAACAAAACCGTTTCTGAAAGATGACAATAGGTATATGAAGTGTTTGTTTTGTGCCAAATGCGATCTCCCTCTTCATCAGATTATCACCTTTAGAAAGAATGCCTCCCTGATAACTGTTTCCCTTTTTTAGATATATTAATTAACAACTCCATAATGCTATCAAACAATTTGTAGCTGTTAATTGCATTTAAAAAATGTTCAATAATTTTAATACCTCATTAGAAGTTTTCTAGCGAACTATTCAATTCAAGCAATTTCTTAGCTTTGGACACGAACTGCCTCGTGAAAAGATAAATATTAAAGAGGAACTTATATCCAATTGATCTCTAAATCAGACTTAATCATTCAGTAAACAGCGATATTCAGTATAAACTATATATTTGTGTTTTTATATTATTAATTATTGAAATGAGATATTACATGTTCAACTCTGGATAGTTGAAGTATAAAATTTATTAAAAATGATACCAAAAGAATGAATGTCTCGGCTGTTGGAGCTTACATCGAAACTCTCAATAATTCGTAAACAGTTTAATCACAAGCCAGATTCCTGAAAGGAATATCATTAGAGTTATACAAAAAAATCACAATCACTATACTGTATAAAAATGATATATAACTTACGAAATAATACAATAATACATTCATATGATGTAGACGGCAACTAGTAGAGAGACAATTTAAGTGAATACTGTAATTTAAGAATTGACTACTACAGCAATTTCCTAAATGAATATAACTAAACATTTCCTATATTTACATTGAAGGTAATTTCAGAAAAGTGTTGCCATGTAATTTGATAGAAAGCACGTAAAAGTGATTTTATGTTATACTTAGCAGTTTCACTATAAATTGAATAAAGGCAATGTTACTTTGAATCATTTGCATATTGCTCTTATGTTCAATTCATGAATTAAAACACTCAGTGATTTCTATACAAATTCAAATGGCTTCTCTTCCTCTTTCGGTATTTATATTCACTGCGTTTCTTCCTCTTTTCTCTAGCGAAAAGATCACGTACTTCATTTCTCCTATACAACAAAATCCGTCATATGTCTATGGAGCATTAAATGCAATATCACTAGACAACAGAACTACATATTCAATGCTGTTTGGTCAACTATCAATAGAACAGAATAATGCCATATGTTCTTCAATGGGATATGATAACCTGCATAGCACAGCCAATATTTGTATGAAAGGTTTGTTTCTCTTACAATAGTCACTTCGTTGTGAAAGCAAATACAACGTCTCCGTCCATTTGTATATCGTACAGAATTTAAGCGCAATTCTAGCATTATTAAGGCAATCATTAAGGATCGAATAGCAAAAAGGTATATACTACACAGCGAAGCATTCAAACTCTTAAATCGTAAAAACGTCAATCCATCAGAACCATTCAAATAGCAAACTGCCAATCTTGTACCAATTACTACTGTTTGAAGTGTTTCCTCAAGAAATCTCCAAGTAAATCGTTCAAACCCTCCTGTCTATTCAATTTACATATCTTTTTCATCTCTCTCTCAACACAGTGCTGATAGCAGCAAACACACTCCGTTCCGTATCTTTTAGTATACTCTTGAGAATCAATCAACAATTCTACAAACTGTCTGCAAAGGAGGCCAAACATGGAGAAGTATGCAGAAGAGTTCAGTCCAAAATCAACATTGAAAACATTGAAAAAAAGGCATTTGTCGAAATTGTTGATAATGAATTAACTGTTTTAGAAAATATCTCTACACCTTCTCTATTCAGTGACGTTCACTGCTCGGAAAATGATATTCAAGGTATTGCATTCAATTATGATGCTCAGCAGATGATCTTAATCGCAGTTGTTTAAAAAGATGTCTCCATCAGAGAGACTCCTTCATTCTATTACAAATACTTTTACCACACTCCAAAAACAAGCAGCAGCAGCGTAATAGTTCTTCACTACATAGATTCTCGAAGATTTGGCGTAATTCCCTTGGCCTATTCAATAAACGAAGATATTCAGATGGCAATGAGTGCGAATTGTCAACGTTTAGGTTTGACTCTTAAACCAGTTAAACCTGATATATACTTTCACGGGATCAGTGTGAAAATGAAAGCGAAATACGTTTGTTTTTTGACTGATGAATTGACGAATTGACAAACTGATTGATTAATATTCTCTTTATTTAGACAAACGACATATTTAAATATCAGAATTCTGCAATAAACGATACTCATTGGCCCATATTGAAGAATTGCAAATGGGACGATTCATACTTGAATGGATGCTCATTAGAAATATCTACCGATCTCTTTTTCACCTTTCAAATATATTGTGAAAATGACATAATGGAACATAAAGGTAAATTGCTTGTTTTCCTTATCATTTCTCTAACTCGCCATATTCATTTGTTCAATAAAGATATGGATCTCAGACTATATAGTTTTTCAAAAGGCAGTTTATTTGCGGAAACTGGTAAAGTAAATGAAAAAAGTGAATTTGAAGGAAGTCTTCAGATATATTACAAGAAATCCTGGTATCACATTAATCCATTCTACTTGTATTGGAAAGAAGCAAAACTAGTTTGCGGATATTTTGGATTTTCTGCAGGTTCAACTTCTTTTCATCGAATACGGTTAAGATACTTTGGAATGTCATTATTCAATTTAAATTGTACAAATGCTGTCAACTTTTCATCGTGTCAATTTCAATCAAACTGGATCAAGTTGGTTTGTATCACCTTCAATAGATAGTTAGATCTTAATAAAAACGAGAGCATTTTTCGAAATAGCATTCTCTTAAAGTGAAAGATAAAATTGATCAAAAATTCAAAGCATTGTAGTATTCACATATATATGATTAATGAAAATAACTTGTGTTATCTTTTATAGAAGGTTAATGAACTTTATCTATTACACGAGATTTCTTCCTATAATCAGATGCGAAAAACGAATTCAGAGAGGTAAAGTGATATATGAATTGGGGTGAAAAACTCCTCAACTCTCTCCTTCAATAGCCTGTAGTCGCAGCGATGGATATTTCTACAGAGGAGCTTGCTATTATCTCTTCAGAGGAGAAGAGCGTAGGTCTATTGCACAGGTGGACGCATTTTGCAGGAAGAGAAACTTGTTTATCTTTGATCCCAAGAGAGATAATCAACAGTATTTTTATTTGCTCATCTCTTCTTCAAATATTCTTACCAATTTAACAATTGAAATCAATTATAAACTGAGAGGTTTCTTTCATATATTTCATGTAGATTTTAAAAACTAGACGCTGATTTTTTTCGACGCAGAAGAGGAATTGCTCGGCGGAATGTTCAGAATACCTTCCAGTTCAATTTCATTTTTATTCCCCTATTACTTTCACTATAGACGTATGTTTCAGAGCTGACTGTAAAGAAAAATCTGAGGGGTCAAACTGTCAGAGTTTATTCATCCGGAATCGACAGTCAAATACCTATATTTCACCCTTATAAAGAACGAGTGTAAGTGTTTTTTTGCAGAGTAAACAGACAACGACCACAGGCCTTTGATCAAGAACAACATTATAAGCATAATTAATAGCTAACTTATATATTTAGGAATTACTTGCAAGATGACCCTGATTCTTTTGATGATGATTTCTGGAGATCAACAAATGAAATGGATTGCTTTTATGGATTCGGTTATACAAAATATTTTCACACTCTAAAATTCTACACAATTGGCTGTGATATTGCAAATCATATATTCTTTTTTTGTCAAGAATTAATTGGTAACTGTTGTTATATCGACTATCAGATTCTTATCGCTTTAATCACTCAGGCTGGGCAGATGTTCTCACTATGAAAGATCTCTTAGCTCTTCCGAAATATGAGAGAATTTGCCCCAACAACACTTTCATGTGCAATTCTTCTGAAATATGCATTAACAATATCTATATTTGCGATGCAGTCGTAGATTGTCCAATGGGAGAGGATGAAGAGAACTGCCCTGAGCATTTTATCTATTTCGAGTGTAGCTCTACTCAGAAGATATCTCATCAACTAGTTTGCAACCACGTGAACGACTGTGAAAATTGGCTGGACGAAGCTTATTGCGGTGAGACGTAGTTCGGCGTTTTCTTCAGCCTACAAGTTGAATAAGATAAGAAGACTAACAATACCTTTAAACCACAGATTACGAGCGGTGTGGAGAAGGACAAATAACGTTGTTTAAAGCTTTTAAAAATTCATTATAGTTGTTAAATTAACAATTATTTATAGATGCGACAATAGACAATGTATTGACTCACGATACCATTGTGACGGTTCTATAAATTGTATTGATAATTCTGATGAAAATTGCGTTATTTCGCCAGGAGGTTTACATCCTTTTGCATTAAAATCTCTCTTTCATTTACTCCAATGAACATTTGATTAGAGTGCAAGAATTCCCAATATTACTTTCAATGTGATAACAAATGTATCTTACAAATTCACAAGTGCGATTACATTCAGCACTGCGATGATGGGCTAGACGAGAGTTTCCCTCTGTGCGCAGAGTTCTATCAATTAACATCTGCAGCTGATATTTCCAGCGATTGTATATTGAAATATGAGCGAAATGGCATTTTGGAATCAAAGTTTTATTTAAATACTGACTATTCCGAAGTATGCCAACATAGAACATGTCCTAAAGCCTATTACAAATGTTCAGACACTGGATATTGTCTTAAATTGGATCAAATATGCGATAAAATTAGTCAGTGTCCTTATCATGACGATGAACTTTACTGCGGTAAACTGTACAAAGGCATTCACGCCACTTCATTTCAGTCAGTGTTTTCTTAAAAACAGATGATTTTTACCCACCTGGATACTTCAAGTGTCGCGGAAATGATACATTTCTTCCAGTTCAAAGAGTTTGCGATGATAAGGTAGATTGTATAGAAGGAAGTGACGAAATCTATTGTCACAAAGAAACTATATGCCTAAACCACTGCGTTTGTGATCCTCTACATATACTCAATTGCATGGAAAGAGACAGCAAAGCTTACAAACAGTCGATTTCAATTGACAGCTTGAAGGGAACCTATTTTAAAAGCTTGAATTTTACATGGAAAACCATATCAAGTGGCATTCCATTCCGACATGAACATATAGTTGCCATTTGGTTTGTTCACGTTCAATGGACAAATGAATTTGATATATCTTCTACATTTCCCAACGCCTTTTCAATAACACTGGAACATAATTATTTAAAAAGTTTGACTACAATTTTCAAGGAGAAAATGGCCAAGTTGCATTACTTGAGTGTTGCAAATAATCCCATTCGCTTGAAGGACAAATTCACATTTAGTATTTTCCCCCAACTTCGTTTCCTCGATCTGAGTAGAACAAATATTCAATATTTTCATGAACATCTCTTTTTCAAGCTAAATAACCTCCAAATCATTCATATGACTAATTTGAGAGTCTTCTCTATAGATCAAAAAGCCTCTATCTCTTTGGAAAATGTCAAGCTTTTGAACTTGAAAGGAACAATTCTACCTACAGATCATATTTTCCATTTCGTAGCACCAATGGAAAACGTGGAAACAATCTTTAATAATTATTACGAGTTGTGTTGTTTTGCTTTGAAATATTCAAAGTCATTGAAAACATGTTTGCACACAAAACTAACAACAATTTCCTGTTCTACCCTTTTGCATTCATTTTCTTTACGTGTGACAGTTTGGAGCGTGGGTAGTGTTTCTTTTATAGCAAACGCGCTATTTCTCTTCTTCCAATTCATCATATTCAGCGAATCTCGCAATCTGCTGCGAGTGTTTCTCTCTTTTTCAAATCTTTCATCTTCCCTTTATCTCCTAAGTATTGCAGCTGCTGATAAATATTTTGGTGACGAATTTGTGCTTAAAATGTCTAACTGGTTAAATGGGATGTTCTGTTCATTTCTAGATTTACTGTTTGGCAGCTCTCTAATTCTATCAAACATTCTGTTGCTTTTAATTGCGCTAAAGAGATATTTGAAAATGTTAAAACCTCATTATGGATTCTCTGACAAACAAGTTTATTCCTGCAATTTGTTAGCGCTCCTAATATCAGTGAGCATAATGTATCTATTAATACATCTGAATAAAGTAAGCCTAGTGATAGAAATACTAATGAATAGAGGATTAATGAAAATTAAACGAATAGAAAAGAAATTCAAGATCGAGGATATGTTTTTCTTTTGATATTTTCAACGACGAAGGGTATAATGCACAGCATTCATTTCTAGCATTTACATTTTTGATTTGTCTCTTAAACTATATCATGATATTTGTCTATTCAAAATGTATCTTGATTTTAAAACAAAGTATGAAAGAGTGCGATGGAGAAAAGATGATTAACACAGAAATGAAGGAAATAAAGGCGTTTTTCATAGGATTGGCAAACTCTCTAATTTGGTCAGCAGTTTCCGTTCTATGTAATAGGACTGTTGTGTTTGTAAAAAGCCTTTGATCATGTCAACCATTTTTTTAGATATTTCTCACAAATTTGTTTCCATTGATATTCCAAACGAAACCTATTACTGGCTGGTTGTTGTTGTTTTTCCCTTAAATTCATTGATAACTCCCGTTGTTTTCAACATTGAAAATTACAAACAACTCAGAAAGGATAAGAGAAAACGATCCAGGATCATCAGGTAAAAAGATGGCAAAGTTTTAATGGATAATAAGTATATTCTACATGTAAATGCCTTTTTCTAGAGATAAAGAGATAGAAAAGGAAAAGTATTGCCATATTTATGAAAGTGTAGTTTTTTAAATAGAACAAGGCTTTAGATTTTCATGTCCACCTTTTTCAGTTTTGAAACTTTATAGAAATCAAAGAGAGAATGGTATTGTTTTTCGATTGCGAAATAGTCAAAGAATATCATTGGCATCTTTATTATCAAAGGATTTCTTTAGAAATATGAAATATTTCAAATGTTTGCGAAAGATTATCAAATGCATTGTACTTTTACACGAAAATCAGTTTTGTTTTAAGAATAAAATTCAATTAAGTAATGTTATCGTTTATGTAGGTCTCTTTCTATTAATTGCCTTTTATCTTTCGCTTACTTTAACTTTCATTTTACTGAACAGAAGTCACAAATATACTTGTATCTCAACAATGACATAGAGGTCTTTTCCAAAGATTTATCCATGAAGAACATGTTGTACTTTGGAGATTTTGTCAAGAAAATTCTCCAAAAACGAACTGCCTATTCAAGAGATAAATATTAAACAGAAACCTAAATACAATTGATCTCTAAATGAAACTCAACTATTCAATACAAAGCGATATTCAGCATATTTGTGCTTTTGTATTATGATTTATTGAAGTGAGAGATTAGACTTTTAACTCTGAATAGTTCAGGTGCAGAAACCTGTTAAAAAACACACTAAGAGCATAAATATCTTGACTTCTAGAGGCATCTTGCAAAATTTCAATGTTTTTTGAACAGTCTAACGAGTAGTGAGAGTCCTGAAAAGAATGTCATGCAAATAATTCAAAACAAATGAAATTAATAGATAAATGATATATAACTCACAAAATAATAAAAGTCTTCTTCTCGAATCTTTCCATTACAACTGAAATTATTTTCATGTAAATTCTTTATTGCTGTTGCTATCGCCTTCAAATATTTCACGCCATTCAATCCTTTCTTCAACAAATTCATTTTATTCCTGCATTCATCTTCTACTTCAAACGGTTCAATATTTAAATTCAATTCATGACAATTCGAAAGGAACTGCAAGGCTACAAAGGATTTCAATTTGGATATTTCACTTCGTTGTGAGTAAGAGACCTACTTTTCCCAACTGCAGTATTCACGTTTCTCTTCACATTTTCCTGTCTTTATTCACAAATAGAATGATGTTGATGAAAATGAGATAAACGCTTACTTCAAGTTTAGTTTTTTCTTTCGTTTCGATTTTTGAAATGTTTGAAATTCGCCAATCGTATAGATAATTGGATTCAATGTAGGATTGAGAGGAATAAATGCAACAATCAGCCAATTATACGTTTCGCTGTCTATCTCCACATGTTTGAAAGTAGAATATATACCTTTAGAAAGACGATAGATTGTTTAGATTTTACAGTATTGCTGTATATTCACTTAGGAATGATAAGGGGAACCAGCTTAAACAATTTGATAGAGCAATTAAGATTGCATTCATCCTTAATTTCTCTTGTATTTTGTCTCTTCCTGTCTGAAAATCTTTTCTGACGTTTCTAACAATAATTGTTAGTCTGAAATATAAGATTAATATGATTGAACAAACAGCTAAAGTGAATATTCCAAAAATGAGGAAGGAAAAGAACCATCCCTCCACTTTTTCACTGCTAATGTGTAACGAAAAGCAAATTGCCGATCTTGAAAAGTAATTCTAAAATTTTCACATCTTTCAATAGTCGTTTCCAAATACTTGTTCAGCGGTAAAACTTACTTGATAGATAGAAATGGGTATTGTCATCAATATAAAAGTAAGAAGAAAAGGAATACCAATACTCAGACGAATTTGTGTCTTAGTAAGGTGATTTATTGGGTTCGAAATAGCGTGATATCTTTCAAGTGTTATAGAGAGCAATAAAGTACTAGATAAAATTAGGGAACCACTGAATACTGATCCAATTAATTTGCATACATTTCCATAAATCCAATTGTAGTTATATTCCATAAAATTTCCACTGTAATATCGATCAACAATTCCAATACTTACCAAATAAATACCAGAGCAAACATCCGAAAGGCAAAGACAAATAAAGTATGCGTTTATCTTCTTTTTGTTGATGATCAGTCTAAATAGAAGAGAGAGCATATTAAGAGTTATACAAAGGACTCCAATGACCCATATTGCTACGCGAAGGTTAATAGAGGCTATAAGGTTAGAACATGAACTAATTGTTGACTTGTCAGGCAAACATTTACGAAAAGAATTCGAGTATTTCCATACAAAACAACAAGTAACGTAGTAATTGCTGTACACATATTCAACATTCTTTAGATTCTTCATAACATGAATTATTTGATTTTCTTTAATAATTGAATCATTCCAATGGAGTTGTTGAAGTCCAATTAAGTCCACAGACGCCTTTGGACTTATCCAGCGAATTTTTAATTTCATCATATAGATAATCTCCAAATGTTTTAAACCCTTGAAAAGATTTTGATGAATTGATACAATTTTCGTTTCGCTTAAATCGACAAATCGAAGTTGAGGGAAAATTTCGAATGAAAATTTTTCAACATTTTGAATTGGATTATCTCGAAGATTTAGATGTTGTAACATTTTCATATGCCGTCTGAAGATTTGTCCTAAATCGCTTATTCGGCTCTTTTCAAGGACAAGCAACGCGATATTGGGAAATAAATAAGAAATATCAAAATATTGTTTCCATATGGTGTTAAAGAAATCCATAGCATTGACATGAATATTTCTCGTTTGATTGAGATAGTAAATGTTTACATTACTAAAGTGTAAACGTTTAAACTTTTGACTATTGATGTTTTCAATAAATACATCTTTTGAATTATCTACCAATAGAGAATGATAACAAACAACAACGTAAAAGGGATTACACTCGCAGTGTTGTGGGCAAATTGGTTTGTCTTCACAAAGACGCTCGTCACTGTCATCTGAACAATCGAGATTATCATCACATAAATATTCGATAGGCAGGAGTTTTTTATTCGGACATATAAAAAAGCCGGCAGGATAAAAATTTTCTATATAAAGTTGTTGATTGAATGCAAATGCATTTTATAATTTTGTAAACTATGAAACTTACCACAACCAATTTCGTCATCATGATAATAACAATGACTTATATTGTCGCAAACCTCTGATATGTCAATACAATAACGATTCTCTTCGCATTGATATTGTCCCTTGGCACATTGTTGTTCTTGACAATTCTTAAGTTTGTAATATGGAAACTGGACTTTTGTATAGAGCTGATTATATTTATCATAAGTTACATGACAAGTATATGCATCAACTAAATACGAAGCAAGAAAACTTTATTAAAAATGATCTATTTATGACATAATTTACTTTGTAACTGTACAAATCCTAATCCTCTTTTCTTAAGACAGAGCAATTGATTTTCATCAGTGCCGTCATTGCAGTGCTCTACGCTGTCACACATATTATGTAAAAATATACACTTATCATCACATTGAAATTGTTCTTTAGGAGCTAAACATTCTTCAAATATATAACAAAACCAAATTAGTTAGTCAATTGTTTTCTGAAAAACGTATGTGATGTTATTAATAATTACACAAATACCTCCAGGAGAGACAACACAATTCTCATCTGAACCATCTGAACAATCTCTAAAATTATCGCACTGATAATCGTTTGTAATGCAATTACCACTTGCGCACCTTAATGTATTGCAATGGTCAGTCTGCACACTAGTATTTTCAATAGAATTATATCATCATACCTGAATTCATTCTTTGCACAAGTGTCAAACTCTGTAAATTGGTAGAATAGGTTAAAAGATTGAAAAATCATCTGGAAAAATCAAAGGTAATACCGCAATTAATTTCATCAATACGATTATCGCAATCATTGATATTGTTGCAAATGCGTTTATAAGATATTTGATGAGTTGCATTGCATTTGAAATAAAGAATTGGCAGTTCGCAATTTTCTTCATCATCTCCATGTGGACAATGTATAAAGCCATCGCATAAGTTTGAAATGTGTATGCACATACGGCTTTTGGTACACATTATTGAATTTTTAGGACATGTAAAATCATTCTTCACGGCTAGGTAAATTGAAAGGTTATCTTTGAATATAATACCTTAAAAGAGTTGATTGTTTAGACAATTGAATTGAATTATTGGAAAGATAAATACCAATAAGTTCTTGACAAAAATACAACAGAAACATCTTTGCATCGCAGTCTGCCATCTTTATTTTATATTTTTCAAACGTTCTTTTAAAGATTTGTACGTAGTAACATTCAGAATTTTTGTTCCATTTTTCTGTTTCAATTACTGTACTGGAATCTTTGAAAAAATCACTAAATACGAAAATAACAACAATTAATAAATTATGTATCTTTATATTCTTTCCTACTGTGTCCTTAGGGAAAAATATCTGCTATCAAGACGAATATCGAATCCATTAGAAAACACTTTGACCTCCCTTCCTCTTATATTTTTCTTATAACTAAGAGCTAAAAATAATTCAAAAAGACAATAATGTAATGATATTTTGTTTAGGTTTTACCTGATGGAAAACGGAAAATTTGACCTAACGACTCCGTATCTAAATTGAAAAGGGATTATCTACAATATATATATATATGTCATATACAGTAAATAAATTAAATATAAGCACCGGAAAGGTAATTCAACGTTTTTGGTGAAAGTTTTGACAAAAGACGTGCCGATCCCATATGCCGAAAAAGTATTTGACTTTTAACTCCGAAAAAAGTTTCAGATAAAAAAAAATTTTTCTCCTTACACTTATCTTCAGCTTCTCTTATTGATATTCTCTTTTCACTACTGAAAAGATAGTAGCAGGATCCCCTATATCTAATCCCATTATGAAAGCTACATTCTGCAGAACATAATATTAATAATGCCAAAAACTTACATACAGCTTTAAGTAAACCTCTTTTAAATTGATTGTTACACTTAATCCAAGGAAAGTAGGGCACATAATTTATAGACGTCAATAAATTTCTATAATCCGAAAATCATACAAACTCTTTAGCGATTATTAAACGAGTTAAAAATTACTATACATTGCTTTAGTCCATTGTTTAGCAATCGTTTCGGTTCTTTGGCTATGCTAAGTTATACATTTGGACAATAATTTCTATTCTATGATTTCAAATTATTCAACTATACAAACTAATTTTATCCAGTTGGAGTGGAATTTACATGAAGAAAGGCTGCTAGCTCCACTACAATTTAAAGCAAATAATGACATCCCAAACAAATGTACAGTTTCAAAGTCGTAATGATTTGTTCCAGACTCAAATCCAAAATGTTTACATATCGTATCCACCTCTTTCCAATACAAGTAGAATGGATTAATGTGATACCAGGATTTCTTATAATATATCTGAAGACTTCCTTCAAATTCACTTTTTTCATTTACTTTACCAGTTTCCGCAAATAAACTGCCTTTTGAAAAACTATAAAGTCTGAGATCCATATCTTTATTGAACAAATGAATATGGCGAGTTAGAGAAATGATAAGGAAAACAAGCAATTTACCTTTATGTTCCATTATGTCATTTTCACAATATATTTGAAAGGTGAAAAAGAGATCGGTAGATATTTCTAATGAGCATCCATTCAAGTATGAATCGTCCCATTTGCAATTCTTCAATATGGGCCAATGAGTATCGTTTACTGCAGAATTCTGATATTTAAATATGTCGTTTGTCTAAATAAAGAGAATATTAATCAATCAGTTTGTCAATTCGTCAATTCATCAGTCAAAAAACAAACGTATTTCGCTTTCATTTTCACACTGATCCCGTGAAAGTATATATCAGGTTTAACTGGTTTAAGAGTCAAACCTAAACGTTGACAATTCGCACTCATTGCCATCTGAATATCTTCGTTTATTGAATAGGCCAAGGGAATTACGCCAAATCTTCGAGAATCTATGTAGTGAAGAACTATTACGCTGCTGCTGCTTGTTTTTGGAGTGTGGTAAAAGTATTTGTAATAGAATGAAGGAGTCTCTCTGATGGAGACATCTTTTTAAACAACTGCGATTAAGATCATCTGCTGAGCATCATAATTGAATGCAATACCTTGAATATCATTTTCCGAGCAGTGAACGTCACTGAATAGAGAAGGTGTAGAGATATTTTCTAAAACAGTTAATTCATTATCAACAATTTCGACAAATGCCTTTTTTTCAATGTTTTCAATGTTGATTTTGGACTGAACTCTTCTGCATACTTCTCCATGTTTGGCCTCCTTTGCAGACAGTTTGTAGAATTGTTGATTGATTCTCAAGAGTATACTAAAAGATACGGAACGGAGTGTGTTTGCTGCTATCAGCACTGTGTTGAGAGAGAGATGAAAAAGATATGTAAATTGAATAGACAGGAGGGTTTGAACGATTTACTTGGAGATTTCTTGAGGAAACACTTCAAACAGTAGTAATTGGTACAAGATTGGCAGTTTGCTATTTGAATGGTTCTGATGGATTGACGTTTTTACGATTTAAGAGTTTGAATGCTTCGCTGTGTAGTATATACCTTTTTGCTATTCGATCCTTAATGATTGCCTTAATAATGCTAGAATTGCGCTTAAATTCTGTACGATATACAAATGGACGGAGACGTTGTATTTGCTTTCACAACGAAGTGACTATTGTAAGAGAAACAAACCTTTCATACAAATATTGGCTGTGCTAAGCAGGTTATCATATCCCATTGAAGAACATATGGCATTATTCTGTTCTATTGATAGTTGACCAAACAGCATTGAATATGTAGTTCTGTTGTCTAGTGATATTGCATTTAATGCTCCATAGACATATGACGGATTTTGTTGTATAGGAGAAATGAAGTACGTGATCTTTTCGCTAGAGAAAAGAGGAAGAAACGCAGTGAATATAAATACCGAAAGAGGAAGAGAAGCCATTTGAATTTGTATAGAAATCACTGAGTGTTTTAATTCATGAATTGAACATAAGAGCAATATGCAAATGATTCAAAGTAACATTGCCTTTATTCAATTTATAGTGAAACTGCTAAGTATAACATAAAATCACTTTTACGTGCTTTCTATCAAATTACATGGCAACACTTTTCTGAAATTACCTTCAATGTAAATATAGGAAATGTTTAGTTATATTCATTTAGGAAATTGCTGTAGTAGTCAATTCTTAAATTAAAGTATTCCATCAAATGCCTTCTTTCCGAAATTATGCCTACATTTTGACAGCTTTTTTGAAGGTTATCTCTGGTCAGACAATAGAAAATGTCCAATACCCTATTTCTCCGAGAGTAGAGAATCAGTCATTTGTCTATGAAACAATAATTTGTGTATCAGTATTTTCCTTTATTCTATTAGAAATATTTTCACTACACTCCTAAAACACTTGAAAGGTGTTACGCTTTTTCGAACCCAATAAATCGCCCTACTAAGACACAAAATCGTTTGAGTATTGCTATCCCTTTTGTTACTACGTTTATCGTTATCACAATACCCGTTTTTATTTATCGTGTAAGTTTTCCCATTGAACAATTCTAACGACTAATAAAAGATGTGAAAATTTTAGAATTACTCAACTGAATCAAGAAATACAATACAAGAAAGTTTTTATCTTCTTGTCATACACATTTTTCTATTTGTCAATAAAGGCAGGAAAATGTGAAGAGAAAGACATCTATCAGCTTGATGGTTGCAAGTAAGGAGACAGTTCTCATATAGTCCCACCTTCCTTGCCAAACTTACTTTTTCTTGCCAACCTAACTGTCTGAAATGGGTGCACTACCTAAGAGTGTGATTCTTTCCACAATTAAAGCAGGTGGTCCCATCGCCTATCTCTCTATCTTGGTCTTGTGTTGCATTCTTTGAATTTGATGATTAAGTGAACTTGGTTGCCCACCTGTGTGGTTCCCATTGAACTCGGTTCGAATTATACTCCATAGTCAACTTCTCATAATTCTCATAATCACCTTTTTTAATTAATCCGGTCTTTTGCAGTCTTAATAGTGCATTCGCCGAGTTATGTTCCACCTGTCTATACTTCCGATGCAAGTATTTTATTGCATTTTTTACCCATCTACTGGTTTATCTTTATAATCATCCAGCTCTTGGCTTACTTGAGCTGTTAAAAGATATAATTTGTCCCAATCGTCAACATTGAAATGATTTACCAGGATTTTGAAGTGGGTGATGTCGCACTTAAAAATGGCTCGAGTAGCTGACAGCCAACTCTCAAAGGCATTACGTGGTTGTTTTGGATCCCGTGGCTCAGAGTCGCGTTGGTGCTGTATTTCTTATATCTCCTCTGATCCCAGTGTCAGGGAAACTTCTGTGGAGTTTGCTCGCTCCCTACTAATCTCTCTGTTTATACTTATTGGCCTGAAAATGATGTTGGTATTGCGGTACAATTCATTGTTGACGACTGCAATTTATGAACAGAGGAAGAGATCAATTGAGAATGGATAAATACGTATAAATCGAAGTAATGATAAAGATAAGACTTCTGTGAATGTGTGGTTATAGTTTACTAAAGGAGATTATATGTAGCTGTACACGATTTGTCTCCTTCTCTATCTAGGTTACATCTTAACGCATTATTGTAATTGTTTTTAATGTAAATATAGGATGCTTTTCATTTTAATCATCTCTAACATTCTTATATTAAATGCTATACTTTTAAGTACTAGATGAGAAGTTGACGATTTTCCTTGCCTTTGTCTAAAGATACTTTGTTATCGGGACCATTTCATTATATACTGGTTGTTGACTATTTCGAGTAATTTTTCTAGAGATTGTATACTGAAATACGATCAAATAGAAGATAATTTTTTGTAAAAAGACAATTATATCTCTAAAATTGAATAGGACTGTTTCCCGAAGATTTGGCCGCAGACAGGATGTTGTGCTCTGGAGGTTTTATGAAGAATATTTCTCAGAATTGAATGTCTTCGGGAAAGGTTAATGTCAACAATTTCTTTTTTAAGGCTATGGTAATAGTCTTGTTCTATCTTCGTTTCTGTATGAACATTTCTTGAAATCTTGCATATCTTTTTCATATTTCTTTATCTTATTTTTAATCTAGTATTGTTTATAATATTGCATTTTAGATCAAATTCAAAGGAAAGAATACTCTAATAGTTGAACTTGTGTTATCTGTTATTTTTAGTTTCAAATAGAAACGTTATTGGATGAGAGAAAATGAATGATTCAAAAATCATTTGATGATCCTAATATCTATTTTTTGATTCATTTATTCATTTATCTAACCATTCCGTTTTCAAATATTTCTTGTTTTCTCTTATAGCAATGAATTTCTTTTTAAGATGTTGTTGTTCAACATGTTTTATGCATTAATACACGAGAGGCTCATCTTATCAGTGAGTACATTTAGTTTAATTGCGAAAAGAGACTTGTACGTTAATATATCATCTCACATATTGTCCTCTTCCGTTAGAGCTTTAATGCAAAATAACTGATTCATGTATCTACGATAATTATTTCATACAAGTACTCTCTGTATAGGCATTTAATGATTAGAGTTGAAAATTTACTTTGATAAGTGGTTCTTTTCTGGGAAGTATAGTGTATGCATCTGGAAAGTTCTCTCTATATTCTAGAGCGTTTCTCGATGGGAAGAAGATAAAATTTTTTCTATATAGTTCCGTATTTAAGATAAACATCTTTTCCTATCGCTTTGCGGTCCGGAAACACAAATAACAGTATTAAATTATTAAATATATTTACCAATTTATATTTTATACACAATCTCTAACCTATAACCTTTACACATCCAAATTACTCTCTCTACCAACGGATAAAAATAGACTAATTGATTGGAAATTCTCTTCAAGAGATAGGAGTTATCTAAACGGCAAGGTTAACGAATGAAGAAAGGTTATTTCACTAGAGCCCCTTTTTAAATTTAAAACCACTAACACCCTTATTAAAAATTGAATCGGAATAGTTGAGTAGTTAACCAAGTTTTTATGATATAATTAATTAGGTTCAGATAAGACAGCATACTTTAACATTAATAATACTATTATTAACAAACTGGTTAATTATTTAGATAAATTCCAATTCAAATGAACGTTTATCTCTCTATTAAAAAAAACCATATTCAAGAGAATATGAATAGGAAGTCAGAAGATACAAGCTATCTTGAAACTAATAAAAAAAAAGAACTCTCTTGTAATATTCAAGATGATAAAAAATTACGTATGTTTAATCGTTATCTCGATTTTCGATGAGAAAAAGCATAAAATTCTACTTAGCATGTGTGATTAGTTAGTGAATTCTGAGTCGTAGTATATAAAGGCTTTAACTAATTTGTAATTCATTAACGAACAGATTTTCTAATTAGATGCAACTAATAAAGTTTTCTCAAATGATGAAAATAATCACTTTTCTCCTCTTCAGTCTTGTACCATTTTGTAAGTATTATATAATACTTTAACGGGATGACTCTCCATCTTTGCCAATTAGTTTCTTCTTGGTTTTTTTTTATCATTTTGTATGTTATATCTCTTAGGTTTTGGTGCAAAAATTCCTTCAAAGAGTGTTAGTCAAGGTGAAGTGAACGTCGTTTCTTCTGAATTATGGACACTTGATACTGATAGAGCAGGGCCAGATGATGTCATTATCAATACTAGCGGAACAGAGTAATTAATAATATATACATATATATATATACAGTATACTATATCTATTGTTTTATAGGCTCTTTCAATACGTCAATGAAGATGTTTTAAAAAGGAAAACTTTTGCTAAATTTGATAAAATGAGAGACAATTATAATCCAGACATTGGGGTTCCCGAACCACCTTGTAGCGCTTGTAGACAAGACGAAAGTGAATTTCTAGATATGATTATAGAAACTCCAGTTATGCAAAGATTATGGAATTTTTTCATTGACAAAGGTTTATCCCTTTAGCTTTTCAACTCGACTGTAAATTTTAAGACGTTTTTTACTATAAAAGATATATCCAGTTCTGATAAAGCCGAATTTAAACAACAACTATATGATACATGGTTTAAACCGTATAGTCGTAGCAATGGGCCATTGGATAGTTCAGGATTTGAACATGTTTTCTTGGGTAAGGAAGCGAATAACATTCAAACAAATAATTCAATTTTTTTCATCACTTTCCAGGCGAAACAAGAAATTCAGAAGTAACTGGTTTCCATAATTGGGTACAATATTATAGAGAACAACAAAAATCAACAATGACATTGAAAAGATACTTGGCAACTTGCGAAGTAATTTGTCAATCATGTTGTTTTGCTTAATTTTATTAAAATTTCCCCTAAACTGTCCATCTAGTCGAAAGTCTCTAAAATCAGCTTCGAATGGGATGGATTTTTAAAACCGATTACTGGATTTTGGGTTGGTACTACTCCAGAAATTGAAATGGCTCTTTATACACTTTGCTTTTTGGGAAGACCAAATCAGTATGATAATTAATTTCTTTTCTTTATAATTGTATTTAATCTTCTAATCTTGGCAGAGTTTGTTCAGTTCGTTTGGACGATTTTGATCTTCGTATTACGCACTTCCGCTTTAAATCGATTGAACCTCCAACAATTGGAACAGCATATCCAAGATGCTGAAAGAGAGAGAGAGAGAGAGAGAGAGAGGAAAGAATCGATGAGGACTAATTTATATTACTATACAAATGTAACAAAACTTGTATTTATTTTATATATTTAAGCATAAAGATTATTATTTTACAAAGAAAATACAAAACTATCAAAATATTTATACGAAACAGATAAAAAACAGCAAAAAATGTCCTTTTTCTTGACAAAAACACTTTTAAAAAAATGTTTACTGAACTATCTAATTAGGTTACATTAACTATTTTAGTTATTTTAGTTATTCGTATCACTGAGATAGCTGGAATGGCATTTTCTTAAGAATTCTACTTTTAATTATACATAATACAGTAAATTCTATTTATAGATTTTGATATTTAGTTTGCCAAATTTTAAAGAGGTTCGGATGTCCTTTTATGAAATTCAGCTTGAGTAGAACACATTAGAATACAAGTTTAATAAGTACTGTTAACTCCTAATTAGGATATTTTTTGTGTTGTTGTTCCTGTTTTTTATTTGGCAAAACCTCTATAAATAACTGTGTAATCAGGCTATCGAAGTAGTCTATGCTAACTGGAGCAAGGAGACGGGAAAGGCAAATGCAATGAAACAGTCAATAATTTTTTCTGTGCAGTCATTGATAGCAGTTTCCTTACTACTTCAATTGGGATTGGCGAAAGGTAAATTTATCTGTTATATATTAATATATGTATATATAAATATAATCTATCCATAATACAGAAGGAGGATTTTTGAAGGGTGCGTTATCGACGTTTGAAGGTCAAACGATTAAGTTTGGGGTAAAATTCCCAAAATTTTCAAAACAGGGCATTTGTGAATTTGGTGCTATTAATACTCATGCTGTCATTCAAACAAATCCAAAAATATTCAACGTCGGCGATGCTTTCGACATGGAAGCAGAGTTAACAACTTTTGCAGATAGCCTTTTATGCTCTGATTACTCTTATGAATTTTTCATAATTTGCGAAGATAGCTTAGAAGAGGAGCTGTTAGTTTCACGAATAAAGGTTTTCGTCAAAGACCAATTGGTAATTTGTAGAGATCCTCACTTCAGTCAAAGTGTAGAAGGAACAGATGATAATTTTGGGAAAGTAAAAAATATTATCTGCTATGATTTGTATGGTAAATCCCTGGAAAAATATGAGATTATCTCGGATTTGGAATTAGGTTATGTCTATAATAATATAAGCATAAGATTATTAAATATATAATATTTTAAAATTTAGGTGGATCAGTGCAGATTGAACTTCGAGACGACTACTATATTGGCAGAGTTATTTTGAGTAGTAAATTGGGAAAAGTTGCTATTAATACTACTCATGTATCGCTACCATCTAACGAGATCATAGACTGGAATAATAGTCAGAGTATTACTATTAAGGACAGTGATCCAAATTGGAGACTGTTTGTAAGATTGAACGGAAAAGATATATCCATCGAATACGAAAATGGAATAAGGAAGTTGAACTTTGGCGTATTTAGAATAAAACAAGAATACGGAGAGAGCTTTTTGAATGTTAAGATTGATAAATCTACAGCAAAGGATGGTATATTCGACAAACTTCACGGAGGAATTTTCGGAGAAATCTCAAAAAAACAATATCAATTCTTTGAACCGGTTCAAGCTAATGGAAAAGGTGTAACAGCAGTAAAGGTAGATGGTAGAATTGTAAAATCGTCGCAACATGGTATGGGATTAAAAGCAGACGATAAATGCATTTCAATCAGTTTGGGTGAATTGTTATATCCAAAAACCATAGAAATGTTTAAAACTCTATAGTAATATTTATTTTCAATACAAAAATACTACTGTCAATAGATAGATTTCCCAATAATTTTTGGATTGAATAACGTTTTGAACAGGCGGAGAAATCCTTAAATACGGTTCTCTACCGATATCGGTTATCGCTTATAATCTATAACCAATAGGAGTATTTAGTTTTTTTTAAACAGTAACTTTCTAAAGAGAAAGAAAACTGGTTTAGTTGCAAAGAGAGAGAGAGAGAGATAAAGAAAGAGAATTCAATTCACTTGAATAGAAAAAAAAATCTTTTTCCAATTAAAAATAAAAAGTTTTTATCTTTGAATCGTTTAGAAAAATACGGTTTATTATTTCGAATAAAGAAAGGGATCTCATTCAATTATTTAAATGACTATTATAAATATTTTTCGATGAATTTATAGTAGAGATGATAAGAGAAAATGAGCAGGAAAGGTTTTTGTTTTGATGTAAGCCGTTTTCCTCTTGACTTTGGTAACCTAGCTTTATGATGTACTCTCTCACTCATACAGCTAGATAACCAAAGAAAGTCAGAAAATGATAAGTTTCACCTCCAAATAATCTCTATGAATTGTTATTATTCTCTTTTCTCAATATTATTTTATCCAACATTGTTTAATATGGTAAATAATGTGTTCTAGTAAATAATAGTCGCAATCTAGGCACTCCTTATATATTCAATGAATTCCTTTTTAACAGATATTTTAAACTTTCCTTACTTACCTGTTCTTTTTCTAAGTTATATATAGAAAATGGGAGAAAATACAGGAAAGAGGAGGAAGAAGAAAGACCATTAATATCATATATCATTTTTACCAAGATTTATATAGTATCTAACTAAAAACTGGTCTTATTTTACGTTAAACGTTCACTCCCAGTCACATATTTTTTCTTTTTTTAAATAATGCGGTAAACCTATATCGTTGAATTTGACACTGACGAAGAGTATGTTGTAATACGATAGCCATTAGGCCTATTTAAAAGATATTTTAATAGGGTCAATAAGAAAAGACCAACAATTACTTAACACTCAATTTATAAAAGAAATAAGGATATCTTACCTTTTTAATCGACAATTTAGTTTTAAAAAGGAAGCGGTTTACTTCTCGTTATATACTGTTGATGGCGGGAATATGAAATTCGGCCCATAAATTGCGCATGCGTTAGTCCAAATCTAATAGCCGTTATTACCGTTATTCAAAATCGGGAAACTGTTAAACAACAATATAAAAAAACATTTAAATAAAAGATTTTTCTTCTTGAATAAGCGTTCAATAAGGAATAAAACTATTCATTTTTTTATCTTTATCCTCTTTCTCTCTTCCTTTCTGGCGCTCTTTAACTTATCTCTCCCTCTTCAGTTTGTAAGCAAAGCAAGAAAAGAATTTGCCGTATTGAAATGAAATTTTAAAAATCTTTGTTGAATACCAGAAAATTCGAATCATCGACATTTTCTAAAACACGTTCAAGTTTCTATAAAAGAGCTTGTCAGTTTATAAATCTTGACCAGAGTGCAGAGAGAGAGAGAGAGAAATTTAATATATATATATATATACTGTATAGAATATATAGTGGGAAGAGAAAGAAAGAAAAGAAGCACTAGTCTTAAAAGATAAAAGAAAAGAGAATATAATATAAAACAGACGACCTACAGCCGTTTATTGCTTGAATAATATTGAATAACAAATTGAAAAAAAATTTCAAAATAGCCAATGAAAGAAGAATAAATTTATTTACCTGGGAGGCCAGTTCTCTTCAAAATTCGAGGTAGTTGTAGGTGGAGTAGGCGGGGGTGGTTAGATATCTTTATGAGAGAAAGATCTAACCTCTTCTGATTTGAATCGAGCTAACTGCTGAATGATTTTATGAACGGACAGGCGTTCCTTATAAAGCATTCAAACCGGATCTCTTCTTACAAATTAGTTAGGAAAATCAATATAAAAGAATATATATATATTCTAATGGAACATAAAGCAGAAATTTTAATTTAATAGATATTAAATAACAATAAACGTTCGTTAATTTTTCCATTTAAAAATCAGTCTTTTTAAAAATATTAATTGATCATATAACAATTTTCTTATATTTCATATATTACTTTATTTTTAAACACTCTCATATAAATTTTACTGCAAGATTCGACAGATCTCTCTCTCTCTTTCTTTCTTTCTTTCTTTCTTTCTTTCATATTTTACATTTTCTTTTATCTTTACAACTTTTTATTTACAAGGAAAAGAAAGAAAAAAGTTAGTATATATAATTTCTATATTAACAGTATGTTTAATATTAATTAACTGTGCTTGTGTTGTACTTGCAATCGTTTATATTTGTATGCATTTGTACATTGGTGTCTATTTTATATATATTCGCCTTTCTACTACAATTAGTTGTTTCTTTTTATCCGCTTGTTCTTGTGTTCCTCCTCCTCCTCCTTCACCTCATTCTTTCAATTCTCACCCAATTAAATTAAACACGTAAATCAAGTAGATTTATAAAAAATCATACGAGAACTTAATTAACGAAATTCTATCTTACACTTGGAGAAATTCGAGTGAATATTCGATTTATATGTCTTTTATAGCCCCTAAAAATAACTATAGGCCTAAATAAATTTCGTTCAAAAGAGAACTTTAATAGTAATAAGATGCAACAAAACGTATGGTTTTTCAAGGTATTTATTTAAATTATAAAATATTCATCTTTTTTGATTATTCACCTCTCTTTCTCTTCCTTCTCCACTAAGTTCTTTTAAAAACCATATACGGTATAACTCTAAAAAGTTTTACATGAAAAGGCTCATTTGCCACAAAAGACGTGTTAACATGAAAACAAATAACACAGTAATACAAAGGGACAATAGCAAAAGTTAACATTTCTAAAAGTTAATAATATCAGTAATAAACATTAATTGTATTACGTTTAATTTAAAAGAGTTTGATAAGATTCAGGCAAGTAAATGTAAATATTGATAGCACAATTCCGCTTAATGACGATGTTAATTTTGAACATGATGATTCTGATGAATTACCGACAACAATCTTCCATCCCAGGTTATTGTGAGCGTAGCACTGGAGAATAGATTTACATTAGTTAAACTTTTATTAATTAATCAATTAAGCTTTGTTTTATTTTTTACCTGATAATATAATTCTTTTCCAACTAAATCGGATGTTGGCGTAAATTTAAATTGACCTTTTATCGGTGGATCGTGTCTGCATACTTTTTTCAAGTCCTCTGAAAAACTTGGAAAGCTATCGTAAACCTTTGGTTGTACGCCGTCCTTTTTCTTGTATGAACAATAAGTACCAAGGGCAGATGGAATTGGTTTGCCGTTAGCGTCTAAACCGGCGTATATTTTGATATCCTATAAGGGGGGAAAAAAAGGATTTTTTTTATAAAGCTTTCTTCATAAATCAAGGTAGACAGGATAAGAGATAACTTACCTTTCTTTGATTTTCGTCATAAGCTCTATAGTTGCCTTTAGGATCATTAGTAATATAGAACGGATGATATTCTGGGTCGACGTCAGTATTATTTCCGGTTAATATATTAAAAGTATACAGGACGTTCGGATTCAATTTTAATACAGGAATAAGCTTTCCGTTAATATAATAAGCTATACCCCATGAGTTGGTTTTAGTAATTGCTTTGTAACCTTGTTCTCCTCCGCTAGATCCCAGAGTAACTTCAAATTCTGTAGTATCAGAAATAGTTATTTCTTCAAATCCTTTTGGAGGTGCTGTTGATGGTTTGGTTGTTTGCTTACAATCGGATTTGACAGTAGCCAAATTGCTTGCAAATCCACTCCTTTCGGAATGATAAAGAATCTGCTTTTGAGCATTATATGGTCCTTTCGCCCAGATAAACTGCACATCCTGGTTTTTCGATATATCTTTATCGAATTCATTATCTCCAGTTGATAATTTTCTCTTGTATTGAATTTTTACTCTCCCGTTCTCTTTCTTACCGGATATTAATTCAACATTATTTTGAGCGGTTGCACCGTCGTTGTCCGGACAGACCCCCTTTCCGGCGCTACATTGAGCTTTAGAAGAAAGGTAATAATCAATCGCTCTCGCATTACCATTGTCCATGTAGACGGCGACAACATCACCACCAACCATTTGCGTTCCGGTAGATGAACCACTGATACCGAACGCAATGTAATTGTCATCGGCTAAGACGCCATCTACCGTCACAACCAAATCTAAACCATCAACTTTATAGAAGACAGCTACATCATCTGTAATTTGCTTGCAGTGTTCGTTAGAGGGCAGAACTGTTGTCGTAGATGATTTCGGTGGTATATTCAAGCCGGAAGGAATGTCTTTTTTACCATAAACCTCGTTAGTTTGGGAATTGTAGACGATAAAATTTTTAAAGTTTCTAACATCGATACCAATAGGTAATTTCAAAAGTTTGTCAGCCTGATTAGACGCTAATAAACTATCCGAGATCTTTGTAGCCAATTTAACTTGGTCAGGTTTTGTATAATCTCCGGACATAAGACCGAAAAATACGTTATCACCTCCGGAAAATTCAAATTTCTTAACGAGAATAGTTTGTATAGCTTCCAAAATAACATCTTCAGCTTTGACGCCACTTTTTGCAGGCGAAAAACCAAATGAACCGAGTTGACGTTTAACAGGAACATCTAAATTTGATGGAATTTCAACATGTCCAAAGTTAACATTGGCAGTATCACACCAAATTGAAAAATATTTGACATCCTTAAATTTGATTCCAATAGGTAAAGTCAAATAGATAGTCTTCTTATCATACTTTTTAATGGGTTTATCGCTATTTTAAAAGAAAAAGCATCTATAAGAATCTATATATAAAATGGTGAATGTATGTATCTTCAGTTCTGATTATTAAAATATCACGAAGGATATGTAATGTAATGCAGATATATGTACAGTATATGGAAATTCTAGCATACGAATTTCATTATTTACCTTCCATTTTCATCCAATAAGGCGACGCCATTGTTTAGAATTGCGTTCATATCTGCACCTCCATTTACTTTACCGACCCAGAATCTAACACCTAAAATTTGTAAAATCTTTAATAAGATATTAGCACAAATATTGGACAAGAATTTCCTACAAGACATTATTTAGAGACATATTAATTGATCAAGTACCATTAAACCATGGTGCTGGCATAAATATATTGATTAATATTGGACAATAGTATTCATTATAGTTTTCTTATTCAACTGGTAAAAATACAATGAGTCTACGCAGTAAGCTTTTCATTTAACCATTCGTGATAGTATTTTTTTTAACATCCTGCTTCGCAAAAGGATTCTTCGAATACCGACTTTAAGACTTTCTAATTTTCAGGTGCGAAAAAGCGACTAATCTGTCTATATTCTTTAATTTGTTTTCTTTTACATTTCGAATTAAACAGGAATACGTTCTTATAATTAAGAAAATTCTCTTACCTGGCCCTTTACCATCGTGTTCAAAATTTTCAATATACAAATGGTTCTCGTCTGCTGCATAGACTGTACCAGCAATAAAATAGTCGTTTGTTAATTGCTTCAAAGCTCCAATAAACTTGCCATAATACTGTGCATTTACTGGAAAAATAATAAGAATAAATCATTAGATAACATTCTATTAAGTCGATAGTTGAGTAGCTTGATAGCTTTAATCAGTAACGTACACAGGGTAAATAAATGATAGAATATGATAAACAAAAACATTACCTTCCACCAACAAACAGGTAACTGCTAAAAATATATAAAATTTCATAGTGCTTTTGACACAAGACTAAGAAGGAAAATGAATCCTATCTTAATCAAGTCAAGTTTAAGTATCAAAATATTTTGCAAGTCACGCTTACAGCGAGAACGGGTTTTTACCCCAGTTTCGTACCATTATTTATAGCAGTTTATTATGTGTAGCATTCAACCTGAGTAAAAAATAGAAAGTATGATTAAAGTGCCATCTATAGTTCTATTTATTTTTATATAGACAAATAGGATTTAGAAAAAAAACGCTAAAAAATGGGTTCTTATCATAACAATAACAATAAAGGAAAAGTGAGTAATGGGGTGTCGGCTCACGAAGTAGTTAAATGAAACAGTAGACGATTAGAGAATAGACGAATAACTAAAAGAACAATATTTAAAAAGGGCTCATATAAAAAAATCGCGGATTTTCTCTCCATCTTCCCTTTCTTTCTTAATCTTAATACGGTATTATTCATGCACTCTTTGTTGTTTATCCAAAAGAAAAATGAACATATTCTATGACTATAAGATAATTAACCAATTAATTAATTACTTTTACATTGACGTGTTGCACTTGTACATTAAAAATATACAGTATATTGAATATTGTTGAAATTTAGGACGTGATGATACAAGCAACTTATTCTCCTTATTCAGTAAGAAGAAGAGAGTATCAATAATATATTTTCTCCCTTTGTTATCTTTTATCCGAAACAGAGATATTGATATTTTCAAGTAAACCAATAATAACAATTTGCTATTATCGGTTTCAATAACCAACTTTTTAAGTATTTTTATTACCGATATTAATTGTGTTATTAATATAATAATACCAAATGCTGTTTATTTTCCTCTTTCTCAGCAATTCTAAACTTGATCTGATATTGTCGTATTGAATGTAATGAATAGTAGAAATAAAGAAAATTCTCTCAATTCAATATAGCTATCTTAGACGCAAAGGGAACAGAACATCTTTAAGGGGACAATGAAACGAACACGAAAAAGATGTTGGCAAAGAAAGATAAGGGAGTAAGATCTATAAATGAACTTGACCCTCACGAAAGGCTTCAAAAAAATAATCGACTCTTATGTTTACTTGAGTCTATAGAATACGTAGTTAACTACGTATAAACCAAACTTCTTTGATTAGGTAGATCATAGTTACGTAAGGCTATAATGAAGATCAAATCAAAAAGTATCATTAATACTATGAATATTCTAATATAAGAGTAAAATAGGCGTACAACAAATATAAAAAAAAGCACATTAAGAGCATGTATGAATTAGATCAATATTGTCTAGGAAGAGGCTTAATTTTCTTAATACGGGTGCCGTTAAAACATGCTGAAACAACTAACTTTGTTTATTTTTAAAAATTAGACGATTAATGCCACAGCTTGGAAAGGTAAGGAAGTATTATATGTTCATATGCAAGCATATAATATACATGTACGTATATATATATTAGATATATACATCCTGTATATACAGAACTTTTTAATGTAAATTGTACATTAACATTTTAATATACAAAAAACTCTTTCAACATTTTATATAAATGTATCATGAAATTTCTGTTCAAGCACAGTATTCAAAGAAAACTGGAGAAGCGTTTTTCCTAAGGATTATTCGCCCTAATATTCTGGAGAAATTGTAAATAAATAATGGCAGAATTACAAGAAATTGGTAAAGATAATGTTAATGATAAAGATAAGAGTAAATGTTCTAGTGATAATGATTCAAGAGCTGATGGAATATTTGACAGAAAACATTCTTTAACTCTTTACCAAGCAGCAAAATTCAGAATTGCTGCTCTATCTATAAGCTATGCTACCATTGTTTTTTTAATACTACTTAGTATTGCAACTTTCTATATATCAATTAGTCAAAATAATTCGGCTAGCTTTGCATTTGGTCTAGCAGCTCTATTAGATTGCGTGTCATCAGCTATTGTTATCTGGAGATACGGGTCTGGTGGCAATTACAGTCTATACAATTCAAGAAGAGAAAGACTGGCCTGTATAGCATTGGGAGTAATATTCAATATCTCTTCATTAGTAATTATTTCAAAGACATCGTACGCATTAGGTAAATCTAAGAAACCGTTGGAAAACTCGTCTGTTGAAATTATATCGGCAATAAACGGTTCAGTATGTATTATGTTGGCTGTTGGTAAATATTTTATTGGTAAATATTTAGAATCCGAAGCCGTTACAACAGACGCCTTTAACAGTTTCATTGAATCTCTTATGGCTTTTTCCATTGTTATCAATGAAGCGTTGTACAAAAAAAATCCTAGTATTTGGTACGTTGATGCTATTGTATCTTACGTTAGCGCTCTACTATTTACAATTTGGGGAATGAGACTACTCATTATTAACTTGTCCAAGAAAGCGAAAGCGAAAGACAACTATAATGAATATAATTGAATTTAAATTATTAAAGAGAAGAAAGTAGAGAAGGATAGGGAAAAAGAAGAGAATGGACGATGATAATTGGAAAAATGCCACATTATAATTAAAGAAGGAAAAGAAAGGGAAAAGTAAAAACATAAAAAAAAAGATTTAAAGGATTAAAAACCGTATTTATGAATATCAATTTATGATTATTATTATTATGATTATTCTGGAAAATGTCTCTGGAATTTATGATTAAAGATTCGTTTATTAAACTTTCCTATAGTTAATTTTTAGGAAGGAAAGAAAATTGCAAAAATTACAATTTTATTTTCATTTTTCCATCCTTATCTTATCAAAAATATTCTAGTATTATTATTTTGTTATCTCTTTTTGTCTCCCTTTTATCTTTTCCTCTATATCTGTTACGTCTTCTCTCTCTCTCTCTCTCTCTCTCTCTCTCTCTCTCTCTGTTTTTCTGTCTGTCTGTCTGTCTCTCTCTCTCTCTCCCTCTCTCTTCTCTATTTTTCATTTTATGTTTTAGACGTCAACAAGATTGCTTACAACTTAAGTATTTCGTAGTCATAATATCTTGTTACATAAAGGAAAAGAGGCTAAAAGCATGAAACAAGAGAAGAAAAAGAATTAAGCATATTTGAAAGACAAAGATAATCTTACTATCATATTTACAAGAGAGCTCTATATAACTCAATACATTATTTTGTTTATGTCATGAGGTGAACGTTCTTTTTGAAAGAAAACGAGGAAAAGAGAGAAGAGAGAGAGAGAGGGAGGAAGAGACAGACAGAGTATATACATTATACATATATATCTTAGCGTATTATAAGATTAATTATAAGCGCTTTATTCAAATGATTTGATAATTTTAATGCATTAAAAAGAGTTTGATATAACTATACTATAGCCATATTGTGCTTATATTTTAACTTAATAAAATTGCCAATTCTATCTTGTTTTGTTCGACAAACTTGTCTATTCGACCCTTATTAAATAAGTTTGTATTTTAAATCCGTTAGGAGCGTTGCTCAAGAGGAAAACTTTGTTACCGTAAACAAAGATATACTGTGATTCTTCTCTTAATAGTTCCGGTACACGTATTTCGTCCCTTCTTAAAAGATCAATAGAGAGCATTGAACGTCCAGTTGGTGCCAATAAAAACTGCTTATAAATTCCAATACAATAAGTGGATAGCGGATTAATTGGCGTATAACTTTGTAGAAAGCTTTTTCTTATTGGATCAAATACTCTAAGACAATTTGATGGCCCGGAATCTATTATAAATATCTCTGATTTAAGGGGACAGAAGATCCCGTATGTCATATTCGCACCATCGATATCTATATTCACTTGGCTAACCTCTCCCGACTGTTTTAGACATAACACACTGTTCTTTCTAATGATAATTATTAAATTATCTTGACTATAAAATACCAAAGATTTCGCTCCTTCAGCCCTAAAAAAGGATTTAAAAAAGATTTCACTGCCCAATTCGGTTGTTTTACATCTTATAATCGATTCATCCTCAACATCAATCAAATAATTCCATTTTCCGTCCGATGTAAAACCCCTTAATTCACCTTCTCTCGAAATGATTGTGTGACTCTCCTTTAGAGCATGATCGAAAGCCACTACTTTGTGTATTGTGGCGCCACCTATTACTGATTCGGATAACAAATATATTCGACTCCTATCAACAAATAATTCTTTAACTTTGGTAACGTAATCGTCGTCAAAGACCTCAAATCGTTGAAAATAAAACGACAACTTTTTGTTCCTACCAAGCGTCGCCGTCTTCTGAGTGGTGCTGCCCTCTGGTACAGTTTTAATGGATGCGCATTGTTTTATGGGGAATTTTTCAAATGTACAAAGTGAATTATTCACTTGAATAGACATCTGCTCCAATTTATCCTGAATACTTCGTTCAATGGAAGGAGTGATAGAAAGAGTATCGCATTCGTGTATCAATGCAATATTCCTACATTCAGTTATTTTCTTATCATAAACATCATTCAATTGTTGAATGAATTGTTCTTTTTGTTGTAAGAGTTTTTCTTTGGCATTTTCAATACAAACATCAATTTCACTGTGTAAAATTGTTTTTTCTTCATCAATAAGCGAATCTAATTTTTCAATAGTTTCCATACATTCGTGCTGAAAATTATGTATGTAATTGAACTTTTCCTCCATAGCAATTGAGTGATGACCTTTACCCGAATGCTTTGAAATGCACCCACTACAAATAGGTTCATAATTGCAAGTTATGCAGACCATATCAACAACTTTTCTATCATTTAAACTACAACGAAATTTTGGTGATGGCTCGTCTAGAAAGAGAATAGAATAGATGAAATAGCTTAAGAGCTTAACACCTAAATAGTTGTTATGTAACAAAAGAAGGACAAATAATTAAATTTTAATACTTTTTATACAATCAATTTATGTCTATTTCTAGAATAAACGACATCATTATTCTCAATTAGTAAATAATAGAAGAATGCCAATTTTTACTACTATTTGGTTATTTATAATTTTTTTTTTATTCGAAACACGAAAGGAGAAGGAAAAGAAGAAAAAGATAATCATGATTGTAAATCTCTTCTCTTCTCATCCTTCGTTTAATAACTTACCTATAAAACTGTCAGAATAGTTTATACAACACGAATTGTCATCGTGTTTAATGAGGCTTGAAGCTCCAGTTTTGGGCCAAGCTACCCTTGTGGAACAAACTGGACAGACGAACGTTGTAGACTTAATAGTGGCTTGCGAATTAAGACACTCTTCGTGAAAGACGTGCATGCACGCCAATTTTCTAGCATTTTTTGAATCCCATTGTTTAAGACATATCTTGCATAGACGCCGTTGATCATTCGTCTCGGAAAATGAATCAACCTTCCATTGAGGAGAACTCGGTGGTGTGGAACTATCGCTCGAATAACTTGCCATAATATTTCCTTTCTTCTAATCTTTTCAAACTTTCTCCGTCCTCTACTCGATAGAGTTTCAATTGAGAGTAGCATATATATATATATATAACTCCAACCAATTTCCGTCATAATTAAAAAAACAATTCCTTTAAGGCCTACAATCTTCTTTCACATTCTCCATTAAAAGATTAAATTTCTTGCAGAACAAAAGAAAACTAAAGAAACTAAATAGATTTCTGTTTATAGTATGAATTCTAAATATAGATTATGTAATAATTACGTCATAACAATAGATATTATAATTTCAATACTTTAATATATTTATTGTTTTGACAATAGTATTTTTGTTTACATTTTTTTTTTCTTGTTGACTTTTTTATGGTTTAAAGTATAAAAAAAACAACAACATATTATATCAAATATAGAAAACATATAGGCCTAAAAAAAGAATAAAGGTAAAACATTACAGTAATCTAGGAAAGTAGTAGAACGATGATCAATGAGCATAATGAATGGAAGATTTTTGTTTCTTTTCTGTTTTGTTCCGTTTTTTGTTCCTTTTGTGAGACATGTTTTTCTTTAACTCTAAACATTTTAAACAAACAAACAAACAAACAAAAGTATAAAACAAGAAAGAAAGAAAGAATTATCTATTTTTTCTCTCAACTGTACATTGTCTTTGATTGATGAGTAAACGCCGAAGCTGGAAACATAAAAGGTGCAGTTGGTAGAGGAAATAATGGTGCTGTATTTCCTGGGGGTGATTGTAGAATTCGAAGAAAATTTGGATTTGTGGAAGCTTCTACTGGTATTGCTTTCCTCTCTTCTGCCTCCTTAACTTTGTCTCTTTTGTATTTTGTTCTTCGATTTTGAAACCAAACTTTTACCTACAGTCACGCAAGTGTCAAAAAAAATTTTTAGCGAATGATCCTTATCTATATTGCTATTATGTAATTTCCGCTTTTACTCTTTATCTTTTTACCTGTGTTTCGGACAGCTGCAATTTCTCTGCTAGTTCCGTTCGCTCTCTCCCAACTAGATACTGGTTTCTTTCAAATTCCTTTTCTAGTTGATAAAGTTGCTCGGCTGTAAAAGTTGTTCTAGCCCTTTTTGGCCGGTCAAGGTCAAGGGCCTTGGGAAAGACAAGTTCCTTCGTCACACCATTCGCATCTGGTTAAGAGGTAATAAAAAGGGGAAAAAAACAACTATTAAATCACTAATTAATTGAATTTCGTGCCACCAAACGCCACTTCCGAAGCGTAAGAAAAAAAATAGAGTTATTAATGGTTGAGAAGAGGTCAATAGGTTAGATAATTTAATTAGGTATAATTAACCTTAATAAGGTTTCGAAATTATGGGATATTATAATTAAGGGGAAATCTTCATAAAAGAGCGTATTAAACGAATTAGAAACGGAAGTAGTAACGCCAACTATTTTTTCACAATACAAGCGAGGTTAAATAGAGGAGTTGGAAAAATAAATAGGAATTTATTCAGACTAGACGGCGCCATAGACGACCGATTATAAGCTATTATAAGCTTGCCTGGGACAGTTAAAAATCGAATCCAAACTATTTTTATTAAGTAAAGGATTACTAGATAAACATCTCTTGGGCAGCTGCCGCTAAACTAATTAAGAGGGAGGAATACGATGATTGGTTGATTACAAGACCAATATCGATTGCTGATTGGTTAATTATCTCGGGTTACAGTTAAATGATGTTCTCTGTTAACTTTCCCACAGTTAGAGATGAGTTAAAAATGAAAGAATAAAATTTCTTGTCAATTTCCCTTATCCCCACCTTAAACCAAGGTGATGGTCTTTGAACCATTAAAGAGAATATAATGGAATATTTAAAGTCAAATCAAAACGTTTAACAAACGCAGCAGTTGTCGAGGAGAAGGAGTAGCACTCATCGTTGCGTGATTCAATGACATTTCAAAAAAATCTTGAACTTTGGTCATGAATATTACAATTATTCCCACAATTGTTAAAAATATACTCACTCCTATTCACTCTCCCCTTCTCTCTCTCTCTCTCTCTCTCTCTCTCTCTCTCTCTCTCTCTCCTTCTCTCTCTTTCCTTTTCTCTCTATCTCTTTTTTATTAGTTTTATTCAAAATATATGAAAATATATTTCCTTTTCTCTCTGTATCTCATCTAAACTCTAACCTAAAAAATACCATCTCTGTTCTTTATTTACTGACCCAAATTCTACCAATTATTGATGCTAATTACAACGGTGCGCGCTGCGCGGACCTACTCCAAGAGCGAATGGGCGAGCGGTTATTTAACCAACAATTACGCAGTACTTTTCACACTCTTATCCTCCCCTGACGTCATCTGACGTCACTTTCAGAGAGAGAAGTTTCTTTTTCTTTAGTTGGAGGTATTTTAGAGAATTGGCGAAAGGAGAATGCGGGAGAAATTTGAAGTAATTAACCGTTGAACGAAAAAAAATTTTCTGGTGGGTAATCGTTAACAAAAAGTTAATTATTCAAGTTCTCACCTGAGATAATAAGCTACCATTTACAATACACGATTTAACAATTTTGTCTACTTTCTTTCGCCTTTCCTTCTTACATTTTTTCACATTCCCCTTTTATTTAATAATTTCGCAATTAACTTAAATATCTTGCAAATTTTCCTAGACAAGAAATATTTCGAATTCCTTTATATCTCCTATTTATTTAATCGTAAGTGTGTCTCTTCTGATTCTTTTTTTAATGAAAAATCTTATAAGCCTATGGGGAAATATATGAAATACCTTAAAAGTTAATAAGAGAGAGAGAGAGAGAGAGAGAGAGAGAGATTAACGGACACATAGACAGATAGATAGAAAGACAACATGAAGACCCTTACAAGTTTTTTAAATATCTTAATATTTTTCATACCACTCATCTCCCATTTAGCGCACGTGTTCAAGCTTTTAAAAATCAGTTTCTAGACAATGTATTCATATTGTTTTGTCACATTTTCAAATAGTGGTTATAATGGTTCCTAATAAGCGTTAAAAAAGTTAAAAAGTAACGATTTTTTTCTTTAAAAAAAAAAAAAACTGTTAGAAAAGAAATTCATCCTGGTCAGAAAAAACGCTATTCTTTGAGCAAAAATTTAACAATTGTCACGCAAGTTTTTTTATAAAATTAGAATGTAAAAACTACCAGGTGTCCTTCAATTTGTTAAGTGCTTCTTTTGTTCTTTTTTTAAGTACATATCTATACACTTATATATATCCTGTACACACACACACACACACATATATATATATATATATATATTTATGTCTTGAATGGCTAAATTGAAAGAGAGAAGAGAAAAACACCAAAATCTTATGAGAGATATTAAAAAATATTATAATTTAGAATTATTGCCGTAATGAGTATTCATGTTGAAGTGTTCAAGCAAAAATTCAAGCAATAAACAGACCGTTATATAATTAAACTATGCGTTAAAAACAATTTAAATTGATGAAATGAAAAGAAACAGAAACGAATCAAATAGGTAAAATATACCGATAATATTAAGAAAACAAGGCGAAATATTCATAAACTTACCTTTAACAGTTATTGTCTTGCAATAATCCGGATATTTTTTCTTTGAATGAAGAGTCTTTGGCGAAAAATCTAAAGGTTTATTAAAATCTTCACACTCCATTATTCATTCTTCTCCTCTATTCTTCGATAATCTGTTGTTTGTTTGGGTTTTTTTTTTAATTAGATAAATGAATAGAAAAGATTGTAAATTAGTTTTTTTGTTTTATTTCTTATCCAGAAAAAAATGGATAAAAGTTTTTTTTCTCATCTAATTAGCCTGAAAACCACCAACCGGACAAATCGATGTTGGGAATTTTTTCCGCGCACGAACACTTGAGGAGAATGAGAAAAGTAAACGTTTACTTTCCAATTTTGATGAACAGCGCTACTTGAACAGGACGAACGAATGGTTGAAAGGGAAACAGCGCTGATTGGTTAAGTTCTCTACTACGTTTATCCAATCGCTGTACACTCCTCAATTGTACTTGTTCATGCATTTTCAAGAGTTTTTATCTGTTCAGCTAATCAGACGCAATCATATTTTCGGGTTAACCGATCTGAGAATTTTCCCTTAAAAAGGTGAATTGAACAGAAGCCTAACGTAAAGATAAGTGGCAAACACATTGAATTTCTTTACAATAGATCAGCTTGAACAGTTCAATATTGTAAATAGATTTTTTTTATATGTTTATTTCTTTTTAATATTTTTAATAATAAATAAATAAATAAATAAA